TGACCGGCCCCTTAGTGGTCAATAATAAGTGGTCAATATATGCTGATATTTGACCCAGGGGCGTAGGAGGGGTTTTGGAAGTGGTACGACCAAAGGTCGGCGCGGCCGAAGGCCGTTTTGGAGGGGGGTCCGGGGGAGCTCCCGCGGGAATTTTTTTGTAAAAAAGACACAAAATCCTGCGTTCTGGGAACCTCTGGCACAGTTTATAAGTCATAGAAATATTTCACGGGCAGAAGAGACGTGCATGGACATGCACAGATGCATGGCAGATCTACGAGTAGATCTACGAGTCTAGAAAATGGTCAAAGTCTGATGCGCATAATTATGATATGCATCGATGGATCCTGATTTTTTTATTACGGTTTTGCACGTTCCGGACGGACCACACTTTTCGAAAAGTGGTACGGCCATGGTCGTACCAGTCGTAGCGGGTGCTACGCCCCTGTTTGACCGCTTAGAGATCACAAGTTTCTGTGGGGGTCAATAATAAGAGAGTGATAAGTATATAATACAACCCAGCAGTACGCTTGTACGTGAAATATAAACCGACATACAAACCGAGGCGAAGCCGAGGTTTGTATGATGGTTTATATTTCACGTACAAGCGTACTAGTGGGATGTATTATACTTATGCTGACCTTCATAAAAACTGAGTCAACTTCTTCCTGTTTCTATGGTGGCGGTCTATATGGGGTTTGTATGGGGTTTGTATGAGGTATGAGGCTTATATGCCCAGTATAAGCCGCCAGCATGATGGGCAAGTTGACTGGAAGTTTGTATGAAAGGTCAGCATAAACTGTAATTTAGAAAAGCGATCCTGTCAGCTTTTCTATTATTGTGTTCACATGGCAAGAAAAACGACACCGCTATGCTACGTAACTTTCTACGTAAGGTGCTCGGTATTTCACTTAGGCTACGTAAGTCTCTACGTAAGGTGCTCGGTATTAGATCTACCAACGGTACGGGTGCCGGTTGTAGCCGCGTGCTTGTGCACGTGCACGGCAGACATTGTGTTGCAGTGCAGTCCGTGTTCGGATGTGCATGCGCGAGGAACTTCCTTCTTTGGAACTGCTTCTTGTATGAGCTGTTTCGGATATTTCGTCTCCTGGCCTGGCTTATTTCGTTTCGGCGCTGCTGAGACCTCCTTTCGCGGAATATTACTGACAGGTGAGTTGACCAGTTCCCTTTGATTCATTTGCTTGTGTTCACTCTTTCATTTACGAAAAGTGTGCTGATTTTGGGCGGAATGCAATAAATAATGGAAAAGCTGACAGGATCTCTTTTCTAAATTTAGCTTTTCCGCTGCCGAGGCCTCCTTTTACGGAATACTCGATGACAGGTGATCTCTGAGTTGACCGGTTTCCTTCGATTATTATTTATTATTATTATTAAATTTTGAATAGGGCAGTCCCACAGGCCTAGGGCCTTTTTACAGGGTACCTTATGAATTGTTGAATAGATGAACGGAAGTTTCTGAGCAAGGGGATTGTGCGAATATCAGATTCATTATTTTGCTTATGCTCACCCTTTCATTTACGGAAACGTGTGCTGATTTTATTCGGATTTAGATCCATTTTATCTCTTTGCCCTTGTCTACAGTGTACGAAGAACGCGAGTTCACCTTCTTGACGGTAAGGCTTATGTTAGATGTGTTGTCGAAATACTCATATTCATTGTACATTGGTACGTTACAAATAAGGCACTGGTCAGTGGCATACTATCGTTGGCAGTTCCCAATCTGGAGGGAAAGGTTCAAGGACCCATTGACCGAGTTTGCAAAATAAATTCGCATATCAGGGAAAGTCTCCATTGTGGAGAGGTTCAGTAAACTTGTTTGCTTCATACGAAACAAGGCAATGGGTGCAGTCTCGTCTCGTGAAGATCTCGTACTTGTATGATTGGATTTGTTTACTCGAGTCTGGGCTGTTTGATTTATTATTTGTGAGTACCGCCGAGATTGCACTGCCCCAAATAAAGTTTCGTGCCGCCAAAGCAAGAATTACAATCTGCAATCTGTTTGTAGTACCTGCAAGAAGGTGCTGTACATGTATCGTACTTTCTCTGTTGCTGTTTCAGTTGCCGTCATGTTGCTAAAGAAAGGTTCAGTAGAGAGGTTCTGCAAAACGAAAATTCGAACGAAGTTTCCCGACAGTCCTTGCGAAAGTGTGTACGAATTTTTGCACGAACTTTGCGTTCTGCACATTTTCGTAGTTTGCGCGGGCCAAGTGCACGTAGATCTACGCCATGACCCGATCTCACGAAATGTCCTACGACAGTTCATTTCGCGTTCCCTGCAAGTTTCGCGTCCAAAGTTGCGAAAGTTCGTGCGAAGTTTTGCACTTCATGAAAATGAACGAAAGTTTGTACGCATTTTCGTTTTGCAAAACCGCTCTAGTGACTCATTTGTTTCATACGAGACGAGTCAATGAGTTGGTGTGGCTTAGAATCTTTCGCTGTAGAAGAAATCTATTCGTATGTCTATTGGAGAAATAATTGTATTCACTGGTTATAAAATAGGTTAAGACAAACTCACAGAATAAATACCATTGGTCCCTTGGTGTTCGTCCTAAAGAGGTTCGACTGGATATCATTCATACTCACCAAAAGATGTGTAAGATTTTATTATTATGGAGTGCCTTGTTTATCTCTCAGTACCTCCAACCATAGCCTTGCCTCTTTTATCCTCAGGATCAGTGTAGTTGTTGGAACGAGGTGGCGGACTGCGCAATGTATTTGTTTACATTTTAATACATGTTTATTGTTCCTCCTTTGCTGTGTTGTTTTAGAAAATCGTGGACTTCCAGTTTGAAGTCATTGAACTACTTCCAAAAGTTGTATCGACATCAACAGGATTACGATTTCAGTGCAATATGATGCAGGATGACCTTATCACGATAACCCATGATTATAAACCATTATAAACACAGAATCAACAAAAACATCTGCGACACGCACCTGGTTACATTTCTCAAATAAATCTGATCGAGGGTGGGGAAATCTGAAATATCTGAAAGGCAAGACAATTTTATGACAAAGTCATGAAATTCTGCTACAGCAACATGCACAGATTGACCTCCGTATAAAAAAAGTATCACCACGGTCCATCACTACTCACATGTTTCCCTGCAGAAGAACATGCTAGTGCCATTTTCTGCAAGAAAAGGCTTGCACATCAATGCGTATGATACGGTATAATTGGTATAATGTGAAGGCCATCATTTACATATTGATATACTAGTAGGGCATTCCATTGGTGACAGAAAAAACAAAAGAAATTATAGCAATAAAAACTGCTTAATGTAGGGATGTCAGCGAACGCACTGCGCAGGCCTCTGCGCATGCATTGCGTCATCGATTTTTTGAACGTGATCGCGGCCGACAGAGAAAACATGGCCGCGGTCCGTTTGCACCGCTGGGAGTCGTAAAATTACTGTTCTTCTGTCCCCGCGACCATTCAAATCATACGCGATACAGGAGGACCCACGAGCTCACCACGTTCTCCCCGGTCGATTTCTCTGAAAGTTTGCACATCGTGAAACACCAGTATGAGAGGTGTTCAGGCCAATTTTCAAGGGATTACCCTGGTTGGATCGTTCCAAAATCGGACTTGCATTTCTCGCTCGCGGCCATTTCTTGCGCGATGGAAGCGCCCTGCCCTGGTGAGTAACCAGCGTCGCGCTTGGTAGAGAGTTGCTGCAATCAGCTCCCTGATGTCTTCGCTGACATTGTCAGAAGCGATGGGCCCTGAATTTGTTTGAGAGTCTCTGGATGCTACTTTTCCTCAGCCTAGTTTTCAGCCATTCCGTGCATCTTCTTCGCACGATTTATTTTGCAAAAAAATGAAAGGGTTCATGAGTTTTTTTGTCGGCCACGCGTAGATGGGCCAGGCTGACCTGCGCAGATGGGCTGCGCAGTGCGTTCGCTGATATCCCTACTTAACCCTCTCAGTGCCACGGGCGACTTTAGTCGCCCAGAATGAGTATGTGTGTACAAATAAATTCGTATCTCCACTTCTACACACAGGAGAGTTACAAACGACCACTCTACGTGTTCAGAAAGACCTTGGCTATCGACTCATCACATCGCTTTGTGTCCGTGGGGATAGATATCGCCAGGGCGAAGCCTGAAGTGCGCGCGCTCGGACAAACAATTGTCGCGCGTAGAAAACATGACGTATGCGCATCGCGGGTTTCTCTATTTCTTTCGCGGCAACCCATGCGTATTGGGTATCAAAACATCGAGATTTTCAGTGGCTTTCGGGCCAACTTTGTCCGAATTCCGTGCGTTGAAAGTTGACTGCACTGCGATCGATCGCGCGCGTGAGAAAGTGCAGATGCTACGAAAATGCAGAAAACGGACTTCGCTCAGGCGCCCTCGCGAGAAAGACTATTTTCGCTGTATTTTCTCTTCACAGCTGTCTGCCTGGCCATGATATCTTTCCAGAGAGCCATCGTTTGTAAAGATCCGTGGATATACAGCTGAGCTATGAAAAATTTGAGTTCGGCTCAACTCAGAAAAATTTGAATTTTTCTGACCCCCTTGGCACTGAAAGGGTTAATGGCAGTTTTCTAAAAAAAGTTATTGTGTTCTAGTCCATGGACCCCGTCGAAAAAGTAAGAAATTAACGAAATGTGATAGCCGAAAATTAAAATTTCACACAACCTCACAATAATCACACACAGAATGAAAAGCTACATGCAGAAGACCTTTTCCCCTCGTGATCCTCTTTCCTATGCATGCATGACATGCATGTTGCCAATTGTTGTGCAGTACAAGTTTAGTGTTGAAAGCAGCATTTCAAGTGTTGTGATTATTGTGAGGTTTTGTGTGAAATTTTAATTTTCGGCTAGCACATTTCGTTAATTTCTTACTTTTTCGACGGGGTCCATGGACTAGAACACAATAACTTTTTTTAGAAAACTGCCATTAAAGTTTTTATTGCTATAATAATAATATGTTGCGGCCATGCTTAGCTGTGATCTACATAGCGGCGGACTTACCACTGAAAAGCACCACACCAGCTTGTACTTGGGGGTATAATCAGGCAGCAGCTTTTCCAGCATTGTCAATAAAACGGGCTCCGCCGTCACAGAGTAACTGCGTTGTCGCCGGTTCGCTCGGCTTGTCAACTAAGCGTATCGCTAGCTCGGTAGATTCTACGTAGATCTACGTCAAGGTGCTGCTATTACTAACACAATAATAGAAAAGCTGACAGGATCGCTTTTCTAAATGATGAAAACTCAATCTGCGTTCGGACAGACTCAGTAGATCAACGACTACGGACGTCGGTCTACAAGACGGACTCGGGATCGTAGATTGCGCAAATTCTCACGGAACATATCTACGTGGCATTTCATTGATTTCAATGAAAATTTCAATGAAAATTCAAGTGAACTGTTTATACAATGACTATACATAGTATGTACATGCATTATTAATTTTTTGTGTTCAGATCATGTAGATTTCGCTTTTCTCTTTCTGTTTCTGCACTTCACGTCATGACAACGCTTGCAAGTGATGCACCGACCGGTGGACCGTGACCGTCCCGCTACGTAAAATCCTCCAGAATCCTGACTGGCATTGATGTCGTGGCGACCAGTCCCGGAGCGCGCGAGTCGAGTTGATCTACGACATGTCGACAGTAGAGTGGTGAGCGATCGCATCCAGCAGTGTTCCGAGCATGTCACCTGTCTAGCTCGTATCCATGTCCATGATGCACAGGCGCTGGCAGATTGTAGCTCACACGGCCACGAAGGACAATCAATCCTCGCTACATCGTCCGAACATACCGTATACTGGTATACTGCTGGGCAGTCTGGAAAACGATGACATTTCGAGAACACATTGTAATTTATTCAATGCAAACGACTTGACTGTTTGTTTGTCTTTCGACAATTCTTTCTCCACAGTCCGAATAGCCGGCACGTTGAAGGAAGCTGAAATCCAATCGATCCTCTTCGTTGTGTCCGACTTGCCAGTATTCATTGTGTCCTCGCAAGCGGTGCGTTTCGGTTTATTGATACACGATTTAGAAGTACATGTAGTCCTGCTATCAGTATCACTGCTACCTGCGTGTACTACTAGTAGTAGTACTACCACCAGGCACCACTGTTGTTGTTGTATCTGCTGTGACGACTAGAATGGCGAGTAGCAGCTCGCTACCACCACCACTGCAAGCAGCAGGAGGAAATCGCAGTGAGATAGCTGGTGAACACGGACTGCACACTCACGCATTGGTATCTGGTATGGGTGGTGGTGATGGCGAAGGTGGTGGTGGGCAGGATGGCCAGGCGGAGGAGAGGTTCCGAGTTGACCGCCGCAAACTGGAGATGATGATTGCCAACTCTGCGACCGGTGCGCACGATAGGAGTCGTATGCCTTGGAAAGGAGGAGGCGGTTATGGCGAAGCAGCGGCCACAGTAGCAGCGACGACGGAAGAAAGCGGCGAGCAATTCTTCCAGAGAATAATGAAGCAGACTAACACTATCATCACTTGGCCATGCAAGCTGAAGATCGGGGCAAAGTCCAAGAAAGATCCACATGTGAAGGTGCGAGGCGCTGCCAGCGATGTAGCACGTGCTAAGGAGCTGATTGTAGCAGTGCTAGACACCAAGGCCAGTCGAGTAGCGCTGAAAATGGACGTGCCTCACACGGAGCATTCACATGTTATTGGAAAGGGTGGCGCGAACATCAGGTCAATCATGGAGGAGACCAACTGCCACATTCACTTCCCAGATTGCAGTGGCAGTGAGCGGCGTGCATACGCGGAGAAGAGCAGCCAGGTCTCCATCACCGGTCAGCCAGAGTGTGTGGACATTGCTCGCCAGCGGATACGTGCCATCCTGCCGCTTGTGTTCTCTTTCGAACTGCCGCCGGACACCGACCCGGACTCCACAGCTCCTCACATACAGCAGATTCTGACGGCACACAACGTGAGCATCTCATTTCGCACGCGATCGCGTTCCTCCGTCCTATTCTGCCAGGTACGCGGTTGCCAGTACCAGGAGAGGGACGTGGTGGACGCTACTGAAAAGCTCTGGGAGCAATGGAAAGGGCCGACGGCAGACTGTGCTGGCAAGCCACTGGTGCTGGTCACGTCAACAATGGATGTGGCACCACAGCACCACTCTGCATTGCGTGGCCGATCCAACAGCAACTACAAGCAGATCGAGAAAGAGACCGGTGTCCACGTGGTCTTCCCGTCGTCCGGCACTTCGTCCAGCATCATGCTGAGCGGCAATGCTATGGCTGTGTGCACGGCGCGGCGCATGTTCATTGACCACCTGCCCTTGCTGCTCATGTTTGATGTGCCGGAAGAGAAGGGACTGAGCGCATCCGCTCTGTCCTCCATTGCCGACTCTTTGGCTGAAAACTCCGACGTGCACGTTTCCATAACGCCCAAAGCTAAGCAGACCAGCCACAGTGTCAAGATCAAGGGTAGCGAGGGCAAGGCACAGCAGCTGTATGACGCACGCCGGGCATTGCTACAGCTGGACCGCAAGTCTTCTGCGCAGAGCCCACTGCGCAAGCTCACCAGCAGTCAGCTGCTGCAGAGTCTGCAGGCGCAGCCATTGGCCGACGCAGGCAACTCGGTCGACCTACGGCCGGCCGCAGGATCACTGTCACTGAGCTGGTCTGCTCAGCAACTACAAATGGAAAGTAGCAATCGCAGCAATAGTAGTCAAACGGCGGCTGACCTCCAGCCCTTCCAGTTCCAGAGAGGTTTCAATGAGGACATTTTTAGATCAGACAATGGAGATCGGCTTGCTCTGGGTAGCCTACCCTCGGCTACTAGTTTGAAAATATCGGGGCTGTCGGATAGTTTCGGACATTCGTCGGATAATGGAGAGCATGGTGCTTCATCGTCAGCTCACAGAGGACCTCCGCCGGGCATTCACACACCACCGCGATTTTCACCCCGCCGCACACCATCAGAGTCGCCGGCCAAACCAGCTACTAGTACAGCACTTACTGGAAGTGCCTTGAACAACTCTGCTGGCCGCCGCACTATGATGGATGCCCTGGCGAAGCTACCCCAAGCTAAAGACCAGCACGCCATGGTGAAGAGCTCATCCTTGGATTCACAACTCTCATCCAAGTTCTCAGCGGCGGCCGGTCAAGGCACTCATCCGGCAACGCGACTGCAGGCCGCTGTTGACCGAGGTACCGCACTGAGCCGCCAGAGCCAGCAGCAATCTGTCACTGCCCTCTCATCTTCCAGTACGCAGTCAGCTACTATGCTGGAGACAGTGACCGGATCAAGTAACGTCAACACTGTGCCAGCTGACTACGATGTCCTGAGACAAAAGGCGGCCAAAGCCATACAAGAAGGCAGACACTTGACAACGGAGGTCGTACGAACTCCTACAGACCTATGGACTGGACATGGCTTTAGTAAATCCTCCCCGGAGCATGTGCTGCGTGAACAGCTGGCACAGCAGCCAAAGTTTAACCCCAGCATGGCGACAATGTACGAAACCGAGAATGTCACTGGCATGACAACGATGTACGAGGCTGATGATGGAACTGCAGCTGGTTCTGCTCTTGGGGATGGTAAAGATGGAGGTGGAGACCAGCAGGAGGTAGACGAACTGATGCCGGGATCCATACCGGTGCCTACTGACTCTACAGTCAAGCAGTCTCATTTCCATCCCACAAGTTCAGCACAACAGATTCCGACAAAGACCCAAGCCGCTATGACGGCATCCTTTGGCTCTATTGGCGACTCCCCGTCGAAAAACCGACCTCTTAACCAGACGGAAGTCAACTGGTCATTGTGGCAGACATGGCAGCGAACAGCAGATCAGGCAGAAACAGGAGCAGCCGGCAAGCCTGAAAGCAAAGCACCGGCGGCTGGAAGCACGTTTTGGAGTGCAGAGCAGGTGCGCGACTTGTCCAGTCTGCTAAGCCTCCTTGATCTAAAAAAGTACCAAGCGACGTTTGATGAGCAGGAAGTCGACCTTCCGATATTCTTGACACTTAATGAAGCCGACCTGAAGGACATCGGCATTGGTACATTTGGTGCACGGCGCAGGATGATGCTGGCTATCAATGAACTAAAGCAAGTTTATCAGCAGCAAATGGAGAGCAGGTCAGCCAGTGCCATTGCTACTGCCACTGACGTAACCACCACAACTGCCGCCGCTGCTGCTGCACGTTGGCCCAGCAGCAGGCCAGCCAGTACAACCCAGCAGCACCATCAGCAGCAGCACTATACGCACATTGGCGGCCGACAGTTCATGCAGCATCGCCTGGCCGAGCGGTTGGCTCCACTGCAGCCACCGCACACCAGCAGCTCGGGGACAAGTGGCAGTGGTGCCAGCATCAGTGCGCCAAGCAGTGACTGCAGCAACAGCGAAGGAAGCGCTGGCGGTGTCCTGCAGGACTACCTCAAGTCCTCAACGGGACACATGCCGTTCACCAGTGGCAATACCATTGCACCGACTGGTAGCGGTGGTGGTGGTGGTAAGCCCGCGGAGGTTCATACTGTGTCACTGTCACATAGTGGAGGCGGGAAAAGTTCTTTCCCTGTTTCACAGTCTACTCACTGGTAAGCAGCTGGACTGCTGCTACAGTACTTTGCTGCTGATAGAGTGTGCTAGATTACTGCCACTTTCTCCTTCCTTTCTTCCTTCTGCTCTTCTTTTCCCCTCCTTGATATGCCCGTGCTTTGTTACTGGCATGCCACTGAAGCTAACTCTGTTACGTCAAGATTCATTCCAAAGACATGGGGGGGGGGGGGGTCCAAACAGTATCTCTAGTCTCCCATTTTTATTATTATTGTGTGCGCGTGGCAAATTTAGGCACAGTGTTTCAAATCTCTTATCAATGTTACGATACTTGGTCCAGGTAGAACTAATTTCTTGCTTCTGTGCATACTGCGAGAAGTGCCCTGTGTCGCACTATATACCGGTACTATTACTATATTTTTCACTACTGCACTTTCTTTGCCTGTGACCTTGTGCAATACCTAGTATTGAAGCCCTATTCTTCAGAGCTAAGCATGCACACTACAAATATTCCTTGTAGCCGTGTGTTCTCGTGCCTGCCATCATGTTGTCATGGCAGTGTTCACACTGATATCCTTTTACCTAGCTCAGCCCGGCCTGCATTGCTATACTGAACTGTGAAATGAGCCCCCGTGTACGGGATACTTGCTATCAACCATGCAGCCACAACACGTACTAATTTGAACTTCAATCCCAGCAGAATAGCAAGCGTCCGCTGTGTTTGTGGCACTGTTGCCGAGGTGGAGTATACCCACCCACAGTATGATTGTACAGTTGCGCTCGGTGAAATCTGACCCATACTGGGTCATAGTGCTTATCTTGCACTCTCAACTTGTACGGCCCTTCACGCCCAGGAAGTGGCACGGATGCGGCTGGACGTACACATGCACAAATGCAATGATGTAATCGGAATTAGTCAAGGGCACCAGCTTTGCACTTCGGGTCGGATTTCACTTAGGCTGCGTTTACACGACAACGCTGGGGGCGAAAACGCAACGAAATCCTTTCGGATCCATGGTTCATTTACACGGTACGAAGAGCAAAACGTAAAAGGTGTACACCAAAACGGAAGAAAACCAAACCGCTGGCCAAGGTGGAAGAATTTGAAAACGGAAATGTTCTGTCGGATAAATTTGGGTGTGTAAACAGTCGAAACGGTGTGCTGGCCTCGTTTTCCGTCACGTTTTGTTTTATTTATCAAAAATTTGATAGGGCAATCCCCACAGGCCCATCGTATTATCTACAGGTGCTTTGAGTAAATTAGTTCAGGTTGCAACTGTCCTATCATTTCTTACCTTAGACTCTGACCGTTTCCTATCCACCTTTTCCTTCTCCTATCAGTACTTGGGCTACAATACCTATTCTGTCTGTTGAAGTGTAATGCCGAACCATATGAGGCTTTTCTCTGTGTTTGCAGTCTGATATACTAATACATGTATGTAAATACACTGTAGTATCATGTATCTACTAGCTGCAAATGCAGGTATACATGCATGTATATGTACCTCATTGCTAACATTCGACGTGACATGTAATGTACATGTACAATAGTCAAGTTTCACTGCACTTTGGATATTTTGTTTTGACACTACAAAAGGACAGTACTTGTCGCCGTACTGTATCTACTGCTTATTCTGAGCCAGGGAGTCGTAAAATACCGTATTTTACGACTCCCTGTTCTGAGCAAAATGAGGTGCTACTTGGCCATATACGTGTCAGTAGAAATGGATATAGGAGCAATTCTAGTTAGGGGCCGTCCGTAAATATCGATGTTTTTTTTTAAGACGATATTTGTTCATATCTCCCCAGACCCTCCCCCCTCTAATACGAACATGCATACATTTATGCAGTGGACCGATATTTTTTATATTGAACGGTTTGTGTGTACAGGTACGTACACAATACGTGCTGCAGTACAAGTCACAAGGTTCAAGTGCCTGCATGCTGCATGGTGCACGAGCCGCGACAAGCAAGTACAAGGTGCATACCTAAAAATAGCGTATGTGAAGATCGATATTTTTTCCGCCAAAAACAACGAACAGCGTCAAAACCCCCATACGAACGAATATCGTCTCTAAAAAAAACATCGATATTTACAGACGGTCCCTTAGGTTGCCATGGTAATAACGGCATTTTCTATTTTGATGTTTTTCACTATGTTCGGACACAATTCGGCAATCGAAACCTATGCCATCGTGTTCAGGAGGCAAAAACCATCCAGGAATGATCATAAAATCCATGTTAGCCAACATGTGTCAAGTAAAAGTGGGAAATTTCAAAAGGGCCCTAGGACTACTTCTGCGGGCCTCCCTTCCGCGGGCGGCCCTTCTGTGGGCGGCCCTTCTGTGGGCGTCCCTTTTGTGGGCGCCCTTTCTGTGCTCGTCCCTTCTGCGGGCGCTCTCTCCTCTCCTCTGCCTCGATGAGCTCGAGTCGATTCACCGCCTACAAGTTAAAGGCAACAAAGCAACAACAAACATACTGGTAAGTGCGAGTACAGGATACAAGTGACACATCAGCGTATCTGGTAAAAGGACAGCGATCGATCTTGTGCGCCTTCGCTCTCTTTATTTTCATTTGGGCGCACTTTTCGCCGCGCACCTACTAAAGAATTTCGAGCGGGGCAGTACGGTATGGTAGCTATGAACTAGCGTAGTCGCCAGGTCGTCAGTTCATCCACCTTGACTCGAGTGCCCCATGGTGCACAGCATCAAGAGCATTATGGGTTTCATGTCCTCTTGACGGCATGCACTCTCTGACTGACTGCTGCTTTTAGACCGCGGGCAGGATCGTTGTTTGCCAGTCTACTCCCGGTCAGTTCGCTTTCAGTGAGAGTGCTCTTACTGACCTGCCCAGTCTTGTCGGTCTTTAGTTCGGGCGCATTGATGGTTGCCAACTCTGTCCAGGTATCCACGTTCCTTTCATGGAACGTGGGTAACAGCATCGGCCACGACGTCGAGCGTGCCAGCGGCAAGAACATGGTCACCAAATGGGGTGCAGGCCGTGCGCCAAGTTTTCGGACAAGATCCGAAGCAGCAGTCAGCTTCGTGGGAAGGCACTGGAGGACATGCTGAATTTCGTGGAAGGCACGAACTACGTTACCAAACACGCAGTTACTCGCCATTCAAGTGCCCGCAAAGTAAGTGTTTATTTTCCAGTTGCCCGTAATCACAGAACTAGTCGTAAACGCAAGTGTTGTAATTATTTGTCTGCCGGCTCACGCAGCAGAGCTCTATCAACACCAATTCGCAGCGTTCCGTCAGTGCTACAATGTGCGGTTTGCTCAAAAAGCTGAAGAACACCAACTTCTTCGCAACAGCCAGCTTGTTGAAGAAGATTGTCACCATCTTTGCCGGCTTATCTCTGAAATTGGAAGCAAACACGATCCTTCCATTCGAAGTCGGGCCAGCGATAGAGTTCACCCTGGGGCAACTCTGTGACCTCCTGGACTCGGATGAAGAAGTCGCGGACTCCGGCATTGTGCTAGAGGGTGCTGGTGGACCACTGCGGATGTCGCTGCCCAAGTCCGGACACAACAAACGGCCTGACAACCGAGAGTGATAGCGAGGTCAGTCTCAGCTGCGAGTCAGATGGGGGCAGCGAGGTAGACTCCGACGTCTTCACATAATTCCAAATCTCGGAGGACTCAGAGGACTCCAATGGAGAGGAATCAGAAGACTCGGACATCATCGTCGCTGACCACTTGGGCAGTACTGCAGAGACGCCTTGCAATTCCGAAATGCCAAGCAAGCCCAGGCCTGTCCGAGTACGGTTCGCACGTAAATCTATGAAGAGAAACGTGTACGGTCAAAGATTTGACTTGAAAGTCAACAATGAACCATTGTACGTGGGGCACAATCTCACCAGGGCGCAGCAGTCTCGTCGTACCAAGATGATCCCTCTATATAAGAAGCTTCTCGTGCAGATAACATACGTTGCTCACTGCCATACAATGTTATCCAAAACGAGCTATGTGAGCCCATTAGTGACACGTACAGCAATCAGCTACTCGCACCGAATGCAAGAACGCACGCAGCCCAAGCCTAGGAAACAAACTGCGGGGCACCCTACTGTGTTACCCAGTCAACGCGCAACCCTAAGCCAAGGTGATGGTGCATTCACACAGACAGGTACAGCGACTAGCAAGTTTGTACAGATCATTTCTAAGCAGCTCAACATTGCACAAGTAAATATACGTAGCCTTGGAAATAAACTGCATGATGTTCACCAAATCCTTTTCGACCACAAAATCCATATTCTAGCAGTCAATGAAACGTGGCTAGACTCTACTGTAAACCGTGAAATTATTGCCATGGTCTAATTTCTGCGAAATTCGCGACCGCGTGGAAATCGCGAAATTTAGACAGCGCGAAAAGGAGATCCATGAAAGGTTTAGCAAGAATGCCCTTCTGCAATCGCAAAATTAAAACCTCGCAAACTTGTCCGGATGCTGAAAACGCGAACTAAAAACGCCGCGAAAATTGCACGCTTTACAGTAGCATATCAGACGCCACTGTACACATCCCTGGATATACTATTTATAGGAGTGACCGCAATACCCATGGTGGAGGTGTTTGTTTCTATGTTAATAATCGCCTCTCGCCCTCTGTACACATTGCTACTGCCGATCCCGGCAGCAATCATGAGTTAGAACTACTGTCTCTCCATATTGTACAGTCAACTTCGCTTATGACGACACTCGGCGGGGCATCAAAAAATTGTCCTTATTCCCGAAGTGTCGTTATACCCGAAGTCTCATTATACGTATTACAGTTGGATGGGACTTTGCTCTGGGCATGGAAATTCTGTCGTTATTCGCGAATTGTCGTTATATCCGCAGTCGTTATTAGCGAAGTTGACTGTGCGTGTAGCCAGGAAACCCCGACCTCTTTCACTCATCAGTATTGTGTACAGGCCACCTGCTGCACCGGTGAGCTTCTGGGAAGACCTTAGCAAGCAATTAGAGCTACTGACTCTATCCAGTGAACACCTGCTGTTACTCGCTGATCTTAACATTAATACGCTTTGCACCATGACCCCTGGTTACGCTCATCTCAGAAGGCTGTGCACAGAATACAGTCTCACTAACCAGATTAATGAACCTACCCGCTGGCCGAGCAACACATGCCTTGACCTAATCCTCTGCACTGACCTCCCATCAATGACCTGCGAGATGACACCTCTGCCTGGCATCAGTGACCACTCTTTAGTAGAAAAAACCCAGATTGTATTGTGCTCGCCTTGGGCAGATAAGGAGAGGGTTTTTTAGGGGGGGGGGGCTGCTCTCCCACCACTCTCCTTGAGAGGATAGCGATAGTGATTGTTCACTCTCTTGGATTTTCTTACACGAAGGTCTGCGTATAAGAGTACGCAAGTTCCAATTTACTGTGGGCCGCAGCACGGTTTGAAAATCCACCTCTCGTAATCCTGGTGCCCTATCGCTTTCTGAGCCATGGCCCTAAGACAATCCTACCATGCCTGCCTGCTTGGCCTGGCCCTAAGACAATCCTACCATGCCTGCCTGCTTGGCCTGGCCCAAGACAATCCTACCATGCCTGTTTGCCTGCCTGCTTGGCCTGCCTGCACCAGGGAATAGGGAAAAACCAACGGGATTTCATTGAGCAGCACTGTAGTACGCACTGTATGTATGCGAAAAGGAAATGCCTTCCAGTCATGATCCACAGGTGGCTTTTAGCAGTACATTGTAGGTGGCATGCGCTAACCCCCAAACTCGGGAATCTCCAAGTTTCAACCACCTGTGTCGCTCGGAGAGCTTTGGAGAATCTCCTAAAATTCAGAGCGGAGATAAGAACAGTTCTCCAACTATTCGGAGAGTCTCGGACTTTTCCGAGAGGACTTTAAAACGCACCCTAAGGGCATGTTCGATTGGTTGGATCGGGATCCAGATCAGTCGGATCCACTCAATATGTGCACGTTCGTTTCAACGAATCCAGATCCGGATCCAACGGATTTGGATCCGACCAGCCCTACTCCGGGAGCAGGGTTGACAGGATCCACCGGATTCTTTTTTGCCAAGAAAACGTACTCTGTACGTGATACATGCACAAATGGCGGGAATAAAGGTCATGATGCGGAAATCGTTGCTTTCTCTCATGGAAACCCTAAAAAATCACTAAAATTCCAGATTCGATCAAGTGCAGCGCTTGATTGAACCTTGGTGGATCCAAAGGATCCACTCAATCGATCTGGATCTGGATCCAACCAATCGAACATGCCCTAAGTCTCATGCGAACCGTAAATAAATAATACATGTATTTATGTGAGCTCCACACATTGGAGCATTGCCACGCCGTTGGCTTATGTAAAACAGTAGCATACGCGCCTGTCTGACCACTGACATCCAATGAATGGCAGAATACACTGATGACTGTAACTGTAAACTGTAAACTGGCGCGCTGATAACCTCCCCCCCCCCCCCCAATGGGCTAACGGTGGTAATGAAGTGTGATCAGTCAGGAAAGGTCAAGAAGCACTACATTGTAGACGACGGAGTGGTATGCAACATCTTTTGCCTGACAGGCTGAAACCCATGATTTTAGAAATCACGTCTTGACCTACGGGCCCACGTCGTGGTCACAAGTTCATTCTTCAAAAGGTGGGAGCACTAACCACCTGACCATCGTCATCTTTGCTTTGTGTGCATAAATAAACACTGCATATGCAGGATCACAAAATAAAAATGACACCATTCTCTTATTTTTCTAAAAGAGGCACATGATGTCTGACACTCACCTTGGTCACATTCACGGTCGGCTTATCACTGAATAGCTTCTTAGCCAGCTGCGCATGGCGAGTCCGCTCAGCCTTAAAGTCACCGACGACAGGCTGGAACTAACACCCACACACACCCACACACACACACCCACACACACACATACAAGTACACATCCACACACACACACACCGCACCACATCACAAGGTAGATACAGTCAGACCTCAATTAACCGCACACATCCGTCTTCCACAAAAACATCCGGATAGACGAGGGAACCGGCTAATCGAACACTGGTTATGTTGGATGCATACGTATGCTGTAAATCTGTAACCAGCTATTTTCTTCTGGATGGCGAGGGATCCGGGTAAAAGAGGACCGGATAAGCGAGGTCTGGCTGCATGTCTAATACCCTTCCTGCCTTTCTCACCTAGCCACCAAGCCTGGTTTCCAACACGCCCGCTACACCGTACATGGAATGTCTGCAACTCAGAACATGGAGTAATATACAGTCAACTTCGCTTATAACGACACTCGGCGGGGCATCAAAAAAGTGTCCTTATTCGCGAAGTGTCGTTATACCCGAAGTCTCATTATCGTAAAGTACCGTTGATCTCCCCCCCCCCCCCCCCCGCCATGTCGCCTCCCAGCTGGGTTTTCGGCAGGGGGCGGGACTTAGATCAAGGCTGTCAAGTGCAGTACGATGTACAACAACTTGGAGGATCAGACTCGATGTGCAGGATTGTGCACATTTTGATCCTGGATTGGCACAAATTGTGTACAGCAGTGGGTTGGGGGAAATACTGCCTACGAACCTGCATTGCATGCCGCTTGTACAGCAGCCACGGTATCAATTATTCTTTTCTTTCACGGTGAAACACAGAACATAATACTTACTTTTCTTCGCTGTCCTTTCTCCTTTCTCTTGGCCTACAGCAACAAGGAGGAGAACTCACTTTAGATTATGAATCCCATGAAGCATTGCATGCAGTCAAAAATACTAGGACTTGTGTCATCATCCCAGTTAAGACATCGCAAAAGCGTGTGCTCTCTCTCTCACTCTGTGTGTGTGTGTGTGTGTGTGTGTGTGTGTGTGTGTGTGTGTGTGTGTGTGTGTGTGTGTGTGTGTGTGTGTCTGTCTGTGTGTGTCTGTCTATCTGTCTGTGTGTGTCTGTCTATCTGTCTGTGTGTGTGTGTGTCTGTCTATCTGTCTGTGTGTCTGTCTGTCTGTCTGTCTGTCTGTGTGTGTGTGTGTGTGTGTGTGTGTGTGTCTCTCTCTCTCTCTCTCTCTCTCTCTATCTCTCTCTCTCTCTCTCTCTCTCTCTCTCTCTCTCTCTCTTTGTCTGTGTGTCTGTCTGTCTGTGTGTCTGCCTGTCTGTGTGTCTGCCTGTCGGTGTGTCTCTGTCTGTCTGTCTGTCTCTCTCTCTCTCTCTGTCTCTCTCTCTCTCACACATACACACACACACACGCACACACACACACACACGCACACACACACACACACACACACAAACATAGGCACACACACACACAACTTATGCACATACACACATTTGCAAACAGCCAACAAATGATAACACGGTATCATCGATTGAGAGAGACTCAGCAGGCATCTCTTGGAGGGACACCCCAAGTAGCTATTGAGCAGCACAATGGATCTCCACAAATTATGGGTGGACTTCACACATTATGTCTATGTTCATAGATTACAAAGCAGTAAGACTGTAAAGTGGGTGAGGATAATGTGCAAAATTAGACCAATGGAGACGCGGTATCAGGGTATCCACCCCGACATCCAACTTTACCCTGTGAGTGTGACTGCTAAATCAGCAGAGTGGATCTGATTCAGCACTTCACAAATGAACTTACACACACAAACGCACATACGCACACAAACACACACACACTTGTACGTGTACCTGCACATACACACATACATACACACACGCACACACACGCACGCACACACACGCACGGACACACACACACACCAGGGCAAGGGGAAAGCACCAAAAGCTGCATAGTAGCAAAGTACTGACCACTACATCTGTGTCATGTACACCCATTGATGCGGTTGCTGTTTTCGCCACTGAAAGAGCCTTGGTAACCTGAAGAAACCAATTCACGAAAAAAGTTGAAAAGAGGAGAGAAAGTCACGTTGACGAATAAAATATGAAGAGTAAACTGCACCAATAAGGTTGTAGGAAGACAACAGCTGTTCTACTTTGATACAAAATGAATCAAACGATATTACACATGCATACACACACGCACGCACATGCACACACACACACACACACACACACACACACACACACACACACACACACACACACACACACACACACACACACACACACACACACACACACACACACACACACACACACACACACACACACACACACACACACACACACACACACACACACACACACACACACACACACACAAACATAACGATTCTTCATGAAACTCTCTACGACTCATACCTTTGCTTTCTTGGCATCTCGCTCTGCTTTCCGTATTGCCTGCGCATCGGTAGCCATCGCTGTTCAAACACACAATCACCAAGTAGTGAGGATTAACAAGACTTGAAGATGCAGTGTGTGAAAAGATGCACATCCAGGCAATAATTCCAAAGTGCATACGGATAGGTCCTGCAGCTTCATAACTGTATTGGATTGACAACTTTGTACTTCAATTCAATGTGAGTGAGAGTACACAGTGGAAACATGGCCACGAGAGTCTTCATTCAAGAAGCGTGTGCATGTTACAATATTATAATGACTACAGTGATACTACTCAGTACTAAGTATACTAACCATCCATCACTGTAGTTTACATGTTCTATGCCAAATATGTCTAGAGATGGGAGATAGTACAACTGCGTTCCTCCAGGGAGTACATGTCCAGGACAATGAACTCAAAGCCTTACAGGACTTGGAAGTTCAACACCATAATCGGTTCAGCTGAAGAATTATGCTCTGAGTTGTGTAAACTCAACACCTCTAGCAAACATCATCCTACTGTGGAGAGAATATCGGTCTTTCTACTTTCTACACATCAACATGAAGCTACCTTGCACAGGTCACCATTACGCCTACTCACATTTCTGCACGGCCTTGAGCCCACCCTTTTGCGAGCGAGCAATATTGCGCAAGCGTTGGACTTCATTCTTTGCAACGCGTTCCTTCTTGGCATTCGCTCGCTTCTCAAACTGGTCCTCCATCGGATCTGGGACAGGGGGAAACAAGAAATATGAACATTGCCCCTTGACGAAACAGGAGAATTCTATACATACACTCATACAGGTACAGTCTGTAGAATGAACAACAAACCAAGCTAGAAGAGCTGCATGTGTCTAACAACCAGGTACATTATCATCACAAACATTCTTGAATGGCACATCAGCCTAGCAAACCTGCTGACATTTTCGCAAACCGACGACTCTCGCAAGAAGCATTGGGAGTATATCCTGTTGTCTCACCTCCTTGCTCCGGTACTGGCAGCGCCCATACTGCCTTCTCATCATTGACACGCTTGTATCCATGGCGAGGTTTGTATTCCTATGTCGGAGGAAAATATTACAGGAGAGAGAGCGAGCGAGCGAGAGAGAGAGAGAGAGAGAGAGAGAGAGAGAGAGAGAGAGAGAGAGAGGGGGGGGGGGGGAGGAGAGAGAGAGAGAGAGGGAAGAGAGAGGGAGAGAGAGAGAGAGAGAGAGAGAGAGAGAGAGAGAGAGAGAGAGAGAGAGAGAGAGAGAGAGAGAGAGAGAGAGAGAGAGAGAGAGGAGAGAGAGAGAATACTAAAGAACTCTGGGGGTAAAAAGCATACTGGGTTGGACCGTGTTCGATTTCTTGAAACGTGGTCAGGAGTTGATATATTCGAATCCGTCCAAACACCACATGGTCCAGAATTGCTTGGATTATTTTCGCTACTGATCATCATCTCATTTTTGAACAGGAGCGGATATGTTAGTGAAATGCAGAATGTTTTGCAGTGTTGTTTATCTCCATACTTTGAGCGATTGTCGCTTACAATGAAAAAGTCTCCGTTGTGCTGCTGTAGCTGCCTCCATCATGATTCAACTAAAGCAAGGAAGTACCGCCAGCCTTGTTGGGCAGGGACTGCTTAAATGTGCTGCTCGCTATAAATTTCCTTGAACAATGTCGCCTTGCAGTGCCACACTTTATCGTAAAATGGTATACAGTATTTGTGAAAGAGATAATACAATGTGCCTTGGAGCTTCGCACAGCCAGACGGATTTTATGAACACAGCTCTCTCACTTTCTGTCTCTGTCTCTCTCTCTCTCCTCAAGTCAATGAATCAAGGTGGGCCAAGGTGAATGTGCCTGTGTTACTGCACCACAGTAGCCGCATTGTAACGTATGTGTGATCACAATCCTCGAGCAAAGCCATGCTCCATTGGGTTCTGGAAATGCGTGCAGTCCGACCGATTCGACAATTCAAACACCCCTTGCAATCAGGCGTGTTGCCTTTGGCTGGAAATGTACATGTGTGCACTAATACTTGGGCGATTATGCATGTGCGCACAAATGCAGACATAGATACACACACACCACATGCAAGCACACACACACACACACACACACACACAAACACACACACACAAACACACACACACACACACACACACACACACACACACACACACACACACATACACACACACGAACACACACACGCATGCACACACACAGCGCAACATACAACCTACCTTTGCCTCTTCGTCATAGACCATTTGCAAGCGCTTCCTCTTTACAATACCCTGAAAAGACAGTATCGACAGCATCAACAGCATGATAGCATTGGCTGCGACTGGTTGTTATTGGTGGTGAAGTCATATTCGCAGCAGTATAGCCAACAAAGAAGTACCCCCCCCCCCCCCCCCCCCCCCGCAGGCATGGCCACTCACCACCCTAATAACAATACTGATATCTACGATGGAGAACTGCGATTCCAAGTGGTTTGGCATCTGTGGCCTCATTATTTTGACGTGCCTCGTTATTATATTCTGACAGTAGTGAGGAGAACAACACTCATTCAATAAAATAAATACCTGCAGATAATTGCTATGACCGACAACTCGATCGTAATAATCGATAACCAATTGTCAGTGATCGTTTCATCCCTAGTTTCAGATAAGACAAACTATGTATGCATCCTCACTCACCTTTTGCTTGGCATACTTTTCCCACTTGGTAGGAGGTCTTGGCTTGGGCACCTGCAACAGAGCACCAGGATAACACCAGCATTACTAGAGAATATGGATAGAGATGGCACGCAAGCCATTGTCAATGCACATTGAAATAGCAAAAGTAGATACAACAGTCAATTTGACCAAAATTTAACGAAGGGCAGTATTGCGATACAGCAAAATTAAGGATATTATATAAACTGTGGAAAAGTCAGATCTATAGTTACCGTATGAATGTATTTTCTGGAGTGGCAGTGAGATCAGCTATTCTGCTGTATGTATGTGTGTGTGTGTGTGTGCGCGCGCGGAGCAAACGCTCCGCAAAGAACGAGTTCTATGCGTCGCTCCAGAATGTCATACCATTGCTGCTCAGGCGACTCCTCCGCCGCCGCGTGTGCGGCTCGCCATCTCATGCTGCAAGGCCCACTGTGGGGCCTGTGGTCGGTGCTGCCGCTCTACTCGTGGATTCCAGCTGCCGAAGATGGCTCTCTCGTCGTGCCGATTGAACATGGTCCCTGATCTCTCGGCAAACTGCCGACTTTCTGCCGTCGCTCGTCATTTCCATGTTGTCGGCCCCGCAAGGGGACACGTGACCGTAATGGCAGTGTTTACCAGGACCAGGACAAGGACCAGGTGTGTGTGTGAGCGCGTGTGTGTGTGCGCGCGCGCGCGCGTGTGTGTATGCATGCGTGTGTGTGTGTGTGTGTGTGTGTGTGTGTGTGTCTATATGTGTGTGTGTGTGTGTGTGTGTGTGTGTGTGTGTGTGTGTGTGTGTGTGTGTGTGTGTGTGTGTGTGTGTGTGTGTGTGTGTGTGTGTGTGTGTGTGTGTGTGTGTGTGTGTGTATATATGTGTGTGTGTGTGTGTGTGTGTGTGTGTGTGTGTGTGTGTGTGTGTGTGTGTGTGTGTGTGTGTGTGTGTGTGTGTGTGTGTGTGTGTGTGTGTGTGTGTGTGTGTGTGTGTGTGTGTGACTGTGTGTGTGAGTGTGTTGTCATACACTGTGAAAAGTACCGATCACTGCTAAAATCGGGCTCATTGTACCTCGATTTCTCCTGGGGTATGTTTAAAATATACATGTAGCCTGGTTGCATGTGCGTACGGTCATCTAATGCATAGGTCATGTAATGCATAGGTCATGTAATGCATAGGTCATGTTCCAAACAAGACATCCATGCACTCCATGACATGTGCAAGACAAGTAAACACTTACAGGCTTCTCTCTTGGTAGCAGTGTTGTGCCAGGCGGTAACGCAACGACAACAGCATCCTCTGCACGCTCTGCGGGAAGCTAAACGCACCATGCATACCAAGCGCACACCACACGCACCATACACAGTACATTCAGGTGTTCTCATCGCCGGACCGTAACCGGACAATAAAATACAGTGAAGCTTTGAACACGAATATGATGTGCATCTTCTTGGCGGTGTAAGTGTAACTCTAACACTGGCCAACAACATAGACTCAGTTGATATGGCGAACACCACATCACATGTTGTCCAAGTGTTTGCTGCTTGGCACAGTTACCAATGGAAGTATACGTGTACATCGGAGTGGAGGCTGCCCATCAAAGCGGGGAGACAAGGTGCATGCTAGTACAGTGAAACCTGTCTAAGACGGCCGCTCAAGGGACCTTCAAAGTGTGGTCTCTGTTACCAGGTGGTCTCCTTATCCAGGGTCATTTGACTGAAAATAGCACCCCTTGGTCCTGGTTTCAGTGGTCTTCTATGAGAGGTGGTCGCCTTATTCGAGTGGTCGCCTTGACAGGTTTTACTGTACAATCTACACTGTACCCTGTTAAACCGACCTCTGAGACTGCGAAGGGTACACTACACCAATAAAGATAACAACACGATGTGAAACTGTCCAGATGGACGGAAAAACAACCCAGAGATCCATTGAACCTGCTTGCATTGTCCAAAATACAACTTGACAATTATTCATATATATCCAGTACCATGCAGCCTCCATATCAAGGACTAAGCTGCAGCAAATGTATTCCGTGTGTGCTCGCCTCACCTTCCATACTTCATTGACCAGTAATTGCAGGTTATCCCGGGTGACACTTCTCACATACTCTTCGCGTTCATTCCTGATGAGGGGAAAATTCAGGTGATACATGTGATTATACTGAGTACTGCACTATGTCTGAAGGTGACGGGCGGACGGGGCTGTGCTAAACCCGATACGCAATCAGCTGTTGCTGGTGGCATGTCACTCGCCACAGGTCATGTGTGTACGCAAAGGAAAGCAGGCCAATTCGCCCATGTTCTTTTTTCGTAGCCTGATGCCGTCTCACATGTATAAAATAAAATAACCTACCGGTATGCATTAACAGCAAAATGCACAACAGCAGCATATTGCAAGTAAGTTAGTATCTAGTTTCACAATGTGTTCGTCTACGCAAAACAAGTAGTATGTACATGGCTGTACTCAAGCTCATACCAATGCGACCAAAGGCGAGCACTTCGGATGTGTATGATGTACACGCACGTACCCTCTACTTTGTGGAACACAACAATGATTATAGTTATTTGTATTCGTCAACTCTACTCAACATCGTAAAATGTATCAATAATGTCTTACTGGAGGCGAGCTGTATCCAGCGGCTGCAAATCCACGGCAAGGAGATTCCCCACATCAATAATAGGGTCGATTGACTTCACAACAGTAGTCGACATGGTTAGGTATGGCGAAGAAACGACAGGAAGATCATAATATCAAGGGAAAGGTTCATGTAGTGCAAAGATTCTGTGGGACAATGATTTTTTGTCAATGCTCTGCAGAAAGAAAGCCATTCATTGCCATGGAAGCAGTCGACGCGTCATGCATGTACATATGTGTGACGTCACGTGTGTGTGACCCTCAACGACGACGTCATCGTGTTTCGATTTTCAAAAAAAAATGCTTCTTGTCCTTTGCCAGTTTTGGAGTCGTCCGAGCTAGCTACAGACTGTCGAGTGTCGAGTCTTGTGTAGTTCAGCCCATTTTGGCTACGAAAGTCAGGAGTATCTTACTATGGCCACCAAAGTCAAGAAGGGCGAGAAGGAAGCCAATCCATTCTCGTTCAAAGCTTTTGTTTCCGGCGGACCCCAGCAATCCGGTGACTTTGCATCGGATGAGGAGGATGTGCAACCGATCAGAGAAGTTCCTCCTGTGAAAAAGCCATCGAAGGTCAAGAGTAAAAAGGCAGCAGCCAAGGTAGCAAAGCCTGCCACTCTTCCAGCAGTACCTGATCTGTTTGCACAGGATGATGAACCTCTAGCAGTCCCCGCTCGAAGTGATAGCGCTGCTGGTCCAGGTAGGGAGCTACAGTCCATTTCAAAACTATAGACGCGTACCTACAGTAGAGTCGCGCGCTGAAGAACGCGGAGCCCAAGAACGTCCAGCCTGAAATTCTAAGAACACCACACTGTCCACAGCCTAAAGCTAAGAACGGCGGTGTTGGTTTTCTGGCAGCTTGTGGAATACATGTGATCCAGTACGGATTGTTTCTAAGAACGTGCTATAAGAACGCAGCCAGATTGCAGAAAAAATAAGAACGTCCCAGGCTAACCCCTTGGAAACAACGTTCTTGGGCGCGCGACTCTACTGTAGGCAAAAACCGTTATGCCAGCATCTATACCACATAAAATCTGTGATCACTTTGTGCATAATTTTTTCCAAATTGGGCGTCTGTTATCCAATCGTTTAGAAACTATATGAGAGTAATTGTGGAGCGGTCCTGAGCAATATTCCGAAAACTATTCTCAAAACGTTCCAGCCAAATTTGAAATATTTCAAAAACCCTACGCGTCTATAGTTTTGAAATGGGCTGTAAAGTTGTATTGCTAAAAGAACCAGAATACTGTCTGTGTAGCCTGTACATGAACACATAGTAAAGCAGTTTGGACTGCGATCTACTAGTATGCTTTGTGTCCAGAAAGCATGTCTGGAATACATGGACAGTTCACAACCATGCTAAACAAGCAGTGATAGTGCGTCCTATGCGTTGACCAGGCGACTGGTGTGCGCACAAGCACGTGACCGATTCCTCAACCGTGTTCGATTGGGAATAAGGGCCGAACGCTGCATCGCAGCCTTTTCGGACCAAAACCAGTCGACTCAGTGTCCGAAAGACTACAACACATGGGCAAGAGTACATGTACTCTTGATATGGGCCAATCGCGGTCATCCGTGCTTTTATAAGAATGAAATGACGCTTTTAGTGACATTTCGCATACAAATTCCCATCTACAAAGCAGGACGTAGTCACCCAGTTTCGGTGGAAGTGGCGAGTTCGGTTGGGAATAAATATAGAAGGAAGGGAGCGTCTCAGCCTCCTTGGACCAAAACCGTTTGACTCAGCACCCCAAAGACTACAACTGGTGAAATTTGATTTTAGGGTATACTTCCCCTTGCACGCACTTTTAAAATTGACCCATAACTCTACTGGTAGTGATCACTGTACATAGTAGTACCGAATGCCGCATCAGATGTGTGATGGGTTTGAAATTTGATAATAGCCTAGTACTTTTGGTTTTCTGTGCTGTTTGTGTTTTTCTGCGTGCTCTGTTATAGTGCCGAAGAAAGCAAGCGATGAGAGGGCAAACCCGTTCTCGTTCACATCGTTTGTCAAGCGAGACTCAACGCCGTCTGTTCCTTTTGTGGCTAAAGTATGCGTTGCCTGTTGTGAAACTACTGTAAAAGTCCGTAAATAAGTACCTGCCCGAAAGAAATACCCCCTTCATTCTTTTGGCTCTGTCTGTTGAGGTCAAGTCAAGCCCAATAAACATACTGCCCGAAATAAGTACCGGTACACATGCAGCACGTAGCATGTACATCGACATGAAAATGACTTCTCCACTACACCCAAGTCAGGTCCGAAAGTTAGTTCGTGCCCGAAAGTCAGTACCCGCCCGAAAGTTAGTACGGGTGTGGTCACTAAATTCGAAAGTAAATACGTACTTATTTACGGACTTTTACGGTAGCTCCTGTAGTAGGATTCGGGGATGTGAGACCAGGGTGGGGATGTCTATGTGCTGACGCTGTCCTGCTTTGTGGAGACGTTGGTAACTCAAGGCTCGTTGCATGGTTCACTGTGGCCCACGGCAGTCTCCACCACCGAGTGTTGTGTTGGTATTCCTATGGTGTAACGTCTTTGTTGAGCCGCACCGTTTCATTTCAGCCTTGATTGCAAGATGGAAGTGTGTGCACACGTGTGTGTGTATGCATGTGTGTGTGTGCGTGCGCACATATGTTTGTTTCAACAGGGTGGGGGATCGTCCGATGATGATTGGGCGAATTCCAGTGGCGAGTTGGCATCTGCACCATTGCCCTCGCGCCCAAGTGCTACTACAGGCCTCCCATCCTCACGCGTTATGTTTTCAAGTTCAGATGATAATGATGATGATGACTCGAGTGTTTCGAATGGCGTTGGACTTCCAGCACCTCCCGCTGCAAGACCTTCATCTTCTGGTCGTGGCACAGCAAACTCCGAACACCTGCTGCGGCAACTTGAGAAGGTTGGTACGATCCATCAAGCCCTCTCTCTCCCCATCTCTCTCTCTCTCTCTCTCTCTTTCCATCCATCCCTGCCTCTCTCTCTCTCTTTCCATCCCTCCCTACCTCTCTCACGCACTCTCTTTCCCCCTCTCCCGCTGTGTCTCTCTGGCTTCCACTGCTATCCTCTACCCCAAATTTGTGAGCAGGGCCGGAGGAAGGAGTTTGGGAGTGGTCCGGGGGACCTCCCCCGGTCGAAATATTTAAAATTTACGTGAAATAGAGCGAATTTGGGCATCTCTAAGGCTCCAGAAAATGCAGAAAATTATAGTAAAAGAACACAAACACAACTTTTTTTTATCCATATCAGCCATACAGTGCAAGTGCCGGTCACGGAGTCCTGAGCTACTTCGAAGCACATCACACGTCGGCAATACAGTCGAGTCATGTACCTCTGGATTTTTTTACACCGGTTTTGCACGAATCACATGGACCATCCAGCTGGGAAAGTGGTCCGGCCATGGCCGGACCAGCCTGACCGGTTCCGCCGGTCCTGGTGAGGTACCGCATTCAATGAAGCATGTGTCTGAGAAAGCCACCTTCACTGCTAATAATATTGCTGTACACAGCATTGCATTGACACTAAACAGTTTTTTAACGTTCACAGTCTATGAGGCAAACTTGGTAGTGAGTCAGTAGACTGATATCTGTCAGTGCTGATCTCTACAGGTTCCGGCATAGGAATACTGTTTGTGAGCTTGAGTATCTTGAGTTCTCATTGTGTACAACGTACACATCAGTGTCCGAGTTCAGAAGGCAAGCGTGCACCGTACATTGAACAGTTGGCTTGATCGACCAGCACACGGGCTGGACTTCGTTTTTGACGATGAATGTACGCGTGGAGGTCAAGTCCGGAGTGACGTCACTCGGTACTTCGGGACAATTTTGGGCACCTTCTTTTCAAGTTTTCACCCACTTCCAGTCATCGCAGAGAATAACGAATAACACCATCGTGATTAGGAGCCAAAGAACTACAAGATAAGACAAAGACAATTTTTGGTGACAGTTCCCCTTTAATGGGATACACTTCAAAGTGGATTTGATTGTACTTGTGTTTATGTGTTGTGCTGTTGTTGTGCTGATATAGCTGCAAGAAGAAAACACACGGCTGGTTGCTCAACTGACAGCTGCTGAACAGAAGGCCACAGCCGAGAAAAAGCGGTAAGCTTGTACTTCGAAATAGCACGATGAGTGGGGCCGTCTTCAATGGACACTGTGCAGTGGGTGCGTTCCATTACTCCCATGCATCGATTCATGAATGGAATCTCGTGCGTTAAAGTCGTTCGATTTCATGTCATGAGCCCTGGAATCAGATTCAGCTCGTAATCGATTCATCCTATTCACATGGGGTGATGAGAATAGCCACGGGTAATTCATGAATGCATTCAAAAATCGATTTGTGGGCAAAATCGAACACGCACGCAGTGTAGGTGGGTAATATCTGAAACAGTAGAATTAGCACTCTGCTGTCATTCGGACAACGTTGCAGCCAGCAGATTGTTATCATCATCTTCTGCACCTGCCTAGTACACAGCTTCAGTGTCTGTGTTTGAAATCAGATATAGCGGGTTACTGGTACACAGTTCAAGTACACGTCAAATGGAAAAAAGGTCTTCTACGAGTATTAATAAAGCTGTATTCATAGGTTTTTCATTTGACATAAGGAGGGGAAGGTGAGCGCAACCAAGATAAGCAGGAGCTGAAAGTCTCAGCTGTGAAGGACGTTGGCGGATGTTCATGCATGTCGATGACGATACTGGCAAGACCAGTATGTTATTTCTATAACTTAGAACCTTCCAAGTTGGAAGGCTGTTGGAGTGCGCATCCAAGATGTGCTAGAGCTGTTAGCCAGTTAGTTGTAGAACGCCAGTACCGTCGGTCAGTGTCGTGCAATGTTATCGCATGAGCCGATTGTTTAGTAACTGGTAACTGGTGGTGTTAGTGGACATTATAGCGTAACTTGTAGTTCCTTGGTCCTTTTTCTTGTCTATAAATTCATCCTTGGCTCTCCATCCGAGTACTCACTATTCAAAGAGAATCTCCTCAGCAACGTTTACGGGCAACAGAACACGATGCTCTACATGGAGGTCAATTGAAAATGTTCGTTGTGGAAATTAAACTGTTAAAATGCAATTGTTGTTTAGTGCGTCATGTGTATATCCAGCCGACTTGTCAGGAAGCGTGAGGTTTTAAGTCTGAAGAAATTGATGAACAATCTCTTCTTGGACGATGACTACACCATAGTGGTAGACGAACGCTCACCTATAGCGAAGGTCCCTGGTCCTAATCCTGGTTGTATCAATTTTCTTCGGACTTTATCCCTTTTCGTTTCTTCAAACTGATGTAAATGTTTTATTAGAATAGCGATATCTGTACCATTTACTCCTTTCTTTGTTGCTCTTGCTCACATGTGCATTTTAGGTGTCAGAAGTTAAAGAAGCAACTGGAAGTTCAGCAGAAACGTGAGAAGGAGGAGGCAGCTGTGCTGGAGCAGGCAGTGCAATTAGTGGAAAAGAACCTAGAAACATCGACTGTAAGACATTCTTTTGTTACAGTACTATGACAATGTATTGGAGATGGGATTCATTCTTGAAGATGGGGAAAACATACGGGCACTGTACTCTTTGGTTATCACCTGAGAGAGAAACCAGTAGAACTTCTCTTTTGCTGTCACCTCCTCAACCGAGCATCTGCAGTTGAATATTCGTTGAAGCGTTGTCCTTTCCGTCGGTTTCACAGCATAGGAGACCCAGATCCAGTTTATGTGCCCGTGATGGTATCAGTACTGGTTCTGTAGGCCAAACTGAAGTGAAGCATGCGGCTTGGTAACTGCATTCATGCAAAGTACATGTACTTCCGAAACTAGGGTGTTTCCGAGTTGTGGGCCATTCTGAGTGCATGCACCAGTGCTACAAGTACATTAGCATGACTGTATTATGTCAACATTATTTGCAGTAGTATATTCTCTCTTGTACTCTCTTGTCCTTTCTCTTGGATTCTCATATTTGCAATCCTCTAACAGATACGAGCGGTGAAAGCAGAGCAAACAGTGGAACAGCTGAAGCAGCAGCTCCTTCTAGCTCAGGTAGGCATCAATGCTACAAGTGGACAGGACAACATACTAGTAGATTATCATCGTTTCATTGCTTTCTTCAACAGCAAGAACATAAATTCAGCGAGCCATAGGCTTTTGGCAGCCGCCTGTATAATAATCATATCTGTGTGTGTGTCCCATTTGTGTTTTGCAGGCTCAGCCCGCAAGCGAAAAGCTGCACATGCAACATGCCCAGCAACTGGCTGCAATACGAGAGAAAGGCGAGCAGGCATCTTTAAAGCTCGTCACAACAGCACAGAACGCAGAGAAGTCTATCAAGTAGGTGATAGGGCTTTGTGTGGCAGTACTGTTGTCCCTGTCTTTCTCCCGGCCTGGCCATTCCAGTTGTCCTTGGGGCAGGGCCTATTTATGTGTCCAAGGTGTGATTATTCTCCACATGTTGTAGAGTCAGGCTTGCATCAGCAGGTTGCACCCTTGGTTTCGATTTCGATCGCAGAGTATTGGAGCGCCAGAAGTAGTGCTCAAAGGAGTACACCGAGTACTCGAGTACCCGCTCGTTGAATACTTTTTTTGCACAATACGTATGGATTATCCCATGAGTGCAAGCAAGAATCCTCCCAGGGGTTATGAATAAAAAAACAATGGAAATCACTCACAAAGAGGAAGCTGTCTCAGGGCAAGTTTACGAGGTCAGATGACAGTCATTGACCGCTAGAGCCAACGATTCCGCAACTGTTGCGTCACGAGCACGTTGATCCACAGATCCACCACGGTGGCCTCGGAGGCTATCATTAGCTGAACGTACCAGCGAGAAAGAGAGTTTGGATCAGATCTAGACCATCGTAATGGAGAAGGGCTCCTTCCGCTTGTCGGACAGGAATGCTGACGCAGCAAGACAAGGGGCAAGAAGGAGGCCTGCTCAACCTCTCGCACCCTCTCCTCATATGCCCGTCTCTTCTCTTGCTCATGCTTGGAGTAGGTCGAAGCGAGGGATGAGGCTTGGTTCGAACGAGCATGTGGTTTGAAAACCCAAACATCGAGGAATGTCCGCTCGAACCTACTACCCAAAACCCCGACACCGCTACGTCCAGGTGGGCTCCATCGGTGTATATGGCTGTACCGGAGTTGTTCTCCACCCAACGGTTGTAGAGGGGGTTCAACAATTACGTCAGTGGCAACCTTGCGAAGCATGGCGGCGGTGACATCACGAATCTCGTTGTGGCGTAGTGCAGGATAGCCACTGGTGGGACACGACATGGCATGCACAGCATCAAAGTTCTTGCCACGCACACGATGTAGGGAGGCAGAGCGGAGTCCAGTCATACCGAAGGCATGACGCATCCTGGAAGGCGCCTTTGTGGAGGGTGAATCCATGCTGGCGGAGTGGGCGACAGTTGAGCCAGCTGTAAGCACCTCTTTCCGCAGCAAGCTGGACAGTCCGCTTCAATGATGGGCTGCAGTTACCCAGAAGATTCTCTTGCTCTGCGCTATTATGTGCACGAGAAGCTGCTATGGTTTCACGCTTCCTCTGCCTTGTCGCAGCTTCCATGGAATGACGTTGGTGCAAGAGGGCCCGAGAGGTGAACTGCCAGGAGAGAGTGCACGGGTTGAGAAGGGCCAGGTCTCCATCACGGCAGGTCAACGCCAGGATGTCCCGTTCCAGATCCCCAGGGGACCCCGGCCTGAATACTCGACTCGAATTCAAAAGGGGGCTCGATACTTGATAACACACACGTATAGCACGGGAATGTATGCTGTCCTGATTTTCTTGTGTAGCACAAATTGACAAAGTCCATTGAGGTACTGTAAATATACGAATTTTCGGCAGCTATTTAATTTCGGCTATATTCGGCACCGACCCAAAACGCCTACTGTACAAGCAGAAATATTCGTCTGGAATTTAATTTCGTCTTTTTCGTCCAAGGAGCTTTGGGACTAAATTAAATGCCGGACGAATGTCGATTTGTCCAGCGTTTCAATACACTGGTATAGTCCATGGACGAAATTTACAACCGGACGAACTCCCTTTCTTTGGAGTTGGACGAAATTATTGACCGACGAAATTTTCTGCCCGTACAGTAAATTAAAACGCCGATGAAATTTTTCACAGCATCTGTCGCACTATACCATGCCCTCTGCCCCACGCCGAAAATAAATCGCCGCCGAAATGTCAAAAATCGTGAAGTGCCAAAATCTTGTATATTTACAGCAGTTCTTTTCAACGAAGTAAGAGCTGTGCTTTTGTTACTGGAAGTTTTTAGTTATGTAGATGCAAGTGAGAGAGAGAGAGAACAAAGAGTCCGAGAGATGTCACTGACTTCGGGCGAAACTAAGAAATGCACCTACCCTGTAGTACATGCATGTCATGGTGTGGTGGGGAATGAGCGCATATGAGCGACTCGGTTCCCTGATACTAGTCTCGACACTCGACTCGATAGTGGCACTACTCGTCCGATAGCTTATAGAGTACTCGTTTGAGCACTAGCCAGAATACAGGATATAGACGCACCATGGTTCGGGATACGAGAGAGGTTCCAGGGTACGATTTTCTGTGCCAAGATCCGTACAGGCGCTACAGATGTTTTTGAGGCGTGCTTCATATAATTTTTCGGCACGGAGAAGCCGTGTGGACTGGCTTTCATACGAACCATGTATGTATGTCTTGTATGGAGATTTTGCGTCATCGAGTGTGGAAACGAGAAACATCGATTTTCCGCGGGAAGTTTTGATTTCGGTATGAATTTTCAAAATAAAAAGGCACAGCGCGGGGATGTGACGTTTTGTGATCGTAACCTAGGCAATGACGGCAAACACATACTGTACTCAATAATTTCCGTACTCCGGAACATTTCACTACTCGAAAACGACGTATAAAAAATCTGTAGCATCTCTACTGGTTTTGGCACAGAAAATCGTACTCCGGAACCTCTCTACTATGACGGTGTTGCCAACTGACCGTAACGGCCAGTTCTTTGATGGAAAATGAAGTTTTGTATGCAGCATGAATTTGACTCCTGGACCTCCATGCTCTTTTTCTCGCGTTTCTTTTGCTGCCTGCAGGGAATTGATTGGTGGTGTAGAAAATCTAAAGTTTGTTGCGGAATTGCTCTCAACCATAGACCGATTTGCAGAGGTTCCACCAGGTGTGGATTAGTAGATGCTAGAAGCATTGATATTTATATGTGTGTGTGTATGGATGTTTTACTTATCCGTCTATATTTTCACCATCGAGAAGCTTTTAATTTTTTTATAATTTTCCATAATTATTTCCATAGGGTGCATGGGAAGTTGGGAACAATGGGGGCTTTCTTAACCTTTTTTAATTGCTTTCACTATTCAAGCCTTTTGGCAACTATTCTTCACTTGCTCTTCCCTGGAACTGTTTTGGACATTCCTCACGAAATTTGAAATCATTTTAAAAATTTGGCTTACCCCATAAAATTTACATCTTCACCTTTTACAATCTACAGTCCCTACATGAGAACATAATTCTGTTGACGCGCAAGTTTCAGTGTTGTTGCACTCCGAAATAATTGTACGCATGGACCGCAAAAATACAACTTCCTGGTGTGGACAGATCCGTACTTTGTGTGGTACGTACTGTACGGAGGCTGTGTTTACATGAGGCGTTAAGACCTGGCTCAAGTGTCAACCCGCCATGAACACAGATTGACTGGAGTGTTTACATGACGCAAAAAAAAACAGGACGCATTGCGCCAAGAGTACATAAAAAATGTACTCTTGATTGCGCCAAGAGCAAATTTCGGGCGAAAGCAGTCACCATGGTCACACAACCTTACAAGAAGGCGAAGGACTAAATATAAAAGGGACCCTCACTTAAAAAATTTACCGACTTTCCCGGCAAAAAACACATTTCGACACGCGTGTATGCTGGACGTCTGCGCGTGCACGACAAGACGTGTGAGCTGGCTGACAAGTGAGAGCCAGGGAGTCGTCAAGTACCGGCGTTTGACGACTCCCGGCCTGGTGAGAGCATGCATGTCCAGCTGGCGGGAAAGGGAACCCGCAATTTGACTTTTGTCAGCGTAATTGACCTGGGTCAACTCTCTACGCTGCATGTGCAGGGTACCCTTTAAAAAGGCCGCTATCCATTCTGCATTACAATATGCGTCACGTTTCAGAATTCCACGTACGAGTACTGGCAAACGTCATTTTCATGCAGGTGCATTGACACAGGCACATTCACACTTTTTGGACACAAACTGCCGGGAAGGACAGAACGAATGTCGGTACAGTGTTCTGGATACGTCATCTACGTTTTCGTATCCGGGGTTCCCGCCACACTCCATGTTGGCATGGCTATAATACCTGGACGAAAGGTCACGCACGCCACACGATACCAAGAGTCCATAACCCGGGTTTTGGACTCTTGACGCCACATTTTGGGTATGTGAGAATGGCCCAATACTGGCAATAGGCCTGTGGGGATTGTCCAATTCCAAACTAACAGACCTGTAGTTTTTCCACATACGTCTGTACATGTATGGGTTGAAAATGCTCATACGGTATACATTTTGTATGATTGTACAGTAGTCGCACGCTGAAGAACGTCCAGCCTGAAATACTAAGAACGCCACAGCCTAAAGCTAAGAACGTCGGTGTTGGTTTTCTGGCAGCTTTTGGGATAGATATGATCCAGTATGGATTGGTTCTAAGAACGCAGCCAGATTGCTGAAAAATAAGAATGTACCAGGCCAACAACGTTCTTGGGCACGCGACTCTACTGTACTACTTGTCCAAACCTGCCTTGGGCACACAGCACAGTAGTTGCACGTCCAAGAATCTGGCTAAGTAAGTTCATAGAAACAATTCGTACTGGATCATATCTATCCCAAAAGCTGCTGGAAAACCAAAATAGCCATTCTTAACTTTAGGCGGTGGCGTTCTTAGCATTTCAGGCTGGACGTTCTTCAGCGCGACTCTACTACAATCTACAATCTACAATCGCAATGTGAAAGTTCGCAGCATGCTTACCAACCCCCACCTTTCTTTACAAGAGTTCCAATGCCGGAGAGCCAAGGTTTAATTTATACAAAAGAGGAAGACCAAGGAACTACAAGTGTCTGGTGGTGGTGGTGGTGATGTTAGTGGACAGTATAGCGTAACTTATAGTTCCTTGGTCTTTCTCTTTTGTATAAGTTCCAATGCTATTCAGAGTTAAACTTAAAGCATGCTGCTAGCGCCAGACCTCTTCCAATGCTCATGCAAATTCATCCTGACTGGAAAATTGACTGGAAGTCAGTGGATAATTCTGGTGGTGCTGGCTTACTCTCATCCATGTTTCAAAGTGCAGACGAAAGAGGCAATGCAATGTGGTGTCATGTTTTGTGATAGCCTGTAGCATCCAGACAGAAGTGAACTGGAGCAGACCGCACACTCAGGCAAACAGCAGAACAAGTATTTGTTGGCTTTACATGTCTTTTTGCATTCTTAACGATTGCTTATGCAACAGGCTGCTGCATGGGTGGCTGTTGTTGGGCTGGTGCCTGCTGGTCGGGCTTGCCTCCCTTCTGCTCGGACATAGGCTGGGTGGGCAGGGGCTCGTCCTTGGGTTCCATGATCTGGACGTTGTCGGGCAGAGGCTTGCGTGGGCCGCTCTTGCCAGTTGGGTCATGGGGCAACATGATCTTCACCTTGATACCAATGACACCTAGAGAAAATCAACAAATTAAATACAGGTATTAAACTCAGTATTTTGGTCCTACTGAAAAATCACTCAAGCATAAGCATTTCTAATAGACAGCCCAATAAGCCAACGAAGTAATTTCTATCATAACACCCCACACAGCCACCTGAGCTGTGTAGCAGAGCATTGCTGATCCTAGCGTACTGACATACTGTTAGTCAACAAATATTCGACTCTTATTTTCGGCCTGGTTATATGGCTGATATTTTGTTTTGTAAGTTTCAGTGCGACAGTGACAGTCAGCAGCAGAACGGGCCGAACATTTTATGTGGCCGAAATGTGTCTTTAGCCCCGGGAGGCCGATATTTGAACTGGCCAAAATTTGGAGACTTACAGTACATTGCTGATGCAATCCATATTCGGCAATGCGCTTACTGTAAATCAACTAATTTTCGCTGATTTCGCCCGCTGGGTATCAGCCGGCCAAAGTAAATCGCAGGCCAAAATTTGTCATGGAGGCAAATGATGCGTTATTGAGCTATGGCTGCATGTGAGAGCAACAAATACCAGTCGATTTCTTTTTGAAAAACCCAATCGCGCAAAATTTTCATTTCAGGATCGGACAAAGTTTCTCACCGGCCAAAATTTGTTGATTTACAGTATTTAGAAAAGACAGGGCAACTGCAAGTCCTAAAATTTTCAGTGCATTTAATTATGGCCTCTGAGGGCAAAAATACATTGTGGCCGCATTGCAATTTCAGCCAGTATACGCTCATATAAACCATGCAAACCAAAATTTCAGTCGCAAAGCCCAGACCAAAAATAGCCAAAATAGATATGCGCCGAATATTTTGTTGACGTTCAGTACTTTGCACCAAGAAACAGACATTCGCCCTAGCAGACTTTGCATAGAAGGGAACGTCATGGTGAGATAAAAGGATGCCATGGCCCCGACAACACGTAGTGCATAAGCGCAGCAGGCTTTAAAGAATCAAATGCAAATGACGTTTCCCGTTTGCACAATTCATTATTACGTAGACAGGAATTCCCAGCACACATTCCACTTGATTTCTTTGGGCAAACGTAGATCAGAAAATTTTCATTGCGACGTGCAAAGAACATGATTGGTGACACCTTCCCTCGCGCCTTGTCGTGTACAACAAAACCTGACTAATGTTTATGTGGAGAAGCCAGTGTAGATGTGAAGTTCAGCTGCCCCCAACATGAATGCAAGAACATACGAAACCAAAACATACCTTGACGAAGCATGACGTGACGAATGGCAGTGTCAACATATTCAGAGGCAGGGTGACCACTGTGGACCATGAGTCCGTCAACGAACTTCATGGCCTTGGCACGCTGTCCACGGAGCTTGCCAGAGACTACGACCTCGCAACCACGTGCGCCGCTCTCCATGATGAAACGAAGAACGCCATAGCAGGCCCTAATAGATACAGAAACAGATACGAACGAGAAAAATGTGGACACGTATACAAAGTACAGAGGAGAGCATGTCTCATCATGCGGATGATGAAGGACAGCAAAAGTGCCGACTAGGGGCCATATAAATGTTGAAAATGGAACACCGACCCATTACAATCCGTTTGCTTTAACAACCCAGAATACAGTGATAGTTAGTTTATTCGGCACTGTGGGGGGGGGGGGGGGGGGGGTAGACTTTAACGCCTATACCCGAACGAGGAGGCAAGACTCATAACGGAAACAACTGTCAGGGACCGGCCGTAATTATCACGAAAAAGTCTTTAAGCGCAGAGAAGAGTTTCATTTTGAAAATACCGATAGCTGAGACATCAATCCATTATAGCTGTCACATTCTTCGTTCAGGGGTGGATGGGCGACTGTGCTACCTAAACTTTCAGTGGAAATTATTAACAAAGCCGGATGACCTCTAACAGTGTACCACAGCTGGCGCCAAGGGCAGCAGATGCAGAAACCAGGACATTAACATGGCCTGGGTTACCAGAGCCAACAGTACGTTCCTGTGGCAAAATAGTATGTTGATGCAATATGCTGAGGCACGATACTGTAAGACATGTTATGTTCTCGCGAACCTATGAATTTTTGGAAAATCGTAGGTTCGCGAGAACATAATTATGCTAACGATCTTGCAGTATTCCGCCATATTCACACACGACATACTGTAAAAGCCATTATTCTAACGAGGCGCATATATAACGATTTCCCAAAATTGACTAGTTTACGTGTACCAAAGGTAACGATCCTCACTCATTCTCAAAAGGACAGTTTATCGCCTTCTTAGTATTTGACCCCACTAATTTCCCTGATACCTAAGCGGTCAAATATATCGCGTATTTGACTGCTTAGTCAAATACGCGATATATTTGACTACTTATATTTGACTCCTTAGAACTTCTTGGACTTAGAAATTTTCTCTCCAACTTAGAAAAAGAAATTTTTGAAGAAAGCAGAAATACACAAGATGGGATTAGAACCCACAACCTTGTGAATCTCAGTCACTCTTCCTTACCACCCAGCCACTGTGCTACCGATGCTGAACCTAGTTTAAACAATGATCTTGACTTTCAATGCAGTACAATGCGGTATAGGCTATAGTATAATACTAGAATTACAAGGATATGTCGTATATGAAGAGAAACTATTGTTTGGAGAACACGATAAATAGATTATAGACCTCATAGTTGGTCTATACAGGATATATAGACCTCGTAAAAGACCTCGGGGGACCTCGGTCTTTTACTCGGTCTATATATCCTGTATAGACCTCCTAACCAGTCTATAATCTATACATATGTATCGATTTCTGTATAACGATTTCTATTTTAGCGACAGATTTCTCCTCGTTAACTCGTTAGAGTTAGCACTTCGTTATATATATATATATATGGCTTTTACAGTATATGAAGCCATACGGCTTAAACGGATCTTATTATAACGAAGAAATGTCATCCGTTAAAATGTTAGATTTACTTCCTCGTTACATATACATGTCTTACAGTAAATGAATTCAGATAATCGGAAAATCCCAGAATTTTGTTGAAATTTGACAGATACAAAGTGCATTTGAAAACAGCATCCATACATTTACGAGTCTGCCTGCAGGGTGATCGGTGGACGGAGGTCCGGATGAGAGGTTAAAAAATCGAAGGCTCCTTACATCCAGACAGCTGCACACTTGCAGCTCTTTCTGTCACATGATTTGTGGTTGTTATAATCATGAGACCAGCCTGTATACTGCAGGCTGCATTTTACTAATATTTTACCCATTTGACAATAAAATCCAAATCCGTAAAAAATATTTTCACCAGTTTCGACATTTAAATTTTTCAATTATATTTCCTATGTTTTGCTCGAAAATTGGCTTCACTGGTCTATTCACACGACTGTGAACAAATACTAATACAATTCTCAAGATACGATGGATGGTATCTTACTTGCGGACAGCCAGACCTCCGAGCAACTTGTAACGCAGAGATTCGCACTGAGCGATGGCACAAAGTCCTCTATGTGCGACCTTCTCGGCGTACAGCTGCAGACCAAACAAATACATCACAGTTTTGTGATAGCCCGTCTTCGCATCCTCTACAGAGCAGCGAATCCTACCTCGACGCTACCCTCTGGGAAGTTGAATCGCTTCTGAACGACAGCAGTCAGCTCACGAATACGACGACCCTTCTCGCCCAAAACATTCTGGGTACGGGTAGCCAGGATGATGATTTCAGTCCTGGTTGGGGTCACACGCACTTCCACGCCACTGTAACCATCCTCAGCGAGTTCTCTCATGAGAAACTCATTCAGCTCGGCCTTGAAGACGCCATCGCCGACGAACTACAATACATCAGTCACAACACCAAGCACAAAAATCCCACTCAGATCGGCTATTACGGGAATCCAACACGGCCAGTCCAACGGCAGGGTAAAGGAAGGTCAGCAAGGAGTTCCATGGCGAGGAAAACACTACATGCAGTGAAACAACAAAAGTCTACCTTGCGTTTCTTGTTGATATGGGCCGCCATGGTGGTGCCTTAGATCGCAAGAATGAAGAAAGAGGCCATTTTCCCTCGCGCATGCGCACTTATTGGTCTAGGTCATACCTTGGAGCTACTGCATGCATTCGCGATCGCTGGGTGCACAGACTAGCTCAGTGCACAGGGTGCATGCCCACACATGTACACACACGTAGATGTACAGTGCAAGTGCATGCATGCATGCAGTGCAGTACAGACTCAGCTGAGCAAAAATTTCGTCGTGAAAAAAAGAGGTGGTGCAGTTCAAAATAATTTGAAAAGTACAAGACGTCTACCATGCCATCCATGGTCTACATAGATCTACTGAAATGGCCGTCGATATCATCATGATCCACGAGCTAGCTTACCACAAGTATCGTGTTTGCTAATATTTATAGGTCTTCCTCAGGCGAGGTCGAGATTCGTTTGCAAAGGGAACTGCTGTAACAGTCTTCCACCTGTCTGGCGATAACTCAGCCATTTCTCAATGGAGATGGAATTCACTGGTCATCCCGACGCACCTAATTTCACTCCGTGGGGTTTGTGTGGCGTCCCTGACAACCACAGATCGCATCCTTTCTCAAGGTACGTAGATCTACTTGGTCAATTCCAGTTATTGTCCATTCCCATCAAAGTTCGGAACGACGCTTCACGCAGCTTCTCTGTAACAACAAATTAGTCTATGGCAGCACTGGCCAACACTCAGTTGCACTGCTATTTCACACAGTCAGTCGGACGTTTCTTGCTCAACGTTTCGGTCACTATGACCATCTTCATATTCCATTCCCTTAGTTGTGAATTTCCAATGGTTTTTGTTGTGTGTCTTGTTAATACTTGTATTCAAGATTGTGTCAACGAAGAGCTGTGAAGACCACACGTGGTGGCTACTACTTCCGTACTACACACTAGTACAGTGTAGTTGTTTGGCACGTGGGGTGACTCAGTGCACTATCGCTGACTGGTTTCATTGTTACATGTGGTGGATGCACAAGTATTGTCCCGACCAAGTATTTTCAAAAAGAATACATGACACATACATTATCATTTGACTGAGGCCCAAGTGTCTACTACTATTACCGGTATCAAGAGTCCATAACCCAAGAGTATGCAACTCTGCACATGTGGTCTGGCGTGGAGCGCTGCCTTCATTAGAGAGGTTCCGCACTACGTAAAGTTGAGCAACTATTTTTTAACTTTACGTTAGTGGGCGGGGAAAACCCGTGAATTCGCGAGTTTGCACTCCACTTACGGAAAGTTGTCTACGTAGAGTACGTGGATAGGGCTCTGATAACGTAGCTGGTCCGTAAGTGGATTGGGGTACAAATTTATGACTCTCTCCAGGTCGATCTGGTCGTACACTGCCGCGTTCGGAGTTGCCAAGGGCAGCTACGTGATTTGAAAACTCCGTATGGCGGAACACAGATGCGCATGCAGTTTACGTAAGACTTTCCGTAGATCGACTACATTTTTTACTAACGTAATTACGTTATGCGGAACCTCTCTATTACGTAGCCACGAGCTAGGGAATCAGCTGCTGGGCCATTGCATCACTATTGATCTGCGACAGTTTCCAGATTCCTGGTCTGCTTTTCTCAAGGACTTCGGATGGTTTTGTACGCGATGCATCGCGCACAGACAGCGCCTTTGAATCTACCGTATTACACGTGAAATCGTTGGGAAATTCAAATCCAGGTACATGTAGCTTGATTATCATTGCCCTACGTAATGAAGTCAGCACGCCACACAGAGCACGCATTGCTCGGAGATCACAGTTGCACACTCTTGGGGTAGTAGCTGTCCATGCATGATGCTGAGATAACATTCCGCTAAATTCTCTTGCTACTTGGCATGCTTTTGTATGTTTTGCTCAGGTTAGCTACTGAGAGTCCAGGAAACAGTTTTGCCAGTTGTTTTCACCAACCCCATGGTGCTCCAAGCACATGTACTAGTACTTGCGGGCCAACCTCCTCTTCAGAAGATATCTCATCATGCTCCATGATGTACCACCCTCAGCCTTTTGTCACCAGTAAGTAGCACCGTAAAAGCGCGTGTTGACGCCCGCCCAGTATAACGCCCGTGTACACACCCAGGTGCCCAGTGTCAACACTATTGTCCCAATTTCTAGCCCACTTCCGTGTAAACGCCCGTGGGCGAAAGCACAGGCCCAGTGCACTGCGCAGCTCCACTTGCATGTACGCTATGGTAGTATAGTGTAGTGTAACCTGTGCTAATCCTGTACGTAGGACGGCATGTTGATGTGAAAATCAGTCTGATCTCGCTTATCCGAAATAGCGCCCGGGCCCAATTTGACGCCCGTGTTCTGGAACTTCACTAACGTTTCCGCCCAGTGTGTGTGTGGGTGGGTGTGTGCACGTGCGGGCATGCACACATGTATGTGTGTGTGTCTGTGTGTATGTGTTCTGAGAAGACTCCTCCTGACTTTTCTTTCATTCTCCTGGGTGGCTACCAACAGCCAGTGCATGCCGGCGTATGTGGTGTGATGTGTGTGCGTAAACAAAAAATGAAAAAGACCTAAAAAGTAGGGATTCACTGGCCAGAAAAAGCCACTTCATAGCTGTGTGGTGTAGACCAGGCTGAATAGTGGTGGTCAATTCTTCAGCCTTGCAAGCTGTTGAATGGTGCAATCCCAGCACAAGTTGCTATGGCTTCTGCTGTAGCATCGCTATCATCGCCTCCGGCGATGGGCGTCAAATGGTTTATGTGTTCACTGTTGGGATTTTGACATCTTTTCTATTGCTTATATTCTATTGCTTGTAGGAGTGAAGCGGAAGTATGATGTCCAGCAAGACGACCCAGTGGAATTAGTGAGAAAAAAGGCCCGATATCTTGGTACGTGTCCTTATGCGTATTAGATGGTAATGGTGCGAAATGGACTGATACGGCCTAGATATAACGCCAGCGTATGGTTTTACATTCGACTACCTTGTTGGGGCTGGTGGTTCTGAAAGCCCACATTGATGCGTATTTCGCTTGCCACACCTGTGCTGGGTTTGTTGCATCTCATTTTGTACAATGTTTTGGCTGTTTGCTTCCTCCTTTCATTCTGCTTCTTAGATCTAAAATCACACCCTGCATCACCAGCCATGCCCGTCGGTGACCAGAACTGTGAACTGCAAACCAATGTTAGCTTGCCGATGGAAACCGTAGATGATGATGGCTGTGACCGATCCATTGCAGCCCGTGAACCTCAATCAAACTTTCTGACAGATTCGAACAATGGTTTCTACCACGGCAGGCATTCTCATCTTGTGCATTCTCACCAGTCTCCTCCACGATATACCACTGGTGAAATGATGGCACCATGCAACTCTGGCGGAGACTCGGAGTACATCTGGGCAGTGGAATGCCATGGTGAAAACAGCTATCCATGGGATGATGATGGCACAGCATGAACTAATTTTCCTGAGTGAAACCCATGCTATATTATTATTAGCGAGGCGATAATATTACGATGTTTGTCTGAAGTGATTTTGTATGCCGAATTAACGTTCTGGGCCTTGTTTCATCTTTGTTTGGATAAACATGTGATCCTGCATTTTGTGTCCTGTGTTTGCTTAGCTACAAACAGCTGGTGTTTTTTAGGTAGGTTAGGGACTGCCATTTTTTAGTTTCATACCTTAGGTCGAAATTGTTTAGTGTTTTACTTGTAGGTCTTCAATGTGTTTTTGTGTGTGCTTGGCTCCTGACTTATGAACATGTCTCTTCTCTACCAATCAACTGCTGGATATTGTTCTGTTTGCTATACTAACGTTATTGTGCTGCCCTGTCAAACCAATCTCTGCAATATTAAATTTGCTTGTTTACATCCGAGAATTAATACCATTACCAGTACCCCTCTGCTGTCACCACATTGTACATAGTACACGTACACTCAAGAACGTGCAGCCAAAGAACGAGCGGGTACAATCATTTTATCACATCTGTACCGCAGAGGAGTGTGTGAAAGCTGCGGCTGCGCTTTGCCTGGGCAAATGCCATACAACAAAATACACACTGCATGTACAATGTGTACCAGTACATATGTTGTATGCAGGGACTTATTTTTTTTATGATCGGCTACTGCCATACGCCTCCCTGATTGTTTGACATGCTGGACGAGGTGTTTCACATGCACTGTACTAGCAAGAGTGCTCGTACAACTCGTGGAGCTATGGACTCTTACCGACCAACTGCAACAAATGGATATTAGTGTGCTGCCATCAAGGCAGATGTAAAATTATACTCCCAGGCTATTGCTACTACTATGACAGGAGAGAAGAATACTAAGAAATACACGGGAATGGCATGGACTACCTATACAGAATACAATGAAATTACTATTCTCCGACCGAACGGTGACTAGGAACGCAGCTGGCGGTAAACTAAAACGACGCAAACCTGGTTAAAAAGATGATGTGAAACACTAAAACGCAATATACGGCGTAAGTTAGCACGATGGCACAACTGCAGCAGGCAAGCAGGGAGACAGCAGTGAAGGAACCAAACAAACAAAGCTTGTATGGCTTGTAAAGAGAGTGACCATTGTAAGTCGAGATTCAAAAGTCAACACCAAATTCATAGAAAAGAAAAGAAATGAGGCAGGCAAAAGAGTGCGGATGTGCACGCCTACATTACAAGTGGGCAAAGAAACGCAGTATCCACTGCGGCGCACAACATGTGATCCTCAGTCAAGAACAGGCGCTCAAGGCAGGAGGGGTGCAGTGTCAGAGTACGCTGGCGGCTCAGAAGACGGAGCCGACGGGTATTTCTTGGCTGCAAAACAAAGTCAGAAACACACAGAGACAATTACTTCAAGCAAGTGTCCCCGCCCTGCAAACACACAATGCAACAAGAGATGCTTGAGCACAACATACACTACATACATTTCCAACTGGTGATCCACATGGCTAAGGGTACATAACTGCCAACAGTGTGCAAATCCACACAAATTTTCGTCCAAACTGTCATTTTTGGGATGTATTAAACCTGACCACACAAACTATATTTTTTCTAGTCACAGTTCCAGTACTTTCAGGGCAAGATCTAGATTGCACTAAACATCTTAGTGCACAGTACTACAGCATGTACAAGGCAGCAAGTACTGTTGTTAAGTTAAAGAAGCACCGCTACAAAACTCAAAAGATTTCATATCCAACTCGTGCGTACGCTAGCTTATTTTGAGATGTTGAGATGAATTCCTGTCTCTACAACTTGTCCAAGGTAGCAGTGGCAGTTCTCCAAACATGGGTTTTGCAGCCTTGCCCTATTTTCTGACAAACTGCAATGCACAGTTGTCGTGAAGGATTGCAAAACATTCTGTGCGTGGAATTAATTTAAAAGTCCTTTTCCTCCACATGACCTCCTGTGGTGTCAACACAATTGTACAGTCCTAACGAGGAAGAGATTCAAGACTACACTTAGGACGCGGAGTAAAAACACAGCGAAAGACAAGCTACAGTAGATGACATGGACCAAGTTAGAGAGCATCACAACTTGATATTTCATCAGACCCAATGTGTCATGAAAATGAGCCTTGACAACAATCCAATAGGAGGCGTACACTCTTGGGAGTAATGTACTCTTGCTATGCCTATGTAGTGGGATGTGGATGTAGGCAAACGAATCTAGACCTCGTCACACAAGTGAGTAATGCGTGTGTCACTTACGCTCAGAGCCGTATGCTGGAGGAGCACTGGCACCAACGCCGACAGAGGCTGGAGTGGACGGATAATGGGGATGTGCTGTGACAGGAACACCTCGCACTACTACACACCACCACCACCACCAACAACAACACAGAACACTCAGCTGTCAGCTATGGCAATCATATCGCAGGTGATCCCATAGCTATCAGAACACCGCGCTCAAAATAAAAGCGGTGACTTGATCAGTACTGAATGGAAATACGCACACAGTCAAACACACACCGTAATTCCGTGCATATAAGCCCACGGGCCCATATCCGGATATAAGCCCACGGGCCTATATCCGGATATAAGCCCACGGGCTAATAATACCGGTAAACAGACACAAATGCAACTCGCGTGTCAAGTAGAATTTTTCACAAAATGGACTCTTCCTACCATAGTACAGCAGGTTAGTGCAGTTTACCAGTAGGGTATGGTAGACCCACTATGAGCACGGACTTGCACTTTTTCGTGAACCTTCAAAATTCGAATATTGGCCCATGGGCTAAAAAAACGAACATATTTTACTAGATATTTTATCCACAAACTGCATTATGTCACATATACCGTATTCTCTCTAATAAAAGCCCAGGTCTCCAATAATGACCCGGGGTGAGGGTGGTTTGAAAGGATAAGAGCACGGTCGCTAATAGTAGCGCGGGTCACAATTGGAGTATGCAACAAGTATATTGACTGCATATAAAACAGCAGTACAACATGCCAAGAACATATTTGCAAGGAGGTTTTCGGTCTACTGCTTCCTTCCTGGCGCCAATGCTATTGTGAAACATCTGTTTTGACAATATTCCTGAGTTTAGGGTTGAAAAACCAGTCTTGATATGGTCAGTTTATGCCTGTATAGACTGGAGTTGGCTTGATAGTTGACAATTGAACAAAAATAAGAGCCCAGTTTCCAATAATAGCCCAGTCTCTAATAGTAGAGCGGGTAGAGCTGTCACTGAAAAAATATGAACCCCGGGCTCTTATTAGAGAAAATACGGTAAGCCCATGGGCTTATATGCGCGGAATTACGGTACAGTGACGGAACAGGATAACATCTCCCACTGACAGAGATACGCTGTGCAGGTGCCCATATACAATGTGCAGTTGGTGAAGATATACAAGTATGGAAAAAATGTACACCCTGGAAATGCGGTATCTCTGTAAAAAAACAAAAGAAAGGTCGGGACCAGTTCTGGAGCTAAACTGCCTCCATTATTCAGTATTCATTTACCTGCGGCTTGTCCAGGATGTGTGACGGTGTGTGTTGGCTGGACAACGACCACCGAATGTGTTCGGTAGTAGGTACGACGGCGCCAGCGGTAGCACACAAAGCTCCAGAAGAGGATCTTGATGATGACGCAGACGACAATCACCACAATCCTAAAAGTATGCAAAAGATAGATGCATGAGCAAGCAGCATGACATTGAACAAACATGTACCAACTCTACGAACACAATATATGATGCTGCATTGGAGTCTTCAACAAACCATTCAATATGTACCAAGATAATAGTACTCAATCCAAACCGAAGGGATATCTCTATTCCAAAATTACACTGTGTACAAATGGAAGGCCGTGTCGCTGCTGTAGTTCCATAAAACCTTTCTTATCATGTTATGCTTCGGCCTCATGGAGTTTTAATGTTGTTTCCCCCCACACCATGATCAGTACCTTTGTATCTTTTGAACTGGAACGGCCGTGAGTGGCTTCCCTCAGTAAAGTACTGGTTAGCACCTTAGTCAGCAGTGCGTCTGGATCACCCCATTCGGTGAACTCAAATACCATTAAACTTCAGGTAGCTTCCAAGAAAAGTGTGACATCTCAGAAGCATGAACTAGCACAGGCCGGGCAGGTTTAGAGCGACTTTCAAATTTCAAAGATGGGAGGTCAACTTGAAACACGACACCAGGGTGCTAGCGAGACTAAACTCCTACACGCATTGATTACGCAGCACCATAACGCCTCGCGAGAGAGCCCCACTTTGAATTTACAGCCAGTGAAAGAGAAATCGTATGCTAGAGTGCAACTAAGTTTGTATGGTGTGCATGTGAGAAACTTAGTGTACCAAAGTCACACTTAGCATGTTCTTGTGTGGAGTTCCAAGGTAAACTGCGTACGGATTGACTCCACAGCGTGCCAGGTGTGTACAAGGTACGTGCCGTATAACCTACAAAAGGGCGCTACCTCCACAGCACACCTATGAAAGGACAAGTTGATGGGGCGCTCGTGCGGTACATTACGGTATATTTGTTCAGCAGACCACATTATAACGTTATGAACTACACAAGTACATGTAACTATTGGAGCATGCATGTACACAAGTCACAGCAGACACTGGCCGTGACTGGGAAACAGATTTTCCTACAACATAGGAACAGCTGGATACCACACGCGAAATTGGACCTGTGTAGAGCTTCACCACATTGCAATTTCCTTCCTCAATGTCCACTCAGCTTGAACAGCTGCACGCCGCCTTTCCTTGACGTAGTCCTCTCTGATGGGAAAATCATGAAAGACGAGGTAACAAATGGGAAGTCTGCGGCCATTTTCTGCCTGCTGATGAGCATGTGCAATTTCGATGGTGGATTAGGCAGCAGTCATCACAATCCATAGACACATCGAATAGACGGGTACTGAAGTAGTGAAAACCTGAACCAGTGCCCGCTACCTCGCGAGCTTAGTCGCGAATAGGACTGATACTACTGAACAGATTCCTACATGCACTACCGTACTAGTAAACACACACGCACCATTTCATTACAACTCCATGAGTTTAGAGAAGATCGTGGGAAGAGAGAGAGAGAGAGAGAGAGAGAGAGAAGAGAGAGATTGGTTTTGTTCTACCGTGCCGCAGCTGCTAGCATTTCCGGAAAGGAAAGTCGTTCAGCATCATCATGCCTTCATGGCTATCAATGAACACCAATTATACGGCACATACATAGAACATACGTCGGAGTGCTTGCACAGGAAGTGCTCTACACGAACGTTGGTGGACAGTTAGTCCTACAGTCCATTCAGAAAAAGATGGACTTCTAGCTTTTGGCCATAAATGGGTCAAACTTTGAGTTTTTTTAGAATTTTTTCTGCAATCCCCTATGGAATCCTCTTCCAATTATGTTTCTGAAGTCTATTTGTCCAAAAAGCAAGCCATAACAAGAATAGGATATCGGCCAGGTTTTGCCCCAGAAGCATTGAATTGGAAAAAACCATCAAAATCCAGGCCGTTTGACCCAGCCTGCAACAGTGCATTGTGGGGTTCGAACCCCAGTTCAGGTACCCTTTTTGGACTCTTTTTCAAAGTTCAAATTTCGCAGCACTGCACTAGCGCACTGTGTACAATGAAATCACGAAAAATCGCCAAATACGGGAGCTCGCCAGAGCCAGGGCCCATCTTTTTCTGAATGGACTGTAACTCGTAACATTATGACTATCCACTAGGCAATTGATATTAGTACAGCAGTACATGTACAACACTAAACCGAGCTTTGTGATAGTTGCACCGTGTAAATTGGTGCAGCAGATCTTGGTCACTTCAGAAAGCAGCAACTAACTTTTAAGGTCTTTGCACCACAGCACAAATGCAATCATGCATGCAGTACATGTACAGTATTATTCAGGCATTTCGTAGTAGGCCGAGTAATTAAATTTTTATTTGAGTGCGGCAAGAGCCTGCATGCGGTGCGTGCGACTATCTCTTTATAGGTCCAGGATAAAGATCAGAGAATGAAAGCTCATGCTTGTTTCAAAATAAACGCATGGGAGGACTGACTTCACCGACTAGCCCAACATTTACGAGAACAATCGAGCCAAGAGTTCAGTAGTGATAATAGACTACATGTTGTACTACCTTTTGTTTACTCACCAAGTCACGGAAAGGGAATCGTCGCAGTAGGTATCGTAATCGTCACACATCTTTGCAGGACTGCGTTTTCACTCGATAGCTGAACTTTACAGTAACACACCTGCCTGCACGGCCTCGAAATTCTCGTCCGACGCAACACAACACTCTCACTCAGGACTCCAGACCCACAAAAACCACTACAACCCCGTTTGTTCCAGGCCTACTTGTCTTCGAACTAACTACTTACTTCGAGTTCGAGTATGAACACTGTACCCGTACATCATGCATGGTACATGATGACTCGAGACTAGCTTGTTGTGATCGTGAGTTGTTTGTGGGGAGACAAAAAAATTACCTGGCAGTCTGCCATCTACCACTACACACTGCATGCACTGCTACACTCGTACTGTCGTAGATCTACATGTACTCCGATCCGGCACCCGGGTACCGGATACCCGCAGATCGCGCTAGCTAGCGGCCTAGCGCATGCGGCATGCATGGGCGCTCTACGTGTCCTGGTGACGTCATTACAGATATCCGCGCATGCGGCTTACAATATTTTCGAAATGTCACGTGCGCATTGCATGATCATGACTCATGACAATCATGAGCAAACAAAAATGCATTACACAATGAAGATTTGCGTCATCATTCATAGTAGTAGAATTAGTAGTAGAATTTATTATTTTGATAGGGAAGGCCCTACAGACGTTGCCGTCTTGTTACAGGGAACCCTAAGTGCTCTTTACAGAGCGAAACAAAAACGGATAGATGCTCAACCTGACGACACGAGACAGGCAGAGAATTCCACCATAGCGATAGAGGTAGGCTTGTCCACAAAATGTTTTCAATTATTTTTGAATTTTGGTTGGATTTTCGCACTTTGAATTTTTTGGAATTTTGGCCCCATCAGGATTGAATTTTGGCCGTTTTTGGAGAACGACAGTGATGTCACATAAGGAGAGTAGCACTTAGGGTTCCCTGTAACAAGACGGCAACGTCTGTAGGGCCTTCCCTATCAAAATAATAAATTCTACTACTACTACTACTACTACATGTGCTGCTCAATATATTACCCCAAAGTAATTAGTTTGACATGTGAAAACAGTACTTTCAAATACACACACCTTTGACCTTTGCCCTTTTGACACCCATCCCCGAATTTGGAAGCACACAGACACACATGATAAGCAGTTTGTGGATTTTTTTGTTTTTTTTTGGAACTATTGGGTAGTAGTAGTAGTAGTAGTAGAATTTATTATTTTGATAGGGAAGGGGTACGAGTACTGTAAAAACCATGGCAACGGATCGATTTTTTTCTGCATTTTGGGGGATTTTTTGAATTTTCTTAAAATATTTTGACCGTTTTTTTCGCTTTTTGAATTTCAATTTTGGACAAAATAATTCACATGATGTGGCCACCCTTAGATAGAGGTGACGTCACATGATGATAGCTTGTCAAGTAATATTATTATTATTAAATTTTTGATAGGGCAATCCTAAAGCGGGATTCACAGAAGCTTTTTTGCGATGCGACACGCGATGCGACGCGATCTGCGACGGACGCGTGCGATGCGAACTCGCGAAATACCATTCACAGAACTCAGTCAGAAGAAGTCAGTGATGCGACAAAGTCTTGCTGATTTGGCTACGTCACCATGATATTCGCGCGGTTTGATACAACTTGTACAAATTTATAGGCAACTAGTTAACTCTTGAACCTTTGTACAACTTTGCTGTCGAAAAGGTCAAAATCGTACGCCAAATCGCTTGTCGCATCGCATCGCATCGCAAAAGTTGAGCCAAGCTCAACTTCTGCGATGGCCCAGTTGCGGCAGTTGCGTGGGGTGCGACATGGCTGCGATTTGGGGTTTTCCCGGTTTCGCGTCTGTCGCGTCGCGTGTTTTTGCGATGCGACACGCGCGAAACCGGGAAAACCCCAAATCGCAGCCTTGCCGCACCCCACGCAACTGCCGCAACTGGGCCATCACAGGCCATCGCAGAAGTTGAGCTTGGCTCAACTTTTGCGATGCGATGCGATGCGACAAGCGATTTGGCGTACGATTTTGACCTTTTCTACAGCAAAGTTGTACAAAGGTTCAAGAGTTGCCTAAAAATTTGTACAAGTTGTATCAAACCGCGCGAATATCATGGTGACGTAGCCAAATCAGCAAGATTTTGTCGCATCACTGACTTCTTCTGTGAATGGTATTTTGCGAGTTCGCATCGCATGCGTCCGTCGCAGATCGCGTCGCATCGCAAAAAAGCTTCTGTGAATCCCGCTTTAGCCTAAAGCGGGATTCACAGAAGCTTTTTTGCGATGCGACACGCGATGCGACAGGCGCGAAACCGGGAAAACCCCAAATCGCAGCCTTGTCGCACCCCACGCAACTGCCACAACTGGGCCATCGCAGGCCATCGCAGAAGTTGAGCTTGGCTCAACTTTTGCGATGCGATGCGATGCGACAAGCGATTTGGCGTACGATTTTGACCTTTTCTACAGCAAAGTTGTACAAAGGTTCAAGAGTTGCCTATAAATTTGTACAAGTTGTATCAAACCGCGCGAATATCATGGTGACGTAGCCAAATCAGCAAGATTTTGTCGCATCACTGACTTCTTCTGTGAATGGTATTTCGCGAGTTCGCATCGCACGCGTCCGTCGCATGCGATGGCCCAGTTGCGGCAGTTGCGTGGGGTGCGACAAGGCTGCGATTTGGGGTTTTCCCGGTTTCGCGCCTGTCGCATTGCGTGTCGCATCGCAAAAAAGCTTCTGTGAATCCCGCTTTGAGGGAAAAATGTGTACCTTGCAAAACATGTGTACATGTACCTGGCTAAAAATGTGTACCTGACGGATCCGGAGCGCGCCACGAGTGAAGTGGCTTCCCGGGGGATGATTCGTGAAAACGAGCTCTCGGCAGGGACTCTGACGAATCCTCGAACTCAGGTGACGAATCTGCTTTCGTTTCGTATCCGTATGCGTGGTGCGAAAGGTTCCTACTGTCACCCAGTAGACACCATTGTTAGAGAAGTAAGTTGAAAGGGAAACTGCAAAGCATGACTGAAAGCAACACTTGGGGTACCGGTATGTTTGATTGGTTAATCTGAACTTCAGGGAGCAGTCAGAACCGTGAACAATTCCCAATCAAACAGAACAGTGAATACGCCAGAATCGATTTGAATCAAAACTTTTGATTCAAAGCGTCAATCTTTTTCTCCAGGTCCACCACACGCCTCTGCATGGCAGCCAAGTCTGTCTGGCTAGCATTGCTGACGATGTCCGCTTCGTCGATCCGCAGTTTATAGGTTCACCCTGGAAAGAAGGAGATTCATATCACAAGTATTCTTTTGATACCATTCTCTATATTTCATCACTATTCTCGCTATGTATAGATTATAGACCGGTTAGGAGGTCTACACAGGATATATAGACCGAGTAAAGACCGAGGTCCCCCGAGGTCTTTTACGAGGGTCAATAATATCCTTACCTTTGCATTATGTTTTTGCATACTCACAACGGGCTGGCGTGTGCTCAGCGCATATAAACTCACTGTGGGCTGGCGACCAGCCCGGCCGTGCACATGTAAACACTCTCGGCGGGCTGGCCCGCTTGCTCCAGCCTGGGCTGGAGTTGCACATATAATAGGCCCCTTAGGTATCAGGGAAAATAGTGGGATCAAATACTAAGAAGGTGATAAGGTACAATATTATCAGTGCTTACCTTTGTAACATGTTTTAGCACTCTTCTTCTTCTTTTTCCTTTGCTGCTCGAAGGAGTAGCGTGCCTTCTGTACTCGTTTGAACAACTCTTTTTGCTTTCCACCCTTGATGGTAATCTTGTTTCCCATGGTTTTTCTGAAGAAATCATTCCAATCCCTGTGCTGTGAGCACAGAACACTAAGTGGAACCTCTAGAACAATAGCTCCTTGTCTTGTCTGGGTCCTCTCAATCTCTCCTGACACAAGGGTGTCAGTTGATACAGTGACAGGTTGAGAGGAAGCAATGTTGGGAGAGGGCATGGCACTAAATCATTAGTAAATGACTTGTACTTGTGGCGTGAAGTTGTGGCCAGGGTCAGGGAGCCCTACACATACATGTACACGTATGTGTGGGGCTCCCTGTTTGTAAGTTGTGACACAGTCACACTACAAAAAATCACGCCGGCTGTAGAGCAATTATGTGACTGAAATTCCAACCGGAAGTGCTCTCTAGGATATTGTTGGTCGTTGCCGTTGAGTTCATTTTTCCCGCACTTTTGGGCTACTATAGAGACTGTCTTGTGACTGGTTGAGCCTAGCACATGACTTACATCATGTCGCACAACCATACAATCATGTACTTCAGTATTGTGTGGAATTATATGGCCACCTCAAGCCAGGCCTGGGCCAAGACTGCTCAGTGCACGAGGAGCAGTGCCAGTGCAGTATAGTAGTCTTCAGCCCAAACAATCTGAAAGAAAAAAAACAGTCGTTGGTTGATCCTTCGATGCACATGTAGGAATTGTAGCCAGTCAGTTGCTGTTTGGATCAGAAACGCTGACTTGGACTGTTTACTGCGCGTGCTCATGTACGTACATGTATTGGATGTGGAAAAGCCTCTTGTACGGGCAAGAACAAAGTAATACAGCTAGTGTGTGTTGAAGAAGAAAATGAGCGGAAACTTACTATACTGTGAAACACGCATGAGGCATGATCAGGGCAAATGACAGCTGAAAAGAAAAGGAAAGAAAACAAACACACACACACACACACACACACACACACACGCAACAACAACAACAAGTGCCATACGCATGAATGTTAACGGCCACGCCAAGGCCGACACCATCGCAAATTGCCAGCCCACCGAGACGACGACGTGAACCCCGGAGACGAAGGTCGACAGCCCGGAAAACAGCAAACTGATGGTGGATCCGCACCCAGGACATGACGTTGCTGTAGGACTTGTCCCACCTGGAGGCAAGGCGCATAGCAAGTCGCCGTTGATACGCATGGTACTCTGTGTGCAGTGCACCATCAGGTGAGCAGACCAGCGGGGTGAAGGATGCTCGCAGCTCCTCTGCGGCCGCCTTGTACTTTCTCTTCTTGGAAGAGGCAGCACTGTTGGATACGGCGTTCCAAGAGAGGTTCGAGCGGACATAGCTGGGTGCGTCGGCATCCACGATGCGGTTGTCAAAGTACGCCACCCTGTCTCCTTCCCAAACTCCCCGGACCAGCCAATCCGCCTGCAGTGTGGGACGGTTGTTGCCATCCTGCACAGGTACCATCACCGGCTCGACAGCCACACCTCCCCATGCAACGTCTGCCAGCCGGACATCGAAGTCGCGGACATCGTTGTGCCCGCGCTTGATGAGCCCACCCTTCATGCAATCCAGACCATGCTGTAGAGAGAAAGCAGCTCCACAGCCATCGCAATGCGACGGGAGAGCGTTTGGCTCCTGGCCATAACGAATGGCCAATTGATCGCGGAACTGGACCGCTGACATGTCATAACCTTCCTGCTTGAGAGGAAGCACGGTCAACCAGCCGGAAGTGTTGCCATCAACGATGCGGTTGAGGGTCCGCTGTTGGCGACGCGGAAGCGCAGCTCGGAGGACTTTACTACGTTCTGTCATCTGCAGGTCTCGAGCACGGCTGACCTCGCTGGTGACTTGACGGCACTGGCTGATGTGGTGAGCCATGTCGACCGGTGCACCGGTGCAAATGGCAGCCTGCAGAATCTCAGTGGCGCGCTTCGATGTGGCATGAGCATCAGGGGCTGACGTAACGGGATTGGCCAGGCCGAGACCTCCCACTTTGGCTGGAAGGGCCAACAGATCTTGCTCAACGTCAAGCACCTCACGACCTAGCAAGCTGGGGGCGAATACGTGCCGGATAGTGTCCCGCAGGGGACGTGTATTGGGTTATCTAATACTTTTTGTACACTGTACATGTATCAGCAATTGAACATGAAAAAGACAAAACTGTAAGGCCAAGTAAAAAAAAAAGCTAGATGATCGTCCCCGTCCGCCCCAGTTTTTGTCAGCGCCCCAAGAAATATTTTATTTTTAAATCGTGAGTTTTTGCCGAAATCGTTGGTTTTTTACCGATCGCGGATGCAGGAAACATGTGCACGCTTTGTTTAATACTTTCTTTACTATATGGACCACATACTACTAGTATATCACAACGTCAGTATCGATCTGCTGAAGAAAGAAAAAGAAAAAAAGAAAAAAAAAGAAAAAAAGAGAAAAAAAACCTTGATGTTGTTGTGTACACTGTGTGCATGAGAGGGTAAAAAGTAAAAAAATAAAAATAAAATCCTCCCGCCCTCCCCGATTTTTCCAAAAAAAAGGACGATCATCTAGTAATTTTTTTTACTCGGCCTAATGTATTTTCATATTGGACATTACTCTCATGTTTCTGCTGTCCCTGGTCCCCGCATACGAGGTGATTTGTAAAAATTTTACATGGCATATTATTTTACAAATCGAGTAAAATATCATTGTTGAGGGCGATTGCGTTCTTCCCCTGAAGTGTTCTTGTTAGTTCGACAGACAAGTCAGTTGCCATTGTATTGTAGTTTGTAAGCATCAGCAGCGTTTGGCGGAATTGTTTTCTTCCACGGCCTTGTGAGACATCAGTCATGGATCGAAATTCATGAATTTGTGGTCAATGAGGTAAAATATCCCTCAATGGATGCTTGAAGGACGTCCAAGAGCCAGCGAGCATATTCTACGGCAGGTGGAAACCCTAGGCTGGTCACCGATGCCAGTATTGAGTCTGTCACACCATCAAAGTAGCAGGGCTGAAGAAGAGATTAGCCAAAAAGGTGAAGGTCAGAAACTGCAATTTTGACAAAAGGTGTCTTTCACTCACTTATCATGAAAGGTGATTCAAATCCAAGTCCGAAGCTGCTGATGCTTATGGCATACAGGTAAATAATTAGCCGTTCAGTAGACCTGCGTATGGAACTCAGCTTGCTACCTCAGAAGTGCTGGTAGAGATTCACGATGGCAAACGGTGCAAATGCAGGAAATGCAGCATGAATGTATGTTGGGTGTTGACGGCAGAGCACCCATTGAGGGTGGTCTGCAGTCTTCTTCCAACACAGAAGTATATGAATCAAGTGAAGGAGTCACTGCACTTGTCTTGGAGAGTATGGAAGCCCCGACATTGTCAGTATGTGCCGGTTAAATGCACTGTGGCCCAGATGCACGAAGGCACCCTGTCGTGGGACTGCTGGCGCGCATCATGGATGGTATCTTTGCTTATTATGGTTATTTCACGCATGAGGATGCACTGCAAGTTGAAAGAAATGAAGCAGCAAGATAAGGTCTGCGTGCTCATGCTCCACAATGCCGGCAGGCGCTCAAAGATACCCTATCGTTTTGAACCGCAATTGACGACGTGCAGAAACCAATACGTTGGGCAACCTGCAAAACCAGTCTGCTTTCTCTGCATGTGATTTGCTTCAGATGTATCTTGATTTCCCATTGCAAGCTTATTGACACATTTAGGTCATTTTTGTTGATGTTAGACCCTATTTTACTGACTTGTAAAATTTTGTACACACTTTTTCCGGGTGAAAAAATGCATGCAAAGCAACCCCACACTGTGTCTCTCATGTTTGTGGTGTTCGATCAAGAAGTCCATAGGTGGATAGAGGACATACATAGTGACAGAATGAGACCATGCACACTTCAAAACTCGCCAGGGCAACGGAATGATAGCCTTTTTTACTTTTATGTAAAATTATTACAAATCACCTCGTACATGCGCGTCAAGAAAGAAACACGGTAGCAGGTGTTGCAACGGACGGCGTAGTGCTTCAGTTCCAACAAACATGAGCAATTTGGTGCAGACAATTGTGAGCGAGAAGAACACCGTAAAACTTAAAGACAACGAAGAAATAAATAGAAGTTTGTCTAGATACGATAAGCAGATGGGGGGGGGGGGGGGGGGCTCAAACGAATAAAATAACTCAGCAGGAAGCCGGAAATAAACCTGTGAAATGAAGCTATAGAAGATAAGATACACAATGTCCACTCAAGCAAAACGCGGTGTCCGTCGGTCAGATCTGTACAAAGTACGGCACTGGGTGGGAGAAGATGAGGGAGAAAACCCAGCTGCACACAAAACGTGTCAGTATGTAAAAGTCTGGGCGTACATGCACAGGCAAACAAACATAGAACGGATAACGACTGAATACTATTCTGCAAAATGACCATTTCTTTGAGCTGGTTGGAATGCAGCATCATAGAGGGAATGGTGGCAGCATGGAGGTTATTGTTAGTAACTAAATGGGAGGGGGACAGGGGAACAGCAACTGGAAAATAGGTACAGGTGTATGCGTATGTGTGTGTGTGTGCTCCTACCAAGTGTGCAGGCGTGCATGCAAATGCAGAATAATAATATTAAGAGGGTATGAAGGCAGCACAGGGCTGGGAAAGAAACTCCGAGACTGGCAATTGCTACCAGAGGAAAGTGGCTTCCTGGAGTGTACAGATGACCCAGAGTTGGGAGGACTACACACCAACGTGTGTGAAGCAAACAAAAAGGGTTAGGAAGCGAACGCTGATGGGGTTTGTGTAAGAATTGCCGGTGGACAAGAAGTTCAGTTGAGCAGAAACGGTTACGAAGCCAGCACACAGACACTGTCGTTTCTTCAGGATCTGGCAAGGCAAGCAGATGCACTACAGCGCGTACATATACCCTTGCCAAGCACGGGCATTACAAGAGATGCAGGTGGCCAGCTATTGAGCTTCTGCGTCTGCCTCTGCCTCTGCAGCGACAGCCTGGCGATGAGCTCTGGTTGGCGGCCGCCTTCCTCCGGCACCGCGTGGCCGTCCCTTGTTGACATGGGTGAGGACAGGGGCTGCAAGCAAAGAGACAAGTCAAATAGTGTGAAAAGAATTAGTGTTGAAACGAGCGTATCTATAACAAACGAGCGATCAGTTCCACTAACGAGCAAGCCATCGAGCAAGCTAACGAGTTTCATTGATGCGACAAATAAGGATTTTTTGAATATTTTTTCTATTACAGTTCGATTTTTTTCATCTGGTTCAAATTAGCATCGCCGACATTTGGGGTTCCTGCTGCTTCACTTCGGACTGCTGTTTGGTGTCGAGATATTTTTCAGCGCCGTCGTTGAGCAGCCTTTGTAAGAATTAGGGGTGAAACAATTAGTTCGAATATTCGAGTATTCGTTCGAAAATTTCAAACGAGCGAGTATTCTAAATTTTGCACTCGATCGTTTTTAAAGTTTTGTTTTTACAGTTTTTTTAGTATTGGCATTCTATTTTTCAAAAACTTCTGTTGTACCGCTCGTCGACTGGTATGCATGCGTTATGCATGCCTTTGAGTCAGTATTTTATGACTTGGACGATGCGATCACCACGGCAAGTAACGTTAGTTTGTTATGAGATAATAAAAGCACTGGTGAAAATCGTTACTTTACACTCTGTACAAGACGTTGGCGACTTTTGTTCTATGTTCACAGATAATTTCTTCCGAATTGGTCGAGAACTCACAAATCTAGCGCTTTTGAATTTTGATAAAATACTCGAAATAATCGGATACTCGATCGAATATTATGAATGAGTGATCGATTGGTCACAATAGATACTCGTTTCACCCCTAGTAAGAATAGACTGTTTTGCAAAGATTGCAAGTCGCCCTGTTCTTCGCTGCATCGCGGGAGAAAACTTCCAAACGACTGAGCGTAACTTTCACTCAAATGCAGAGTTGACCGAAGCATGTCCTGCGACAGATTAGGCCAAAACAAATAATGACCTTGTTTCCGGTCGTCCGACCGGGCCCAAATTCTGAAACTTTTTTTGGTCCCAAATGTATACAAACGGTGGCAATGCCATGTGTGCAAGTGCACTCAACGAGTCGTAACTCAGTCAAATCTCAACCGAATTCCACAATCGAAACACCTACAAGGTAGCAGAGATTCTCAGCTGTCGGCTCGAAAACCTCCGGGGTCGATACGAGCTAGAATAACGGAGCTGGAAGGACTCGAACTGTTTGCTTGGTTTCTCAGGATGTACGAAAACAGGAATACACCACATGCTGTACAAGAACAGTGAGTCAGTCAACTTTGACATTGACCCGTGCCATGATATATGTACAATGTGCATGTGTAGGTGCTCTTGTCCATCAATACCACAACGATTGAGGAACCAAAAAAAGTATCCAAAAAAAGTTTCATTCCGGCCGACCGAGTCTCCTTTTTGAGGGGTTGCCGACCGGAAACAAGCCTGTTTTTTGTTTTGGCCTTAGCAGATGCGGAACAAGACATCAGTAGAGTCCACCAAAGCTGCAACGACAACTGAAACAACTCAGTGTCATGCAGGCATACAGTCTCTGTAACTGCGAGTGATTTTCACTTTGCCCGGGACTGGACTCTCGATCGACCAGGGAGTTGTAAAATATTTTACGACTCCCCGATCGACATGTACTGAAATGTGTACGAGTACTCTGTACGGTGTTTGTTAGTGCAAACGAGCTGGCCGCACGAACGAGCCGAGTTTCTGGCGAGCGAGCTAACGAGTACCCGGTGAGATCGTTTCAACACTAAAAAGAATCATTTGCAAAGGCATGGGGTGCATTTCATGTATGTGTACATTCTAGATTATTGTGGATTTCATATGTTCTACTCGAAAGAGTTGTATTCAGAACGGCTCCTCAATCGCAATCCTCAATTGCTGTCAACTATCTCGGCATCATCATCCATTTTGGGATCACTTTTCAGGAAAACTATAATCTTCTGGGACTTTCTTGCTACTTGGTCCGGCTCATCGCAATTGTCGCTTATCTCCCACGCACTTTTTGACAGGTAAAACCCAGTCCAATCACGATATCTAACTTACTTTTGCTTGGGAGGTTGTGATGGCAAGATCAAATGAGGCACCAAAGAAAAAATGATCGCGACTAGCGCTTTGAATCGCGATGTGTTCGACTTTTTTGGGAAGTGGAAATCTGGCCATTCACTGTCTGTGTTGCCAAAAGCCAAGCGCAGCGACCCGAAGACCGGAACTGTAGCAGGGGCAACTGACATCCTGGAGAGCGTGACAGGCACGCGTGCACGGCAGAGGAGTATGAGCATCATGCTGAAGAAGAAAGGTGTTTTCGATGCGATGCGCACATGCGAGGGACATTTTGGTTGTTCCTTTTGTTCCTTCGTGGACCTGGCAGCAGCATTACAAGAGTCGTCGTCAGCGTATCCAGCGGAGCGTATGACAGCTGTCTGGAGAGGCCTGTATTCCTCATTCGAAGGCTCTGTTGAAACACACTGTGGTGACACACAGGTCACACTGCCCACAATTCCTTCAAGCACGGAAGTGACAGACACAACTGTGCCTTTTCCATTGCTGCCATACGACAGGCTGACAAAGCAAGAGATACTCTACCAGTCTACGCCAGCAGCTAGACACCAGCAATTTAATGTAAGCTCATGTAACGGCGGCAGCTCGAGTAACGGAGAGTTGAATGAACCGTCTGGACCTGTAGGAGGGTGAGTGCCAGAACGCGCTCCTTCGCTGATTTATTTCGTGCATTTTGCTTACCTTGCTTCCCTTCTATGACTCGCTTCACCTGATTCCATGGCTGAATTTTGTTTCTTGTGGCGGAGAGTATTCATGTATCATGCTTCCTCACTATGCCTATTGATAATTTCACAGAGCGGCAAGAAAACTCCTGTTCTTAGTGGCGATAGATAAGCGACAATTGCGATGAGCCGGACCAAGTACATGTATGCGATTTGACAACATGGACCTACTACATTACTTTTTACCATGCACATGTTTCATCACTTCACTTGTAAGTTAGCACTACGCAACCGTTTGAACCGAAAATGTTTGAAAAATGGTGAAAGCCGTTTTCGTTTGGTTCAGTTCATTTCGTCGCTGTATAAATCTAGCCTGAGGATGCATGACCCTGCTGCTGCAGATTAGACAGCAGGCATAACAGCAACACCATGGTGATTCTGTGGATGAATCTTTTCCGACAATATCAACTATGATACAACAGATGAACCTCCCGACACGCCGCACTCTTTTCTGTGGCGCAAAGAGATGGCGAATCGATCCCCGCATACTGGCATTGCATCCAGGAGATGCGTGGTTGTTATCTGACAACGGCGGCGTCGGCATCTGCAGTGATTGTTCAGTCTTCACCACACGACATACTGTATAAGCAGAAATATCCGTCTGGAATTTAATTTCGTCTTTCTCGTCCAAGGACTTTTGGACTAAATTAAGTGCCGGACTAATGTTGATTTGTCCAGCTTTTCTATACACTATTATGATCCATGGACGAAATTTTCAACCGGACGAACTCCCTTTCTTAGGAGTTGGACGAAATTTTTGACCAACGAAATTTTCTGCCTCTACAGTAACCGCCCTCACCGATGCAGGAGTAGAGCGGAGACGTCATCTTGACTCCGCGATCCCTGGACCGACAGCTGAGTCGAATGTTGTGATGTCGACACCTGCACCAGTGAAACGCAGACTACCCGCACTGTTTCAGCTGATGCTGCCAATGTCCGGTGCTCTGAGCGCAAGGCAAGGGCTCCCACACACCTCAAACTCTGAATGTTCTCGGTTGACAGGTCGTGTTAACACTTGAATGTCAGAATCAGCCTTCTATTTATTGTATCCTTTTCTTTTTCTCTGGATTCTTGCTTCAACATGCGTGTGTGTTTGTTTTTCTAGTCTCAGACTAGCCTTCTTTGCCGCTGCGGAAAATATTGTGATCACAGGAGTATAACTCCCACATAATTAAACAATGTGACATCATTAAGGGCTGTGTAGAATATGCGTCATGACGCATGTGTGTTTTATTCTGTGTTTCATGCATGTTTGTTTGATAATGTCATCTGATTTTTCATGTGATCTCTTAGTTTTGCATGCTTACTGATGCCCAAGCGCTTAGGCACTGTTTTAGCAAGCTGTTTAGGTTTTTGGACTGGGATTTTCCGAGCTGAGCTTGTTTGGAACAAGAACCGAAACTAAGACCAATGTTGTCTCGTCTGTCCAAACCCAACAATAGGCTGACACGCAACGAAACTCTTTGGGCAGATTCAGGGTTGGACAACATTGTGGACATGTGATAGCTCAAACTCGACCCATCGTAATTTATCTGAAGTCCTATCTACTTTTTAAAATATACATAGACTAGCATCCTAACTTACCTGGGCCAAAATCATCTTCAGTAGCAGGCACATCAAGACCCCCAGCTTTGCCTGCCTTAGTAGTAGCTTTCTTCTGTGGCGGCCTAGGAATTGGTCTGGCACCTGGTTGGGCGAGTGGTGAGGCCACTGGTGCCTTCTGACGAAGCTTTGGTGGGACACCCATCATAGGCAGTTGAAAGCCAGCTTTGAGTCCAATAGGAGTAGCAGCTGGCTTATCTTCATCACCATCATCAATATCCAAAGACTGAACATTGGACGTAAGATTTTTCCTGGAGCGAAGAAGAAGAAATAATCAGAAACCAGCACCTTTAAGTTATCACTATCATACCGAATGGGAAAAGACAATGGAACATAGGATAATCTGGATAGATTCACTGGCATCTAGAACACGTAGCACCTGGAGTGCTACCTGCTTTAGTTCAGCCCCGAAGTGTGTAACTCTGCTCCATTCTTTTTCAGTGGGACTCTCGGGATTTTCTGCACATATCGAAATGTGTAACTACAGATTCCATACAGCTGAATGATGTAGCAAGGACTATCGAACAATACCCTCCTAAGTTGCACACCTTGGGATGTTATGCACTATGGCCTTGTTTGGGTTTACGGCAGGTGCTTCGGTGGATTAGAAAATGCAGTGAGCCCACCGCTACTCGAATAGTACTGGTTAGAGGTACCAGATAGCTATCACTTACTTCTGACTCTCGAGCATTGCCATTTTCTTCTGCAGGTTCTTGATGACGGAGTCGGCACCAATAGCCTCAAGCGCACTGAGGTCAATCTGAGGTGGGCCTGACAAGCGGGGAAGTCTAGAATGGGCAGGTGCCTGCGTCTTCTTGATGTCATCTGTGTCATCTTTCGCTGGAGCTACAGCCGGCTCAGGAGGAGGACTTGAAGCACGACTTGCAACAAGACTGTTCGGCTTGCTTGCTTCTTTTTTAATGTGCTCTTCGATAGTTTGTTGAATAACAGCTTTCTCAGTTTCGATCTCAGTTATTTCGCTGACAGCGCTGACCAAGCGGCTGAGGGTGGCTCCAATGAATGTTTCCATAACGCTGCACGAGTACATGCACACACCCACACCCGCACAAAACACAAATACAGACACACATGCACAAACACACATGTACATGTACATACACACAAACACGCACACACAAATACATACGACAAACACAACATGGGAGGGAGAAGAGAAATTTTTGAATTACGAACACTGCATCGAATCCACATACAGAGTGGCATAGAGCATATAGCATGATACTAAGTAGCATGACATCACATTTCCACACAAAGACAATCACAACGAGAAAATCCTTACGCAGATTGGAGTGAGACTTGCTGAAGAGCTTCCATTGCCCCCATAGAGCGCGGCGGAACAATGACGATGGGAGCGAAAATGATGGCCAAGTTATTTGCATTCATGTTGTTGGCAGATTCATTCTGAGCAACTCTGCAAGAGGACACGCAAGATGTGGGATATGGAGCAAATGCAAAATGCACACAATGAGGAAGTGGCCTCTTCCGAAATGGATGTCCTACGGGTGCGTGCTTTGCTGCGTGGAAAATCTCTCAACTACATAGGCAATTCGATATGCAACAACCTCAATGTGTGGTCGATTATTTCGAGCATAACAGAAAAGCTTCTGCTAGTATCTGCCAAAGCGAACCAGCGAAGTGTGTAAACTCATTGAAACAAACCCACATCAGGGGAGTAGCCAGAGTTCTACTAGCACCTACCTTGCCAAATGGAAACTGAGACGCTCAAGGAAAAACTGATTGGCAGGTGGCAAACTGGGAATGAGTTCAAGAACCAACTTCTTCCGTTCGCTTTCTTCAGCCCCTGTAACAGAAAACAAATCAAACGGACACGATTTTGTCAAAGAAGCTCATCAAGGAAATCCAGGTACAGATATATCATGGATACACAGTACAATTTATAGTAAAGAAAAAGGACCAAGAAACCACAAGTTACACTATTGTCCACTAACACCACCAGTTACTAAACAATCAGCTCATGCGATAACATTGCACGGCACTGACCGACGGTACTGACGTGGTAGGTGCTAGTAGAACTCTGGACATTATAGCATAACTTGTGGTTTCTTGGTCCTTTTTTTCTTTACAATAAATTTATCCTTGGCTCTCCATCCGAGTCCATTCTTACACAGTACAATGATAAAGTTTTAGCCGTGAGTCAAAACTCAAAAACGAAAATTAATAACCTTCGAAGTCTGAAGGAGATGTTGAAGAGTCTCGGCTGGGATAACAACTACTAGTATACCACAGTGCAGGGGCAAACGACTAAACTCAAGACAGACTTACTTGCAGACTCCACAAAACTCTTGTACATGTGCTCTGGGATGGTTGCTTCCTTTAGTTCTCTCAAGAACCCCTTGACGGCTGCACCCATAACGTGTGCGTCAAAGCTGGACAGATCCATGTTCATTCCTATCAACACACAAGAACAATCAAGAGCACAGCGCTAAGAGCAGGGTGATATGTGGCAGGGTTAGCTACTTGCTCAGGGTGGTGGTCAGGTCACCATGCCATCCAGGAACACTGCACAGCAAAACAGTGCTATGTTATATCTAGTAGTGGTGTTTGTAGGACTTCGACTGCGTACTGGGGATCAGACCGCCTCTAGATGCTTAGGGACACGCCATCCGACTGTTTACAGGATTCAGACTGCATACTGGAGTCCCGACTGCCTACTGAGTCCAACAAATAGATTGCAAGGCCAGTACTATCTGGGAGGTCATGTTAACTTTACACAAGATCAAACGACACTATGAGCCCAATCTCAGCCCATACAGGTCCCAGGGAAGTTGGCAATGCCCGAGTGGTGAACGCTACTATTGTAGGGAAATGGTCATTGAAGAATGATGCCTGTCGCAATGTTGTTGCCAGTTGCCTTCTTGAGCAAGCTTTCTTTATCAGCTATTTGAATGTTCAACACTGAAGAGGTGAAATAGCCTACCATTGCGACTACTTGATAGCATGTGACGAAGGCGCTTGAGAGCTGCTGGACTTGTTCCCTTTCTGTACAGTCCAGGGGTGAAGAGCCCTGCACGGGAAACATAACAGAGATACAATGCACATGTAATATGATATTGCCACAACATCAAAACTAGAATACATATCTGCTATGGGATTGTTACACGAGAACACTGGTGTTCTATTCAGGATACGAAGACCGCAATCAGAACATGCAGACGTGAGAAACAGACAAACGACTCACCTCGATTTTCGATTTCATTGAAGATCATTTCCAGGACAGTCGGGATGTGGAGCTTCGTCACGGTGTACATTTGCGTCAAAGTGGCACCATATATGTCACCATTCCACTGTAAAAGAAACAAAAGTCAAGTTTAAAAAATTATCCTGTGCAACTCTTATTCTCCTTAGTATCAGAACTCATTTTTCCCAGACAATGTGACTAGTGATGCTCGACTGCCATTATCTTTGGCTGACATTCATAGTTTGTTAGCTAGAGCTGGAGCCACACTTCTTTCTCTTATATACAGCCATCTTGCAGTTTCTGAGTCAGTCCAGTTCCGTCTTCTAATAAGTTAAATGTATGGGTCACGTATGTTCTCGTTGTTGTTTTTAGCTCTTCTCCTTTGTGCTGTTCTATCACCTCTGTGCTGCACTCATTGTTCTCATTCCTCTGCTCTTGCCTGCACAAAAGCAATCCATACCACGTCCACTTTCTGAACACTCACTGCAGCCCTAGTTCTAACCATTGTAACTCACAAGAGTCTGAAGTCGAGGAGCATGCCTGTTCACTTCAATCCGAAAAGGTAGGTTTGAGCTCTATTCTTGCTTCTTTGACTACAGTCCATTTCAAAACTATAGACGCGTACCTAGGCAAAAACCGTTATGCCAGCATCTATACCACATAACATCTGTGATCACTTTGTGCATAATTTTTTCCAAATTGGGCGTCTGTTATCCAATCGTTTAGAAACTATTATGAGAGTAATTGTGGAGCGGTCCTGAGCAATATTCCGAAAACTATTCTCAAAAATCTCCAGCCAAATTTGAAATATTTCAAAAACCCTACGCGTCTATAGTTTTGAAATGGACTGTAGCATTGGTTGCATGCTACTGAGGAAAATGCAGTGTCCTAGATTACTAACTTGTCCTAAAGATTCTCCCTTGTGTTTGCAGTCAGACTTGATCTTCTTGATACACAATGGATGGACAGTCGTCTTGCACACTGCACACAGAAAACAAACATGCAAACAAACATGCATACACACGTACACACACACACGCACGCACGCACGCCCGCACATACACATACACACACCCATACACATGTGCAAACATTTCATATCTGTGTCACTGTGCATGTGACTATACACTCATACCTCGGTTATCCGGACTTCGAAGTTACGGGCACTTCGGTCTACCGGGCACTATTTGGGCGAGTTTCAGGGGAAATATTACAACTCTTTTGTCACTTTTCGTAGAAATATTGACGTCATATGCCATATCGATGGCCTTTTCCCCATCAAGATGTATATGATTCGGAGTTACGGGCACCCTCGAAGTTACGGGCAGTGTCCGGTCCCGAAGCGCCCGGATAAGAGAGGTATGAGTGTATGTGGTTAGCTGGGATAGTTCATCTGTTCACACCATCAACGGATAAGACATGTAAGCAGGTGCTGCTATGATGAGTGAAGAGAAAAAAACCATCCTATCAAATTATTTTGTCAAGTTACTTTCATTGAGCATCACCATGAAAGAAAGAGAAAAATAGATACCGTATAGCAGGACATTTTCGGACGGAAATATTTTCGGACAAAGCCGAATTTCGACCTTTCGTACGGATTATATTTTCGTACAGTGCTGCATGCTAAATGCACGTGTTCGCATGCGGTATGCATGTATAGTGCACATAACTTCACAGGAACAAATTTTAGTACGGAATTAATTTTAGTACAAAAGAGGCCGTGTACGAAATCGTACGAAAATAAATTCCGTCCGAAAATTTCCTGCTATACAGTACTATGGAAGTCTATGTTAGTGCTCTGACCTTGGCAAACAGCGCCTTCCTCCATAGCCATCAACGTTTTCTTGCACTGCTCACAAGTAGTCGGTACGGTGAAATTCTCCATCTGGAATCGATGTCCGTTATGCTCAATCTTCAAAGAAAAAGGAAGGAACAGCAATAGCACGAGCGGCTTGTTCAATAAAGATAGCAACTGAATTGGTGCATGTGTGTGTGTGTGTGTGTGTGTGTGTGTGTGTGTGTGTGTGTGTGTGTGTGTGTGTGTTTTGCAGCCTGGCCGAGGACCACCGTGCACGGAGACTGGCCTGTAACAACACTGCCAAGCCACCTGAACCGGTCTTGGGACATTGTTCGCCACTAAGGCCGAAGTATTCGCCATCGACAATAACTGTTTTGCCAACCAAAGGTCTGCTCTACGTGGAACACTGCCGGTCCATGCAGGACCTGGCATCATCTGCAGATGGACATTATTGTTTACTTGTAATGTGTGCACACGTGTGAGACAGAACATACACATGACATGACACAGCATACTTGTACAACGTACCATCTTCTCCTCCTTCCTGTCCCGGGATGACTTGTTGCTCTAATGTAGTGAGATCGAGGAGACAGAAAACCAGCAGATATGATGTGTACATAGTTACATACGTTAACAAGTTGATGCATAGGCTAAGGTGGTGTTTTCTCCATTACCAAACATGCACCCATAGTACGTACTATTATCCGAGCACATGTGCAATCATGCTTACATGGTACAATTGCTACGACTGACCAGAGCCATGCACACCGCATTATGAGCATGCATATGGGACAGGGAAACAATCCGGGGGGGGGGGGGGGGGGTACATGTAATGGCATGAAGAGGTCAGGTGGTGAATACGCGGAAGTGGCACACGATGAAAAGTATGGGCGTGACAACGACACGTTATGATGTTTCTATTGTGGAGAATTGTGGAGAATTGTACTTTAACTTAGCTTGGAGCAAGGTGTAGAAATCGACATGGTACTGAAGTAGCACTCACAGCAGGTACCGTATTAGACTAGCTCACTCCATACACACACACACACACACACACACACACACACACACACACACACACACACACACACACACACACACACACACACACACACACACACACACACACACACACACACACACACACACACACACACACACACACACACACACACACACACACACACACACACACACACACACACACACACACACACACACACACACACACACACACACACACACACACACACACACACACACACACACACACACACACACACACACACACACACACACACACACACACACACACACACACACACACACACACACACACACACACACACACACACACACACACACACACACACACACACACACACACACACACAGGGACCGCTCATGAACATGAAGCATGTAAGTTGAACGCAAAGTGCAATCCCACACCTGACCACTGGCCAGGAATACTGTCGTTGCAACAGGTGATTTCTCATTTGAAACCGGTGCATATATACAATATGCACACAGGAGCAAGACAAGAAAGTCTGTGCTTGCAAATAGCAGTAGCAGGCCGGTGGCAAAACGGGGGAATTCTGCCGGTGCCACCTGCAGTAAGAGCTACACACCTCTTCCTTGCGCGACTTGGACGACATCGGTGCAAGCTGAACGGCACACAAGCACAACCACCAGAACAACGAACAAACTCAGCAGCTGCGCACATTAAATAGTAAGTTTGTCTCTTTGTGTCAGACTGTGCGAAAACTGTCATTTTCTATTTCAAAGTACATATTTTGAAAGCGGTGTTTGGGGCACTTGTAGACTACTTTTCTGCCCTGTATCACCTTCAAGAGGTCAAGTAAGGTCCCAAGAACTGTTTTCTGGAGGAAAACAAAATTTGAAAAATTTCACTCTAAGACATGTTTTAGCTGGTTGTGGCCCACATCATGCCAGTAAGACAAAATCTGAACAAAACCAGTGTCATCCAATGTTCATTCAATGTTATTCCCCCTAGCCTTTCCATGTATGGCATATTGTGACTTGACACTCGCGGGACGAAAGTTCACATGGTTCGTACGGTAGTGCATTTTTGTACGGACACTCCAGTCACTTCATTTGTTGTGCCAGATTCCCGTATGTAAGTCGTTCCGTTTGTAAGTCGACCCTCAGCTTTTGGCGAAATTTCTGGCGCACAGAAGGTCAACTTATATTCGGGAAAATACGGTATTCTACTATTCCACAAGAAAATTCATTATTGACAATTATCAAAAACTATAGCGAATGCTAAGTGTACATGTAGCAAACACACAACACAAGCCCTCAGACCCGAGTAGAGTCTACCAGGGTCTACTGCGCGTAGTCTAGTCGTTGTCTGCAACACAGCACAGAGTTTATGCTTTCAAGTCCAGAGATCCAGAGTCGCGCGCGCGGTATGCCCGCCCGCGAATTTTCGAACCTTCGACCTAGATTCTATCCGATCGATTACAATACTATCGGGCGCCGAAGAACGGCCAGGCTAAAACCTCACCAATTTTTAGTTTAGGCTGCATTTTGCGAAGATAAAAACGGAAACTAGGATGTACGCTCAGAAGCATAACTCTGCATAACTCTGCATAGGTTTGGATGGCACATTTTCGTAGTTTCATGATAAAGAGTTAGTCAAAACATTTGAACTGGCAGGTGTTCATTTATTATCAACAGCCACGTACCAGTGCTAATACATGCATGTACAGTCCACAATGTCACGTAGACTTTCGAAGTTTCGTACATACAATGACATGTATGTACCCCCTAGTTCTTTGGCGCCCGATAGTACGTTCGTTGAGGTCCAAGAGATCGAGGAAATTCGAATAATCGATTATTCGCTACTATATCACTAGTTTTTACCATTTTATCTCTATTCTTAGGCTGCGTTCGTATTTAGCTACCTGGTAGAGTAGAGTAGAGCCACTCTACCGATAGAGGTAGATGGTAGAGGTAAGTGCACGGACGCTTTTCTACCGGATTTAGAAGTTTACACGATGTTACTTTTTTGTATGGAGTTGTGTACAAATCCATGATCTTGCTGGAAATCCCGTAGCTCTACCAACTTCTACCGGCTTCTACCAACTTTTTCCTGGTAGAGCCGGTAGAGGAAAGTAGAATCTACCCTTTTGAGTAGATTTTTCTTTCTTTCAAAAAACGAACACCTCTACTGAAAGAAGTAGTTTCTACCCAAACCTGTAGATCAAAAACGAACGCCCCCTTAATCTCGTGGACGCCGAGTTTTTTTACACTTAAATCCGACGACTGGTAAAGGGTTAATCCCCAGTGTGAAACTTACATCATAGAGACTGCCAGAAGATGAGTGTGATGAGTTTCCGCTGCACACATAACAACAGATGCATAAAGATTTCAGAGCTGGGAAGGCGCAGCTAGCCAAGGAAACGGAAAGCATTGCGTCGCACATCACTGACAACGCATCAATGGACAATTTAATTAATCCATGTGTGATAGTTGACTGACATATTAACCCTTTCAGTGCCAAGGACAAGGTAACTCGTCCTACAGACCCCCACGCGATTGGCCAAGGACGAGATATCTCGTCCTCGTAGTGCGCACTACTACCGTAAAATCCCGCCAGAGCGCCCCTACCTCCTCGACGCTTCAGGTGGGGAGGGGCGGATGGGCGAGTCCGACTTGCCGCATTCAGTGCTACATGAAAAAGTGCTCACCCTACGAAAACTGTTCGTGCATCTCGTACACCGACCAAAGGTCAAGAGCCAGGAGTCGAACAGACCCGACAAAACGCAGGGTTTGTGCGATCCCTGGTCAGGAGGGTGGGCACTGTTGCATACATTTCCAACGGGGTCGAGCACGCGTCTGCAGTGCAGTACGGCATCACAGACTGCGACAGAGTCATGCGAGGATACAACCAATCACGTCCCTGACAAGAAGTCAGGGAGGGGCGGATGGGAGAGATGGGGCGCTCTGGCGGGATTTTACGGTATATCTCACCGGCCATGCACTACAATCTAGCTTGGCCGATTGTGGCTCTTCGAGGGGGAACTAGGGGTTTCCCCCTACTGAATAAGACCTCACTCGCCGTGTTTGAGTAAGTAAGGGCGCGGGAGCATACATTCAGAACGCTGAGGCGAAAAACATATTTCGATTCAGAAACAATTAGATTGACGGAACGTACTTTAGGTCTCTCTAGCTTTCACTCAGACACGGCGAGTCGCCGCATGTCGGTTGAAGAGGTGCTCCAGTCCATCATGGACTCGGACATTGATGACTGGAGCTGCGATAGTGAAGGCGATGACTCGGATGCGGACATAGCCGTCCGCGATCGTGACGGAACAAATTTCACGGACGAGTCCGCCGTGGTCGATGTCGTACCTACTGCTGTGGTCGCCTTGGACGGCCCTGAGGATATCGGAGATGTCGATGTCGAGTTTGAGCAGGGCGCAGCAGCACAAGCTACGCCAGCGAGGGACAACAAGTGGGTTTGAGTTGATACGACTAATTTGAAAAAAAAATCAGATTTTTTATGAAAATGCCCTGCCAACAGCGTACATCTGGCCTGGCACTGAAAGGGTTAAAGGGGAAGCAGGGACTAATTTACTTCAAAAAAATTGCATAGCAATAATTGCTACACACCTCGATGTTTGCATAGCAACGCAACAATTTTGCATAGCAGTTTTTTTCCGTCGACAATGCAGTCTTCAGTGCACTTCCACTTATACCGTCAACAAACGCCATGCTGCCTCAAACCACGAAGCGAGGACGCCTTCTCCCTGCACATCTTGCAAAATATCTTGGTCACAGCTCCACCACTCGACTCTGCGCGAATCCATTCTTTTTTGGGATCAAATTCAGCAATCCACTTGTCCACAGTACCTTGCTTCACAGACATGCCGGCAGTGAAGAGGCTTCATCAATAAGGCTAGCAGAATTTTACAAAGATAAGTCCTGAACGGTCGAGACGCCTACTGCTAGTGAAGCAACGCGGTCTAAATCTCAAAAGCAGGTGAAGTACTTGTCGACACTCGCCTCGCGCTTCCTGGGCTGCACTTCAAGTAAGTATTAGTTAGTTAGTTTCCAAGACCAAGTGCACGTGCTGCGGTGCGCGTGCGGAGATAGTGTGACATATGGCCATGGTCCCGCGGCCCGCGCGTGGGTATGGTGTAAAATCTACCTGCAGTGCAGGCTGGACAACCACACACACACACAGTCTAATCTAGTCACAGTGCATGGCGCGCCATCTCGTGGCGCCAAACCAGCCACACACACTGTAAAGCTACACATGTGCATGCGCTACGCGTGCACTGCAAGTCTATGTCCAGGGCCATACTTAGCTGTATGTTGTGTCGCAGTTTACCGCGACTCACTACGAACTTCGAATCGCAGACACTGTGTTTTGCGTCGCAAATTGCGATGCGATACCGGTTAAATTAGTCCCTGGGAAGTATACCCTAAAATCAAATTTTCACCAGTCGTAGTCTTTGGGGTGCTGAGTCGAATGGTCTTGGTCCAAGGAAGCTGAGATGCTCCCTTCCTCCTTTATTTATTCCTAATCGAACTCGCCACTTCCACCGAAACTGGGTGACTGCGCCCTACTAGATGGGGATTTGTATGATTTGATTTGTATGCAAAATGTCAGTAAAAGCTCCATTTCGTTCTTATGAAAACACGGATGACCGCGATTGGCCCATATGTTGTAGTCTTTTAGTCCGTTTTGGACACTGAGTCGACTGGTTTTGGTCTGAAAGGCTGTCCGACGGCGCTTCAGCAATGTCGGAAGGTACGAGGCAGCCATTGATACTGCCATATCGGCATCCAGTATCTGACCTCATCATTGCCAATGAGGATCGCAAAACTCACCATGCCGTCGCCAAATCATCTGTGGGCCAACCTGACAACTTCGTATTGGCTGATCAAAGGCAAACAAGCGATCAAATCGCACCGCCTACAATGTAATGGCAGTGGAGGAAGCCTGCAGACCAGCTCATGAGCCAACTTCCTGCCGCTCGAGTTGCTATGACCAAGCAGGCCTTCCAGCATGTTGGAGTAGACTTTGCAGGCCCACTCCTAACCCGTCAAGGTCGTGGACGCTCACAGTTAAAGCGCTATCTCTGCCTCTTCACATGTCAGGAGACGCGAGCATGCCATTTAGAGATGGCCTATGACCTTTCCACTGAAGGCTTCCTGATGTGTTTCGGCCGGTTTTGTAAGCGCCGCGGAGCACCACGTCAAGTAGTGTCAGATACTGGCAGAAATTTTGTGGGTGCAAAACGTGAGCTGCGTGATGCCATTGAAGCTATTGGCCGAGGACAAGTGGTCACCCGTACAGTGACACAGCACACATCGTGGACGTTCAACCCACCGCGGGCACCACACCATGGCTCGAAGCACTTGTCCGGTCAGCTAAGCGAGCATCATTCGCTATACTACATTCTGCCAACTTCACTGATGAAGAATTGCAAACTGCCTTCATTCAGGCTGAGGCCCTGTTGAACAGCCGGCCACTGACCACCGTTGGATCAGATGCTGATGATCTCACCCCGTTGACACCTCAGCAGTTTCTCATTGGCCATCTTCAGGTAGAAACGGCCATAGAAGTGGCACACGCTTCTACGACACCCGCACACCCGCAGAGACGGTGGAAAGCTGTGCAGGTTGCTGTGGATCACATCTGGCAACGTTGGTTGAAGGAATTTGTGCCCACGCTTAACATCCGACAACGTTGGAGAACGCGAAGTCGGAATATAACGATTGGTGACATGGTCTTGTACATAGCCCAGGACACGCCCCGTGGAATGTGGCCTCTCGGCAAAGTGGTGGACGTTTTCCCCGGAGCAGACGGTCTCGTGCGTGTGGTGGGCATCCTTGTCAAATGCAGAACGTATCGGTGTCCGACCAACTTGCTGGTTCCACTTGAGGTAGAGCCGGAGGTGCCTGCCAAGTGAACTCTCTCTCTCTCTCTCTCTCTCTCTCTCTTTTTTCTTCTCTTTCTCCCTTTTCTCTTTCTCCTGTTTACATCAATAATCTTTCTAATCTTAGTTCTGCTCTCATTGATCAATCTCCTTCCACCATGCCATTCGAGCAGGAAGGGGGATATGTACAGTTTATATCCAGCCCGCTAATTATGGTGCAGAGGTGGTGCAGAGCCACTCTGTTTTATGTATGTCTATCAGCACTGCTTGTTGTACTGCTGTGCATTATCATACTACTATGCATTCGTTCCTTATGTTGTATTCACGTCAGCTGACGTCTGATGCGCGTAGTTGCGTACATTGCTTTCGCGCGATCTTGTGATTTTAATGTTTTTTGAATCCCCGCTTCTGCTTCGAGAGAAGCAGAACATCCTTTGTACTGGAAGATGATTTCGAGTCAGAGTAAAACATTATAATACAGTCTTCTAAAACCAAGTCAGGTGCTATCCGGAGGAATGTTCGAGTAGAACATGGGCCAATCGCGGTCATCCATGCTTTTATAAGAACGAAATGGTGCGTTTAGTGATATTTTGTGTACAAATCCCCATCTAGTAGGACGCAGTCACCCAGCTTCGGTGGAAGTGGCGAGTTCAATTGGGAATAAAGGAGGAAGGGGGCGTCTCCACTTCCTCGGACAAAGACCATTCGACTGAGCACCCCGAAGACTACAACTGGTGAAAATTTGATTTTAGGGTATACTTCCCCTTTAAAGAGAGCTCGCCCGGGTCAGGTTTCAATGTCAGCAGGTGTAGGTTTGACGACCAGAGTTACCAATGCTTTACGGCATGTATGCACTATAACCACCATCACCTACATGTATGTGTCACTCAGCTGTACCTGGCCATTGCACAACTTCAACACCTAATGTCACACTCTGTAACAGGCACTGTTAACTCCATCAGCTCTGTGAACTGGAGTGCATACCTGTACAATGTACTACTGTATTACAGAGCACCATGTGAACACACACCATTATAATCATCATTGTCATGATCCTGCCGAAACTACTCATGTTGCAACGAGCATGGGCATATGAGGCCTTACACAACAACAACCATGGGGTCTCATAAAATGCTTTTCAGTCTATGATGCAGTTCAGTGTTAGCTCTGCATACTTACGCGGCCTCAAAGTCATCCAGCAGCTGAGCAAACGTCTTCTTACAGAGGACAAAGTTGGCCTTGGAATGACTGGGCAGGAGTGCAGTCATCAAGATTTCAAAATTGTCTTCAAGTAGCTGCCGCGACAAGCTGAACTTATTCCAGCCCGACTGTAGAAAGAACATGCAAACAGAGAGCGGTTTTCAATACATTGGGCCGGTGGCACAGACAAATGCTAAGGACTAAAGGAAACTTCACTGTTATATTTAAATATTCGACGAGGAGACAACAATTTTAATATGGCAATAAGGAAGATGTTTTCTGCACACCTTTGTGAGAAATCGCACCTCGATATTTTAGTGCTGTCATGGTATCCTGCTACCCTCCCTACCTTGATTGCTATAGTATTTCCTTTGCTCTTATTTTGTTCTATAGTACAACGGTGATTCCTGAAGAGTGCTGTACGAAAACTTGTTCGAATCATCTTCTTTCCATCGCATTTTTCTTCTTACATGTATTTTCCTTACCTTTTAGATTGTTTTTGCATCGTCTCCATCGCTTACATCGTTTAATAAAGTAATCCAAATGTCACTTCAGCTCGTTCTCCTTATTGCCATATTAAAACCGTTATATTTTATCAACTTTTCAGACGCGCATATGCTGAGACGTGTGACCTAGACATGTGAGAGTCAGACAACATCGACAGCCCAAGACGAGACGTCTAGATTCCGGGAAATCCTCGCGGCTGAGTTTGAAACTACTTGAATAGGGTACAGTCATCCCTCTTTAATCCGGCACCTTTTGCAACGGCATTTTCTGCTGGATAAACAAGGGTGCTGGATTATCAAATCCTGCCCTCCAACTAACATACATGTTTGTGTCGTATATCAAAACGCAGGGATTTTCTGTCTCAATCCAAGTACTTTGTGGAATGCATGTCTATACAGTGCATAGGATATTCCCAAGTGTATGTTACATGTGTAGAATGCTCCCTGATTATAGTGATAAGTAGTTCATGCACTGACCAAACTGACATAGCTGTGCACCGGTACGGTATGAGATGTACAACTGCTGGATTAGAAAACCGAAATAAGTACAGTTTGAGTGATTTGTTGCAGAAAATCGCTGCTGGAACCGGAATTCAAGTGCCAGATTAAAGCGTACAAAATGAACTGAAAAAATCCGTTTTGCCAGAAAGTGTGCTGGTTTGCAAGGGTGCTGGATAAACAAGGGCCGGATTAGAGAGGGACGACTGTATGTACATCCTCACTGCACATGAAAGAACTAGACTATGGGTCTAATTTGTTTGGCAGGTAAACTTTAGCGATTTATAAACCAGCACATATTTGTTTAGCAATCAGCGCTTCATGTCAGAAAAGAGCAGAGAGAAGATTCATGCAAATTTTCGATTGGCATGACTTTAGTCAACATCCCTTTCATTAAAACCACTATAATTCGACTTGACTTTGTACAGTATACGCTGTCAATAGACTCAATACCACGATATCAACAAGTCCGCAATCAATATACAAGTGCTTTTTCTGTACACAATGCGACAGAATCAAACTTACAGCAGCACCTGTCTTCACTCCAACCGAAAACTGAAGAATGAAGCCACTGTGATACTCTTTCAGGGTATCACGGAAGAGACGGTCATCGCGTGAGAGCTTCTTCATCGTTTTTAGACGGGCCAACTGCAATAGAAGAGGAAAATTCAAGGCAATCAGACCTGGGTGTGCTGTTTAAAATACAAATTTCAGAGAAAGAGAAACCGCTGTGCCATTTACTAAGCGTTCATCGCCAAGTTGAGGTGCAATACCAGAGCCATCTCTCACCGCACATCAAGACAACGAACCTACACTGCTAGTCCTTGTATACAAGGCGGGAGTATTCGCATGTTTTGAGTCATGACTCCAAACAAAACCAATCAACATGTATTATAAGTGTTTCTCAACACAATTATATAGCAGGTGGTAACGCAAACGTGTGAACTTTACTTTTTTTTATTATACATGTAAATAGAAACACAGGAGCACGCTGCTGAAGGCTGCACATACACGTAAATAGATATTCCCCTAGCTGTATCTCATGTTTGGCATTAAGTGGTCTTTGTAAAAAAAAACAAAAAAAAAAACAAAAAAACAAGAGCATGCAGCTAAAGGCTGCACACAAAAGAATACTACATAGCTAGGTAGGTAAGCTAAGACAGTGGAGACGTCACAAAAAGACTGGACAAGCGATTACACCGACTACACAGGACCCTTACCCGTGACACGAGACATGTACCAAATCGATCGCAGTCGCCAAGCGATGCGATTATGATTCTCTTCTGGCCGCTGTGCTCACTCTTGTTGCAGATACCATCAAGTGGCATGCAGTCGGGATGATAATTGGTATTACATGCTGAGGCCAAGATGGAGAATCAAAGAAGAAAACATGACAAAAAGACGGTGAGCAAAGCCACAAAGCGGTGTACAGTCATTGAATACCAACAAGAATACAAAACCAAGAGTGAGCAAGTCAATGCTCCCTGAGCCCATGACGGAATTATCTTATGAGTCACAGCATCAGTTTTTCGCGGCCATTTGGCTTACTGATGCCATCATGCAAAGCCAGAGATGCAAACGTGTGCATCGCAGCTACGGTAGTCGAAGCAGAACAGCGGACAGCATATCCATGCGTCCTGAACCTGATGAACTGATAGTGTATGTACTCGTACAGGACAACGTGGATAGGCATATGCACTTCATCATACTTCTGTCAAAAACGATGCATTTATCAATACGCGAAGACTGCACTGTAGCCTTCCATTACAACCATACATCCTCTAAACTCTCTCCCCACGGTATCTGAGCTACATCAATCTCTGAAAAAGAATAAAATAAAATCATCCGAATTTTCGGGCCATCTTCAGGAATTTAGTCACTGCAGACAAAACAGAGATTATACATGTGTATGCGACAAATACGAAAATTTGGATGATTCTATTTTATTCTTTTTCAGAGACTTGGTGTAGCTCAGAGACCGTTTGGAGAATGTTGTAAGGATGTATGGTTAAACACGATGCATTAAAACATTCCGCTGTGGGTGAGCCCGGCGCAGCTCAAGATAGGAGCTGCAAACTCTTGGTTATACATTCTAAGTATTCTTGATGCCGGTATACTACGAGCATCAACTTCGTCACTCCAATGCCTTAGTATGTTCAATTGGTGGAGTTGCGGGGCAGGAGTGGATTAAAATCACAGGTACACTAAATAAACCCCTTGAATAGCCTGGCGCTTGATAAGTAGCTAATACAAGACTAGCCCTATTGCCAACGAGCAGTGCACAAGACTTAGCAGATAACCCAATACAAAAAGAGCAGTATCGCTGGCAAATGCATTGTCCGAGCTGTAATCTTACCAGTGCAAGTCACGGATTTCTTCACTTGTGAGCCAAGCTGCTTTCCACAGTATCCACACATCAACGACTTCTTGCTAGCTGATGTCAACTTGTGGTAGAAGTCTGGTGGAATTTCTTTCTTTTCTTCTTTGACTGGTGTCGAAGGCTCAGCTTTGGTTTGTGCCTTAGGCACTTCCTTTGGCTCTTGGGGTGATGTTTTTGGTTGGGGTGCTGTTTTTGATTCGGGTGCTGTCTTTGGTTCTTCCGCTGCAGGTACTCGTGGTGTTTCATGGGCTGGGGGAATTGGCTGTTTTGGTGGCGACACTGGTTGTGCGGGTGGTGAGCACGGTCGATCGCCGGGAGGTGACATTGGTTCTTGGGCGGAAGATGTTTCAGATTTCTCGGCAGCCTGTTCTGGCTGATCTTCGGTCAGTACGTCAAGTTCATCTGACTTCTTCGTACTCGCCTCTGACGATTCCAACTCTCTCTCTTCCACCAGCATAGGTGATGGAGGTTCAGAGATTGTACGCTTCCCTGATGAAGCCCCCCGATACTTGGCTGGGGGCTTTGGCTGCCTACTTGGACTGGAGTCTGTTGTGAGAGAAGACGGTCTCTCTGGCTCCTGCGCTAGCGATGTTCTTTTCTTTGGTATGGGTACTGGCTTTGCCTTGCTTGCTGGTTTCTATGATACAAACAAGTAGTACATTCAACAGATTAGGCAATCTATTGGCAGCAGATTAAAGTGGCCTTGACTTCACAAGTACTGAAGAGTAGAGGTATAACGGCAATATTGCATGTTCATGCTACAATACACTTGGTCTGAACGGTCTTCATTAGTTAGAAATTACAAGTTCAGATTTAGACAAGCTGCTTATTACACCAGATCAGAGACCAAATTCGGCATCATGTAAACTAGAGCATTGGTCAACGAAATCTAGACTCACGATGAAAACAAGCTGTACGCTCTGCATTCAGGCACATATGTGTCCCATAGCTGTTCAAAAATTCCGAAACATCACCGCTCTGTGCACGACAGGTTGCCTCTGCACTTCAAATGCCGCTATTGTAGCTATAGGCACGCATTACACATTACCATAATTAGATTGTCAGGGATTAGCTATGACATGTAAGCGTTATTCACATCAATGCAGCTTCCCTCCTGTTTTAGCTTTTTATGCTACTTACAAACAATCTAGTGTCCGACTGAGATCTCAATCCAACCATGGACTTGGCTCTTTCGAAGTTTCGACTAGGTGCACTTGCAGAAGGTGATGACTGTATAGTATACAAGCATTAGATTAGGACACAGTTGTTATTATTAGTGTTCAACAGTGTCAAACAGACGAAGAAAAAAATTCAGGTTTAGTTTCAAAAAAAGAATTCTCAAAATTCAAGAATCTGCATGCATGCACATTCCACCTCTGAAATGATACGTTTACGCGGCCGACACCACGTGTTTTTGGCGTGTTCTGAACACCGTTTTACAGATTACGGTTTAGTTCAATTTAGAATGGCCGGACGTTTTTCGTTCAAGCTCATACATGCATGCGTATAGCACTGCTGCGTGCATCCAGTGACTGAGTCGGGTTGAACATAAGAACGTTTCTATGAATTGAATGTCATGAGCTAGCGTCTGGTTATTCTGCCACCCGAGACCATATACGGGGAAGCCGGCAAAGTCTGGCCAATAGGCATACGGAAGGGCGATGAAGCAACTAAAACAGCGCACTTGACAGTGAAGAGACAATTCAGGGCCATTGTTGAGGGAGCGTTCTATTGTGACTATACTGCTGATGAACAGCGCTAATGGAATATTCAAGTACATGTACATGTATGTTTTTTGTTTTTCCATAATTATGCATGATTGTACTCATTTTGACCATGATAATGTGAGAATTCATGGTAGGCTATCATCAAAAAATCATTTTTTAAATAATGTGAAAATTATGTGAGTTCAGGCATTATAGAATGCAGACTAAGCGATTATATCAATACATTTTACCATACAACTGCTCATTTGTGTAGACAGTCAATGGTGACTGTGCATCCACTGTGTCACTGTCATCATCATCATCATCATCACTTCACATGCTACGTGAGTTGGCAATGGTGGAGGGTCGGGTTTCCTTGCCATGATTGTGCCGCATCGTTCCTACTTACAGGGTCTCTACAGTGAAAACCGGCTGCTGACGGTAGGTGGTTGTCCACAGCAGAAGCCAATTGCTTCAGATTAGACTACTAGTACTAGTTTAGGCGGACACACAAGGCTGCGGATATAAAACTCTGGGTACCGTATTTTCCCCACTTAACTTCTGACATGTCACATAACTGTAGGCATGGAAACAACCAATCGCATTGCACCTAGCAGGGCCTAGATGAGGCGATCAAAGCACGCTAGAACTTCACACTGGCTGAGTGGGCTTTGATTATCCCATCAAAGCCCGCTCCATGAGGGCTTTGATTTACCGATCAAGCTCGCTTTCTTTTCACAGCTGTGTTCATGTTCTGTCAGCCAATCACAGCCCATTGCGAAATATTATTTTAAAGTACGATACGAGTTTACAAGTGTGGGTACATGCCAGAAATGTGATCAAAACATGCGTACTAAGTGTTCGAGCAGCCTACATCACAGCCCTTCGCGCTTCACGCGGCGGGCTGTGATTAGCTAATCTCACACTCGTGCTCTTGTTTGATTTCATACTTCAAGAGCAAAGAAGGAGGACTTACAATCGAGCGTGACATCTTACCTACGTGACTATATTGAAACAATATTGCTCTCCTGAAAAGGGGTGTGCGACTTACAATCAAGTGCGACCTATAATCGGGGAAATACGGTACTGTTCATAACTGCAACGATACAAGTGATACTAAGCATCCACACTGTCCCAAGAGTATAGCTGATGTGAAATTGTGCACTACAACTGCACAAGATTTGCAGAGCTTCACAGGCTCTACCGTGTTCTGTTCCAATATTATTTTATCATGATCACATAAACTCACTGGAATTTCGTCGCCCAGCGTGGGTGGAGTGTCTTCAGGTGGCGAGGTCGGACTTTCTTCAGTTTGCACTGCGCTATCTGAGTCGGCTGATGCCTGTACCATGAGTTCAAGGAAACAGAAATAGAGACCAACAGCGGATATAGTCAGATTAGTGTTACGTTGTCCGCAGGCAGTGGCACTCATATGCAGTGCTGGCCAGTGTAGTCTCTCCTTGTGTGTACTACCAGGGCGGCCAAGCGGAGCAGGGTCACAGCACTGTTGCTGCTGGGGCTCAACATTCACATCTGGCACTTCTTTGCACACAAAGGCGAGTTGCACTGGCAGTTCCAAAAGAGAGGGCAAATTGTTGACCTTCGTGCGATCTGATTTCTGAGCAAGGGCAATCTCGTGGCGGTCTTAATAGGTGTTTAATAGCTCAGAAACTACCAAGGTATCTTACAGATTTAATAAAAATCAATAGACACCATGCACCCTAAGTAGAGATCTCAGCGCGTGCAATGCGCAGGGTGTTTGCGCATACATTGCGCCATCGAGTTTTGAGTGCAGCTTGCGGACACAGCTACAAAATGGCGACGGTTGATTTTAGGCACGACAGTAGAAAAAGTTACGATCGACACTAGCGGAATCGTCGTTCGAACACACGGTAATTCCAGCCAATGCAAAGGACAGCGTGACCAAGGCGAAATCGCCCCAGTTGATCTTCCTATAATTTGCCATGCGACAAGAACCCACTTCAGAGAAGATTCAGTGAAAAATTCAGATGTTTTCTCCGGTCAGATTGTCCTAACTTCAATTTTCAGCGTATCAGCCATCGTGAACATCGCCGCCATTATCACTCAGAAAGAAGACATCGCGCTCAGAAGAAGAGGTGTTCATGCTGCGCCCAAGCGTGAAATATTGCGTTCTTTGACCCTCCATAGTTCCTCTGAGTGAGTGTCAGGGAGATAGGTAGCTTGGAGATTGCCGTAGAATTTCTTTCCTGGATGCAACATTCAGCCATTTCTACTGTCTTCTTCAACTTGATTTATTTTGAAAAAAATGTTCTTTTTCACGGTTTCTGCAGTGGACGCGTTTGGGATCGAAAATCTCACCTGCGCAAACTGTCTGCGCAGTTCACGCGCTGAGATCCCTACCCTAAGTAAATGAACACTGTTGCAGCAAAATTCACATAGATGCACAAAACATTTGACTGCTTGCAGAAGTGATATCTGTAGCATCCTCCCTTTTTATAGAGTTGAAAGACCACACTCAGTGATCTCGGCACGGCACCTAAGCAGGTTCCGTCCGTTATCCTTCCCAGTACACTCTGAAGTATATCACCGCAACTTGTGAGATGACAACAACCAAGTTAGCACTGTATAGATTATACTGGAACCCATGCTGACAAAAAAATTGATCGATCGACTGTTCACCCTCAAAGGGCGAACAGTGATTATTGATTTATGCACGGCCAAAAACATCCGCATACTAGTAAACCATCAAGTAGCAGCAGATCGCGCAGCGCATAGAGAACGAAACATAACGGAAGATGTCCAATCTCCTGGGAACATACACTAAGACCTGAATCGTGGCACAATTTTTTTGCTAGAGCAAATACGAGCAACACAAAATCTACAGGCGGTTCAAACATCAATGTGAAGTCCGGTCAGTTCAGCTATTTGGGGTAGCACACATTCATTATACTTTGCCACAGACCTCTCCACGCCTGATCATGGGGTGGTGTCGTCCCACGGAAGCGGAAAGGTGGTTCTTGACCTGCCCTGTACACGAACCGTCCATTTTTTCTCCACAGAGTGCAGTCGTGCGCAAACAAAAGACTTAAACGCTGAAAATATTTCCCTCGAATGACTATTATGTGCATCGCGGCGGTTGAGTGTGTCAGTGCTGCTTAAATTCTTGTTTATATCAGTGAAGCTGCGCAAAAAAAGCGTCATGTATTAGCAAAACTAAAGTACATTCAAAGCCTCTCACGTAAGCAGTCTAGTCAGGGATTAGACAATTATTATTGATGCTTAGTAAGACAATATTAGCTGTTATTTATCAAAGAGCTTCTCTTACAATGTCCTGCATTGATTTGGAGGCATCGAGTTTCCCAAACCCATGGTGTGACATCTGAAAAAGTATGCGGAGGAAGCGGAACAGTGATTAGCAACTTAACTTCAGATCATTTAATAGACGTTATATTACCAATCAGGATTAAAGATACACATTAGATTTAGCATAAACCCTAAAACTAGCAAACTGACATTAGAGTTTAGATAACGATGAATTTCATGATCACATTAGCCATACGACATTATCATGCTGTGGTGCACTTAATATCTGTTCGGGGAATGGATGTGTTTACAAGTGGAAATATTAATTCCTACCAATTAAGGTTAGGCATCTAGGCAAACTGAGATTACAATTTTACTTTGAAGGAAATATTCAAGAACTCAGTTGCCCTGCAAGATATTTTAAGATTAGTATTTTTATTGAGTTTCTTACTGAACGCTGCATTGCTTTTGCAGGTGTGAATTGCTCGTAGTGATGGCTTGAAGCCTGATAAAGGAGAAGCAGGAGCAGGAGCAGGAGAAAAGCTGTTATCAAGATGAAAGTTTAATTTCATCAAACTTAGGAAGCTGTCGTTAGAAAGAGTCAAGGATTCAGTTCTCAACTATTATATATTTTATTGTATTACAGATTTAACTCGGCCAGTAAATATAATTGAAATAGAAGTTTCCATGAGATTTCTTCTATTTCAATTGTATTACAAATTGAGTATTTTATTGTAGAATGTATTACACCATTGGCATTACTCACTCAAAATTAAGCTCAATGAACAGGGCGTAGAGCCGAAACCAAACAACTCTAGCCTTGTGGCTTAGTAGCCTCCCTTCCTAATGCAGGATGCATCTTCAAGAGACGATCACGCCTACATCCATGATCTGTTCTCATTCCACTTGAAGTAGTAAGCGAACGGGATTTCAACACAGAACACTGGGAAATTGAGCATCCGTGAATTTGCTACACAGAACAGCAAAGTTTACTGGGTGGGGATTAGGCACTTGCTTGTCATTATTAGTGTTAGTGATTAACTGGATCATTAGTTTTATGTGATTCCTTACAGAACGAGGAGAAGCAGGAAGAGCAGCAGGAAGATCATCATCCAACTCATCCAACTCATCCATATCAAGAGATATCTGGATACGCAATAAACGCAAGAGAAGCATCATCCCACCTAGTGTACTCTTTTTATTTATTTTTATTTGGTTAATTGATCAGTTCAAAGTTAATGCGCTGTCTCCAAAACGATTGTTCAAAGTTAGCCACAGCCATTACAATAAAATTAGAATTGGATTAAATAGGACTATAAAGTGCCCCACCACTGCTATGGATTGCCAATGATGACTACAAATCTTTGGATCCACTTGCATCCTATCATTTGTACGGCTCCATGCACATGCGGAGCAGTCTCCTCTATACCAGGGTAACACATCCACCGGAAGCGGCTGGACCCCGAGGGTAGGATAGGAGTCAATGCTGGTAAAGAAAAAAATCACTCGCCATACACCAAAGAGTGTATCCATTTTAACCTGTAAAAAGTAGTAATCTTACGTGAAATTTATTATGTAGTTATTCACATTAGTCATAGATTGAGCAGACATCACTGTTAGGATAACATCTTTAAAAGTATATAATGCTTACATCTGTCAGAGCAGAGGCAGATGTTTCTTGATTGGTACCTAATATCAGCTGTAAAACCAGGAACAGCGAAAGTCAAGTTCTCATTGGTGTATGATATCAATGAATGATGCAATAAACTATCCGAGCAGGACTGTTACCGCCATGCGTCCACAAAGAATAAACTGTGCTGCATTATTACAAGGGGCTATATCAGTAGCGTAGAATTCAGCACATGCGGCCACATACATGGTCAAGTTAACACTCCATCTCCGGTCAAGTTAACATTACAAAGCAGATCAGCAAAATGTCTCGCATGTTAAGGTGTCTGGTTTAAAGCAAACATAATGTTACGGCATGGACAGGACAAACCCACTCCTTGCATGTGTTATACTGCAGTAAAACTTGTGGTTAATCCACTTCTAAACCCCTAATATTACTTTACTCCCCCCCCCCCTCACTCTCTCTCAAAATACCAAATCATTAAAACTGATAAGGCAGTTGTAACTTCTATCACATACTACAGTCAGTTTCAAAAAGAAATGCAATCCCGGGGAGCGCTCGCCGAGTTTACGGTTTTACCGTAGGAGCTGCCAGAAAAAACTCGTTCTGAAATCGAAGAAATATTGCGCGGCAAGTACGAAAAATCCGCGCGCCACGCGAGTTTGCATAAACGTGCCAGCCACGTTGTGCACTTTCTCTTGTTTCATTTATCAAATTTTGGTAAACATTGTGATTGCTCGATTATCTTCTGCCATGCCTCGTCTTGGAGAGGGAGAAAAGTCGATAGTTCGCAATGTTTACGCCTTCTTTCAGTTGGAGAAGTCAGGTGGTCGTCGTGATCGTGGTGTTGCGAAATCACTGGCCGTCCGAACAGCCATGGCGTGCAAGATTACAACGTCGACTGTCAACAATCTTCGTCGAGTATCTGGTACGAAGCAGGGTAAAGCTACGAAGCGTGGCCGCCCTAAAGTTGTTGTGGACGAGTTCACGAGGAGCGTCATCCGGGGGAAAGTCCATGGATTCTACTCCAGGCGCGATCACCCCACTGTGGACAAAGTGTTTGCTCTGTGCAAGGAAGACGAAGACTTTCCAAAAATGTCACGGACGACATTCTGGAGAGTTCTGAAGTCGATTGGCTTTCACTATGTGCAGACGAAGGGGAACACTCAGATAATGATGGAGCGGACTGATATTGTTGCTTGGCGTCATCGCTTCCTGCGTCGGATCAGGGAAATTCGTCGGGAAGGCAGACCAATTGTTTACCTGGATGAAACCTGGATCAATGCCCATCATACTGTTTCTAGGAAATGGTGAGTCTTCCCAAATTTATAAAATCATGGCACTGATGTAGTGTTTGTAACAGTGTAATTTGTTATTGCTGTATGTATCTTTGGATATAAGTGGTGATGAGAACTATTGAAGATGGCTTGGTTTTATAGGTGTTGCATGTATGTTTTCAGCAGTGGATATTTTCTCAATTTGTTCTGGTTCTGTAAGAAGTTACATGTATTAAAATGTTACTGAGAGAACATTTGTGTTGTACAATTTACTGTAGGTATCTGAAAGGTGCAGGAGGTGACAAGCAACCCCATGAAGCTCCGTCTGGGAAGGGCAAGCGTCTCATAATCTTGCACGCTGGTTGGAAAGGTGGCTTTCTACCAGGGTGTGAGTTGGTGTTTGTGGGAAACACCAAGTCTCATGATTATCATGATGAGATGAACGCGAAGCACTTCGAAGAGTGGTGGACGCAGAAGCTACTGCCTTCGATTCAACAACATCTACCGGCAGGTGAGCCAACTGTTCCCTTCTTTTTTGTTGTGTTTGTTACATGTGTGCGTTTCATTTCAAAATTATTTTAGGGAAAACTGCCGATTGCAATTTCCATATATCATAATAGTGGTTGTGTTTCAGCATTGGAACCTTTTCTTATTAAAATAGGGCCATAGTGTTTGATTAGTGTTTTTTGTCCATCTTCATTGTTCTACTGCAGGTGCGGTCATTGTCATGGACAATGCACCGTACCATACGGCGAAGACGCAGGCATCCAAGTGCCCCACCACATCGTCGCGGAAAGCGGAGATCCAAGAGTGGTTGAGCCAGCGTGCTATCCATTGGACTCCGGACATGGTGAAGAAGGAGCTTCTTGATTTAGTTAAGTTGAATAAGCCTAGTCCTAAATATGTGTGCGATGAGGAAGCTGAAAAGCAAGGGATTGAAGTCCTTCGCCTTCCTCCTTATCATTGCATTTTCAATCCTATTGAGTTGGTATGGGCTCGGCTTAAGGCGAAAGTAGCCAATATCAACACTACGTACAAGATAGGTGACGTACAGGAGCATGTTCATAGTGTGTTTGCAAGTCTGAAACCTGAATTGTGGTCGGGTTGTTGTACACATTGCGACAAACTTGTTGATCAAGCATGGGTTAATGACGGTTTGCAAGATGAGATGATAGATCAGATCATCATTGAACTAGGTGATAGTGACGATAGTGATGACGACGACGGTGATGACGACGAAGACCTTGTCCATGAAGATAACGACGATGATGATGATGCTAATGATGATGCAGGTAATTAAATTTTGTGGTTCTTTTTCCTGTTCTGTGCTTGAGTTTTTGTGATTTTACAGGTATTCATCCCAAGTGGTGATGGGTTTTCACCACAATTCAACCGGCGGTCCTGAGGTCCCTTGCGTGAGGAACTCCCGCCATTTTCCTAATCGACATTCCAATCACCTCTATCTTCTGGAAGGACGCTCTCTCTACTCACTGTCAATCCCTTATTACAAAGGATATCAGTGTGGACAGTGGCATATACCGTAAAACAGCATACATCTTACGACACTTCTTTCTTGCAATATGATGATTTCTTTTGACCTTTATGACAACCCCATTTCATTATTGTTATTACTATTGCCATGTCTTATTGTTCTACTATCAATGTATGCGTGCCCTTATACCACTTTCAAACAAGTTAAAAAAAACTGGAAACCGAGCACGAGACGTGTGTATGTGTCTGTGCGTGTGTTTATGTGTTCATGGACAAGGAAGCAAGATTGTGGGTGGGTGGCTATGACAGACGGATTATATTGAGTCCCACTCTACTTTACTTTGGTCTTATCTATGATAGTATTGTGCGTCACAAGAAGACATCTCGGATCTCCATACAGTAATTATTATGCTGGTATGGTCACGGTCACGGTACTTCTCCTCTGTGCTTTTATAGTGCCACAAAATCAATGGAAAAAGAAAAAGAAATACAATTGAAGATAGGCTGGGGTTTGAACCCACAACTTCATGGTCCAAAGACAGCAAAACAATAGAAAAAAAGGTTACGAGTTGAAGATAGGCTGGGGTTTGAACCTACAACTTTACGGTCGGCAGACAGCATGCATAACCACAAGGCCAAGAAGACAAACGTAAATCGCGGGTTTTTGATAAAAATCGCTACTGGCTTCCTGGGCAAAGTCTAAACCATTGGAAAAGGCATGAAACCTGGCCGAAATTCTAACTCCTTAACGGTTGGTCCAATTGTTCCGAAACCTTCACAGAACAATTTGCCGTGCCCTAACAAGCCCTTCTATGTACTTTGTTGTTCAGAATTCCCTTATCTTCATACTTTTTAAGACCCAAACCTGATTGCTAATCTTTTTGAAACAGACTATAGTACCAGTACACATTCAAGTTCAACTCGTAACAACCATACAGTAGAGAACTTCCTGTACAACTGCCATGCTTACGTCACTCTCCGAGCAAATAGACTGCCTTGACACCATTCCGTGCTCATATGGCGCCTATAAATAGGAGAGGGAGAGAGAAGCAAGACAGAACCTCAAGAGCGAAGATGAAGAACGGAATGCCAGAAGTGTGGTTTATAGGAGCAATCAGGTTATAAATCCCAATCTACAACTCACATTTCCTGTCTGCCCCGTTGGTCATATTTTGATGGGGAATGTCATGGGAACAGTGTATCAACAGTAATTCATGTAAACAGTAACTCTCTTTTTCTAGCCTGTGTTCAGTCGTTCAAAAGGCACGCAAAAAAGGATTTTCCCCAAAAATGGTGATGAGTATCGATCGAAAATTGGAATTCGAAGAGATAAGAATACAGCATGTGATATCTCTGGAGTCCAACATCGCAGCTCTTCGGCGATTGTTGCATTGGAGAGGGTGGAGTTCTATGAAGGGAAAACTGGAAAGTCCTGCCGTGGAACTGATATTTAGGGGATAGTTTACTGTTAGAGGGGTAATGTACGCTGTGCAGGCTCTTTGAAGTGTCTGCTCCAGCGCCGGGTGAGCCGGGTAATCCACCCGGTTGGGCGGCGCTTGGACCCGGTTGAAAATATTACCGGGTCACCTGTGACCCGGTTGGTACTTTACACTTTCGAACTTTGAAAGGACTGACTACATGGCTTGTATGTGTTAGATACTTCTTCTTTCGTAATTTTCTAATTCCTGTCCTCTCTTTTCTAAATGCGGCTTATCCATTCGCCTTTATATCATTGGGCATAGTTTCCGTTTATTGTCCGAATTAAAATAAACCAACCAACCAGTTAAAGCATGTGACTCGGCTCGGACAGCGCCAGGTACATGTGTACCCGGCTCCGACCCGGTTGAAATGGTTGCGCCAGGCACAGGTGTACCCGGCTGTCCTACAATCCTAGAGCAGACACTGCTTTGCCCAGAGAAAAATCATGTAGGCTCCAGTAGAGAATGTTATTCATCCAAAAAAAAAGAGAACTGTTTGTTTTAGTAGAGTTATGCCCAAATGATCAGGAATCTAGCAGCATTAGACAAGGATCTGCTTAACATTAGCTTCTCATCAAGAACATGGTTCAAATACATTCGCTGAGTCGGGCTAAATTTTCACCTGGAATTCCGCCAGGATGGAGTTAAAATTCAACTAAAGATGAATATCAGTAATTCAGTATGTCCGCAATTCTCCAACTAAATGACTTTTAAGAACTCGTACCAGGTTAGCCTATACAAGAACTCAATGGTGAGACCCGACGAAAACGTGGGGTTGTTGCAGATGAATATCAAATTAACCTTAACAAGGATGACCCATTAAAAACGCTCGCTACAGAAATAAAGAATAGTTTCAAAGCCTGAAGAAAATGTTGAACGGTCTTTGTTGGGATGACGACTACACCATAGCTCAGTGGTTAAAGCATCACCGACCTATAGGGCTTAAAAGTGATGACGCCAGAAGTCAAATCTAACAACAAATACCAACTTTTGGATCCACTCTGCCCATGGTAAAGTACTGTATAGCGGGAAGTTTTCGGACGCAGCCGAATTTCGACCTTTCGAACGGATTTTATTTTCGTGCAGTGCTGCATGCTAAAGGCACGTGTTCGCATGCAGTACGCGTGTGCCAAGGCGCATTGCATGCGTGCTATGCATATACGGCTAGCTAGCTGTACTACGCACTAGTCCTGAACAGGAGCCAGTCATTGTACTTGCAGTCCTCTCATGATGAAACTTGAACAAATTTTAGTGCGGAATTAATTTTAGTTCAAAAGAGGCCGCGTACGAAATCGTACGAAAATAAATTCCGTCCGAAAATTTCCCGCTATACAGTATGTGATATGGGTGGGTGGACCCCTCGTGTCACACGTAGGTGTGATTTTTCTGTACCAGGAGTGGGTCCCTGACAGGGAGGTTCCAGTCCAGTCACTACCGGTGGATGTGTCACTATACTGTGGAGGAGAGTCACCCAACCGTGCATGGACCCATTAAAAAAAAACTGGACATGAGGAGATCCAAAAGTCGGCGCTGTCATGACCGCGGGCTGGCTGTGACATAGCACGTCAAGCACTATATTATAGCAAAGGTCCCTGGTTAGAGTCCTGGTACTGACAGTCAATTTTTTCTTCAGACTTCCTCCCTTTCATTCAAACGAAATTAATGATGAATTAAAAATAATGTTAAGTTATGTTAAAAAGATCATAGTTGCTTACAATATCCACACTGTCAACTCTGGATGATCGACTGACACTACTGCGGTCCACATTCTGAAGTGCTCTTGCCTTCGCGGAAAAGCAACACAATACCGGTACGAAATATTATGAACGGGTATGCACACCACAGGACGCTCTTGGTTGGGAAATAGAATGGCTGAGAGGCTCAGAGCAGACACCCGGTCCTGCTAAAATTCCACCATGCACAGTGACACACTCACACTGAAGGTTCGGGAAACAGGCGACAGATTCCACTTTCCACCGCCGTACGAGACAATGGAAATGTCCCCAATATGCGGCACAAGTGTGCCACAAGCATAGTCATTATTTTTAGGGAAAAAATGATTTCATTATTGAACTGTATGCATTAGATTATTCCTCTGGCAATATTCCAGACTGTATTTTAAGTTTAAAAACAAGCTATGCATTCAGGACAATTCTGCAAGCAGTTCACATACATTATTATCAACAAAGGATCAATCCAGCATAAAGACTAATTAGATTGAGCGAGTTTAAAGGGAATGAAAATGCACTGATAGAATCAAAGTACCCGGCACATAGTAAAGTTACAAAGGTACCAAATAAAGTCCAGCACCGATTTCGCAAACACGGCGTGTCTGCCCCTGCATGGTGAAAAGCATGTAGACCTACGGACCGGCATGTAAAGAGCAGGCATGCACGTGCTCACAAAACCAGGGGCTGGATATCAATTGCCGTCACAGCAGGTCAGCGTTAGAAATGATGGAAATAAGGCCTCGGTTATATAAAGGCTGCTTATGCCCTCTAAACCTTTAACTCTGGATGTTTGCCTGGCTACACGAGCCTCTGTCAGTAACTGCCTTAGCTTTGTGACAAAGCAGAACACAGAACAATGTGTGTAGGAAGCATTCACATAGCTATTCATATAGCTATCATAACAACCATGCTTAAAGCCGTATTTCTGTGTGCCGCAATGCTCACAGGAGGATTACTTACATGCCCCTGCCGTTACAAACACCTCACTGGTATTTGATGATCAATGGAACAACCCGTCAACTCCAGGGAGTAGCACTTCAGTTAACGTCGGGTAAAGAATCACGAGAGTGACCCACCACCTGGACCCCTTTGTAATCGGGTTTTGGAGGCGAGGTGGATGAGCAAGTCCAGACTGTAGGCCATACTACGTGTACATTCGACACACATAACATTGTGCTGCAAACAGTGACCTGCTACAGGGACATGTGCGGCCCCAGTACACTCGGGTTCTTACATCATATGACCTTAATTGCACTTCATCATACAATTGTCCTTTTCCCGGCTGTAAATCAAGGTGGGACTCTCCCACAGTGCTTCACCGTAATGGGAAACAAACAAAAAAAACACAAAAAAACACCTCATATCAGAAGCACAACTAACCTTTCGCTGGCGGGCAAGGAAGCGGCGGAAACAACGTTGAATGACAACAGCTACATGCGTGAGGCGGGCCTGGACTGCAGTTTGCAAGTTGCGCTCAATGTAAGACTTCATGAACACCTAACAAACAAAGGAACCAAAAACAAACCACTGGTAAAAACACACGCACAAAGCACACAGGTCTAGGAGTGGACGAAAAGCACTGTAAGTGAATATGAAGAACTTGTCTTCAAGTCGTTTGCAACTCCCTCAAACTAATGAATATCTCATGAACTGCATACAACAGCACGGGGACTTCAGGTGTAGATGAAGAGGAAAGGAAGACTTAGTAAAATGACCCGGACATTCCACAGGCTCTTCTTTGCATACCTTGCAAGATCCAACTTGCGCCTGGTCTTTGCTGATTGCTCGATCTTCCAAAAGAGCCTCTACCAACTGCTGTGTGTTACCGATCGCAGAGCTGGGCACGAGGATTCCAAAGAGATCCAAGAATTCCTGGCAGCAAAGAGAAAGACAGCAAAAAGAATACGGTCAGTACCAACAGGAAAGTGCTCTCACGACCTGCTGAGGGGGTCATCATTGTTTCCTATTCAACCCGTGCAGACTATTTCTGTAGGAACACGTGGCTGCCATGGATGAATCATTTTATGATGTCAACCATCTATGCAGTACAAGTAATGCGAAGGAAGACCGAACACGGCTGAAAAACAAAAGAAAATGCCCAACATGACTCTTGTTCTTTATACTGCTACTAGTAGTTGAGGCCACAGTCACCCACCACCATGGTCAGGAGAATGCAAATGTCTCGAGGTATCTACTATCCAGCAGTACACTTACTCCGATCGGCATACGGATGTTATAACCGAGTTGACGAATGCGCACTGTTTCCAGCATACCACAGTACCGGAGCTGCGTGATGATTTTCTTTTCATCGAACGCCAGCGGTTGCTATGCACATCAGAAGCAAGCAAATGAAGGTGACATGCACAGTACAACTTAGTACAATGCTGTACGCGGCATTAGAAAATGTGCACTAAAGACAACAAGGCGGCAATCTGCAGTAATAAAGTCGAAAGACTGGAGACCACACTGAATGGAGAACACCCGATGTATTAGAAGCTCGGCACAACACTTAGTATTGAATGATGCATACCAAAATGCAAAGGTTAAGATATAGGACACTGACAACATGCAGTCAGCCTAGCAAAAGGAATCAACATATCAACATGCTTCCTCCATGCCATGGTTATCATGAGTGGGATCTACAAGCTCTTAGCTCATACCTGTGTAGGATTGGACTTGATACAGCGCACAAAGTAGGGGCTAGACTGTCCGAGCGACTCCATGAGCACATTGAGAGATGTCTGAGAAACACAAACATACAGATGCAAGCAAGGTGTACAACATGTATGCTGTGTACCATCCTGCCGAACACATGGCAATGTACTGATATAAGCGGAACGTTGTGCCCTATGGTAGACCCATGAAGGTTTCAGCTACAGCTGCCAATCTCCCATGTCCGTCGTAGGGCGAAGACAGTTTGCAGCAAAAATCCCCGAGTGTGAAGAGTTATTTTCTCCGATGGACATTTGAGAATTTAACCATTACTCACAACCTGCATATCAACCTCTACTCGTCGCAGAATCTGAAACTGCTAAATTCTGCAGTATGTACATGCGTGATATATGAACGAGCACATCTACTCTGATTTACTATATGTACGAGTACTTTGATTTACTACACTGAGTATGAGTACATGTACTCTGATTTACTACACTGAGTACGAGTATGAGTACTCTGATTTACTACACTGAGTATGAGTGCTCTGATTTACTACACGAGTACGGCTAGAAAAAACACCGAGCAAATACTCGAGACACAAGTATAATTGTTTCACCTCTAGTTTGTCAATACTCTAAGTCTACAAATGGTCGGCCCATTCAAATGTCGGCCTCCCGGGCTAAAACACATTTCGACTGCATTATATTTTCAGCATGTACTGCTGCTGACTGTATACTGTGTAAAGTGAGAAACTTTCGCTATTTTCGTGACCATCAAACATTCGCGAATGCAATTACTTCAAGTAATTAATCGCGAAAGTTTCTCATCGTGAACCAGCGCAATTCTTGAAAATGCAAATTTGGCTGCCATGAAAGTTTATTCCTTTGCAGTACACTGTCACACTGAGCCTCGCAAAACAAAACTTCGGCCAAATATGACCAGGCCAAAAATAAAATGAATATGCACCGAATATATGTGGACCTACAGTATGCTGATAATAACACTGACCAGTGCGCAGTAAAGTCAAGCCAACCAGACCCCAGTTATATGTGCCCCTAGACTGGATAGGGTTGTTTGTGAACCTTGCAGTAAGTGTAGCATTACTAGTATCTTGTGTACGCAACTCACAGCACTGTACAGGTGTTTATATTGTGATACGTCGTAATGGTGATAACTGCGTAATGTAGACACTTGCATGGTCACAAGTGCCATATTATTATTATTATTATTATTATTATTATTCAAGAGAGGTGCTCCTTACCATGAACTGCCCACCGACCGTGGGACTCTTGTTAGACTTTTTAGCTGTCTCCTTCTCAGGCGCAGGCTTCTGAATCTTGGCCTAGGAGCAAAGAATGAGAGCACCAAATAAGCATGCCGTCAAACCGACCCCAGTGGAATGCAGCCAGGTGAGGAACGTGCTGCAAGCCTCACCTCACCGAGAGAATATCTACACAAAGTGACTGTAACTACACTCTACAGATGACCTAACATCTCAAACAAACTGCATGTTACCAGCAGCAAGGAAATCATCGGGATCCTATTACAGTCGTCCCTCTCTAATCCGGAACCCTTGCCAACCGGCGCACTTTCTGACGAAACCGATTTTTTTCGTTCAATTCCTACACCTTAATCCGGCACTTGAATTCCGCCTCCGGCAATGACTTTTTGAAACGAATCGCTCAAACTGCACGTAGTTTGATTTCCTAATCCGGCAGTCGTAAATCGCGTACCGTACAGGTGCACTCCTTGCTAGGCCAGGCTAGGCCAGTCTGGTCAATGTTGTCCAGGAGACAACGGCAGTCAACCATACTTTCTTATTTTAGCAAGGAGTAGTGTCCTGCCAATTTTCAGGTGTGTGTGTGTGTGCGTGTGCAAGAGTACATGTGAACATGTTCTCTGTTTTACTTTATTACTTTATCACTGTGTATATTCCTGGAGAACAATTGAGAATATAAAGCCGTGCACCAAATACTTGGGTCGACACGGAAAAACCCTGCGTTTTGACGTACATATGATACATGCATGCAATTGGGTAGGGCCGGGTCAGAGGGCAGGATTTCTTAATCCAGCAGAAAACGCCGTAGCAAAAGGTGCCGGATTAGAGAGGGACGACTGTACTAATGATTGGTAACGGAGTGGGTAGCTCATCTCTCGTGAAAATATAATTATAGCTACAGCGGTATGACACGTGAGATAAGCATACCCTTGCAGAATACTTACAACTTGTGCCATATCAACACTGGCGCGCTTGTGCAGATGCCTGCAATACGTAACAGGCAAGGAGCATAACAGCACATAACAGCACAGAGCATCATGTGTAAGTCCGTGGGCATGCAAAGCCCATGGCCAAAGCAACAGATACAGGTACCACAGTATAAGCGCATGCATGAACCTAGAGCCATGTTCTTACACAAGTCCACCAAAAGTGCAGTAGTGGCATGTGAAAACTGGGGGGTTCCCAGTTTCACTGTTGTCGCCATTGCAACAATCCTTTTTGTGAATCCCACGTTGCACTTTGTGCAGCGCACCGTGTAAGCCCTTGTTGTAGAAGATGAACCACCAGCCTGCTAATAGTGCCTTCAAATATGCCTGTGGACTTTTGCGCAGGACTCTACGCTATACCATTGCAACTTAGCAAAGACCAAATATACTCCCATGGTTGTTCCTGAATGAAAGTAGAGCCAGGGATGAAGAAAGCCCAGAGCTAAGTAAAGGGGAAAGGATGAGGTCGAGTTCAGAGACTGACTATACTGGATACTGACTATATATACGGTGTACAGACTACATACTGCATACTAACTACATACTGCATATTGACTGCATAGTTGACACAAGGCAGAAAGTCATAGTGACAGTGCTTACCATGACTTTCTCTTCTTACGGAGATCGATAGGACACAGCTGATTGGTATCTGCATTCACAAAGCACAAATGAAAGTAAACATCACATAACAATATCACAAAGGAATTCCCAACGAATAATAACCTAAGGAAAACAGAAAAATGACACTAATTTACGATGCCTTAGACGAGAGGAGATAAAGCACTGTACCAGTATTTGGAAAATGAACACAAGAGTGGTTCTTCAAATTGATCTTGACCTACCATCATCCTGCACGTCCTCCTCCGATGCTGAAATCAACTTCCAGTACTGAATGCTGGAAATGATGTCAAATGCCTTGCGCCATCTCCGGAGAGCAGAGGATTCTTTGACTGGATAGACAACACGAAGGAAATAGAATATCAAGCAACTATGTTGAAGAGCTTCAATCGAACCAGTTCTGAATCATAATCAGCCCGTTCTTTGAGGCTAACTCTCCACATCCCACAATCAGGGGCACGTGTGTGAACTACTGCTAGGTACAAGCAGAACCCCGCTGGCTGTTTACTAAAGCAAAGATCAAGCAGTAAACAGCAACATTGACAGCTGTTTTCAGATAGCCACACAACTCTTACAGATAAGCTCGCGGATAAACGGCGTGCGGCTGTTTTGCAGCACGTGGATGATGTCCTGGCGCATCAAGTCTCTGTTTTTGTCACGGAAACCCTGCAGTTCAACAAAAGGCAAAGTGTACATATTAACCCTTTATCAGCAGCCCGATACTCTAATGCATCGTAAACAAACCATTTGACATGCATACAAGACCATGCCAGGCATGGCAGGAAGCATCAGTCCAAGAGGATATCCCGTGGCCCTCACACAGTCCAGGTAGGATACTCGCGGTGGCTGAAGAGATCCACATGAGTCCTACTTGATTTCATTGACAACTGCGCGACCAAAAGCTAATGTTAATGGAGGTACATATGCGCCGGCAGAGTCGTCCGCCTCCGCCAAAACTTTGTGAGGTGTATTTTCTCTTGTGCACAGATGATTTCTCGGGGGAGGACCCAGCATTCCTTTGCTCTGAGACTGACTGCAGATAGAATACTTCTTTCCAGCCGCAGTCACAAGCAAAGTTCAGTTGTGGAGTGGAACGTGTGCCAAGTAAATTCCCACGCTAATACACACACCCACACACACTTACATCAACAGTGTACGTCACATGACCGGCGTAATGCTGCACAATGAAAACACCGCGTTGATGTGGCACTTCGAAGCAAGAATGTGACTTGTGCGTGTGGGAACATTTCTCAAAGAGTGACTTGTCATTTCCCTGTGCCAATCTGATGGAGAAAAGCAAACCATTGCAAAAGCATCACAGCAGAGGTAGTAATTATGGTTGTGCTAGAAGAAAAGAAATGAATGCATGGATCCTGGAACCAGAAAACTCATCACATGTTACAACTGTATCGAGGTGATGTGGAGATCATGAAAATTATACTGAAACTTCAGTACAGCTGTATGAAGTAACCTGGATTCAACACGCCTTCTCTTTGTATCCGGGATATAACGTACTTATTTGAATACACAGCATGTCGGTTTCCGTCATTTTGCCCTCGGATATAAAGTATTGATGCACGTCCTTGGAGGTATGTTGTACTGAATTGTCACTGCACACTAGATCTGTGAACCGGGACATCCTCTGTACTTGTGCAGGAGGACATGTATGCACTCGGGTTGGGCTTGCAGAAACAATGCATAACCCAATGGAGAATGCTGGCAACCATTTACTGCTGCAGCAACAACTACATGTAGCTTACACAACATGCACTTACACATTAGCCTTGCCTGCATAGGTGAAACCAAACTCGGTTTAGTTTCTGCATTCAGAGACTGCCAGCTAGGCAAAGTGAACCATTCACCTCCTGCAATGAGCACTTCAGGCCCACGCAAAGTCACACGTGCACCTGGTGATCAACTCTACTATACAAAACCAGCAGCTGGATTTTAGTAGCCATCGTTTCAAAGCATGTGTCCTACATTATATAAGTGGTACAGACATTGCCAGGCAACAGTTGCATCACCATACCTGCTCTCCTCATCTATAAGATGGAAAAGACCGGTTGGTCGCTTTGTCAGCAGCTCCAAACACGCATGGTTGTCCACATACTGCACAGAGCTCCAATTGATCCCCTCGCGCTCATACTCAGTCTGCAGCAAACACAAACCACAATGAACTTAAGCTGGCCGCACTGGACCCCCTTTCTACAGTCATCATGGTGGCATTTACGGACCACTGACATACTTCAAAGTCATGCAATTTCAAAGACGACAGGCAGAATTCACTGTGCCATGCCTCGCAAAAACATATTTGAGTAATTATAGGAACAGGACCGAGTTCTCACCTGCTCCAACTGGAAGATGTGCTTGATGAAGTACTGCTGGAGCTGCTCGTTGGCATAATTGATGCAGAACTGCTCAAAGCTGTTGCGCTGGAAGTCTTCAAAGCCAAAGATATCCAGGATACCGATTGACACGGTCTACGTAGGCAGAAAGAAGAAATGAAGACCAGCAGATTTGCTTACATATGCAAGAGGTAAAAAATGAAGCAGATGCACAACCGGAATTCACAATCATTATTGTGAGAAAGCAAAATAGAGGGCTGTGCTGCTTACATCTTTGGTCTTTGTGTGGGAATTGCCGAGCTTATTGTTGAGCTGAAAAAAAAGAAGAAGCAAAGGAAAATGTACTTGATGAACACAAATGTGAAGGATAGACCTGGAGGAATACATAAACGTGGTGATCTTCTGGTGCATAATTCTGGGTATAAACCATCGAGCAACAAACAGAATCCTTACAGAGCAAGACTGGAGCAAGGGACACCACGACACTACACAAGTGGGATCATCAATACCGCTAACTATGCAGCAGATTTTAATCGTTTAACAACCTCTGCTTATGACTTAAGTCTTGCTAGGCTTAGGACAAGCGTGTTTTCTGAGATTGTGGCAAAGACGTCACTGTGTCGCATATGTATGTTGGGACATCGCAATGTAACTGGTGGCATAAGAGCTGAGTAGACGTACATTCAGGAACAAGCTGCCTACAACTTGTATAGGCGTCAGCACGCACACATCCGCTGAACAACCTGAAGCTCGGCTCATGTGTGGGGGTGAACGCGATGTACTCTTGCTAAATTGTAAGTACATGGAAATAAATAAACTGGGTGTCCAATATAGAATCAGGCACAATCACTTACCTTCGCCACAATCCAATCAAAGAGAGCTTCATACAGGCACTTGCCCATGGCCCACTTGTTGTCTTCAGCCTAGGCACACAAATCACAGCCGGAAGAGACATATTTAGTGGGGTTTATCTAGGTATATTATTTGTCAGCGTCATCAAGGGCTGTGTGGGCCCTGAATAGAAATAATTCCAGTGAAGCTGGTATTTGATTCTTGGAGTACGCTCACCTCTTGCACATTGAAGCGGCAGGAGAATTCCTGGCCACGAATGACGGTCTTCTTAGTAACCAGAGCGACACCTAGTGTTTCACGGTGAACCTAGGATCAGAAAGAAGCCAGCAGAACACGCACACACACGCACGCACACACAGAGACGCTATTACAGCACTGCATTGAGAAGTACATATCCCATAATGTAAGAACAGTGTGTCAACGTAAATGTGAGTTAACAGCTGATCGGTCATACCTCTACCACTCTTGCTCTCTCTCTCTATACTTATTCACAGTGTCACATCCATATGAATGTCACCCAGTTGATGTCCAAGCACCTGAAGTGAACTTCTCTGGGATATGCTGTGCGTAGCTGGGCTTAACTCTCAAAACTGGCTCATGTCTTTTCGGCCATCAATAGGTCTCGGGCCTTACACATCCACCCCCGCCCCAGCTAACCATACCGGTAAGCATTTTGCTTTACATAAATTGCCCCGTCATCAGATGGTCTCGGGTTTATACATAGATGTGTGTAGTAAAGCCCATGGCACTACAAGCTCGACTTTCCCAGCAATCCGGTTTCCTACTTAGCACCAGTTGCTCGGCAACAGTCCATACACCTCCCAGCTCTAACTCACTTGCTGCATTTTGCAAAGCATGTTTGGATTGGACCTCCCTTTAAAGTAGTGCAGCAGGCTATCCTCCCTTACCCGCAAAAGATTGCTGACAACACGCAGCGAGTCATTAGTGTTGACCACTGACCCTTCTCCAGACTCGTCATCCTGTAATATAACGGCAGAACAAAAAGATTATCAGGCTCAACTCTATGTAGCACCATCCACTAACCTGCCTTAGGGCGACTGGCATAACAATATGCTGTCATCAATCAGCATGAGCCACGAGGCATGATACGTGCCAGACAACACAAATGCTGGATGCCACTATATACAGTCGACCTACCCTTATAACGATATGTGCGTCAAACCAAGAGATATTGTTATAAGGGTAATATCGTTATAGGGGTTATCGTTATAAGGGTAGGTCGCCTGTAAACAAACACATGCGGCAACTGAGCACACAAGCACTGGGACGTGTACAAAAAGCTGAACGGGGGCAGCAGCTTTATTAATCAACTTACAGTGAAGCCAATGTTTCCCAGATTAAGTAGGGTTGCGATCAACTGGAACACCCTATGACACAAAAGAGCAACAAAAAAAAGCACCGGGAATGCATACATTACATCGATGGAAAGGATCCTTTCGTGCAAAATTGAAGGTACGGATTTTCTGTGCAATTTCTATTTAGTGCTTTGCCGAGTTCAGGCAGGTCAACATGTTTACAATTTACACTGTGAAGCATGATCGACAAGCTAGTCAAAGCCTACAACTTGGCAGAGCAGTACCACTGCAAACACTGGGAGTCTGGTCCTGGTCAGGCCACAATGACAAGTTATGCATTATACAGTATATGCACTGCACTTACTGCTGAATTTGGTTGGGCGTGAAAAACACGCGCATGTTCTCGTTGAGAGCTTCAAACTCCTTGGCATCATCAACGTCGGGTACGGTGTAGCACTTTCCGGCAGGATCCTAAGAAGATGGAAATACGTAGAAGAGAAAAATGTTCAAGTTGCACCAAAGCTCAATGGCAAAATCTCTAAGGAACCCTTTAAACAGACACAAGTATAGGCATGAGACCACAAGAAGATGTCGTCCAATATAGTCATTCTTTAGCACCAAACATACACACATGAAAGTCTCAGACAGACAATGCACATGCAGGTACAGTACATTGTCAAAGCTACAGAGCACATTCTCCAAAGGAGACTGAACATCAAAACCAGGTGTTGGCACTTGCCTCCGTGCCAGAGAGAATCTGATACTTCGTCGTGTCCGTAGACAGAAAGAACCTTGTCCGCAACTTCTTGTCAGCACCAGCAAGCAAGAGGTAGAAGATATGGTAATTCCTAAACAATGGGTGAAAAGAAAGAGGGAGAGAGGGAGAGAGAGAGAGAGAGAGAGAGAGAGAGAGAGAGAGAGAGAGAGAGAGAGAGAGAGAGAAAGAGAGAGGCAAAACAAAAATTGTGAACTCACACCAAGCTAACAGTACTATGACATTTGACAGCAAACAATATGTTTCAGGAGTAACATGGACGAATAATAGGTATAAGGAAATACTACGTAGGAGACAGAAGCCAACGAGACACGTAGTCCGTGAATTATGAATAAGCTAACCTTTCCATCTGGCTTTGCTGGATGAGACGGGACTTCTCAAGCAAATACTTCTCAATGGAGGCACTGTGCAAGAACAAGAAAATACCAAACAAGATCATGTGACAGTAGAAAATGAAGGGTACCAACTAACAACTTTAGAGTGGGCAGTCCCATTTTGGGGTGAAGTAGCACGAAGAAAAAAATCTGTGACCATCATCACATAATGGCTAGGCTACCGTTTTCCATACCACGTCTTCCTTTGAAAATGAAGAAAGGGCTATAGACAATAGAGCTTCCAGGTCCCACACATCTTAGTCTACCCTTGTTAATGAGCATCACAGATTCTCACTGATCACATCCCTTAGCTAGCTATAACCTTTTGTCAAGTTTGGTCATTGGGCATCTGCAATGTACACACTCCTGTACACTCCTGTGCATGCTGGCCGGGACACCCAAGATACAACCTGGGACGCCCAGCGGCGTACTGGGTGCTGCATGCACGCATAAGGTATGCACAGCTGTACGTGCATTGCCTGCAAGTTGTACTCAGTTCCCATGGCTACTGGAGACTCTGTAGTCATTCGTGGTCTACTTGTAGCATGCACTTGGCTAGAGCGCAGCGAAGCCTTCCTGTCGGGATTGTTTGATGTCTCTACACAGGTTTTTTTAAACATTAAACATATTCAACGCAACCCTACCAATGAATTACGGAAGAAAAGAAGCAGGGACAACTAATGGTACAGGCACCATGCAAACAGCTCGCCGACTTTGCACGTACTGTATTATACTGTAGTTTGGAGAGCTCAAGTTGGGCCAATGGGTAGGAATGGAGCGGTTTTAGGAGTAGAGTGGAGTGAAGACTTACCCTTGGTACGAGCCATTGGACCTGAAGTTGAGAATGACAAATTTTCCAAAGCGGCTGGAATTGTTGTTTGAAACGGTCTTGGCATTTCCAAACGCCTGTTGCACACATTGAAATTTACACAAATAAGCACAGCACATACCATAGACACACAGAGAGACACACACACACACACGCACGCACATAAGCGCACACACGTATACTAGTAGATGGGCAGCTCTGAATAATTCCGATCATCCGAAAGCCTGCGTGCAACAGGCAAACCTTCATGAAGAATCCACTCGTTGGTACACACTACGTGTTTTGCATAAACTGAGAAGGGGTTGCACCCAGTACTGCGAGTTGATGAACACTAAAATGGAGTACATCTGGACTAAGTCAGGGGCATGATAACCAAGAATATGTGCTCAGCGACCACTTTCACAGGAGACAGCCTGGCATTAGTCTCTTGAGATTGGTCATCTCGGGACTGACACTATCACCAAGCACACATGTTATCTGTGTAGAAAGGACACCGGACCATGAAGACCGATTTTCGTTCTAATACGGGAGGGCGCAACACACCAAGTGGTTGACTCTAACGAAATCAAGTGGAAAGGCGGAGGAGTTCGGCATTCACCAGTTCATACAGCAATGACCTACATTACAAAGCCATTTCTGAAGCATCAAATAATTCATGATCTGCCCCACTATATGTTGGAGAATGCAGGACTGGCCGGGTATGGCAGTAGCTAACAATTTGCAACGACAGAGCTGCCAGTTCAGAACCCTCGCTATGCTCGCTCTTTCCCTAGGTCGCCATACAAACAACGTATTCTGCAGAGCTGGGCCAGTGATTGATCAATCACTTGGTTGATCCACATGTAATCGCCCGCTGTGCTGCTGCTACGGCACCCACAGCTCTTGATCAGTCACAGATCAGTCATGCGATCAGTCACGTGATCAGTCACGTAATCAGCCACGTGATCCGTCACGTGGTTCGCACCGTCCTACGCCACAACGTAACGTCTTTTGTACAGCTTTGGGGATTTTGCGCGTCTGATCAGTTCTGCCCCGTAGTATGGTCCTTATGAACATTGTACAGATGTACGAATTTCTGTACTAGGGTTGTAGGTGTGTACATACCCGGTTGAGTGTTCATTGTGTGCTATACATGAACGTTTGAACAATTTATCTGCATAATTCAGGGCAAACGATGGCTTTTCCAGCTTCTTCACTTTGTGATTGAACTAACGCCTAGCTAGATCTCTGTCGGAAAACCTTTTCGTATGAAATGCCTTCAGGGCCCACTTCGTAGTGGAAATAGCAGTAAACACAATAGGGTCCTGCACATTCAACACCCAACCGCGCCAACAGGATTCTACGAGATTCTACGGGATTTTGTGCATCTGTACAACGTGCATAAGGCCTATTCGAGCACTCTCAGCGCACTGTGTGCATCCACTGTAAAGGCATCCATGTACATCAGGACGACTCCTTGATGTACATGACTGTAGCCAGTGTAGGTCTACATTTACAGTGTACCATGCATGGTGTAGATCTACTGTGTAGCAGACAAGAAGCATGACTACATAAGTAGGATTTGATGAAAACATACATCACACTGTCACTGATGTGTCACTTACTTCCAAGACGGGGGCAGTACCGAGAATCCTGCGAAGTTCCTCGCTGGTGGGCACTTTGGCACTGACTTGCATAACATGGTGCAAGAGTAGCTTTGTGGCTTCAGTTTTTCCACTGCCACTCTCTCCACTAATCACGATACATTGATTTTTCTTGTTACGGACCATCGACGTGAACGAATCATCTGCAATGGCGAACACGTGAGGCCGGAGGCTCGGATCATCTAGACGACGCCCACGGTACAGCTCTCCAAACTTGGGGTTGTAAATAGGAAGGTACTTGAAGGGGTTGACGGAAACCAAGATTGTACCCACATATGTGTAGATGATGCCTTCGGCGAAGCGCCGTTGAAGATTTTTGAGGAGGGTGTCCTCCGAAAGCTCACTGAGACTACATAAATCATCTGGCCTGTCTTTCACTTCGTCTTGTGTCTCTGGTCCTTGAAAAAAGCGGTCCTGAACAGCATCAAGGTCGAGATCCATGGTTGGGTCGCAACTCCAGATCAAACGTATACTATAACTTACAAAGGTTGTCGGCTCACATTACATACAGATCATACCATGTCATGCCTCGAAAGCTTAGGCTGTGCGTAAGAAGCACCCAGAAGATGAAGGTGGCTTGGAAAGCAACACTGCCTTCACAGCCACACAACACATTGACTCTGGCCTCTACAGAACAGTAGCAAAAATCTGTTACCTCCTAAAACCTTGCCATCCGTGTTTTTTCACTTGCCGAAGCCTTCAGTAAGTTCACCGCCTTCCAGCCTTCGGTGCAGTGACATGCATGCAAGATGCAGGCAGTGTGCACTGTGAAGTGCGCTTGGCCCATGCCATGGTACAGAAAGCCGATCTTGTTTGTGCATCGCATCCGCACGCAAAGCTGCACGGAGTCTACGCAGCACAGACGGTAGATCGGCTGCTTCCGATCCACTGCATGCTACACAGATATGCAGTGCAAGAGCGCGACTTGAAGACAGGTCGATGTGTAGCCGCAAAGGTCACCTGGTCGTGCACTCGATCGAGTGCTCCCAACGCAGATCCCGTACCGTATACGCGGCCCGCATATATCGCGCGCGCCGCGCGCAGTCGATCGAGTCCGCGAGACTGCGACCTCCCGGCCCCACGTACAAAAAAGTCAAAGGAACGACGTAGAGATCGCGTTATGTCGAACGCGAGTCGCTGACTGGCGCATGGCGGGCTAGCTAGCTGCGCATACGAGTCGTACCGGAAATAATTTTGTGGATATCTGCAGCAACCGACCAGTCAGTACGAACTCGTAGACCAGTCTCGTACAGACTAAGTGCCAGTGCCAGTGGCCACTACAGCTACAGCACTAGTACTGTAGTCACTACTGACACTGACTCTGACAATACTCAATAAAAGATGCGAAATGTGGGCATGTACCGGAACGAGCACACGAGTACGAGTACAATGTCATAATGTTTCAAAAGATTCTCATCAAAAGAAGTGAGTCGGTCGCGGTCGTCTTTTTTGTTTGTTTTTCACAAGTAGATTCTACCAGTGGCAGTGCCAGTGGTCTACACACCACTTCCACGCTACAATGATGTGTTTTGTAGTGATTGTAGTTTGCAGTTTGTGATCTGTTGCATGTTGCTGTGGATCATGATGATCGATGGCAACAGTGGTCCAAGCTACGACTGTACTTGCATTTGACCTCAGATTTGTAGCTCTGGAGCCTTTTGTAGGTCACGGTATTGTAGGTGTGGTTTTGCGAGATCTTCAAAGTTTTGCTAGTTTTGACAGCTCTCAAGTTGTCATCAAGTTGACTATGCTAGTAGATTCCTTTCCACATGAGTCCACCATTCAATGCATTTTTGGCTGGGTTGGATACACTCCTTCCTTGAATACTTACCTGACATTGTGCTATCAAGAGTACAGCGGTGTACATAAGTATTATAATAGTTCCTGGAGCTCACTCATGATGATACATGTATACATGTACATTACTCTTGCTGCAATCCTATGAAAAGCTACTGTCCACGGCCACTGTGACGCTCCAAAGCAGCAGGGAATATTGTGCTTCTGTTTGCGTTCGACTTCCAGCAGGTCCGGAAGGGACTGATATGCACCTACCGCGGGCAGGGTTGGCATGTTGTACTCTCCTTGCATGTACAGCCGCCGTACAGCCGCCGTACAGCCGCCGTCTTGACAATGAGCCAGAACTCTAATATACCGGTACATGTATAAACATCCGTGATGTCAAAGGCAGGTGAACGTCTATGTACACGATAGTGAAAGCACCGCTTATTCTGAAGACCCAGACCAGGAACGACCCTGCACTGTCCACGGTGTGCCACTGCCATTTACTTTTTTGAAGTACTGTACCAATAGTTATGCAGTACTAATGACAATATGCCACAGTACCTACTGGTCACTACGAGTAGCACATTGTACGTGACTCCTGCATGAGGAGAAAACCGGAACATCTCGTTTTAATCCGGCATAAATGAGGTGAAACTCACAGTGACACATGTATGTATGCACATAACTGACACACACACACACACACACACACACACACACACACACACACACACACACACACAATAACATACACACACCGTCAATAACACACACACACACACACACACACCACACACACACACACACACACACACACACACACACACACACACACACACACACACACACACACACACAATAGCACACACACACCATACACACAATAACACACACACACTGGCACACACATGTCCACACTGCCAGGCAAAGCTACCATGCAAAGCTGCTCCGCCGCCCGGATAGTCCGCGATACACCATGTGACCTGAAGGGTCCAAGGATTCCGATTGGAAAGGCTTTATAAGTCTTTCCATAACGGCCAATATACGTGACTTCAGTCTACCTGAGGCCGGAGTTGTGGAATACTTTGGTGTACATGTATTACGCAGGCATGTAACAAGCGTGAGTGAGTCTAAATAACGATAGTCGATAGTTCATGATTTGGCTATTTCGAAGTGTTTCCAAGTACATTTGCAGCTATCTTGGAATCTAGAAGTGCAAACAACAATTGAGAAGCTGTATCATGACATGTTCACCAGTAATGGCAGTATCCTAAGTTTTGACCAACCAGCTCCCAGGTATTAGTCTACGCATGACTGACATCTTCCTTCCTGCTCGTCAACTAACTTGAGCGCGCTCACGGTTGCCTTGTGTGCGGGAGTATCTGGTTTATTCAAGACTGATGGCCTCCATCCGTGTATGGCTTACCTTACAAGTACAGGCTGGTGGACGGCTAGTGACGGTAGTGTGTGCACAGGAAGCGACCAGTACTAGTATATCACTGCGGTATACCGTTACTAACAATTATAGTTGTTATCAGAATAATTACTTGCAATGTTTGTCCAGATGTCTGCAATCACGAACTGCAACAAATCACTTGATATGCGTTGGAGCCAGACATGCAGCTTGTTCTTATAAAAGAAGCTTGACTACCAACTGCGATGAGACCAAACACTGTCGAAACAGCTACATATACATGTGGGTAGCTGTACGTAAACTGAGCAATTATTTGCTGCACATGTTAGTATGAGTGCACAAGTGCGAAGTGGGGGTTATGCACTCTTGATGCTAGAGAAGTGCAAGAACGGTGGTGGTAATTTGTCCTCATTACTTGACACAGTATCTCGCAATTTTTGGTCTAACCTGTGCTGTATAACTCTGACACATGATCCACGTCGCAGAATAGTATGCTTTACTATCACCTTTGCGAAGTCCCGTGCTTGTCTGAGCTGAACTCAGTCATAGTGCATTTTTCGTACTATAATTATGGTGGGGCTTGCCCCCGCACCCTTGCCGCTAGGCGCTGCATCTGCCACCGTTCTATATCAGACATGGTGCACCGGTGGTGGGCTGTCCCATGTGCAGGAGAAACTTCCCAAGCTGGTTGTATTTCCCAACACATTGTATATGACCGGTGGTAATCGTAGAAGTGCCAAGTAACAAGTTTACTTTCTTTAATTCTTTGTTGCCATCTTCAATAGCACTGTTCGTGCTGTGATCTGCAAGCGTCGTGTGGTCTCGTCGGGTCAAATGAAAAAACTATTTTACTTTCTTTGCCAGACAATAGCAGTACGAAATAGAGGTACCGGGTAGCAACTTCGGCGCTCACGGTTTGCGTCAGTGCAGGTGGATGTGTTGTTGGGACTTGTTGTGTCCGGTGGTACGCTCATTGCCGCTGTAGCATTTCAGCTTGGGTGGAATAGTTGAGCCGACCTAGGTCCAACTGATAACAAGACTCAAGAGTATATCAGCTCCTATACTCTTACTGATAAGTAGTGGAACCGACTACTCCTTCTGTTCATAGCTGAGATCCTTCCTGATTATAAAAGCATGTACGTGTCCGATCAATCAGTATTCCTGGGGAGCATCACAGTCAAAATTATGCATCACTGGGCAACCTGCATCCAGAGCCACACCCGGCCAACTGTCTTACCCAACTAATGTTACTTGACTCGACCAAGGGTTCTTTTTTAATATCAGCCTTGTAGTGCGCATAATTATGTGCAACACAATGTCCACTGTAGTACTGTACACGTGTGGCCATCTTCAAGTGGCAGTAGTAAATAGGAGCCTTGGTAAGCTACCGTTGAATCTGGAGTTCTATGAGCATCCGAACCTTGAAGCAATTAGCATCCAGGATCAGTCTGTCTGTGTATCTACAATACAGTTGTAAATGGAGTCCGGAAGCCAGCTCGGTGAACTAACTACATAATCATTGTACTTTTTTGGAGTTCTACGAACGAGCTTCCTGACCGCGAAGCATCCAGGTCCACTGTCACCAGTCTGTCTAGGTATGTGTACGTACAAGGCATGCGAAGAACAGTCGTTCCGGTATGACTGAGTCAGCACTGAGATACTACATGCATTGTACTTGTTGTACATGTATCTCACATGACGCAGTCTCCGAGACTCCGACTCATGACTCTGACTCATCATCATGTGTCATGCCTCTCCTATCCGGACAGCAGGCATCCCAAAGCTCTCCAGCGTTTCCTGGCTGGTGTACAGTATTCCTACCCATGCATCTTGTAGCTCTCCATAAGCTCAACGAATTGGCCCAGAAATAGAAGTAGTTAGTTAGTTGACAATTCCGGAAGGATCAGCTCCACCATTTCAGTAACGCAGGAAGTGTGCTTTATGAAACATGCACTTACCGGATCCTGGCCACATGACTTGTACTATTAAAGCAAGGATTAATGATAACTTGGCAAAAGCAGAATGCACAGGAGTGCCCGACACCGTCTCTAGTAGTTGCCATCTGGAGCCGCAAGGCCAAATACACTATAAAGCACTATACACGTACTAGTCTATAGTGCAATCATGATCTTGAGCCATTCCCTGCGGCAACCTTGATGAGAAGGGAACGAAAACGTTTGTTAGACTAATATAATAGTTGATACCATATCGCAAGTGTCCTTGACTGGATGTGTGGCTTTGCGTAGCTGCATGCGCTCTTTACGTAGTTACTCGAAGTACATGCTCAATCTCCGGACAGAGCTGTTTCGATCTTGATAAGGCAGTGCAGGAACGTTGGACCAGCTACTGGACTAGTGCTCAGTGTGCTGGGCGCAGACTGGCCTTCACTTCGGGCTTCACGTGGAAGACAAAAAAGGTGGAAGACCAAAACCATGCAAGGTTATCACTATTGTTGACTGCTACCATGTCCATGGCAATCAATCCCCAATCCTAAGTAGCTCGACGATTGCCATACCGTAACCCGGTATCCATAGTATCATAGGCATGAAACACTAAGTAGCAACATCTAGACGTCTCCTGTTCTTACCCGGTGTATTTCTTGGCTTCCATGTACCGGTAATATACCATAATTAATTATGTGTGTGTGTGTGTGTTTAAGGTGGCAGTCTGGGTTCGCGGCCCGACCGCATGAACACAGCCGTAACTTCCATAATAATTGATGAATTTTGCTCAAATCTTGACCACATACCCAGTGTATTTCACTAAGTCCAATGAAGTATAAATCAAGCTCACACATGGGAATCCGCAGGCACAATAGTCAAATCTGCGATTATGCCGTACCACCAATACCTTAGACGCAATATGCAAGCGCAGAAAGAAGCTGGGTAGAAACTGAGTGCTCCACAGGATTTCCTTCACATATACCTAGGTGCTAAGTGGAGCGGAATTTTGAAATCATATTCAGAACAAAGTACTCAAGCTGTCAAACAAAAATCATGCAATCGCGCAAAATTTAGGTCCTCGATCAGTAGCACTTTACTCAAAGCTACTACACAAATATAAAAATCCATGACACTTAGCACCTTGATAAATGCTCACAGTTTCCAAAAATGTATGGTTTATGGGGTCTGTGACTTACAGGTTCTTTGCTACGCTGTCTAAGAGGTACGGGACTCAGTGGAAAATGGAGAAAAAAAGTGCTCTGTGCAAGTACAGATGGAGGTATGTCTGTCCAACTAGAACTTACTAGAACTTAGTCGAAGCCACCAGCTTCATATGTCAAACCTTCTTCCTCTTGCTGCTCATCCTGGATGCCCTTCCTGATCCTCCTTCGCTTCTTTCGTGACCTCTTCCCTTCTTCTGACTTCTTTCTGGCAGCATGTGCCTGTCTCTCACGGTCTAGCAGCTTGATGAGACGTGTCGTATGGTATCCAGTAGGGAGGCCCATCTCGTCCAGAACGCGTTTCACTGCCACACCTCCATCATTGAACCAGGCCACGGCCAGGTAGACGCACATCTGGACAGTGGGAGCGGATGCAAAGCCTGTCTTTGGACACAACTGCCACACGAGTCCATTGAACGCTTCGTTGCGATTCTGCGTAGCACCCTTCTGGCAGCGCTCGAGCAAACTCCGGTCGGACAACCGAATGTAGACCGGCTTCAGTTCCTTCCATACTGCCTCTGGCAGGATATTGTGGTGGGCGTAGACATCACCACCTGCCTGTTGCTGCTGCCATCTACACCAGCTGTTAATTCCAGGCGGACAATACTGGTGCTGAGGTTTACTGTCGCTGGATGCACGATGCATGAGGGATGCCCATATGGCCCTGGCCATGGCTTGCAAGTCTCCGCTGTTGTTCCGCACAGCCATGCCATAGTAGGCTTGCAGCTTGTCGATCATGGCATCCGTGAGGCGACCACGTCCGCCTATAGTGCGCCCATCAGCAAGCTTCTTGCCCGCAAGGTTTTTCTTCAGCTTTCTTAGGCTGGTACCGATGCGTTTTTGAACGTGGCCGACACATTCCTCCTTGACTACAGGCACCTCGGGCCCATACGGACAAGCGTCACGCACAGCCTTAAAACTCTTGGTATCTCCATCACCAATGTAGGTGGTGTACCTCAGCTTGCGGCTCTCAAAGGACCTGGCCCACAGAGTCTTGGCGGCTGCACTCTCCATGGCAGGAGCTGATACAGTGGTGTTGACTGAGCAATCGTGTTCGGCAATCTGTCGATCATAGTCATCTTTGGTTAGCTCTCCCTTCTCTTTTCTAGACGCCAAGTGCGTGCACTTGTGGCAAAACTTTGAAAGCACTTCGCAGTCCACCACTTTGCCGACATCATATGCAATTATAGTGAAGGCTCCGAAGAGCGATGCGAATCCTCGGCGCATCCAGGTACCGTCATAGGAAGCAGCGATATCGCTACCCCCATCTGCTGCGGACACTGCTTTCTCAGCTGCCTCAGTCATGCTACGCTCAGCGACGCTCTTGGACGCGGAATGCAGGCCTTTAGCATGGCTGTAAAATGTCGACCGACTCATAGGTGATGGCATATTCAGTGCACCCGCCAGCTTTACCATTGATTGACGTCCACGGCCAATCAGTCGCATTCCGAATACTGCTCGTCTGTTCACCTCCCAGACCCGATTGAACTTCTTGGACATAAATTCGCTTGCTATGTCGCCGCAGTTAACACAGGAAAGCTCCAGGCATGATGCAAGGCCTCCCCGTTGCGATTCGCTGATCGTGACTGCGCCATTACAGCCACTGCAACAAACTGCAGCTGACAAAAGCTGCTGAAGGCACTCGAGATCAATCAGGCGAAATCCATGCGCCCCTTCCTCACACTCTTCATCCAAGTCACTGTCGGAGGAACTGCTGTCGACTTCACCGCCACTTCCATCACTATCGCTGCTTGAAGACGTGGCTTCAGCTGACACTTCAAGGTCGTCATCAGACAGTGGCAAGTCAGGAATTTGTTCTGCAGGCGAAATTTTACCAGAGGGAGCCTTCGGCGCCTGAGACACTCCATAGAACGTTCTTTTCCTTTTCTTAGATCGTCCGGGCTTTCCCTTGGCTCTAGACTTCCCCATAGTAGCCAACGAAGGGGTTAGCTCCAAGAAACAATTACTCCAAAACAATTACTCCAAAAGTTTCAAGAGCAGAGCGATCAGCTGAGATCATGAGAGTCGAAATTTGAATTTTTTTTGAATTTGCGCATGCGCAAAAGTTATCTTGGTTGCCATGGTGACAAACATCGTGCGCGGCTGTCAGTCTGCAGCGCAGAGGAGTACCAGGAGTCGCTCCAGAAAATTTTAATGAAATCGCTCAAAGATTGACGGTAAAAATCGGAATAGTGTGCAAACCTAAATTTTGTAGAAATTTGCTGATATTTCAGTATTTCAAAAACAATTGTGCAGACTTTGCGCGGCTATATCTCCGGAAGGAAGCACCCGATTACGCTCAAATTTTCAGGATAAACCCTTTGGACCATACACAAGACGGTGCCAGTGAAAAAATACAGAAAATCGAAACTTTGTTTTTTGACCCTCTGAACCCAGACTGCCACCTTAACTTTGCCGTCCGGAGAAGGATAGTATTACACATACTCTTACCACCACCACCATACCATGTATACGCCCGTCGCAAGAGAAACACGCAAATCTGCAAATCAATCGCGGCACTGGATGTGCACCCACAGATTGTCTCTTATACTCAGAGTCATACCATGGCATGAGTAGATCTACTAAGAGTAACCGCCCATATAGCCTAGGCATAGGTCCATACTTGAGTGTAGTTACGTGTGCACGCGGCTTCTTCAACCTTGGCTGAGGGTTGCGTCAAAGGAAGAGTCGTACACAACCTCGGGAGGGGGGGGGGGGGAGGTTTTATAATCTTGTGGAGATACCATGCAAGTAAGTTCATAACCTGGGGTTATGGACACTACACTTGATCTTGTTCAAAGGGTTTCCTGCCCAAGTGCAGAGCTCGCTGTATTTCTCCCAGTTCGAGCTCACTGCCTTTGCTTTGAACCATGGAGTCGCGCATGACTGTGCGGTTTCACCGCTTGATTTTTTCGGCGCTGAACACATTCGGCAAGTGCAACCTTTTTGAAGACGATACATTTTCACCACTGACTCCGCCGCCGAATGTTACTGAACATCTGTTAGCTCTGGATGCGAAATCAAATCCTTTCTCTTGGTGACTCAATCATGGACACTAATCCCGATTAAAATGGGCAAGCTTCGCGAGAAAACCCAACCTCGACCTCGTCAAGGAAGGCGCAGGGTTACGCGTAGATATACCGGCGTGCAAGACAAGCGAGGAAGAGACGAGACTGTTCATTGGAGATGTGAAAAGAGTCTGTCTCTGTGCACTGTCTGCATACTTACCGTAATAATATAATATAATTGTGTACTGCCTACTGGTCAGGGTGTCTACTACTGGTATCCGCACGGACCGCAGGTCGCGCGCAGCAGGCTCGCACTAGTCTACTGACGTGTAACGACGTAGATCTGCAGTGTTTTAGTAGACCTCCATCATTCACAGGACCCTGGCCCGACATGACAGTCATTACCGTTACGACATTTAGGACAGGAGTAGACCGTCCGCATACATGATTGTGTACAAGACTTGCCCTTCGCATTCTACTAATGACATTTCCATCGATGGTTTGATGGTCATTCCAAGCAACGCACATACATGTAGCTAATTTCTTGCTGACACGATATTGGAAGGACGGTGGAGGAATCATGGGAAGTTTTCAGAAGTGGTGAACCAATGCTGGTATTAAACAGATAGCTGAATCTTGGGTGAGACATTGCTGGGTGAGTCTCTCCTCCGAGTACCACCGGAAATACTATGGCAAAAGAATGAATGGAATGGTTCGTCTTGCCTTGTTCGAGGCAGAGCGTCGTTGATGGTGTTGATGGTGAATCTATATCATGTAGCTGCCTTGCTGGTTGCGACTGTGCTTGCTTGGTGCGAGTATGTAGGCCTACAGCGATCCTGCAAGTCGCCACCGGAATGGCCTTCAAGTCGACTTGCAGTCACACAACTCTCTCGTCTTTCCTCAAGTGGCCGCGCGCATCCGAATGCGAACAATGGCAGTGCAAAGCAAGGCAATAATGCTGTGCACGTGGTGGGCTGCGCGAACTTTTCCTCATTTCCGCCTTCTCATTCCCGCACGACGCGCTTTCTAACCTACCAACCGCCCGGGAATGGTTGGAACAACCAGAGGCAGGCCATGGAGTTGGCCTTGGCGATGGCATTGCTGCTGGATCGTACCCTGATTGTGCACCCGATGTCGCCACATGAGCTCGGCCTGTCGTTGAAGCGACCACGACCAGGACAGGATGGATCATTGACCAGTCTTTCAGGTTACCAGGCCTACAATGCCATCCAGGCCAAAGACCTCACCCCTATCAGCAGCCTGCTGGATCTTCAGCACATATCCCGAACAACTGGTGTGAGTATTGTTGAATGGTGTGATACACAGGCAGCACTGAGAAAGCACATGAATGCACTGCAGTGGCAGGAGGTCTGCCACAGCGGAGGACATGGATATTGGGTTGATCAAATGCCACGCCCGGGGTCAAAATCAATCGATTCCCAAAACGTACATGATCTGATGTACAGACAGCAATTCCAGCCAGTCGGGGGCTGGTTCTCTAAATGCGAAAGTGAGATAGTTGAGCAACAACGACATCTTTGGGATGAGCCGTTAGTACGTAGTGTCATGGGCCTGGCTTCCTCTAGTGCTGATGTCATCTATTTCTCCGAAGGCACGATGTTTGGAATTGACCTAAGGTTCATAGACAAGGATTCCGCTATGGCAGCACAGAATGCGCTGTTAGACGCAATTCGACTGGAGGAGTCGATCCGGATGAAAGCAAGAGAGGTTGCCAAGCGACTTAGCCCATTCAATGCGGTGCATGTTCGGCGCGGTGATCATCAGCTACGAAAAGCAGATGCTTCACTCTGGTTGGAAACAATGCAGGAGAGAGGATTTCTAAAGGCAACCAAAAACCTATACATTGCTACAGACGAGCAAAGCCGAGCCTGGTTTCAGCCATTTTCCGCGGCCGGCTACAATGTTGTGTTTGCTTCGGATGTCGAAGACATCCTGTTGGCCAAGTCTCTGCCAGCCGCTTCCTGCCAGGACATCACTGGTGTGTACGAGCAGGCAATTCTTATGGCTGCACAACAATTTGCCCCCTCACCACATTCAACGTTCAGCGCGTTTGTGCTGCGATCGCGCAACGAGACCGAGTTCTGGGACGGCATGTTGACGGCTGGGACTCGGATAAAGTGGGTTGGCCATACAATAAGGCATGTGTGACGGCGAAGGCGATCTGAGTTAAATGATTCTTTCTTGCTTTTTAAGACTAAATACATGGAGCAACCATTCTCATAATAATTATTATATTTTGTAAGTTTTTGGCAGATATGTAATAATTATAGAAAGAGCCAGATGGATATAAAATTCGTCTATGGAGTACTTTGCGAGGGGTATGCCGCTCACGTTGACTGGGCAGCAAACATTTCATTGTTCACACACCCAACATAATGCACTGAACAAAACTCCCCTGCACTCGTTTGCACACAGCTCAGGGCTCCAGCTAGGAAAATCTGCGGGAGAAAGGGTGCACTGGGAAGGCAGGATAGGCAGGATGTCAAACCTTGCCCAAAGACGTCCAACAACAAAAAAAGATTTGCCTGATGAGTCCAGCAGAGACAAAACGCAGAATCTACATCACAATCGAGCTAAGTTGTAGCTGTGTCATCATCTATGCATCAAGTGCTACCCGTTGTACCGTGACGCCCACTATGTCAGATACCACTAGCCACGCATCGACATGCTGCCATGCGCAAACTGATAATGGTGGTGATGAGAAGTAGAGCGCTATACCGGAGTGTAACTTTGCAGCTTGGAGAGCTTGTGCGGGCGGGGGTGTATTCATTTGCCAGCTTGTATACTGTCATATTATTCAACCATAAATACAGTTGCAGTGGAGTCTTCAACTTAATTCTCCAAAAAGGCACCATGCTTATAATTTAAAAGTGTTTGTCCATGCTCCAATGCTCTTACTGAGGACAAAGCATGCACAAACAATAAAATATAACTAAACATTCGATCCTGGGAAGCGCTAAGCCTACTTTATGACAATATGCGTTGCAAGAATGAGGGCAAGTACAGAGCATTCAGTTTTGTACTACTAATTCAGATGCACAGCCATATCCTCGTCCGTAAGTACTTCGAGTACTACGGTCTAAAATACACCTTGGGAGAAATGGAAATGTATATCACTGTAGTACATGAAGTCAATTTCTAATTGCATTCAGAACTAGCACGGACTTGCTTCTTGAGTTATGATAGATGGGAACAGATGCCACATCGAGGGCAGTTTCACGGCAAAGAGGGGCAGCATGCTGCCCATGACCTGAGCAATTATAGACCAACTTCCACAGCTACGTCAAAGACACTTTCAAACCTACTACAAACCCATTCACCGCTGCCCGGCGCTGCACGGTATGCTATCAGCTCAGCTGGACTCCTGGCACTCGCAGACAAAGAAGTCTTGATAGAAAGGCACCCTGTCTTGGGCACTAAGCTTTGCTGACAGCCCGCCCAGCAGCTGTAGATAGCGACCACCACAATCGGGCTTGGAAGGAGGATGCCGTGCGCAAAGGAGATTCCACATCGCAATACGGCCTCCAACGGAGCAACTTTTAGTCAAGCGGTTCATCAGGACATGCGCTGCCTCTATACTCATGTACTCAAAGATATCCGACAGGTTAGCCTGACATGGGGAAACAAACATGCATACACGCACACGCACGCGTATGCGTGCACACACACACAGAGAAAGAACTGCAGTTAGGATGGCTGGCACTTGTATGAGACTCCATTTCTACTTGACTTCCTTGAATCTCATTCGAGTATTCGAAAGACGGAGAAAAATCACCCACACGGTGGCTGGGGACTCCGAGTGCGCACACATGTCGGGGACAGGCCAAACACCTGCATGTAGTTGTGTGCATACATGTAATAGCATGATGTGAACATGAGAACCTAAATTTGTACTTTGTGATGACGCATCTGCATGCTATTGTGCATCGGCTGTGCATAACACTATGCCATGCAGCTTGAATAGATACCTGCTACATGTATATGATATGTGCACCATGCAGAGTCCCGATGCTGTTTCGGACATGTTACTACTTGTACTCATACATTGTATGGCTAACAGTATACGGCCAAAACATCGGGGTTCGGCGTATGAGCTTTAATTAAGTATCGCTTTTGAACGCAACTTTGCAGCACGTGCCTGACAACTGCATACCATCACCAATATCCCACACATGTACTAGCGTTCAGTCCGGACTAATATACTGTACACTGCTTAAACTCACAAGAAACCAGCCCAGTACATGCCAAGTCCAAAAAAATACTGTAATTTCACAAATTTTCGGTGTACTTTTATTTTCGGTACTTTCGGTGTGCCTGTTTCATACCTAAAATTTCAATACACCGAACAAACACTAACACACATAATCCAATAGGGAACTGCTTCTCTGTACCGAAAATTTCTGTTCACCTAATCTGGCATGTTGCCCTTATACCGAAAATATTGAGCACCGAAAATTACTGTCAGCTAAGTGACTAGCCCAGTTGAAGAACAAGAACAAGAACAACCACAACGACGACGACAACAACAACAACAACAACAACAACAACAACAACAACAACAACAACAACAACAACAACAACAACAACAACAACAACAACAACAACAACAACAACAACAACAACAACAACAACAACAACAACAACAACAACAACAACAACAACAGAAAGGAACAGGTCTTACCTTGTCGAAAACAAACTCGCCGCCAAGCTTGTCTTCAATAGAGCCGGAGTACACTTCTACACGATCAACTAGGTCCTGTGGATGGAAACAAATTGCGCAAGTATGCAATTAACGGCAACGTCTCACATGTTAGAGATCATGAGTGCAAGTATTGCTTGAATGTTTCCAACACGATGGTTGTACATTGAACAACACAGCCAGCAGTTGTTTAGACCACTACCCACAAATAGCAAGGCCCTGGTGGCATGGCTGATGGATGTTTTCTTTAGTTCTAACCTGGCCTCCAAGTGTTGGGTTTCTGAGAGAAAAGAGCAGCAGTGAAAGCTATGATTTTTCTTACACACACTTTGAAGTCCAAATTTTCGAGCTCACCTTCAATGCTTCGAAATTGCCTCGGTGTAGGTAGAATGGGAGGTGCTGGTCAATCTCTTCCATAGGTATCTCACAAATGCCCTCCAGTCCAAGCAGGAACGCGGAGAGGTAGTGGTTGTCACGGCACATGCTTGCCTCCTGGAGGAACCACTTGGAGAGGCGTGTAGCCAGTGCTACGCCGTACTGATTAGCACTGAGATGTACATACTTGAACTGGGCGCTGTCACGCCCGTGATCAGCCAAGGCATTGCATGTCTCCCTGAGACAACACCAAACATATCTCGGCTTGGGTAGCTGTTCAAGTGAGGACAGTGAATCACTTTGCATGCAACTTATTGTTTGAGACGGGCCCACCACATAAACTTGCCCAACTTAAAAACTTTACCAATGGAAGTGTCACTTTGCTGATGGTATGCTGTGGCAACGTGTCGAGGTAGGCGGGAGAGTGCAGTTGTGGTGTGGTGGTAGACGAGAAAACGACTTTAAAGCCGCACAAGAGGAAAACCTGTAAATTACCTTCCATGCAATCAGGGTCCATAATTCGACTCAATCCACTGTGGTTGTCAAATGGAGGCTAAAATGGTTTTCGCAGACCAGCAGCCATTGGCCAAAGTTCACATTCAAAGATTTAAATTGAAAAGCTAATTGCTGAGAGCAGAAAGTGCCCCACTATAGACTCTTTGAAGAAATTTACGCTTGTTCAAACCCTGTGGAATGTCTCCAATTTTCGAATTTTATAGCTCACCAAGTTCATGAACGACATGCTTGGTCATTGTCACCCGTAAGAGACTGTAACCGCGTGAGATTTTTCAACAATGAGAAACACTGGGTAGATATTGTTTCCTCTTATCTATGACTCCTGTCGATATTTCCCGGCACCCTGCGGTACAAAGCCACTTCCGGTTGCTGGTGGAAACGTGAGCTTTTTGAGGAACGCCCGCAAGACTGGCGTGTGAGCTAGCCACGCAACAAAACCCACATAAACACACTGTGTGTATCGCCGCAGCACTCCTAGTAGTTACACTGTCTGGTTTCTACACTGGTATAGTAACAAGAGCTGTAGTCTGTTGGCGGCTGTGATTCAAACCCGGAGTGGATCGTGAATCACCTAACGGATCCAAAGCATGCTAGAAGACTTTGTATCCGAAAGAACTTGTTTCAGATCATCCCTTACCTGTGCTGTCCAGAACCTCCCAGGGACCCAGCCTGGGGACCCTCATATTCCTTGTATGCAAAAAATAGTTGTGCACAGATATGAAGCAACACCAGCATGTGGGTGCCATATTTGACTTGGATCTACCATTCAGCATTAACTTTTGCTAACGTTTGTAGCCAAGTGACCATTCAAGTTTGATTGGGTTCAAACAAGCTTACGTGAACTATGCTATACACCCAATATCTTACCGATGCCCGTTGAATATCCGTTCCAGTGGCCAGGAATGGAGAATCTCAAGTCGAGCTTGTGGTGTGCTGGCGTTGAGAAAATCCTTCATGTTCTGCGTTCCTTTTCCATCTTGACAAGCCTGACGTAACTTTGCAATGGATCCTTCAAGCAAGCCATTCAGCGCAAGACCCTTAGCAATGCCATCAGCAAGTTGGGTCACTAGTATACCCTGTCAGCAGTGCACAGGACAAGGTGAAGGCACAAGCCTAGAAATCATTGATATGCACATCATTACATACCCTTCAACACCTTGATACTACCTTGGAGTAAATGTTCCACGGTACACCGTAAGACTCTGTGACGATCACAAGAAAACATTCTTGGACCCTGATGAAGTGTGATGAGCATCCAGTTTATTCTTTTCATAGCTATACCGTAAGGGATCGTCCACAAATATCGATATTTTTTTAGAGAAAATATTCGTTCGTTTGGGGGGGGGGGGGGGGTTGGACCCTGTTCGTCTCGTCTGAGAGAAAAAATATCGAACTCTATCTATGGACGGGCACTGTTCAAACATTTAGTTTATGACCTACACAAAGTGAAAGTCAACCTCGTGAACATAGCCATGGCAAGGTTGTGCGACCGTGGCAACGTTAACCTAGGTGTAGATCTATGGTGAAATCAGAGTTGCAGCTGGTCACGTTTCATGAGGAAATTGCACTTCATTAAAAAATATCGATTCTCTGCATAAACATGTGTATGTTCGTTTTGAGGGGGGAGGGTCTGGGGAGAAATGAACAAATGTCGTCTTGAAAAAAATATCGATATTTACGGACGGCCCCTAATGACGCGTATAAAAACAGGTGCTTACGGCTCTATAAGTCAGGGCTCAAGCCATGCTTCTACATAGTGCACGCTTTGTACCAGTTGCATGCAGTGATGCATTCCTGCACCGTCACGGAACTACAATCTACCTGTACACCGTACAGTGCGTGCTGTTACGCATGTCACAGTACTGTGCAAGGCTTCTATTCAAAGCGTGCTTCTATGTCATGGTTCGCTTTGAAAATCAACTCTATTCGAGTTATATTCTACAAGTATATGGGTCATGCTTTTACACGCGACATTACGGTATTTAAATTGCCACCCCCATGCATTATTATGATTCTTTATTTCACTCCAAACTGATAATAAATAAATCATTGAATTGGAGGTATTACATTAACTCACCGGAATTATCATAGCCAAAGGTAAACAGCACAAGATAATATAAGGGAAAAAGTAAGGTGGAGAGAGGGAGTAGGGGGTATAACATCACAGGCTTTTTAAAGCTCATAGGTATCATAACAACAGGTATTGCGGCAAACGGGGAGCATCAGAAGTTGGCAAAAATAATGAATCCATTATATGTGGTCTATTATTATTATTATATGCACGTACACATTGCTGGGGCTCCCATTGGATGGAGGTTGCCCAGGTTCGCATGTGCCAACCTGATTATGCCAACGCCTCATGACGAAAACATACAGAGAGAAACAAATCGTGGCGAAACGAAACAAGAACAGTATTCGTACAAGCAAAGCGGTCTATAATTATATTAACAATGTGCACCTGCTTGAAAATGTCCAAGGTGAACACATATTCTCTTTCTGAACTTCCCTTGTGCATGTTAAATCTGTCTGTAACATCCTTTAAAATATGGCAACAAGGAGGACGAGCTGAAGTGACATTTGGATTACTTTATTTAAAAAACAATGTAAGCGATGGAGACGATGCAAAAACAATCTAAAAGGTAAGGAAAATACATGTAAGAAGAAAAAAAGCGGCGATCACTTACAATGTTTAATAAAGTAATCCAAATGTCACTTCAGCTCGTCCTCCCTATTGCCATATTAATAAAAAAAAAACTGTTGTCTCCTCGTCGAATATTTAGTAACATCCTTGCGCAACTATTTTATTGCTACTCTGTATTCAGTTCGATGACATCAAGACTAGGGCTCAAACGGTCACGGTTTTACCCCTGACGGTTAACTGCTAAGCTAACGGTCGGTTAACCGGTTATAACCTATAAGCCACGGCAATCCTACGGGCTCTTTTTTAACCGTATATTTGACTATACTCATTCAAAAAATGTACCCTATTCAGTGCAACGCACACTTGTACATTCTCTTGCTTGCTCATTCATACATACTCTCACACCAAGAGACCAGATATGACCGAGTTGACAGCCCAGAAATTGCGTACGCGTGCGACTGCCCGCGAAAGTGCACACTTTGCAACGACCTGATACTTGAAAAATTGACTGAAAAGTTACTGCGTAACCGTTATCTTTATCGGTTAACCGTTAATTCTTCGTAACCGGTCTGCAACCGGTTAATCGGACTAATCGTTTGAGCCCTAATCAAGACCCAATCAAACAAACTGAACGATACATCCCATAGCACTATGTGACACTGTGCGCATGGTAACCTCGTGATACTGCTACGCTAGGGGTGAAATACACAACACAACGAAGAGGCAAGCAATCCAATGGTGAAAGAATTACCTTGGCATGGTCGGGAAGTGTCTTGAGCTTTTTCAGCAGAGCTAACCTGCAGTGACATATTTGCATGCATGGAAGCACCTAGTTCAAGGTTGGCACCAGCAACAAAATGGCCGACATGTCATTTATTAAAGGCCAAAGAAAGTGTCCTGCCGAATCCTTTTAAACACCCAAAACAGACCCGGGCACCTGTATCGGTGCCATCGGGTGTTTCGCCGTACCACTGGTGGTTTCAGCACCCTTGCCTCCCCCCCCCCCCCCCGACCTTTCTCCGTCAGGGTCTATGGCGGTGATGAACAATCTTGGCAGGCGACGTGCCCCACCGGAATCAGTATTGCCTCCAACATAGGAATTACCAAAAACAGTGTCTAAAGTTCCGCTTTAATACCATGCTACTGGTGATGATACAGCTTGACTCATAGTCTGTTTGTCGGAGCCCCAAGGAATTTACTACTTTCGTTGTTTTGACTCGCTTGCACTTCCAAATCAATGACAAGACATTGCACTGCGTGCGTTCAACAGTTAAATGTGTGCGTAATAGATTGAAATGCTTACATTGGAAATTCAAGTGAGCAAAACGTATTGAGTTTTCCTGGGCCCTGAATAGCGGAACAAACTTCACATGATGATCTTGACACACTCATGAACCTTTTCGAAATGAAATAAGCAGCAGTATGGAATGTGTAATGCTATGTGATCTCATTGAATGCATACTTTATGCAGTTATAACTGCATTTCTAGGCAGTCTGGAGGACAACGACCACAAGATCTGACTAGAAATCTGCACTCAAACGTGACCAGCTATACATTTACTCACAAACTTTGAAAATGGTGATATTACGCAATCTTACCGCTCGTCCGGTGTTCCCAAATAGCCCATCAGCTTGATAGCTTCTTCACGCGTCAGTTCTTTGATGGCTGCAATCTTCAAGTGCAATACGGCATTTTGTGTTGGACTAAAATCCACAGCAACTGGGCATGGGAAGAAACACAATGGTCATTAGCACTTTGGCCGGTGTTTTTCGGTAATTTGCTTGTATTACTAGCGCCAGACCTGCTCCCCCCCCCCCCCCCCCCCTGCCATATGCCTGTAAAAAGCCAGTCCACGGATCTCGCTTTTCTTTTACTCTTGAGAGAGAAAGACCACCACATTGAATGAGTTGTTAGATCTCATCCACCGATAACTTGATTGGGCCTGAAGGTTCTGCAACTCGGGACTTCTTGGTGCTTTTGTGTTGGCCTTTTTACTTGAGTGTCCGGGACAAGAAGAGCACATAAAACGTTGTGCAAGCAGACTTGGGGTACTTGATGAAGTGACGATTAGCAAGCCAGTACACACGCATACCGGCCAATTCATGGAAGCCCACGACGCCACCGAACTCCTACTGCAACGTGTCCAATTCAAGCCACAGCATGGCGGCATGCCTTCCAACAGTCTATTTGTTACATGTGTACTGGGCTTAGCATGTACTGTACTGGGCTTAGCATGCCACATCATACGTACAGATCTTCTTCGGCTTTCCCAAGAGCATGTGGAGGACGTTATCACCTGAACTGACATACACAGTACACACAGAACCAAGGTACACACGCCCAGCTAAAAGAATTATTTATAATTTCTCCTGCACTACTAAGCGGCAGCAGAGCCACTAGCTTGCAAGTTGCAACGGAATCAGTTCTTGCAACACCAGTAGCACTCGTCCTCCCATCCACGCTAGTAAACTATTGTGTTGTTCTTGTTGGTGTAGTTTCATTTAAAAGTCATGTCACAAACAGGCAGCTACACCTTCTTATGCCTGGCTCGCACTAGGCCGACTTTTCGGCCGATGCTCCAATGCCGACACCAACTTGAAATCGGCCGACTGTGTCGGACAGATTCGGACTACCTCTACACACACAAATTTGTCGGAAACATGTGCAACAACAACACCGTCCACAGCAGGCGGTTTTCATGCCGATCTTGAGGATTCTTTTGTACCATGGAGACGTATAAACCACTCCCTATTTTGTACGATTCATTATTGGCCAAAAATCGGGCTAGCGCGGCCCAGGCATTATTTCTTACATGTATGTACGACTATGACTGTAATTGTGGCTTGGTATGCAGCATAGCAGGGACACCCTGGCTAGACTTCCTGTGCCCCCCCCCCCCCCCACACTCAGGGTTTGACGTCCGTCTTAAGGCCCATATATGTACATAAGCATCATCCTGTCATGGTCTTGATCTTCTCCTAACCCGCAGGTGATGCACAATCATGTACACGTCGTACAATAATTACTTGTAGAGTATACCTGGTTATGGAGAGGATTGTATCCGTGTCTTTGATGTCCAGTGCTTCGCTCAGCATCACAGCATCCTCCCAGACCATGCTGTAACGGAGCTTGGACAGGTCTAGGTTTGCCTCAACTTCGCTCTTCATGTCCGAGGAGTTTGTGCAAGATCCACTCATTGTTGACCGCGTCGTGATACCTACACATGTAAAGCGTGGCAGTGTGCAAGCCGGAAATCTGACGCCACAGCGTTCTGCCAAGTGCAAATAACCTTTCCTAGTCAGATAGTGGACAACCGATGCCTGTCGAAGCATCTGAAGAAAAACGTTTCTGGTCCTCGTCCCGGTGAATGCCCGCCGGTGAATAGCTCCTGGCCAACGCTTTTATACTGGCGTGGACTCTGGCGCGGCGGACACCGGTACGCAAATACCGATCCACGACAGTATGCAGATGCAGAGCTAGAGAGACATGCACCAGTATTTTGTACCGTCTTGTTATCACTAAACTACTCACTAGTGCCTAGTAGTGGCGCTAGCGATCGATGAAGCGACAACGCACCACAATCTTCATGCGTGCAACTAGTACTAGTAAGTAATTACTTCAAGGACTAATAATTATTTGTACATCTACAAGGACTTCTTTAGCTTTGGGGGAAGTTTGGTGATCGTCCCGTGGATCGGTATGTAATGATGTAGTCGGCCAGTCATTCATTGCAAATCAATCATATTAAAACATGACGGTACGTATAGCCGTGTTTGTTACACTCGCCGGAACTACAGGCTCCGGCGGGCTACGAATGAGTCTATGTGACATGTATATGTCGACAGTGTGTTTGGCCTCAAATCTTCGCTTTTCAAATACACACACACAGCGACTTCTTCACTTCACTCTCTTGATGGAACGGTTTCTGGTCGCTTCTCCTCTAGAGTAGGCGCTGTCGTCATCCTTTGTATGCAGCTGAGTGCTACTACTAGTATTATGTCATGTACTTGTTACAAAAATAATTGAGAGGCTTTGAATCGTTTTTATCAAAATCTAAATATTTGCCGGGTTGGAAGGTGGGGCTAGTAGTAGTAGATCTACTACTAGTACGTGTGTGTCGGGCAGTATGCCTCTGCTGAGGAGACCTTATAAGGACTTAGGTTGTAACGATCATGTACTAGTAGTAGTACCATGTAATTTCTGTAAATGAAAATACATGTACTGCCATTCCGGCAACAGGCTCTCAGCTGCACCAAATAGAACTTTGCCAATACAGTATTTCGCCCATTGCCATTGGGCATCATCAGGGCATTGAGTACCATGTAAATCTAAGGAGAAATAAACTGAAGAGAAATAAACTGGGAAATAACGTGACTACGAGTACTAAGTAGTAGTATTGTTACTTTCTTCACAAAGCAGCGACCGATACTGTCTGGTACATGTATACCGGTACGCGGTGGTGATGTACAATGACTATGCAGTATGGTGATGTACAGACAGTACACGGACATCCAGATCCCCCAGATAGGCGTTAGCCGTAACGGTTTCGGGTACTACTAGTACTACTAGTACTAGTACTAGTACTAGCAAGACTGCCAAGAGTACATAAACTTTATGTACTCTTGGTACTAGTACTAGTAGTTAAATCCTGAAATAAAGACGAAAGATTTCGTAAACGAAAATAATAATATTTATTTTGTACTTCTACAGTGCAGTGTCAGTAGAGCTATCTTTGTCTAGCCTTCAGTAAGAATAAAAATACTAGTATAAATCAGTATTCCACTATTTTCCCACCAGCCCGCTGCACAGCGTCTGCATATCGCATGCAGGCATTCGGAGGAACAAGCACTTACTATTATTATAAATTCTAGCGTGTCATTTCACTAGAACAATCGCAGGAAATTGTTGTAGACGGCAGACTGGATTATCAACCGAGCACCACGTCCAGCACTACATGTAGATAATTCCAACATGCTACTGGTTCGGTGCTGATAAGTAAATGTGTACTGTAGCCACCTGCCTACGAGTACTAGCGCTAGCCTATAGCGTGCCAAAACATTGCGTAACGCCCCAGTGGTGCCTTTGGTCTGACGTCGAACAAGCATGGCTGGGCGCTCATCAACGGCGGAAGGACGACATGATCTGCTGGTGGCGTGGAAGAAGAAATTCAAGGAAGGCTGTGACTTTGACAACTGGGGACAAGCTGTTGAGGCTGGCGAGATCTATGCACTGTAAGGATTCATACCTCCTACATAATTACTAATTATTTACTATGCAGCATGCACAGTAATGAATACTAAGGATACCTACGATCTACTGCACTGTACACAGGATACGTACATCACAGTATGCAGTATGCACTACTAGTACTACCAATACTGCCAACAGTCCAGAACCCACAACTTACTTAGTGTGCGACTCTGATCTCCAAGTTATGGGTGCTCTGCACGATGCTCTGATCTCGAAGTCATGGGTGCTCTGCACGACGCTCTGATCTCGAAGTCATGGGTGCTCTGCACGACGCTCTGATCTCGAAGTTAAGGGTGCTCTGCACAACGCTCTGATCTCGAAGTCATGGGTGCTCTGCACGACGCTCTGATCTCGAAGTCATGGGTGCTCTGCACGACGCTCTGATCTCGAAGTCATGGGTGCTCTGCACGACGCTCTGATCTCGAAGTCATGGGTGCTCTGCACGACGCTCTGATCTCGAAGTCATGGGTGCTCTGCACGACGCTCTGATCTCGAAGTCATGGATGCTCTGCACGACGCTCTGATCTCGAAGTCATGGGTGCTCTGCACGACACTCTGATCTCAAAGTCATGGGTGCTCTGCACGACGCTCTGATCTCGAAGTCATGGGCGCTCTGCACAACGCTCTGATCTCGAAGTCATGGGTGCTCTGCACGACGCTCTGATCTCGAAGTCATGGGTGCTCTGCACGACGCTCTGATCTCAAAGTCATGGGTGCTCTGCACGACGCTCTGATCTCGAAGTCATGGGTGCTCTGCACGACGCTCTGATCTCGAAGTCATGGGTGCTCTGCACGACGCTCTGATCTCGAAGTCATGGGTGCTCTGCACGACACACTGCCTTCATGATGTACAGTGCTGTCGGGCGCCGAGGAAGGGGGGGGGGGGGTCAGACTCAGGGTTCTAGCCTAGCCCATTCTTATTTTTCGCGAACACATCCGTTTCAGGAGCACTCTCGCTTATAAGAACATGCACTTGTAAGTGAATGAAAATCACAAAACCACACGAGGTTCATCATGGTTCCATTGTACTGGCATTAACCAATAATATGTGTACTTGCACATGTACAGTCAATGCGATGTCTCTCGCATATAAGACCATGGTCTTATAATCTAACGAAAATGTAGTTGTGAAAGGACCGAAAACAGCGACATTTCGATTATAAGACCATGGTCTTATATGCGCGAGATTACAGTAATAGTTTACATATGGATCGTATGCATGTACATGTACCAGTACATGAATATTGCATGGTGACACACACTGCACACATTGCAGTTTACATGCTTTGACTTATGAAACTACGGAAATATTATCATCCAAACCTGCAGATTTTTTTACTTCTGAGTGTACATTATAGTGTAGATAATCATTACAGTGTCAGTTCTTATCTGCAACAATTCCAGCCTAGACCGTTCTTAAAAATTGGTAAAATTCTAGCCTGGCCCTTCTTGGGCACTCCGTACTTAGGAGCCCGACAGTACTGTAATGGGATGTCGATCAAGCTGACTGGATGACTGGATTTGCATTTACCTACAGTTTAGAAGCAACGATATCACGATAATATGGGAAATCAGGAGGTACAAAAAATGCCTGTGCCGTGACAGCGCATCATGTACAAAATTATCCGAAACCTCAGAGAAAACGTACTCCGAGGCTTGAAACCGTAGCAGGTCCATTATGATGCAATGCACCAGCTACTTCCCCCGTCCGTGGCTATGTAATGTGGGCAGTGCACCGCGCTGGACCGCATGTGCAAAGCTCTTGGGGTTATGGACTTTTGCTACTATTAGTAGCGACTTCAGTCCCAAAAATTAATTGTAGTCGGAAGTATGAGTCCTTTATGACCAACGAAATATGCAACTGGATAGAGGCATCATCGCAGAGCATACATAGAAAAATAACATGGGAATGCCTCGTCCCATACCAGATTATGAGGCCACAAAGTTGGTGTGCCGTCGGCGATCATAATTATACCATATGTATGCAGTTGTATGCAGAGTGATGGCACAAAAGTGGGTTTCTCCGACCTCATGGATATCACGCACACACAGTTACACAGTGAATGCACAAGTAGAAAGCTGAAGAGGGCTGCAGTGCCAAGCCTTCCGATTAGCTCCACCCCTGCTCCCTGTGTCCAGTCAAGCCGACATTGAGCATGTACATGCATGCTGGTCTTACTGTTATAAAATCAATTTTGTTCACACTCAAACTTCAGTACTAAAGTACCTTGGCGGATGTAACATACTATGGGTTGCAAAGTGCTATTGTGAGGACCCTTCATTGTGAATTATATACGAGTACACGTACCAGTCATTTAAAACCTTGGCTATAACTGAGCTTGTATAAAGTACAGATATTTACAGGCCTTGGAGGTTCATGTACATTATACTGAAGTTTCACTCTACTTACTATAATAAGACTAGTGTATCTGTTGTGCATGCTCTTCTCCTGTTTGCACTGGTGTTGAATATCTCAGGCTGAAAAGGAACATTGAGGCTGAAGTTCTCTCATCGCAACACCAGTTTGCACACAGCGATACGGTAATTCAAGTTTGGAACATTGTTTGGGGGGGGGGGGTACCGTTAATGCAGTGTTTGGAAAAGGCGAATTTGCTTCATCAAGGTTCATTGCCGAATCATTGGGTTTCCTTTCAATAGCTTGTGGCTGTGTTCTTTGAACTGTGTGAAAGGCACATTCCTGAGCATAATTAGGAGGATTAGCAAGACGAAATTCGCGTTCGCTCTCCAAGGAAAGTCGAACTCAGTGACGGAATTCGCGTTATGAGAAGGATTAGCAAACAGAACTCGCACATGCATGACGCTGACACGTCGTCCATTGTGTACAGACAGTACAGCGTAGTAAATTTATGACTGTCCTGACACGAATCCGCGATTCGTGTACCGACTACTTTTCGGAACGAAAAATGCGAAAGTTCGCAATCCAGTTCGGGAACTGAAAAATGTTTGCGAACGCGAACGCGAATTTCGTCTTGCTAATCCTCCATAATACCGGGGCGGCTCCGCTTCTATCGGATCGTGGGGTTGAACCGTTCTATAGGTGAGAGATTGAAGGCCCCTCCCCCCCCCCCCCCCCCGCCATGTAATGGTAGTCTAATTGAAACTTTTTCTTAAATTAATGTGCGCAAGCTCCACTGCAGCCACTTGAATTGAGGGTGGTGTGTGTAGGGTTTTTCATAGTCTTATTGAAGTGAAAACACTTATCCAAACCTGCTCAGTCCCTGTGTGTATCATAATCATACTACACCAGTAGTCCGGTATCTGTGTTATGCTTGCCACTCTCCACACTGATATTGAGTGAAACTAGAGTGAGGATCTGATTGTGTCACGCTGATGATTGACTTGCTCCCGCCTGGTCTCAGAATCTGTTTTACCCGCTGCCATCTGTCACTTTTATCTGCCTGTCCGTGCCGATCAATTCAGGTTGTTCTGAAAAATGTCTGCCGAATTATTGCATCACGGTATGCATACCTTGGAGCACCGGTAAGATTTGTGGCTGCTGCCTTGGTTTGCTTGTGGATGCTAGAGGAAATTCAACTTCGAATTGTAACAGTTGTTATTTGTAGTTGTGCTGGTAGCTGGTGCCTGAAAAGAAAGTCGCATCATCGGTCGTGAGAAAAAGATCGTTGGCCTGACAGTGTAGCCTCATGGTGTTGCTTTTGCCCCCCCCCCCCCCCTCTACGAGTTGCATGATCAGACTTGACTGCTATCACTTCCTACCGGCATTGGGTACTATGCATGAAAGCTACAGGTGACTGTGCCAGAGAATTTTCTTGTCATGTTCTCTGTCCTCTGTTGCATTTCTGTATCTCCAAGGACCTGAATGATGTGGGATTTGGCATGACAGAGCTGACCAAATTGGTTGAGGGTAAGCTTTTAGTTTTCTCAACATTACCTTCCTTTCTGATGCATATGCCTTTCTCCTTTGTCACTCACTAACTGCACACTTGGCACTTACCAACTACAGTAAAGGAAGCTATGTTTGAACTAGTGCCACACGGACACAAGGCGATGGAACTGATATGCTATCAGTATGTGTTATGAACACCCTGCCATCTCGGATGTGCCCATTGGTGAGGCATATACCTTTATCTGATGCAACTGAAAAACTAACAGGTCCAAGCCCTGCACTGATAACATGTCTGCTTGTCTGCACCGTGCAGCATTCTGCAGCTGGACAGAGGGCTGTGATCTGCCAGAAGCATCAAGAATCGCTCAGCGCTTGCCAAGGTTCGTGGAATCATTTATGTATGCAAGTGTAGTGAGGACACGTGTTTTCGGCGTTCTTGCATTTGATTGTGCACAGGGGGTATCCCGCAACTCACACCCTGACCAAAGAACACCACACCGCCGCAGTTCAGTGGTACTACTACTACACTGCACCTCAGCACATGCATGTACAGTGGTCACCGATTACCACAGGTTTCCAGCCTACTGCAGTCGTGCCGGTAGACAGCACTCGCTTGCTGTTGCCATGTAGTGTGTGTGTGTGTGTGTGTGTGTGTATGTGTGTGTGTGTGTGTGTGTGTGTGTGCGCGTGTGTGTGCGTGCCACGAGTACCACAACCACCTTTCCTATTTCGATTATACAATTTCTATCTCCACGTCGACTTTTTTTGCTGTACAAGAGGCTTTGGAAATCGTCATCTTTCAGTGGTGGGCAGCAAAAAATGTGTGTAAATCTGGTCCCATCTTGATGGCACATGCTTACCAGAGTTCTACCCAAAGGAGGGCAGAGGGGGGGGGGGGGGGGGAGTGCAGCCTCCCTCCCCCCCCCCCCCCTTGAAAATGCGGTGCCTCTACTCGTTTTCAGGAAATTCAACGAAAATACAGTCGATTGTCACTAGCAGAGGGGTCATAAAGGCACACTTGTCTGGGATTAAGTGGAGGGTTCGCTTCAGTACGTTGGGTTTTGCATGGGAAGACAATTTTGGAAAATGAGATACGGGGTAACTGTATCCCTGCCCCCCACCCCCTACTATTTTGACCTGGCTAGAACCCTGCTTACCAAGGCCAATACCTGTGAACTCAGTCCCGCCTTGGCGGTACATGCTTACCAAAAGGAGGATACATGTAATCACGAAACTGCAAGGTTGTTTTTGCTTTCCCTGCTTTGTTCACAACCGACCGAGCGTGTCTGCTATCTTGTTTTGTTCGCTAGCAATGGAGCGGAATCCAGCAGGCTAGGACATTCCTCCGCACCACATGGTGAAGATGACGATGATGACGAAGGATACGAGGCAGGACAAAGCGGTGCGTAACTAGGTCACTGTGCCCGTGGGATCTGTGCCCGTGAGATCTGTGCCCGTGAGATCTGTGCCCGTGGGATCTGTGCCCGTGGGATCTGTGCCCGTTGGATCTGTGCCCGTGGGATCTGTGCCCGTGGGATCTGTGCCCGTTGGATCTGTGCCCGTGGGATCTGTGCCCGTGGGATCTGTGCCTGTGGGATCTGTGCCCGTGGGATACATGCACGTACATGTGCACACCTAGCACATATTGCTAACACTTTGCTCATAGCAGGCCACACTACAGTCTACACAGGTACACATACACTCTAGTGCACCTGTGCAAGGTGGTGTTGGGGTCGAACCTTCGGCCCCACCAGTCTGTTTTGAAAAGCGTTTCTAGTACCTCTTCACCAGCATCCCTTACCACCTCCCCACAATGGACAAGATTGCACTCAGCGAAAACATGGCAACCACTCGGCTTCGGAACTCCTACCACCTCATTCTGCGCATTCTTCCCTGAACTCCTTTCCGTTTGCAGCCATTGATCATTGGGGAACCACCGCCCCGCCATAGCCTCTCTGAACCACCATCCCTAAAGCAGATCCAGTCGTTTCCAACAATACATGTATACGCACAAGTATATTGGGCCCAGCAACTGCCGTGGGCTAGTATTGACTAACTGTGATTATTAGCTCAGTGTCCTTCTCACACACTCACTCACGTTCTCTCTCTCTCTCTCTCTCTCTCTCTCTCTCTCTCTCTCTCTATCTCTCTCTCCTCTCTCTCTCTCTATCTATCTCTCTCTCTTTCTCTCTCTCTCTCTCTCTCTCTCTCTCTCTCTCTCTCTCTCTCTCTCTCTCTCTCTCTCTCTCTCTCTCCCTCTCCCTCTCTCTCTCTCTCTCTCTCTCTCTCTCTCTCTCTCTCTCTCTCTCTCTCTCTCTCTCTCTCTCTCTCTCTCTCCCTCTCCCTCTCTCTCGTTCTCTCTCTCTCTCTCTCTCTCTCTCTCTCTCTCTCTCTCTCTCTCTCTCTCTCTCTCTCTCTTTCCCCCCTTGCTCACGTGGCTGCCGGTCATGATTTTTCTGCCGTCTGCTTTGTGTACGATTGGTCCTATTACGACTCTGCAGACACGTACAAACTTGTTCAAAAGCCAACATTTGCATCTGGCAAGACTCTCCTAACAATCAGATTGGATCGGATCGGCCTGAAAGATGCACCCCAACACATTGACCCGTTCTTTTCAGTGCTGGTTAGAGGTATGTGTGAACGTGGCATGCACCGCGGCCTGCACCCGTAGGCTACCAAGTGTGATTGGGTTCCACTGTCCAGAATGGGTTGTGGGGTTGCTTGTAGTTTGTGGCGACGATGATCATTACTGGTAATAGTGCTGTCTGATAGGAGACTGGATTTCTAGCTCCTCGTATAACTTTCTGTGTGACAGTATCCATGCCAGATTGAATTAGAAGTTTGACACTTCGTACTGTTCCCTGTAGTCGTTGAAGGAATCCTGTCTATCCTGAATGTGTTTCTACAGATGTTACAGGTACTGACAGGGCAACACCGCAGCGTACCTCTGTAGCAATAGGCCGCAGTGATCTCTACCTTCGCTTTGAAATGGACATCTACATCGATATCCCACTGGAAGAGTTTCCTCAAGGTGCGTAGTAATACCGTATACTATAATCGGAACGTAACTTTGATTGGTGCCATGATGTGGCTTTACAGAAGAGCATGCAGCATGGCCTGCAAAGTCCAGGCTTAAATCAATGTGCTTGAGCCAGAGTTAAGGAGACTACACAAAAAAGCATTACAACATCATCAGTGTTTCATTCATCAGTAGCCAATTATTGCTGGTGTTGTATAGTACAGCTATCTGCCCTTACTGTAAACTCATATCTCTCTTATCTGGGCAGTCCACCGCCAGGCACTGCCCATAACTTTGAAATGTCCGTAACTCTGAATCACATACATTTTGATGGGGAAAGGCCAGAGATCTGGAATATGACGTTACGATGTCAACAGTAATTGTCGGAAGAGTATCAATTATAAAAAATTTGTTTGTGCCGCTGCGGCGTGCTGCCTTTGCAGACTGTGCCATCTTCTTCGAGCTGAACCACTACAAGCAGAAGAAGGGCAAGCACAGCACCAGGTGCTTTGCTTTCTTGGAACATGACGAGTTCAAGCCGGGTGAAAAGGCACTGGAGCTGTAAGTACAGATTGTCAGAAGCGCTCTGCACCGCCCCCACAAACTTTAAAATGTGCTGTGTTCCATCTGCGTGCTTCCGAAGTACATAATTGTTTATTTCCAGGCCAATAATTTTTTACTTCTGAAGTATTTATTTGACAAAGTCTCCTTTTTTCCACTAACCTGACTGACAGCATTTTTGAACCCCGACTGAAACCTTCTTTTCTCCAATGTGCATACTCACATGTACAAAAGCATGAAGCGTTGGGAAGCTTTCAAGTTTTCGGCAGGTCATCATTTTGCTGATACGTGTAGTTGTGTTAACAGGGCCTTTCACAAGGATCATGAAATGGGGCAGCAACACTTTCTATACTTCCAGCTGGTTGACCATGTGTTCAGTAGAACTGACGTAGACAGCCAATACTATGATATAATTATATTATGGCAATAGAGTCAGGAGTACAGGGGGTTAGCTATATGCTATAGAGATGATCTCTTCAAACTCATGCATGTGACTCATACATACGAATAGTGAAACCTGTCTAAGACGACCGCCGCTCAAGGGACCTTCTAGACGTGCTCTCTGTTACCAGGTGGTCTCCTTATCCAGGGTTATCTGACTGGAAATGGTATCCCCTGATCCTGATCCTGGTGTCAGTGGTCTTCTAGGACAGGTGGTCGCCCTATTCAAGTGGTCGCCTTCAATGACAGGTTTTACTGTACATCAGTGCTAGACCTAGATATGCATGTAGCACACATTTCTGCTGGCAGAAGTAGGACTACGGTATGCACAATTGCGATGGGCAATGCTGTCCAAATTGTCATGGGCATATCTCCAAAAGGCACACAGAAACTAATGTGAATGTACCGATACAACCGCTGTATCTTATCATTTCCTGTTCTGTTCACATCCCAACTATAGGTACAAGAAGCCAACCAATTTCAAGCGACGGAAACTGAGTTTGCTTACCGTCAAGCCGCTCTATCTTCATCTTGACCTCCAGCTTACCAAGTTCTAACTTTCTTCTTCCGATGCATTCATGTATGTTTCTCTCCGTGATGTTGTTGACCTCAATTGTGCTGTGCACACGACTTGAGTTCTTATAGGAGATTTGTTGATTTGAACTCTCTACAGCCCCCCCCCCCCCCCCCCCCCTCCCCTTGTCCTCCCCATGCACATTCTTGAGTTGGTGTGCAATTATACTCTTGATTTAAAGACTTTTTTAAAAGAGGGCTCTGTTGTGATAGGACATTTTTTCCTGTAGTATCCACTTGCTATGTTTTATTTTATTAGGTGTACATGTACTTGAGTGTTTAGTTTTGTGGCCGGTTCCATGCTGCTTCTCAGGTACCCCTCTTTTTTCTATCTGCTCAATGGTTTTCTATCCTATAGGCCTAGCTCGTTCAATGCTTCACACTGGTGCTAGAAACGGAATCGGATGTAAGCACGAGTGCCGTGACAATAGTGTCTAGCTGCAGTCGATGGGGTCTGTGCCCAACAGAATCGTTATTAAAATGTGTTCACATCACACGACCGATCGACCTGTACACATCTGGCTGCCTGTATCCTGCATGGTGCAAGTACAGATACATGCAGTAGCTACTGAGGTGGTCCACTGCACTGACCCTACTGAGGTGGTCCACTGCACTGACCCTACTGAGGTGGTCCACTGCACTGACCCTACTGCTTTGTCCACTGCACTGGCCCTACTGAGGTGGTCCACTGCACTGACCCTGCTGCTTTGTCCACTGCACTGACCCTACTGAGGTGGTCCACTGCACTGACCCTACTGCTTTGTCCACTGCACTGGCCCTACTGCTTTGTCCACTGCACTGACCCTACTGCTTGGTCCACTGCACTGGCCCTACTGAGGTGGCCCACTGCACTGGCCCTACTGAGGTGGTCCACTGCACTGGCCCTACTGCTTGGTCCACTGCACTGACCCTACTGCTTGGTCCACTGCACTGGCCCTACTGCTTTGTCCACTGCACTGGCCCTACTGCTTTGTCACACTTTGTCTACAACTCTCAGGTGATCACTTTACACCGTTTGCCAGCTTTTAACCCCATTTGAACAATATCACTCAAGTAACAGTTGATGTGAAACTCTGCCACCGCAGCACTGGGTAGAGAAAGTGCAGGCAGTTACACACTCTTGGGGTTATGTACAGCAATGCCTCACAATAGATAATAAAATTATCAGCCACATTTCACATCGTGATGTTTTATATGAGCTAGCCGGGATTCGTTTCACATGTGACAAGAGTTATAGTGTCAAACCGAAGCATTAGTATTCCTGCACTAGCATACACTTAGACTCAAGGTGGCTGGCAAGTAGCGAAAAATATAGTGTGTGTCAAAGCTGAATCAACTCTGCCGCAGCAGAGCACCAGTCCTTCAGAAAATGATGAAAATATCCACACATTTCTACCAAGGCTGCCGCGTCCTTGCACCGCACCTCAACAAATCATGAGCCAGCTGCATCCATGCTGCACACAATTATCATAATATTACTATTAGCATCCATGATAGCTTTCTAGTTCTGAGAAAATAGATAATCAACAGTTGTGTGTGTGTGCCAACTTGACAAGGACGTGTACATGACTGTATTGGACTAGTGCTGGCCACAGCTACTTAGTACTGTCAAGAACGGCAGTGATCAGGTACTGTCAAGACCGGCAGTGATCAGGTACTGTCAAGAACGGCAGTGATCAGGTACTGTCAAGACCGGCAGTGATCAGGTACTGTCAAGACCGGCAGTGATCAGGTACCGACAACGTAGGTGGCAGCTACAAAAAACCAAATGCTGCTGAAAAACAGGCCATTGCTCAACGATCACTTCTTTTCCACATGGTCTCGTCGTCGTCGTAGTCGACTAGCTGTTGATCCCTGAGGGGGAAAGTGGGACACGCGCACCAGGTAAACGTTGAGTATCTTGCCTAATACCATTCTTATTGAGAAGCGGCATGCAATCAAAATGCAGTAGACAGATGCCTTACCTGGCCAAAGCAGAAACGTGCATAGGTAGACATGGTATAGATTGTTACATGATTGTGCTGTTTGCTTTCATCTTCCAGTCACCATCAGAATCATGCCAGTCAATCACAAAGGCATCGTAGGCAGACTCTGCATAAATCTTACATGTAAGCTCCATCTTCATCCGCGTCCAGGTTGTATAGTCTTGAGAAGGAGTTCTTACCCTTCATCTCGGTATCTAAAGGGCAATACCAAAGTGATGACGACACCGCCGCCGCCAGCAACAACAATCATGACAAGAAAATATTAGCAAGAATACAAGTCTACACACGTCTATGTACGTTTTATGAAAACAAATTCATGCAAACAACAACAAATGTGATTCAGATAATTGCTGCAAATACTGCACGTTCCACTTGCCTACTCTATTATGATATACTACAAGTAGTAGGACTCAGTTGAATTTTGAAACTTTTTAGACTCAGTATTTTAGCACCTCAATAAGACAAGATCTTACCCTTGACGGCACCAGGTGATGGTGAGTAGACATATGCCATGGTATAGATGTAATAGTTGAAGACACCGATCAATACCAGGAACTCAGCAGGTGAACAAAATGACTAGTCAAGGAATGCACTCAGCCAACCGTACACACAGTACTTATATACAATACGCACACAGTTGAAACACATTCAGAATCATCCTGATTATGTCTATGCTCCACTATGCAGACCGATTTGAGAGGGATGGGGGGGGGGGGGGGAGCAAAAGCAAACTTGAAGCAGATTATTTTAAGTTATCATTATACATCTGACATACTATGACAGTCATCAAAAGAGAAGCCCTGACAGGACATATTTTATGCAGGCTAACTGAGGCTGAAACCAATGTTTGCTTTGTACCACTCACATCCAATTCATGTAATATTACTTGACAATTGCTGCATGCATATAAATACTTATAATAATTTTAGGATGGTGCCTGCTGATATGCTCAAAGTATTAGCGTTTTCCTGCCATAATATTCTGTGCACCAAGGGGCATGTGGACGCAAATTTAAACCACCCCTGCCCTGTCTTTATCAGGGTCTGATCCTTAGGTCGAAATATTTCCGCCGGTAAGTTAGTTAGTTCCTGGAAATCAGTCGGTAACTGCCGGCCTAGGAAACAACCTGAAGCATGCCCAGGTGTTGTGCTTTTCATCTAAATACTTCAAGTACAAGTATGAAAGTAGCATACAAACACAAAAGTATCGGTGTTTTAAGTGGGTAGATTGTAGGTCAGCCCAAGCCCTATCACAGTAGCCTCCTCACATTGGTACATACATGTAAATACACCATAAAATGGCGTAACGCATGCTAGCCGATTGAATGGTTGATCATTGCGTGTGTGAGAGAGGATATTATTCCGAATGTTTGGTGAATAGGACGACATGAAGTTAGGCTGCAGGGTTTCAGTGCCGAAGCGGACAAACATGATGGTGCAGCTGGTGATGACGACAATAGCCATCAGGCTGGTGAAGAACTTCAAGCGGATATCTGAGAATACAAACAATGCATCCATGCTCATCAGTCACAGGCTAATTAGTGTAGTACAGTCATGTGTCATCAGACCAACCGTTCGAGCTACACATACATGCATTGCATACCACACGAATAGCAGGGGTTTGAAAAAGAGGTCCAATCAGGTCAGGAATACAAGATCTAAAGACTGAAACAGCAGTAGTAATCACTGAAATGAATTGTCCTAGGGTACGCAAGAGGTACACAAAAGGAAGTATATAGGGCTGTTTTTTTGTTGTAACTCAGAGTTTCATGGCAAAAACCAATCATCAGACAACATAAGGAGATTAGAAAAACGCAGGTATATAATGGCAAGCAGAGGAGATAGAATAATTCAGTGCAGACGATATGATAATCATTCAACACCTCCCAGAGGCAGTACGCTCTGACCTAGGGTACATTGTTGCTGTCCTAGGCTAGGAGGCACTCGTCACCGTCCCGTCAGTCTGTTGCTATGGCACACAGGCATGTTTTAGCAGTGTGTAGAGTGCTCTGCCCAGGGACTAGTAAAACACCTACTCCCTGGATGTGCTCAAGTGCTGCACTCGAGTCTGTCATAGCATGCATCACCATGAGACAGCTTACTTGTGTGTGTGTGTGTGTGTGTGTGTGTGTGTGTGTGTGTGTGTGTATGTATGTGTGTGCTTTGCTGCGTGGAAATCAAGCCGCCATATCCCCCCCCCCCCTCTCTCTCTCTCTCTCTCTCTCTCTCTCTCTCCCTCTCTCTCTTCCCCAACTTCCCGGATCAGGACCATGTAAACCGTGTGGCAGTGGCTCAACAGGACAGGACAGGACAGGACAGGACAGGACCAGACAGGACAGGACGGGACAGGACAGGACAGGATGGGACGGGACAGGACGGGACAGGACAGGACAGGACAAGACGGGACAGGACGGGACAGGACGGGACAGGACGGGACAGGACGGGACAGGACGGGACAGGACAGGTGTGCGTGTGTGTCCACACGTGAGTGTGTGCGTTTATGTATGGTGTGTGTGTCTCTCCTCATACTAATACCTTAGCACACTATTAATCGGCACACACACACACACACACACACACACACACACACACACACACACACACACACACACACACACACAGTCAAGCCAGTATACTACAGTCAGAACAGTACTTACCGATCGGTGACTGTGCTCCAAACGCACGGAAAAGAGCATATGCCAAGTAGAATAAATAGGCACCTATTGAGACATAAAATACGATTTTCCATGCCTGCAAACAAGGCACAGTAGAAAACAACGACAATGGCAGTTCGTTGCAGTGGTATTCAAACAATAGCACTGGAATTCGCTAACTAAACTTATCAACATGTGTCAGACTCAACCACATGTACACACTCACACACACACACACACACACACACACACACACACACACACACACACACACACTCACACACTCACACACACGCGCGCGCGCGCACGTGCACACACACACACACACACACACACACACACACACACACTTACACACACTTACACACATGCAGTAAAAACGGCTAACGCAATGTGTTCTGTCTAACCTGGAAACTATCTGTGTCCAAGTGTAGTTGGTAGCTGGGGTCACTCAATAAATTGAACCTTCAGCACATACAGTGCACAGACAACATACAATACAGCCGCACATCGTGACAGTGCACAGACAACATACAATACAGCCGCACATCGTGACAGTGCACAGACAACACACAATACAGCCGCACATCGTGACAGTGCACAGACAACACACTATGCCAGAGTCATTGCGAGGGAGAGCATAAGCATAACGCAGATGACGGTGAATGAGTTAGCAACACTAACAGATAAAGCATGCAGTATTCGGTATAGGCTGATTGTCCAGTGCAGTAGGAGAAAGGTACGCAAACACCTAATTCTGCTACACACTACATGTGCAATACATGCAATTCAGCTAGACCGTAAATACCATTCTGAACTGGGGTTGGAGGGTTTTCTTGTGCGGAGAGCAGCTTTGTTCATTCACCATGAAGTACACTGTGTGGCAGGTCTATTTCATTCTGCCCCAGGTGCCGTGTATCCAGTGATGCATAGCCCTAATGGCATTGTAACCCTGTACTAAGTCCAGTAGCTCAGTCTATCTGGGCTGGTAATGAAGGATGGCGAACATATTATATTGATATTGTATTTTCAAAGATTCTCCAGAGGCAAGTGGATGCCCATCAAAGGGAAAGGGGGAAAGGAAGTGAACATGTAGCAACAGTCCCGGTGAGCTAACAGTTGACTTACTCCTCCCATGCCAGCAGTGTTAGTGACGCCAGCCACACCAGCCCAACTACAATGACTTTGGGCAAGTAGAATGTTGTCAGCTTCCTTGGACTCTGAGGGACAGAATAACCACAAATCGAAGAGAGAAACTTGACGCGGTGAACAATTGCCGTTGAGACGCCGACATGCAGGCTGCAATGTGTGCACAGCACTAAATAACCCGTTCAGGATAGCAGTGATGTGGACCGCGTGACTTGCCACGGTGTAACATGGTGCATGCTCAGTGACATGTCTCCGCATTCACGACAAAGAGAACAGGTATGTGTACTGCGATGGGACGAAACAAATCTGATGTTTTACAAGTGCAGTCTGCAATTCAAGCACAGGAATGAGGCATACTGGTATATGTAGTAGGGTAACTGCTCCCAAAAGACGCATGCTTAGCATGATCAGAGGAAAAGCAGTGTGCATGTGATCGCCTGGCACGGAGTTCATCTGGCTTCTTTCACAACAGTAAATACCAGTCATGAGAAAGCCAAACAACTGAGCTGGCTCAGCTATCTACTGTTGCCGGTACTCCACAAATCTTCTATGGTGTAGCTGAGAATTTGCTGGTGTGTCATTGCATGTACGGCCAAGCTCCTATACCGGTACCATCAGCACATGCCGCGGCTATGCTTTAGTAAGACAGACGGTAGAGTAGGCTTCAGTGTATTGACCAGCAATGGTGGGTGACTCACCACATTGACTGCATGCAGGTTGCACAGCCAGAAGAGCAACATTGCACACACAAACGTTGACCTGAACAGAACCTCAAAGAACCTCTCTCCCCACATCTGATTGACCAGGAAGTGCAGGGGGTACAGCGGGTCTATGAACACAACAGACGGAATGGAAGATTAGCCGTTGGCTTAGCAGCAAGCCAGTACATCACGGTACGGTGACATACACAGCTCAATGCAGCATCTTGTTGTACGCTCCTGTGGAGCACAGAAGACTCAGCGAAAGATGGATACTCCACACAGCATGGCACCAAAATGCATTGTAGATTGCTGGCGGCATGACTCAGTCCATTCGTCAAGTATATGCTGTGCCACATACAACACATCTACTTGTATCAACAGACCCATGTGCCACGCACCAGTACATGTCCTTCAAAGTGACTTACTGTTAAAGAGAATGAGCAAGACTAGAAGAACAGATATCCACCTGGAAATGAAACACCAGAGCGGGAAATGTAGTACATAAGTTCTAAACGTACAGTCAACTTGAAGAGCATTGAATGCACTATCGTAACAGTAGACTGATCACGGTCACCAAAGTACAACTGTAATCCGGCATTACAGCCTGTGCAACATACACACACACCTTTGACCTTTGACGCCCATCGCCGGAGGCGATGATAGCAATGCTACGGCAGAAGCCATAGCAACTTGTGCTGGGATTGCACCATTCAACAGCTTGCAAGGCTGAAGAATTGACCATCACTATTCAGCCTGGTCTACACCATACAGCTATTTGAAGTGACTTTTTCTGGCCAGTGAATCCCACACACACACACACACACACACACACACACACACACACACACACGCACGCACACACACGCACACACACACACGCACATACATATACACAAACGCAAACACACACACACACGCACACACACACACACTATTAACGGCTTAAATTTTAGGAATAGAGCAGAGCTGAGACCCGTTAACAACAGGTGCAGCAGGAGCAGTAACAGACCAGACCAGGCCATGACTATCTCTAAGTCTGCACTAAAGAATGTTTGGCTGTCTTGCACGCATGGTTAGACTGCCAGCGGGCTCCATACGACTGAGATAAAGTTATCACAAGTCTCCTCTTTGTTCACTTGCTCTGTTGCCTATTTTTTGAGAAACGCTTGGTAAGGATCAGACTCCATTGGCCCTTGGTAAGGATCAGACTGCATTGGCATAGTGTGGACATGCTGTGTGCATTCGCATCCAAACTCACTTCTGTTCCAGGCACCAATCCCTGATGCTGAAAGGACGCACAGATCGCATGAACTGAAACTGCACACACACACACACACACACACACACACACACACACACACACACACACACACACACACACACACACACACACACACATACACACACACACGCACCCATACACACACATACACACACACACACACACATACACACACACACACACACACACACACGCACACACACGCACACACACACACACGCACGCACACACACACACACACACACACACACACACACACACACACACACACACACACACACACAACCATACAGATAATGTTAAAAACAAATGAAATATCGCTACTGGCGAGGCCAGGGTGACAAAGAACCTTTTTTTTAAGGAATACACTGGGTGTTTCATCACCATGACATTTCACTCACAAATAATTCCTCAAATGTATATGTATGTATGTATGTATATTTTATTTGAATTCGCAAGTACACACGGGCTACAAGCCCAATTACATGGAAGCGAATGCCATAATGAGGCCAATTAAGAAAAAAAGGTGGAGGAAGGAGGAGGACGGTAGCAAAGCAACAGGGAGGACAATTCAGGACCAAAATCAACAATTGCACAAATGTGAGAGCACCTGAGACCGAGGGTACCTGTGGAGCGATAAAATGCCAAGCAAACATCGATTGCCTGCAGTCCATCGAGAACTTCTTGCTGAAAAATCTGAGTTATACATGTTTTGACCAGGTAGACTCCCTCTTCAATTTTCTAGACAATGTCATGGCAGTGACTCCTGACAACGAGAGTGACTTACGGCAGTAATGAATGTAAAAATGATGTAGACAAACTGGCACCAGATCTCCATCTGCGTGAACTCAGGGCTGAAGAACTGCCACTAGAACAACACAGAGAGACAACACAGGGCAACAGACAAATGATGTAACATAGAGTGATGAACTGACGAAACTTACCGAGCAATTCACACCCACCCATGCATGCATGCGTGCTTGACTAAACTCATGCATACGCAATTGCAAGTTATCCAGCACCAGTGGTAGAGCGGTGAAGCGCAGCCTACGCTGCCATCCAAACTCTTTCCATTCACTACCCGGCAGTTATAGTTGGCGCGATTGTGAACTAACCTCAAATGTCATGTTCTGAATGGATTCTGGGTGATTTGCTTCTTCAATCGCAAACTCCACCTCATAGCGCGTGTGATCCACACTGCCGACGTGCAGCAACACAAATGGCTCACAAGTCTGAAAGGAAACGGCAGCATCACATCCATATCATACAACGCAGATCAGCAGATCAGCAGATCAGCATGCTGAGCTCCGGGTTATGCTACTACTACTACTACTACTACAGTGAAAGCGGCTGCCGAAGCCGACCGTTCAAGTGACCTTGCAAACGTGATGCCCGTCACGGTACGGGACTGGTGGTCTTCTTATCCAGGATCAGCTCAGTGGCTGCCATCCCTTGGTCCCAGTTGTAGTGGTATCAGAGTGGTTGCCTTGACAGGTTTTACTGTAATATCAACTATAATCATACGAGTATAGTGGATTTACTCTGCATCAGCAATACCCCGGCAATGAATGCAGCCAAGTGGAATCCCCCCATCCTCTCCCACACATGCACCACTGTCTGCATAGGGCTATGGTTACAGATTTTCCGTGGCAGTACTGATCGCACGATGAAGAGCAGTGAAGCACACAAACATCACTGATTCAGTGAGTCACATGACTCTATTCACAAGCTGGTCACAGTGCGGCGTTGATAGGTATGGAGCATGTATGATCATGACCAGCAGCAGCCAGTTATTACTGGCAGAGTATGCATGACATGCGCCATACCTTCTCACAGTGCAGACTCTTGGTATGCTGAAACCGTTCGATCCCCAAGTAGATGCGACTCCACACCTGACTGCCGTCTTGGGCACGTATCTTGAGGACACGCATCTTGAACTTCAGTGAGTCCTGGTCGGCATCGCCTGTGAACAGAATAAGAATACACAACCCAATGGTCAGGACACGAGAACGTGTGTACAATCCGTGATGCAATGCACTGTGCACAATCCGTGATGTAATGCACTGTGTACAATCCGTGATGTAAGGCACTGTGTACAATCCGTGATGTAAGGCACTGTGTACAATCCGTGATGTAATGCACTGTGTACAATCCGTGATGTAATGCACTGTGTACAATCCGTGATGTAATGCACTAAGTGAGTTACACAGTACTACTGTACAAGCAAAGAGAGTGTTTACACAGGATACAGTGTAGGGGTATCGTGAAGATGTTGAATCATTCCTAGGGTACCGTAAAAGTCCGTAAATAAGTACGTATTTACTTTCGAATTTAGTGACCACACCCGTACTAACTTTCGGGCGGGTACTGACTTTCGGGCACGAACTAACTTTCGGACCTGACTAGTGTGTAGTGGAGAAGTCATTTTCATGTTGATGTACATGCTACGTGCTGCATGTGCGCATCGTACCGGTACTTATTTCGGGCAGTATGTTTATCGGGCTTGACTTGACTTCAACAGACAGAGCCAAAAGAATGAAGGGGGTATTTCTTTCGGGCAGGTACTTATTTACGGACTTTTACGGTACTTTCCCATACCTGATAACGGCTGCTTGACATGGATGATACACTTTAGCCAAAACTCCTGACTGAAGCGTGACCATCCCGGAGGTGAACGGCCAGAGTACACAAGCTCCGCATCCTTCAAAGCACAGGAACAAGGCAACAGCAATCATGACAACATTGAGTACATATGCATACACTGCAACATCCGGCTACGCCATCCGGCGCGTAGCCGGATGGGTCTGTGAGGGGGGGGGGGGGGGGTTCAAGATGGGGCTCCGGGGTGTCCCCCAGTAGGGGTGACGAGGGCAGAGCCCCGCCAAAACTGAGCTTCAGGGTAGCTTCAAATCAGTCAAAGCTTTTGAGAGGCCCAATCTGGGACCATTGTCAATGTGTTATGGTTCATTAAACACATCTGAGAATTGTGTATTCAGCATCTGTGCTGCACCCTCGGAGGGGAGGGGGTTTGTGAGCAACCTGGAAACAGCGATGGCTACGCGCCTGAATATAAAAGCTGACCGCACAGTGATGAACAGAATATCCAATTTAGCATACATAAATCTACATGTGGGCTTTGCGCAGCAAAGCCTAGTTAGCCCATGCACACGCATGGCATGATGCTGGTGGAGTGCTGCGAGTGCGTGTCATGTGACCACCTCGTGATTAAGCCGTGTGCGCCGTGTGTGGCCTGGCAAAATTTTATGGACAATCGTGGATCCGACGTCTAATTATTTGGAGACGTGTTTTGCTGAGCTGTCTTTGTGCGAAGGAGCGTTCTTTGCAGTTGCAGTTTCGGCGTCAAGTCAAAGTTTTTTCCCTCCCTCCCACCCCTTTTGAGGGGGCATTTTGTTTCTCCGGTTGGGGGGGGGGGCAAACGGGCCTCCTATTATGTCTGTATGTTGTGACGCCTGATGCCAGGCAGTCGTGTGAGCCCTCGGTGGGCGATTGGCTGGCCTCGGTGGCCGTTTGTGTGCCCTCGGCGGGCAAGATGATATCGGCCCACGGTGGGCAGTTTGCTTGCCTCGGTGGCAATTTGCGCACCCTCGATGGGTTGTCTGCTGGTTTAGCCCTCGACGGGCGGTTTGCTGGCCGCGGCGGCCATTTGAGCGCCCTCGGTGGGCAGTATACTAGTTTATCCCTCGGCGGGCGGTTTGCTGGCCTCAGCGGCCATGTGTGCGCCCTCGGTGGGCAGTATGCTAGTTTAGCCCTCGGCGGGCGGTTTGCTGGCCTCGGCGGCCATTTGCGCGCCCTCGGTGGGCAGTAGGCTAGTTTAGCCATTCGGGCGCCCTCGGTGGGCAGTATGCTAGTTTAGCCCGCGGCGGGCCGCGGTGGCCATTTGTGCGCCCTTGGCGGGCGGATGCTAGTTTCAGGCATGCATCTTTACTCAATCAATTATTATCAAAGAGCATATTCTTGAATATTTGAATTGTCCAAAAGAAATCATGGCAACCCCCAACCCAATGTGTCTATTGTATGTTTGTGCACGCCATTGTGAGCGGTACGTTGTGCAGGTGTCTGCGTGTCAGAGCATGGGTACACCAGTGGCGTGTGTGTGCATGTGTGCGCGTGCGTCTGTCTGCATGAGTGCACGAGTGCCCAAGCTGGGCGTGCGGGTGCACTTGGAGGTGCTTGCATGTTGACGGGTGCAGGGGCTAATAGCGTGTTAGTCAGATAGCTCTCATGGTACCGTGATGTGACTAGAATTTGATAGCAGTGCCCATGCATGTACCGGTACGAAGGACACCCCAAGGTGCACCACATCAAGCTACTTTATGCCGGTAAAATCCGGATACACTTGATGAGAATCACACAGCAAACAAGAACACAATCATGTACACGTACTATGCAATAGGCATTAGTTCGCTGCACATGGCTCATGCAACGGCATGAACAAGGCGTAGGGTGAGATTACGTACCGTTTCATTCAACCTCACTGCCGACCACTCCACGCCCAGGTGCTGTGTGGACGATGACAGAACCTTTGGCCCGGTCACCCCTATCGTGATAGTGATGATTAGCGCCACAAAGAACGCCGAGAAGACCAACAAGTACTGGCGCTTGGTTAGCGTGTGAAGGCGCAGCTGAATACATCTGTAAAGAGAACACCCAAACAGCACAGAGCACCCGTGTAACACACACGTGCAGTCACACTGATCATACTCAACAAACCGGCTCTGTAGACTCTGATGTTAGGGATTTCAGTCACGTGATCTGCGGGGGCAAAAGTACCTTGACACGCATGCATGCATTTTGAATGCCAGGCATGGCACAGCTCAGAGCAGGGTCTTCGGCGTAGATTTTAGGTAGGGAGAGTGAGTTTATCGCCATTTTTATTGGCGCACCGTTGAAGAGTAGGTTTCAAGCTTTCGTTTGGTGCCTCACACGGCGAATTCGTGCCGATATTACGCATCTCGATAGATTCTTGTAGATTTCAAAGTCGCTTTTGAGGTGTTTGCCTTGGTTCCACACTCAAGCATCAGTCAGAATCAGATTCTACGGCATCGATTTAGTCAAGGTAGGTTCCTTCAGACGGCATGAAGGGTCGCGATCGGTAGCGGAAATTGTTTTGAAGTTGAACGCCATTACACAGTATGGAGGTGGAGAAGAAAGACGATTGGCTTCCGCCTTCCTCTGTGTTCATGGTGTTGTCCCGGGCAGTAGTTGAACTCTCGTTGAGGGCGAGAAGCAAAAATTATACCAAGTAAGTTAGCATAATTTGATTTTGCTAGTTGCAGCCGTGGATGGAAAGGATTTCGAGACGATGTGAAAATTGCCAGGAACAAAATCGGGCGTATCAGACAGTGGAGAAAAATTTGCTGAAGAACAAGGCAAGTGACGACCTCAGTGAATTACTAAGTCATCCTTTTGAACTGCCTCTCAATCAAATTGTAAAGCAGATAACCACACACTGAACGAAAAATCGTATCTTGTGTCTGATTCTTGTCCAAGAAAGAAACATTGAACTGCAAGGACAATTGTGGGCTGCAGGGATTGCAAATTGCATGGATTGTATAAGTTTGGAAAATTATATCAGTGTTATCAAATTTCCACACCTGAGCAGTCGTACGTGCTGAGGTGTGGACATTTGCAACAGTTCATGTCCACGCTGGACCAGCCGTTGATGTCAGTGCTGAAGCAACAGTTGATGTTGATGCCGGCGCAGCAAATGATGGCGCTTTGGAGCCCGCACCCGGCATAGCAGGTCTTGACCCTGTGTGTGGCACCAGACTTGATCTTCCATGTGTCATACAAGTGCGTGGTTGTTCCAGGCTGGTATTTTACTGAACTTATCTCTTATAAATACTCACCGCTGGCTGGCTTCTGTGTACAATACTCAATACGACAATAGCCTCTAGTATGATCGTTGTGCGGCTAATGACATTTTTATGTGCGTCTCTGACACGTTGCAGCCGAAAACGGGCCCTGTGTGACATCAGAGCTTGCTGGCTACTCGTCTAGTTTCCCACATGCATACTATATAACTTAAATGTTGTGTTTGCCGTATTTCTGTCATATTCCACCTATTACCATGTTGAATTATGCGTGAAATATACTGTTGCTAGGGCCGTTGCTAAGGACGCCATTGCTGCGGTCATTTGGAATTTTGAAAAAAAACTTTTATCTTCCGTTCCGTCACAACCAGGGCCATCCTTGATCCAAGTTTGGCCACGATCGGATGAGGTTTATTTGTTGCTATGGTGTTGCTAGGGAGTATGGGAATTCCATTTTGTGCCATCCTGCAGATCCAATTTGTATGTGTGTTCATCAAGGTTGGTGCGCTATGTTTGAATGCTCATAACTTTGGAAATACTGCTTGGATTCCGTTCAAATTTTCTGTGGACAGTCCTTACACATAGATGCTTCAGGAAAACTTGTTAGTTGGAGCAAAGCGCTGCTCAGAAAAAACCGCCTGAAATCCCTACTGATGTTCTGATATGTGCTGCTGCTGCTGCTTCCATGGCTTAGACAATACCGGCCTATTCCCATCTGACCGTCCCCGGCACTGTGGCAACACTACCCCAGCATTATTACGCGCAAAACAGCGACCTCATTGGATCACGGTAACAAGGCAACTACATCGTTTCTTTATTCATTTTATTTTCTAATCCACCTCCCAGGCATGTACTGTTGTGGACATTGAAATCCGTTGAGAAATCGAGCAGCCACGGAGCGCTGGCCTTGCAGCCGTGAGCACTGCTGGTCCATTTTTTTAAACAGTGTTCAAGTGAACTAGAGTGAGTGTACACGCTATGGGAGTAAGGGTGCCGGCCCCGTTCATTCCACTGGATTTCAATGTCCACGACAGTAGTTGCCAATCAAAGGGGAGGGAGTGAAAATTAGCCACGGATGAAAAACCATAAGAAGTCGAAAAATGGGAAGTGAAGAAAAAATCATAATAGACAATTCACACATACACCCCTAAGGGGCCGGTCGCACTGAGGGAAAATTTGGAAAAAATCCGTGGTTACCATGGATATTTGCTGCTGAGCAGGAGATTTCAGAAATTTAATCCACGCAAAGAAAATTAGCTCGAGGCCCCGCTTTTCCGCCGAAGATTATAATCACCAGCGGCTTCCACTGGATTTCTTTGAGCTTCCTTGTTTTTTTATCGCGTCATGAATTGGAGCGATACTCGTAGAGGCTCTGCGGATGCAGCTCTGGCCCAGGAGCGGGGCTGACAGACTGCCAGAAGCGAATGGTGCCAAAACAAATAGATCGTGTGGGTGAGATTTTTTTCATCGTGCGTATCCAGTGTAGCCGTGATGAAAAGTAGAAAAAGATGTTCCCGGTTTATAATCTGAGGATTGTTCCCTCAATGTGACCGGCCCCTAAGCCTAAGGCTAAGGCTAGGCCCTGACACAGACCATGAAATATACCCTTACAGGTTGCTGCTGACTGTCTGTATGTGTGTGTCTAGCCAGCACAGGCACATTGTATTATGTAGCAGGTCCCCACACTGTAGTCTACCTACTAGTAACCGTTTTAGTTAGGTTAGAGAATGGTACATGTACTCACTGTTCCATGCTTGCACCGACCACCAGCTAGCAGCTACCAAGGGTAAGGGAAACAGTGACACTGCACCACAACACTCGACTGGCTAACGACTGAAGTCTGTGTTCGTATTCCCGAACCATGCACAATTCACATCTTGGCGACCCTGCGCCGGTCGTTACCGTGCGCACAGTCAAATGCGGACTGGACGTGGGTAAAGAACTACAAGTGCCGGTAGATATGGTGACAATGAAGACGGTAAGCAGGTCGCTGGTCGGCTCTTCGCCGTCTTCGCTAGCCTCACGGAAAACAGCAAAACCAAAATTAGAGCAGCAGACTTTTTTTAGTCTTGGTATCCAACAGACCTTTTCGACTTCGTTCGAATTTTCAGTTTTGCTTGGAAGGGCTGGCCGTGAAGTAGTAAGTCACAACATGATAAATCCGGTGCATGCATACGGCTATGCTTGCACGTGTGCTTGTCAGTTGTCATCGGTAGTTGAGTAGTCAGTAGTTGTGTCACTACTGACTCACTACTAGTACTACTACCTGCTAGTACTACTGGTGTAGCTGTAGATCAGCTCATTCTGCACAAACTGCACGGCCATGTGCGAATGGCAGACTAGCTGTTTCCGGGTTCAGACCCATCGCATCCAGTCACTATCCTGTTTGGTTTGGTAGAGCAGAATGTCACTACCGGATACGAACGGTCGACATCGATCATCAAGTCCCGCACTGACAAGTGACCGGCTCGTCGCCTACAAACACACTGCCGGTGTGCTGTGACACCGCGCCGGTAAATCTGTAATCATCGCCACACTGCACTGTCCAACGCCCAATACATGTCCATTGTATTGTTTTATGTCCACGGATTTGACGACACCATGAGGCAGTGGCTCATGCATGGGATACTAGTAGTAGTGATGCTATCATGAATTTCTAGAACAGAAAGTCTGTGACTTTGCACCGTATGTCCGCCCTTTTAAAGCCATGGAGGTATAATCATTCGATTAAAGCCAGTCTCAGTGAGTTGTAAAGCAATGGGCTTCATAAAATTAATGAAATGACATTTGAAGTATGTTTTGTAAAAATGAAGGACTACTATACTAACAAACTTACAGCACAGCAGGAAGGTTGAACAAGTGGATTTAGATTGAAATTTCTGTATGGACTTTGACTCTTATGGCATGGAGTAGCCGGTGAGCCATTTTGCATCTAAAATAGCTAGGAAAGCTGCGGTGTTTCGAATTATAAGAGTGACCATGGCGTTAAAGGAGCTGACATACGGCATGCACCATCCGTTCTGTGCCCCACTGTCAGTCTGTCACTACAGGCACCCAAGAGTACAACTTGCAACTGCGCTTTAGGGAGCTGCATAAGTCATTGCATATAATTATTACTAACTTATTGGCATAATCCGTACTAGCACAAAAGGACTACCCCTCGCCGCACACATTGTGACAAACAAAGACATCCAGCGTTATTCCAAGAGACTGTGATGCAATGCACGTTTGTGCGAGATAAGACCGTGGACCCCCCCCCCCCCCCCCAACTATTACTTCCCCATGGCCATGGATGCATGGTGGATTCGTATGAATTATTTCTGCTGCGACAGCACTTCAGTACAGGAGTTGTTGCACATGCTGTCGGGGTTGTGTTCTCTTGCCACCACCAGCAGGTAACAGCACTGCGCGACATGGTGTCCAAACTTATCACCAAACAATGCACACGGGCGCTGGAACCTGGACCACGGTAACACACTCATCGTGAGTTGAGAGCAGAGAATAAAATGATAATATTCAGCATAGGTTTCATGATACAACAGCAGACTGTCAGTGTGCACACTGTACAGTGTTGCATTGCGTAGAGTTATTATCGGTGTCAGTGAGAAGGAGATAATATCAAATAATTATGGCATCCCGATAAAGGCAAACGCTGGAGTCAAAGTCATGCAGACGTAAAATAAAATCCCAGTATGTACGGCCTAAGGCTGTGTACAGTGTAGTAGGTTTAGCCCACCGGTACTAGTAGTAGTATGTACAATCTGCAAACAGCAGTGTATAAAAGATAGCAATGAGAGTGTAGTCAAAGATCACGTGACCAGGGGAGGGGGATTTCGTGCCTATACTCAAGTGAAAGCATGGTACTTGCACAATCAGTGGACTGCAGGCAGAGAGACATTGTCACTGCCGCCGTCACGTTCTTACCCGATAGGTGACAAACACATGCAACGTCTTGCTGAAATGCCACTCGAAGACCAGCGAGAGAACAAAGATAATAGCAAATAGGCCGATCGGGTAGAGTATCGCGACTGTCCGATGTGTGAATGGCAATGCTGGAGAAGTAGAAAATAGGGAGAGAGCGAGGGAGAGAGAGAGAGAGAGAGAGAGAGAGAGAGAGAGAGAGAGAGAGAGAGCACAATCAATGCCCAGCACTGAAAAATACTCGTACAAGCCTCGGTACCCTTTCCAACGGCCAAAGAGAGTTATTGTGGTGGGTCTGATCTACTCACCTCCCACCGCTGAGGGAAATTTTGAAAAAAATTCGTGGTTACCATGGATATTTGCCGCTGTGCGGGAGATTTGAGAGATTTAATCCACGCGATGAAAATCAGCTCGAGGCCTCGCTTTCCCGCCGAAGATTATAATCATCCGCGGCTTCCACTGGATTTCTTTGAGTTTCCTTGTTTTTATTACATTATGAAGTGGAGCGATACTCTAGAGGCTGTGCTGATGTAGCTATGGCCCAGGATCGGGGCTGACAGACTGCCAGAAGCGAATGGTGACAAAAAAATAGCTCGTGTGGGTGAGATGTTTTTCATTGTGCGTATCCAGTGTGGCCGTGATGAAAAGTAGAAAAAAATTATATTTCCCGGTTTATAATCTGAGGATTGTTCTCTCAATGTGACCGGCCCCTTAGGAGCTACAACTGCACCTTGATCCTAGAGGGTGGTGGCGTTCCTATGGATGCGGAAAACTCGGCTTCCAGCCGAGTCTCACGCGAACCGTGATTTTTTTGTTTTTCTGTGGGTAGCTCCAATGTTTTTATTAGACTACATGCAAAATTGCAACCATTTTGGGACATTCCTCATATCATGATATAAAAAGTTTGTTTTCAGCAAAATGCGGTGCATCACCACATCCCTGCCGTTGCCAAGCTAGCATGCTCATACCAGTGTATAATAATAATAATGTTGGACTCAGTAGCCAGTCGTTATCCTATAAACAGTCGGAAGTCCAGTAGTAGGGAGTCGAAATCAAGATCAAGTAGTATAAGTAGGACTCCCCTGGACCTACACGATTTTCCCTGTATTAAGTAATAACGTATGAAAATCCGTATGTCGTATGAGCCGGGGAGCGAGGGCAACTTTGATACGTAAATCTCTCTACGGATTTCCATAGGAAAGCTCTTTCCTACGTTCGGTCCTCCGTAGGACTTTTTAAAATATTTTTTGCATTTTCCGGATTTATCCATGGCAACGGTCAAGCCGCGTGAAACACAAGGTACACACCCCGTGGAAAACAAAATGGAAAACACGGTTTCGGTTCGTGGTGCACGCGGTGGGCGCATGCAGCCAACGCGTCTCCAAAGCAACAAGGCATGCTGAAGTATGTTTTGTAAAAATGAAGGAATAAGTACTATGCCACCAAACTTACAGCCCAGCAGGAATGGTGAACAAGTGGATTTAGATAGAAATTTTTCTGTGGACATTGACTTTTATGGCATGGCGTAGTGGGTGAGTTATTAACTTATTTTGCATCTAAAATATCTAGGAAAGCAGCGGTGTTTCGAATATAAGGCCATGGCTTTAAAGGCACTGACGTCTGACGTCACAGCTTCTTGACAACGCGTAGTTACTTGGCCAAGTGATGACAAACAAAAGTCGCGTCACCTGCACGTGTCTTGCTTCCAGTGGCAGCAGCATGCAGTGAACACAGCTACAGCAGACCATCTGGTAAAAGGAGAGCGATCGCTCTCGCGCGCCTTCGCTCTCCTTATTTTATTTTGGGCGCACTTTTCGTCGCGCGCCTTGAGAATTTCGACCTTGTCCGTAGATTTGTACGGTAGCTGGTCGTCAGGTCGTCAGTTCATCCACAGTCCTTGATCTCGAGTGCACGGCATCAAGAGTGCATGGGTTTCATGTACTCTTGACGGCGCGGCATGCACTATCTGACTGACCGCTGCTTTTACTAGTTTTAGACCGCGCGCGGGGGTAGGATCTTTGATCTCGAGTGCACCATGGTGCACGCGTGCACGGCATCAAGAGTGCATGGGTTTCATGTACTCTTGGCGGCGCGGCATGCACTCTACTCGAGTAGATCTACTCTCTGACTGACTGCTGGTTTTAGTAGTTTTAGACCGAACGTGGGCGCAGGATTGTTTTTTTTGCCAGCCAGTCTACTCCCGGTCCGCGATCTGTTTAGTTCGCTTTCAGTTAGAGTGCTCGTCTTGTCCTGCCCATTAGCGACCACTTTGGGATTGAGGCCATGGATGTGGAGGCGCTGAAGCGCACTACTGTCCACGAGTCGGGAGAAGCCCTGCAGAAACGCTTCGACTCATTCTCCCTGCCTGTCTTCAAAGCCATGCATTGGGCCAATCCGGCAAATTGGCAGACAAATAGCAGCAATGAGTTACAGCAGATGGAGGTTCTGGCAAAGCATTTTGCCATGACTCTGGCAGTGCACCGGTTCGACGGTACGAAGCTAAAGACAGAGTGGCGGAGTGTCAAGCATTTTGTCAAGTCTTACTATGCCTCCGTGACGTCTGCCGTCGAGCTTTGGGAACGCCTCCTGCAATACCGCAGGAAGGAGTTTCCCAATGTCTGCCTGCTGGCCGAGGTAATAATTGCTGTTGGCGTCAGCAATGGCACAGTGGAGTCAACCTTCAGCTACCTGACGGCAATGCTCACTGACCGGCGCCTGTCATTGAGCCACGACACCATGTCTGATCTACTCCTGATCCGGGCCAATGACGCAGTGTGGACTGAAGCTGAGAAGTCTGCGATCATTGAGAGCGCCCTCACGGAGTACCTCCAGAAGAGACGGCGGCTGACGCTTCATTCCGTCAGTGCCTCAGCAGCTTTGGAACCGGCAGCCAAGCGCTTCCATGCAGCTTCCAGCAGCTCATCAGCCGAGAGTGACAGCGAGTCAGATGGAGCCAGCGAGGTGGACTCTGACGTCTTAACACGATTCCAAATCGCGGAGGACTCCGAGGATTCCAGTGATCAGGAATTAGAAGACTCGGACGTTATCGTCGTTCACCACTTGGGCAGCACTACGGACACGCCTTCCAGTTCTGATTGTGATTGAGCAGCTCCAGGATTCTAATACGCAGTCAGTGACTTGAACATATGTACATACTCATAGCATACAATAACGACACCCCATTAATTGATAATCCATCATGCATCCATCATGCTCAGCAGCTGTTTGCTGCAATTGCAAAATGGTATGTCATTGTCTGTGATCAATATCAATTGATGGTTTTGATGGAATTGATTGAGTCAAAGCAGATGTTGTAATTTGAATCCGATTGAGGTATAGCAACAATTGAACACGTTGGAAAAACCCAGATTGTAATTTGTATTGTGCTCGCCTTGGACAGATAAGGAGAGCGATATTTTGGGGGGGGGGGGGGGGGGGAGGGGACTGCTCTCCCACCACTCTCCTTGAGAGGAGAGCGATTGTTCACTCTCCTGGATTTTTCTTACACGAAGGTCTGCTACAGCATCATTTTGACTGAGGAGCGCGCGAGCGAGACTATTATTTTATTTCAAATAAAATGTCGCCGAGTTTGTAGTTTTCGCTTTGTAGAGAAGAAGAAGCCATAGCTGATTTTTTTGCTTGGCCGCTGCTGTGCCTGTACTGTCGTTCGGCTTTACATGTAGTCGCCGGCCAAGAAGCAATGATGGGTGTCTCTGTTATTTCTATCGCAGCGAACGCTGATTTCTTTTAGTTCTGAGACCAACCAACTCTGGGCTCGTTTCCTTGTCCAGCGGCAAGCGAAAATCAGAACTCCTATATCTCAGGTGCTGGTGAACACTCAGCAGGAAAACACTGCACGATGGCTTGAGAGCGAAAGAGAAACTTCTTGAAGTAAAACAAAATTTTAAGTCGCGATCTTGCACCAGCGCGCCCCAGTCAAAGTGATGCCGTGACCATTGGAAACACGACAAGTGCAGGTGACGCGATTTTTGTTTGTCACCACTTGGCCTTGTTACTACATGTAACTACGAGTGTTCAGGCAGCGTGACGTGGGCACTTTGACAGCCTATTACGTAGAGCGAAACCTCCCAAATAGCAAACATATGCTACTTACAGAAGTATCCCAAGAATGTGATGTAGAAATAGTAGCCAAAGGCAACCAGCCACAACGCGTTGCTCAGCAGCCGAACAAATCCAAACTGCTCAAGACCAGCTGTGCATGTGGGCACAAGGCACACAAACACACACATACACACACACACACACACACACACACACACACACACACACACACACACACACACACACACACACACACACACACATACGTGTACATACAAGTACAATCATAGACAGGGTACACAGTCAATGCACATACAGGTGAACACATGGATCTAGCAGTGGCTAAAGATATCACCAATGCAGAGTAGGAGTTGGCTTTAGGCAGCCATGGTGGGGAAAGAAAGGAAGAATACCAAACAAAATCCTATAATTAGAAAGGTTGCGCACAACGAAACTTCGTAAGATTTTGACCGTCAGGGTTCGAGTAACGAAAGTTGCTACGAAGATCCGTCCAAACGCGTCCGAAACAGAGCAGATCTACGAAAATATTGTTCATCACTTGGAGTACTAAAATGCTGATATTTAACAACTCCCTGTCTTGACTCTTCGCACCCGCCCGGCCGCCGCGTCGATCCACTACGAAAAAGTTCACACGTTGTGCGCAACCTCACATTTTACGAATATTCGTTAGCTTTTTTCGTTACAATTTTTCGTTACGACGCTACGAATTTTCGTTGTGCGCAACCTCTCTATTAATGATCCAACACAACTACATGACTGTACAAGGCATGAGAAAAATGAATTGGATCTGACAATGATGCTGGACGAAGGTCCTAATTTAGATCAAGAAGAAAGCAAAACTACAGAGCTTATTCGAACTCGAGCATTTTATAGACCTCCTTACATCAAGACCGGTAGACCAGCTACATACCCCCCCCCCCCCCCGCTAATACTAACTTGACAAGTCCACCCAGGATGAATCAATGCAGTCCACAGTAGGAGTGATGAGTTTCCACACTGAGATAGTTACTTTGTTGCAAACAAATGCTATGTGGTGTAGCGCTATGCATCGCGTCACTCCTGCACTAGTGCTAGGCAGGGACAAGGCGAAAAGTCACACAGCCAATTAAAACGCAACTCTAGAGACGCACTTACCATGCATCAACAGAACTTGAACGATGTGAAGAATGACTAGGAAAGGCAGGAAAGCATTGAGGTGGACGTCAAACGAGTATCTCCACTCCACCGTTGCATCACTCTCGGGCCGTCTCATAAACTTGTTCACACAAAACCTGGCCGCAATAAAGTGAAACGCCAAAAGGGTAGAACACAGGCATGAGCACGGAACGTCACGGCGTCGTCAGAACAGAGCAATACACAAGCACTACAGGAAAACTCAAGATGTAGGTATCAGATATGCTACAGATGATAAGCAGACGGTATTGTTAGCTTGGTCGCACATGTCGGCGCTCAGTCTAGTCTCCCTGCAGGATGCTGGTCTATGCCATGCCGTACACAAATCAGTCCACGCAACGGCTACATGTACACAAATCAGTCCACGCAACGGCTACATGTACACACGTACTGCCATGCCAGTACAACTAAAAATAATTCCAAGGCAACAAACAATACAGAGCCAGAGTCAACACTTGATTTCTAGAGTAGCAGATACTTAGGGCGTGTTTGGTTGGTGCGAACTAGAACAGGATTCACCAGAGCAGCGCGTTTGGTTGGGACTGCACCTGTTCTGGGTCGGCCAGAACATGTTCTGCTTGCTCCGGCCTCGAGCCGGAGCAGACCGAGCAGTTTCACTTTTTCACAGTGAAACCTGGCGGGAACATCGATTTTGGTCCCAAATGATCACGTGCATACGCTTTGGGGTTGGATTCGTTGTACCGTACAAAGTGACCATGGTGACCCATACGCATTTTGAAGAATGCACCAAGTTTGGCACATATTTCACAAAAATGTGCTCTGTTTCTGGAGTACCGTTTGGTTGACATGAGGCTGCTCCATGTGCACCAGCTGTTCGATCCTGTTCTAGATCGTACCAACCAAACGCACCCTTAGGCTGTGTTTACATGAGAAATTTCAACCCGGGTCGAGTTTAACCCGGGTTGAAAGTCTGTACGATAGACAAAATAGGTGAGCGTTTACATGAAGACAGTTGACCCGGGTCAAATACTGATATGCCGCCAAAAGTCCACTTCTAGAGTCCTGTATGGTTACGTGAATCCGTTCGCGCGAAATTATTTGCATGTGCAGTGCTGTTCAAACCTGGCGCGAGAAACGCACAGAAGTACGTTTGTACGATTTTCTTGACCCGGGTTGATTTCAACCCTCCCCTTGGGGGGGGGGGGGGGGGAGGGTTGAAATCAACCCGGGGCGAAATTTCAACCCGGGTCAAGCGCAATGCGTCATGTAAACACGCCATTCATTTTGTGTACATGGCGGGTTGAAATCTGACCCGGGTTGAAACGCCTTATGTAAACACAGCCTTAGGGCGCGTTCAAATTGTCACTCTTTGACTTTTCGAGGAGTTTCGTTTTTCTGAAGAGGTGGCCTTATTGGCCTCTTCAGAAAAACGAAGCTCCTCGAAACTCCACAACCTCATCCGATGGGAGAGGTGGATTAATTTCGAAGAGTTTGGAATAGCTACGTCATGTAGTACATGGAGATGGTCGATCTGATCGGACGTCATCATCGCCATGACAATTCCACTGAAGAACTCTAAAATGATAGAAACCGTTCTAGCGGGACACTTCAACTAATCTCTTTATAAAATTTGTTTGAGCAGTTGATGAAGACAATTCAAACACGCCCTTAGCATACTGTACTAGGAAGAGCCAATCAAAAGTTGGGAATACCAAAAATGCATGGGTGAAGAGTTTCAAGGTGTCCATTGCTTCTACTTCACAGCAATATAGAGTGTAACGCAATACGGATGCGGATGAGTGCCGGGCGGTCTTACCAGAATGCAGTAGCGATGGCACATGCCAAAATGATGTAATCAAACACAAGCACCCACACCAGATGCAGAATGAACTCGTGAAATGCCAGCTTCAGCACAATCGTGTACAGCACACAGGACACTGCATATAAGAGAAAGAACACAAGACACAGCGAATCCGGGGCTCATCAGAAGAGTCCATGTATGAATGAAAAATGAATGTAAGTGTTGTGTGATGACTGTACATGTGTTACTTTGAAGTGCAAACATGCACATGAAACATTGAGTAATAACGTACGGGGCATAAAAGCGATCTGACTTTTTGTTACCACACGCACAATATCCCTTTAACCATCTTGCCAGATAATAATGGCAGAAACTACACTGTGGCATTTGAGCACTTCCAGCACAATGTGACATGGTCTGCATCCCTTGTGTATCAATGAAATATGACTGAGTGAATCCAGGCGGCTGTCTTTGCACAAAGCTCACTGTGTTTTTCACAGTTAGAGCACTCCGACTTCGATCCTTTTGAGCTGGTTTTAAGTGCTTTGCCCACTAGACAGTTGATTACGATCGGCTAGGCCAGTCACTCTGAGCTGTGCTCATGGGACCTTACAAGGTGGAAACAGCTAGCTGTCCAGAAATTGAGTGAATCCAGAAGAGACAGACATATAGATAGATAGATACCGTATTTTCCGGAGTATAGTGCGCACTTTAGATGTGCTATTTTAGGCCCTAAGTCACAGGTGCGCACTATGCTCCGAATATGAAATGCATGTACTTCAATGAAGATTGAAGTGCCCACCCCCAATGAAGATTGGGGGTGCGGGTTATACAAAGATGCGCACTATACTCCGAAAAATACGGTAGATAGATAGATAGATACACCAAAGGCACAATGGAGTTTTACAGAGGTGTCGCAACTCGGAGTTTCTTGCTCAATGCAATCATCAGGCACCTCTGTAAAACTCCATTGTGCCTTTTGTGTGTACTAGTGCACCACTTTATTGTGTCGAGCCCTCTCCGCTGGCAGAAGGAAGTTTTCCTCCTTGTAGGTAGATAGATAGACAGATAGATAGATTGATTGATAGAGAGTGTGAGAAAGAGAGAGAGAGAGAGAGAGAGAGAGAGAGAGAGAGAGAGAGAGAGAGAGAGAGAGAGAGAGAGAGCAAGTGCCATCAGTATGAGCATCAATATACCCAAACTAATGTTCAACACTGCTGCAACGTGAGAAACCTCTCCAACAGATCATACTGCAGGGCATGCGCTAAGGATTAAAATATGCTCTGACACAATGTCCTGCCAGTTGCAAAAATGGCCGGACATGTCCGGACATGCAACTTTCACATCAAATCACACAATGTTCAGTGTAGAATTAATACCATCGAAATGTTATCACGACGATGCATTTCAGAAGCAGCATGATCTTTGAAGGCTGACGTTTTCAGGTTCCTTGAGCCAACGACGAAGGAGTCAGAAAAATTCTTGCTGCTGCGAATTTTATCAACAAAACGGGAACACATCTTACGCTTCAAATTTTCGACAACGCTACGATTTGAGGGACTGCGCTCATAGCTCAGCCAAACAGAATAAGTTGAAAGCTCCCTATCATAATCGGCGACCCACTTGTCACAAGTGGTCGTCTTGACTCCTCTGGGCTTCTTTCCAAGAGGAGGACCCGCATCAGCGGTGCTTGGCTTTCTCTTGCCAGACGACATCACTAATGACTATGAGACAAAGGATTGAAGTGCCTTTTCTTTTTTGTACTTTGCAAAAAGGTGCGCGGACACTTTGTCCGGATATGTACAAAACATCCGGAAATTGACCGTAAACGGTCGGAAATTGTCCGATGTCCGACCGTTATTTCGCGCCCTGATACTGTATACGTAGAAAGTTTCGTTTGGAATTAACTTTCGCTATATTCGTTAGGGGGCACGAAATAACTAAAGTGTGTACCAAACTGAAGTGACCCCTTCTGAACGTTCGGGGTGACAGACCTCGACCAAAAACGAAAACTAGTATGTAACGAACCTGCTGGAGGAGTGATCTAACGAAAGATTTCGTGAACGAAAATTTGTACTTCTACGGTATGCAGAAACATAGCACACTACTACTGTACCTAATACACATGCTGCTCCAAGAACCAAGAAAGCAGGGTCATCGCGAGCCCACTGGTGCTTTGTCTCTGCATGACACGAGAGGTAAGAATACAGACGTTACAACTTGGTGGGATAAGAACGGCAATGGAAACAGAAAAGATGAGTAAATGTAAATAAATTTCACTATAACGTACAGTTCTGGTCCATGAAACTCACCCTCAAAGAGTCATGGATGGAAAGCACTCTCATGAACACACCTTAGTATGTAAAAGAATCCACTGTAGCGACTCACTTCATCTTGCTCACAAATCAATGAAATCATACACTGCCACCAAATACGGTCATGCGGCTACAATCATTTGGGAAGAAACAGTTAAAATCCAAATTATTAACAGTGCAAATTCCATTGAAAGCACTATAGTAGCGCCAACTATCATACCCTAAAAGCAGAAGGCAATGGGACAGGAAAATGGAACTTACGACTGTGGTAGTGGAAGTTCTTGTACCTGGAGATACAGGGACAGTAAAGATGAACAAACGCTATGAACTACATGGTGAAAACTGCGCGTTTGAAAGTAGTCTTGTTGGATTTTTGTTGGATTTTGTTCGACAAACTAAACTAATAGCAGTACTACAGTGCTGGAAACCGAAATCCGACCCCCTGAGCCCCTGAGCAGTGCGCTGACATCGCAAAGACCCAACACAGGCTAGTAACACTACGAAATAGAGACCGCTAGAATGTGAAAGCACCGCTCAGGGGGTCAGGGGTCGGATTTCAGTTGCCAGTACTGTACTTTCTCCCTTTTGAACTTCCTCAAACTGAAGAATATTTGAATAGATAATACCTGAGCATCTCTTAAAACTGTTTTCAGGGCGCGCAAACTCCACTGCAGCCAACTCAATTGCCAACAGTTCTTTGAACTTCGTGCAGATTGTAATTTGCAAGTGCACCGTGTTTTTCCTACATGTACCATCAGTGTAGTCTTCTGGCCTGGCATAGTATCCGTATGTATATACATGTACTGGTACTAGTACCAGGTTCACCTCGCTGTTTGTTTCCAATCCTCATGACAGCCCAGGGCTGAAATATTGCTTGATGTTTCCCTTTCTTTTTCAAATGCAGTACAGAGCCCAGTTTTGTGGCGTGGATGATTGACTCAGCTAAAAGTGATGTTCCGCTCTACGTTACAGGAACGCGTCGCGAAGAATCCCGGGAACTCTCAGTGTTCATCACAGACTAACACAGTTGGCTACCGGTACATGTACTACGGGCCACTCATAGTAAGTACTGCACTGGATTGTGTTTCTGGTCTGCCCCCCCCCCCCCCCCCCCCGAGTCCAAGTACCGGCGGCACACACGGTGAACACACAGAACCGGGAAACACGGGACCGTGCCGGGAGGTACGGTGCAAGGGAGCAGGTGGCAAGTCCTAGGCTAGAGACAGGTCTAAGGTCACTCGGCAGGAACATCAAGCGCACGTATCCAGGCTGGAGGGAGTTGCACAGGGCCCAGGCGCTATTTTAATTAAAGAAGGGAACTTTTTACTCAAGATACGCACTATTGTGTTGTTCAATAGACACACTCATGTAACTCACACTTTTCGCGGAGCAATAAACAAGTAGAGCATCTGCCAAGCAGCAAATTCGAAATCCATGTGTTTGAACTTGTACAGGCGTCTGAGGAATTTCCAGGTCTGTTTGCTGGATGACATCCCCGAATCCTTTCTGCTGAGCCGGCCATTCGCAGAGGTAGGTGATGACACCGGCAACATCTTCCCGTTTTACAACACTGCTAGATACTAGTATGTCGGATATCGTATTGAAGACCTCAATTCAAACAAATCACTCGATGTCGATGACGAAGATACCACTGGATATCAGCGCGGGGACTAATGTTGATCGTCCACAAAACTGAACGTGCTCACAACTCAACAAGAGAACATCACATGAAGAGAAAAAGCAGCATCGGGTGTAGGGACGCTCTAGCAAGTTTAGAAATGTCTGTGTCTAATTCTTTCTGACGAAGGAGTATGCATAACACTCGCATAATACTAGTAGTAATACAGTCATGCAGAATTTCGTCAATTTTTGTTTGTTTTGTTCAACGTTGAACGCTTTGCGTAACTACGTCAGGGCTACGTCATCGTGGGACTAGTAGAAGAAGAGTAATGAATGAGTCTAAATGACTATCCGGTTTACCAAGAGTTCATAACCCCCATGAACTCTTGGGTTTACCTATGTCCTTCCCAATTAAATCATTTGGTGTGTGACTTCGAAAGTTTGTAATAAAAAGCAAAGTGAACAATGCAGTTTGTTTGCTGTTTGCATGCTGCTCGCACCAAGAGTTTAGTTTGTTCATGTACTTGCTCGCACTCACAAACAGGCAGTGGACTGGCAGTGGACTCCCTGCTCACAGACAGGCAGTGGACTGGCAGTGGACTCCCTGCTCACAGACAGGCAGTGGACTCCCTGCTCACAGACACAGAAAGATACCCTACTGACGATTGTGTACAGTAATCAGTTGTTGGCATTGGAGTGTTGGATCAGTGTGCGTGGTTGTACATCATGTGGATCTACAAGAAGCGTGTGTGGTATGTAGTCTACTCTTGTCTTGATATCATTACCCGTGCACCGCGTAATCTTTCTTCTTCTTTTTACAATGACATGCTTTCAACCCATGAACCAACACTACTGCAATCAGTTACATTTTTTCTTTCTTTTAACGCAAGATGTAGGCATGGATGGGGCAGGGGACTCACAGAACATGGTTGCATTTGCGGCTGAAATCATAGCGGCATCACAAAGCAAAATAAGTTATGTCTTGACCCAGACCCTTGATCATGTTGATCCCCTCTAAAAAGGAACCTTGGAAATGTCTATTTATGAACCGCCCAACGGCCAATGCCCCTGACCTCCCCAGACTCTGGCCCTATGGCTGAGTGGACTTGGTGATTCCACTTGGGGGCCGTGGCTCGCCACAATCCAATAAATGGATGAGGACAAAATGTGCAATGCAAAAAATCAAGAGATGTCAGGGTATTCCTCCCAGGAGCCGACTGCATTAACGGCAACCCAGTGAAGGCTCTGGTATATGCAATATCGGTAATAAGCAGTGTGGGTTGCCGCTAAATCAGGATGCATAGGTATTTGTGTGACAGGCTTCACTAGGCTAGCAACATTAAATCACTCACACACACGCGTGCACACACACGCGTTGTGTCCTCAACACCACCATTTCGCCTTGTAATTGTTGTAAAGTGTAAAGCCCTTGTTCTAACCAGGGAGTCGTAAAATACTTTATTTTACGACTCCCTGGTTCTAACGAACCGTATAAATAACAATTTCCTAAAATTGACCGGTTTACGTGTACCAAAGGTATCACTACTTCTCAATGCTCAATAGCAACAGAATTATGTATAGATTTCTGTATAACGTTTTCTATTTTAGCGACATATTTCTCCAATTAGCACTAGCACTTCTAGTAATGATACCTGTATAAGGCTTTTACAGTAAATACTGCATGTAGCGGGAAAGACAGTAGACTGGAACAATGGACAATCCTTAAATATAAATCAATCAATCAATGATCTATACTCTACTAGCAAGAGTAGATAAACTATAAACTATTCTATCTTCTCTTGCTACTAGCAATATACATCGATTTGTGACCGCATTCTCGTTGTGTAAACTGAAAAAATCCTCAAAATATGATTAGGGGCGGCACTTTTCGGCAGGGTGGGGTGTGTGCGCCATCAGAGTGGGTCAGGGGCTGTGCCCCCCCCCCCCCCCCCCCGGCTAGAACCCTGGTGAATAAGGCTAAGATGGAGCTTACTCTTGCCAGTATACTTTAAAAGTAAACGCAGACACCACACACTCAAACCATAGTTACAATCCAGCATGGCAAAGTGAAAGTCACTGAGACCAACATAAAGCAGGCAGAGATAGAACGGACAAGACAAATTGAACTGAGTTGAACAAGAATGTAACAGCCTGAACAGCCACAAAGCTATGCAGGTCAAAGCCTACGGAAATGTAACAATGCAAGAAGAGCAAGCAGGAGGCTCAGAATTCTAGCTAGAAACGAAGGACCCAAAGCTAGAAACACATACAATTTCAAGTACTTCAGAAACAGCGGCGCCGGTGAAGAGAGCATGGCAATAGTGTTTCACGTTAATGTGACACTGATATCGCCACCACATAGCACAACAGCAACAAAACACAATACATATTGGTGGTCTAGGAGCTGGAAAACACATAGATGACACACACACACACACACGCACACATCTGTTCTGAGTAAAGGAGAATAAAAACAAAACAAACAAAAACGGACAGCTACGGCTACACGGGAAGGAAGCAAGGGTATTATTCAAGAACGTGTTGGCAGGAAACACAAGCAACACAGTGCGAGAATGCAAACATGAGGAGGGCATATGAGAAGTACGTTGTCGGTGAACACGTGAAGCAAGCATGCATAAATACGGGGTGAGTTTTGTGAAATACGACACAGTGCCAATGGCTTACTACTTTACTATGAAACTAGCCATGATATGCAGAAAATTATCTACTGCTTCAGTTCACATGATTACGAGGTATGTCGGTGCCTGTCAGTCTTATATTTATAGTCTTGGTCCACTGCTTCAGTCTTATCACTGCACAGAGTCAGCAAGACAGCATGTGCAGGAATACGGAGTCAAATTGACTTTGGCATTCAAACAGCACACCTGAGCTACCGTCACAGGACACAGGCTAACGCTGCATCACAGCACCAGGCTGGTCTCACAGCCAGTATTCTGTTCGGCCGCTGTAATGAAAGCGCTCGATCTAGCTCTGCATTGCAGCGGGATCAAATGGCTGCTGCTGTTGCTGGGACATGGCTGCAGCGCCTCCTGCCGCCGATGCTGCTCCTGCTGGTGTAACAGCAGCAGCAGCAGCAGCAGCAACAGCAGGCATTTGCGGTTGAACCGCACCAGGCATCATACCCATGGCCGGGGGTATTGACGACTGACTGCCGCCCAGCGCAGACATCTGCTGCGATTGCGAGAGAAGTGCTGCCTTTTGCTGCTGCTGCTGTTGAAACTGACGCTGCTGCTGCTGCTGCTGTTGCTGCTGTTGATGCTGCTGCGCCTGTGTTAGGGCAGCTGATCGCTGTTGCAGCTGTTGCATGGGCGATGTTCCCTGCAGCTGGCCAGCACTGGACACCTGTGACGATGATGAGCCTATACGCAGCAGCGATCCACCTACCAAAAACACAGCACACATGCACAGGGCTGGTTTAAAGTTCTGGGCAACATGGAAACAGTACCAACAAAGTGGCATTCAAGAAGTTAAGATAGGATACAGGTGGCAGAAAGGTTTCGATAGTGACAACACTATCAAAAATAATAATTATAAAGCACGCATTTGTCAATATTTCTGAGTGTTTTGAACTGGTTTTACGCAAGACAAATGCGCTGCACTTGCACAGTGGTCCTTTACTGCTGAACAGGGAGTCACCAAATACAGATACTTTGCTACTCCCTGCTGCTAGCAATCCGAATATCCAGGTGCCTTTAACAACGGAGGCTGCCACCATAAGATCAGATTAGTCAGCTTACTTGTTGCTGGTGGGGCAGCTCCAGTGACAGGAATAGCACCTACAAGTAACAACACACACCCACATACATACACACATACATACACCCACACACACACACACACACACACACACACACACACACATACCCACGCACGCACGCACACACACACACACACACACACACACACACACACACACACACGGTCACACACACACGCACGCACACACACGCGCACATACGGTCACAAAACAGGTGAATTTAAACACATGGGCCACAGGTTAAAGTGGACATCAAGACCAATGCAGTGAAATACACCTACAGCAGCGGGAGGATAATACATATTTCTCTAAAACAGTAAATATTTCAAGAAGTACGTACATGCTGCTCCTGCAGTCACAGGAGTAGGTGTGGCAGTTGCAGATGCCGAAGCCGCTTGCTCCGTAGCCTGGAATTGCTGTTGCTGGAAGAGTTGCCGTTCAGAAAGAAGTTGCTGTCGCTGCACTTCCAACTATGACACAAAGATAGTAACAGCAGCAACGGAACAGAAAGTCACACAGTGGACTCAGTGTATCACGGCATAGCGAAACCAGCACATTGCTCAAGCACTGTCCGAATTCTGCCCTAATACACTTAGAGTGGAACGTGTCCAGCTAACACTGACAGCTTGACAGACATTGCATCAAGGAATCTGGCATGCTCCAAACATCAACTATTCTGCCCGAAGTCCTTATCGGTTTCCGAGATTAATGTCACCAAGAGCAAATAAGCTCCCAAGAGGGTTCAACTCTGCATATGGGGTCTCCGACGGCAAAACCCAACATTGCGAGTTTCAGGTACGTATTTTACCGGTTGTAAGTCGACCCCGGTTATAAATCGACCCCCCTATCTGGAGGTCTCAATTCTGCGTTTTAAAGTTTTCACCCAAAGAAGCACTACTAACCACCTCCTGCTACTAACACATCAACAAATCATGTAAACATTTCTCATTGGAGGATATAACGTCCCAATCCTTGAAAAAGGCCAATAAACTGGCAAAAATGTGTAAACATGGTGCACGCATGCAGTGCAGGTCATTTTGTGTAAGATACTGATAGTTCCGGTTATAAGTCGAATCCCGGTTATAAGTCGAATCCCGGTTGTAAGTCGACCCCCACCCTTTCTCCTTCTATTTTAAGTCGTAAAAGGTCGACTTACAACCGGAAAAATACGGTACGTTTCATAGTGCGTACCAGCATGCATGCAGTCCGGGTATCTGCCATGATCATGCTGATGACTCGCATGATCTGAGTGAGTTCCCGTCAAGGAGTGCCATTTTTACTAATCTGCTGCTCGCTAAAACAGGCTGGGAACGCACAACGTCAACATTAGATCACGTGATAAGAGTTTTCGCCAATGGCGGACCCCACCGGAAACCCATACAGATTTGCCCACTCTTATTTTACTTTTGCAGATACCCATGGCTGACCTGACAACAAGGCCATTTCAGAAGACAAAAGAGTGACTGCACATACTTGCACACGAACGCGCAGCCAATACAAATTCACCAATGGGATTATTCATTTCATACAGGGGCTTCAACTTACAGATTGACTTTCTTCCTCGAGTAACCTCTCCAGATCCTCAAAATGCTTCATCTTGATTTCCATCTTCTTGATTTGCAGGTCAATGAGTACCATAGTTAGCTGTTGCAGTTTTCTCTCCTCAATAAGTGCTAGTTGCTGTAGGGAAAACAATGACACACCAGCAAGGATGTACACAATGTCATGTACACAGGGACGGAGACTGAACAGGAAGAGAAGATGGTAAGATGCCAACACTGCAACAGAAAGATTTACTAGTATTCAGGATATTGTATCCATACTTGTAGTATTCCATACATATAAGGCTGTGATCGTTTCGTCGGATCCGGATCAAGATCCAGATCCCACATCTACCGGATCCCTCAGAATCAATCGATCACATTTGGAACATACTGCTACCGTGATCATGTTGAGGTAGAAAACGACAATCGAGAATCTTTTACTCCAGGATCGTACTCGTCGTACTCATCTGCTTGGTGCACCGCCTTTCAACTTGTATGTGTACTAAGTACGTATAACAATGACAGTTACCCGCCAGACACATACAAAAAGTATTGTTCGGCAAAAATGAATCTGTTGGGTCCAGTCAACCTTGCTCCCAGGGCAGGGTTGCTCGGATCCAAAAATCCGATGGATCTGATGATCACTACAGATCGAGTGGATCCTATGGATGTGGATCCGACCGAACGATCACGGCCTAATAAACACGTACATACATGGACGCCAACGTGCAAACTCAACTTCATTTATACATGCACACACCACTTGAATAAAATATGCACATTCAAAACACACGCACACGCACACTCACACACACACACACACACACACACACAAGCGCACACACACACACAAACACACACAAACACACACACACACACACACACACACTTACGAATTCAAGCAAAACCATCCTGGTATTCCTACCTTTGCCTTCACGGCTGACGCTGCCAGTGCAGCCGCGGATGCAGTTGCAATAGTTGCTTCATCAGCATGGGCATTGTTCAACTTCTCCTCCGCAGCTGTTAGAAACCAATGCAACAAGCCAACAAGATAGCATAAAAGATGTTGACAAAACAGCACCACACACCTTCTACAACCATGGGCCTTCACACACACAGACACACACAGACACACACACACAAGTAGGAAGCAACGAGCGGGTTCTGGTGCAAGGGCGCTCTGCCCACAAATAAAGGCGGTATTATGGTAAACATGCATTGTGGGTTTGAGTAAAAAAAAAAGTAAAGTTAGCCGAATTCGCGGCCGCATCAACTGACGTGTTGAGGAAAGAAAAAAGAAAGACATTCGCATCGGCGGGACACCATCATCTTTAACGGTTCGCGCTAAACTCGGCTGGAGGGCGAGTTTTCCGCATCCGTAGGGACGCCACCACCCTCTATGGATCAAGACGCAGATGCAGCTCCACTTCGCCCACATATCCTCAGTGCTGAGTATCACTTTGTTATCTTTTTTTATGGATGGGGTTGTGCCCTGCCCTAAACAATAAGGTATTATATTATTATCAAGAGCAAATAAGCTCCCACGAGTGTGCAACTCTGCATATGGGGTCTCCGATGGCAAAAACTCACATTATTTGTCTCAGGTACATATCATACTACGTACAAATTTAGGCAAGGGAACAACCACCCCCATCTCTAAAAAAAGATTTATTTTATTTTATTTGGGCAGCCCCCCCCCCCCCTGCGCCAGAACCCGCTCGTTGCTTCCTACTCAGGCACGAATGCATGCACCCACACACAGGCACAGATACATAGCAAGCACTGGCAGCCAGCCCAGAGTGGCTGGCCCATTAATATGGAGTATCAATATCACCAATACAGTCTGCAGGCTACAGTTTCGTCAAATACGCACATGAACAGCAGCTCTAGTCTAGGTTTCACTACAGTCGTCATTTACCTTTCAGCTGTGCCTCTGCAGCTTCTCTCTGTTGAGAATAAAACACAAACAGCACAACACAGGAATTTAAAGCCTATAACTACTAGTGTTAGGTCCCACTGTCTGTACATTGCTTCCAAGTACTTCCTGCACTCTAGTGATCCCGCGCATCTAACTCTCCCCGTACCCCTCCACCGCATGTACCCCGAACCCCGCGCATCTAACTCTCCCCGTACCCCTCCACCGCATGTACCCCGAACCCCGCGCATCTAACTCTCCCCGTACCCCTCCACCGCATGTACCCCGAACCCCGCGCATCTAACTCTCCCCGTACCCCTCCACCGCATGTACCCCGAACCCCGCGCATCTAACTCTCCCCGTACCCCTCCACCGCATGTACCCCGAACCCCGTACTCATAGCTTCCACATCCCCATCCCTGAGTGATACCTAGTCTAGATACCCCACACCAAGAGGTCTTCGGTTCCCGGGGTCCCGTGTTGCACCTTACCGTTAACGTCCGTAAATAAGTACCTGCCCGAAAGAAATACCCCCTTCATTCTTTTGGCTCTGTCTGTTGAAGTGTCAAGTCAAGCCCGATAAACATACTGCCCGAAATAAGTACCGGTACGGTGCGCACATGCAGCATGTAGCATGTACATCTGCATGAAAATGACTTCTCCACTACACACAAGTCAGGTCCGAGAGTTAGTTCGTGCCCGAAAGTCAGTACCCGCCCGAAAGTTAGTACGGGTGTGGTCACTAAATTCGAAAGTAAATACGTACTTATTTACAGACTTTTACGGTATATCCCGTTGGCCTGGGCAGCTGCTTTAATTCGCCATAGTAAGTTATCCAGGACCTATGTCTAGACTTGTTTTACACTCCCTCAAACTCTCTGTGCCCATAACAAGAATGATTCCCACTCTCGCAGTACTGTTGTACTTTGGTGAGCTTGACAGTTATTTAAGAGTGGTGCCCAACACTTAGGCCATGGTAAAAAATATCTTTGATTCTCAAGTACGCGCGCACCGATTTTTGGCGGCGCATCGACGATTTTTTTATTTCTATACATGCATACGCGCGCATGAAAACGGTCAATGCGAAAGGCATGAATCAGGGAGTAGTAAAATACCGGTATTTTCTACTCCCTGGCCTGAATAATAAAATTATAATTATGAACATGTGACCATGTACATACATGCATGTGTGACCCTATCTTTGGAAATAAAAAAATTAAGGGAAATAAAATAAAAAATCGCTCGCTCGCACCGATTTTCACAGGCTCATGACCTGAGAATAGGGGTGAAACGATTATAGTCTGTTTCAAAAAGAAATGCAATCAGGTTTGGGTCTTCACCCTCTTTAGTCGCCCAGAATGAGTATGGGTGTACAAATAAATTCGTATCTCCACTTCTACACACAGGAGAGTTACAAACGACCACTCTACGTGTTCAGGAAGACCTTGGCTATCGACTCATCACATCGCTTTGTGTCCGTGGGGATAGATATCGCCAGGGCGAAGCCTGAAGTGCGCGCGCTCGGACAAACAATGGTCGCGCGTAGAAAACATGACGTATGCGCATCGCGGGTTTCTCTATTTCTTTCGCGGCAACCCATGCGTATTGGGTATCAAAACATCGAGATTTTCAGTGGCTTTCGGGCCAACTTTGTCCGAATTTCGTGCGTTGAAAGTTGACTGCACTGCGATCGATCGCGCGCGTGAGAAAGTGCAGATGCTACGAAAATGCAGAAAACGGACTTCGCTCAGGCGCCCTAGCGAGGAAGACTATTTTCGCTGCATTTTCTCTTCACAGCTGTCTGCCTGGCCATGATATCTGTCCAGAGAGCCATCGTTTGTAAAGATCCGTGGATATACAGCTGAGCTATGAAAAATTTGAGTTCGCCTTAACTTAGAAAAATTTGAATTTTTCTGACCCCCTTGGCACTGAAAGGGTTAAAAAGTATGATAAGGGAAATTTGGACAACAAAGTACATAGAATGGCTTGTTAGGACACGGCAAATTGTTCTGTGAAGGTTTCGTTTTCGTCACACGGCGAGTAAATTGCATCGCAGCTCAAAGAAACTATTTTGGTCACAAAACGAATTGGGACCCATGCCGCTCGTCAACATTTACAACACTTTCGTTTCGACATGTCCTCTCTGACTCTATTTATCGATACGAGGAAGAACTCGTTTGTTGTAAACCAGACGTACATGACTGTATCAACGTGAGTGAGTTGTCATTTTTCCTGCTTTCGCGCGGAATATTTCTTCGAGTTCACAGTGAGTTTTTCCAGGCAGCGCTCGAGTGCTCATACGGTAAGACACCAAATTCCGCGGGCGATCGCCAGGATTGCAAATCTTTTTGAAACGGACTGTAGTTCGAATATTTCAAACGAGCGAGTATTCGAAATTTTGCACTCGATCGTTTTTTAAGTTTTGTTTTAAAGTTTTTTTAGTATTGGCATTCTATTTTTCAAAAACTTCTGTTGTACCGCTCGTCGACTGGTATGCATGCGTTATGCATGCCTTTGAGTCAGTATTTTATGACTTGGACGATGCGATCACCACGGCAAGTAAACGTTAGTTTGTTATGAGATAATGAAAGTACCGGTGAAAATCGTTACTCAACACGCTGTACAAGACGTTGGCGACTTTTGTTCTATGTTCACAAATAATTTCTTCCGAATTGGTCGAGAACTCACAAATCTAGCGCTTTTGAATTTTGATAAAATACTCGAAATAATCGGATACTTGATCGAATATTATGAATGAGTGATCGGTCGGTCAAAATAGATACTCGTTTCACCCCTACCTGAGAATCAACTTTATTTTTTACCATGGCCTTACCACCATCCTGAAAATCACAAGTACATGTACCCTTGTATTCTCTGATTACATGGGTACAATTTCACCACGTTTCACCTCATTTCTCGTTCGCACTCTTGCCCTGTAAATAATTCTCTGTACTTCAGCGGATTTTTCTAGTATCTCACTCAAAATGATGATCGGTCCTTGCCGTATTCCTGCCGGAGGTTTTCTGGGGCGCCTGAGGAAGCTCTCTGAAGGCTTCTTCCGCAAAACTGCACTTGCATGATTGTGACGCCTTACGATATTGTTTCCTGTGCAAGTCATGGACAACGGCGCCTTAAATTGCCAGTATTCGCCACCTCCATGCTTAAGGCCTGGAACATGTTCACTCTCTGTTTCTCATATGGAAGGACGGAACAGTTGCCTTGCCTGCCTCAATGGACCACTGAAGACTGAACAGCAGTGATGGAAGAAGATTTGCAGTGGATCTCGTTCCGCATAACCAGCCTGTTCAGTTGCTGCCCTAAGTAGTTGCTGTAACTGCTACCTGACACTGACAAGATTTGCACAGTTCTGAAGTAACCCCATATTTGCCAGATATAGAATTTCTCTGATAGCATTAAGAATATACATCACTACACGAGCGCTTGATAAAGCTCGCTACTGGCGTCCGCCCCGTGACTGCGCGAGCATATCCGACGGTGACAACGGACTTGTTGACGATATGCTTGATGCAGGTCAGCAAAGAGCTCTTGTCATAGAGATGAGCCTACAGAAATCAAGCACGGTCCTAGTGGTGTACGTAGTTTAGCTGCACGCTGTTCACACGCTGATTGCATGCTGTCTGCACGCTTTTTGCCTGGTTACTGCTAAGATTACGTGTCCGTGCCTGGCTCCGTTTGGGTTATAACTCGTGGCCCTGCGCCGTTTTCCTGGTCTTCCATTTTCTGTCGTCGTCGCAGCTCCTCGTGTTGGGTCCGTTTTATTCTCTCTCTCGTGGTTTTCTGCCCTTTTGTTACTCTTATCGTTTCCGTTGTCCTCCTGAGCCCTGCTCCTTTCCTTTGTCCCCTTATTCGTCGTTTGAGGCCAAGTAAACCGTATCAACCCGAACAATTCGTTGCTCTGTCTGACTGGTCGCGGTGGCGGCAGACAATATTTGGCGCCCAATTACAGCTCGAACCCTCGACAGTTCTCTTCTCTACCGTCTACGATGCAACGTGTTTATTACGAACCGATGCCAGCCACTCTCCAGCTCCTGTTCGAGTAAGTACCGTTTTAATGTTCCGAGTTTTGTTGTTTTTTTGCCGATTTTTTTGCGCCGTCAGACAACACTAGCAGCAGCTGCCGCTGCTGAGTTCGTATCAGTGCCATCACAGGATTGCTCGCCTCGGAAAGAAATGAACGAAGACGATCTGGTAGAGCCAGTCTCTCAGCGAGTAAGCAGGATTGCTATTAGAAAAACAGAGTGGTGGACACGGACAGACGAGACTCGCAACATCACTCTTCAGCCTTGCGCAGCCCGAACCATGAGCAAAGATCAAACCGTCAGATTTGGATTTCCGCCGCCATGTCCATCCCTCTGCGTAGTGTGGCACCGCCGGGAGGGCCTCGACCTCACACTGCCGCAATCCCTCACAAAGCGTCAGTTGTTCAGCTGGTGTGGCCGCCTGACAGGTCATGTTCCAGTAGCCGGGTGGCTGCGCCCGTTCTGCAGCTATCTGAAACGGCTCGCTAATCTGTCATGTCCAGGCTGGGATAAGCCCATCTCCGACCCTGCCATTCTTCGGTTCTGTGCCGAGCTCCAGGGGAAGCTTTCTGGTGATGGTGATCCAGCCCATGGTGTCTGGCAGTGTGCGTCATCGGAGGCCTGGTCATGTCACCTGGTTTTTTCTTCTCTGCCACTGTTTCTTTTCCTTGGTGTTGTGTGCAGTTTCTCCTGTTGTATTTGTTCGCTTGCCTGTTTGTTTGTCTCTTGTCCTTTTCTCCTTTGGTGTTTTGTGGGTCTTTGTCCATTTGTCTCCCAAGAATGTTTTCAGCATGATTACCAGGCTCTTGGAGCAGGGTATGTTTGTAATAGATGCTATGCCAAAAAACGTGCAACTAGACTTGAGAGGGCATCGCACACAAGTTGCATACACACTATACTACAATGTGTACACGGTAGGCTTTGCAGGAATACTAGTCACAGGTACCCGTACAACTTTGAACTTTGTATGCAACTACTCTGCAATGCCCTCCCAAGTCTAGTTGCACGTTATTTGGCATATCATCTATTGAGTTATGGAAGATTGAAGTGGGTGAAAAGGCTAGAACCTTTTTGTGCACAGACGTTGCTCTTTGCAGGAGGCCTAACTACAGGAACTAGAGCATTATATTGGGCTATGTAAAGCTCCCTTAGGACCCTAACAAAATAGGCCCTATGGAGAAGTCAGTGTAAGTCACCTGACATTTCCGCAAATCGCAAACTTCGACATTTTCCAGAGCAGCATACTAAAAGATGATGCCCAGATACCCCGCCAAAAAATGGTCATTTCTTGCTCCATACATCTGTAGAGAGTTGCTAAAGACAAGAAACAGACTAATCTTCGGGCGAATTATTTGGTATTGAGCTACCTCGAGGCAAGCGCACGTGCAGGCACAAGACAAATGCGAGCAAAAATGCTCCTAGCACATGCATCATGTCGTAGGACAAAGAGGTCTTACCTCCTCTGAGCTTGGACCAGTCTCTGTGAATCCAGCATGGCCCAGTCAGCACCACCGTCACAACAGGAAAGGACGAACAAGAACACACCAATGCACGGGTGAGCAACATGGTTTACAGCAATGACACAGTGAATAGAGACCTCGTATGTACATGCAAACAGGTACATGTGTACTAGGAATCCTACCAATGTCAATCAAACATGACCATCAGTGTGCCAATGGCTAACAATTAAAGTCACACGAATGATCACAACTCACCAACCAGCAGAGCTCGGCGATGGAACTAGACCAGAGCAGAACAAAAAACAACAGAAGAGCATGAACAGCCATGCTCCAATCCCAGAACAAAGCGTACCTTCACCATTCTCATTGCTAGATGACTTGGCTGTGGCAGATGCAGCTCCAGCAGCTTTCTTCTCTGTATCCACTTCATCTTTCATGTGAGAGAACTCAGCTGAAGGAAGACAAAGATACGGGTGAAAAATTCCAGACACGGTTAAAACAAGCGGAAACGCCTAACAAAATACATTAGTACGCCTGGTGCCCGGCAAGCTAACGCTGATGCCCTTCCCCGTATCGACATAGCTAAACCCGAAGGCGCAATTTTATTCATGGCAGATGAAATTCCTTCGGAGGCCCATGTTGGTGCAGTCACCGTGCGGTCGTATGGTTTCCCCTTTCCAGCCTCCACATGCGTTTTTCTCGAAGACTTCAGAAGGTATGTGTGTGTGTGCGTGTGTGTGAGAGAGATGAGATGCATCAACGGGGTACAGGCATTGCCTGCCTTTGAACCTACGGTGTTATGTAAAAAAGCCCTGTGCCTAGTTTGAATCAAGTCCGCTTAACCTCCATTTCACTAGGTAATGAAGGCAGAGCGCCAAGCACAGACCCCATAGCTCAGAGAGCAGAGGATTGGGGTAATCTACTCATGATGATAGCATACTACGTCAACCAGGCCGGCACTTTACACTGAAGGTTCACTGTGTGCAGCAAAACTTTGACATGAAGCTTTTCCCGCAAAAGAAGTTTATACCCATTGGATGTAGCATGTTTCAAAGACTAACATGTGATGGGTACGTACCTAAAGCTGCCTTTGCAGCAGCACTCGCTACACGCGGGTCGACAACCGAAGCCAGAAAAGCCACGGTCGACATGATTGGGTTACCGCTCTGACTGAATGGGATTGGCTGGTGGGCAGAGAGGCCACCTACATACATTCAAACACACGCACACACACGCGTACACACACACACACACACACACACATCAACCAAACAAATATCAATTCACTGATACAAGAATAAATCATATCAGCATATTCTGATTAGGATTAAAGTGGCAAGAACCATCTGGGTATGAGGATATAGAACATTCAGCTGAGAATCACAGAAATTGATCAGGTCTGCCAAGTTCAAACTCACCGACAAGTTTCGTGTCCTCATCCAAATATGGATCCTCGATGGGCAGCTGTAGAAAGTGCAGGATGCACTCATCCTGCGTTCGTGTTCCGACCCGCTCGGCGACCTTGTTCCAGTCATCCTTGTGCTCTTCCAGGGCCTGCAGCAAGGTAGAGGGGAAAGCCAAGGAGCATGGGTTGCAACTTAAACAGCAGCAACAGTGATCTCACTGGGGTACATGGAGAGAAAGGCCAATGGATGTTCACAATAGTTGGTCATTGCCATGCTGGCAACGGACTCAGCAGAATGTATTTACTACTTCCATGTAGCACACAATGACAAGCAACGACTAATAGGCCATACACGTGATTATGTACTCTTCAATACTGATACTACGAAGACATAATGACGAAGGAATGGAATAATGCAGCCACAACGGAAACGTACAGCGAGGAGGTCTTGTGTCTCTTTCGGCGTCCATGGTTTCGACGACGGTCTAGTCCTGCCATCCTTCTTGCCAAACACGTCTGTTCGTAGTCTACAGCAGCAGTCACACAAACACCACAGCACGCAGAGCACAATGATATCCTACCATGATACACTAGTAAATCATTAGTGCAGACATAGGGAGGTATGGTACTGACCAGAGACGTCCAACCGCGTGAATAAAACAGCGCCGGGTGATACGTAGCCCTAGCACCACACACACCCTGTTCTGTGCACTCAAAATACGGTGCTACTATAGTCATGAGGTTGAATTTCTCCAGTCACAACTGTAGGTGCTCTAGATCATGCTGGATTACGCTACATCTACGAGCACATGCACTTCAAAGTACAGCCAGTAACACAAGACACGACTACACAATGCACTGCACTGCACTAGGTGTCAGCTATCAACCATATTGACCCTATGGGTACCTTCAAAGATACGGTTAAAGACCCATCCTGTAATACACGACCAGGAGGGCAGCAATCAGAGCACAATCAATGTAACAAGAATCCATAACTCCAGACAAAAGCATGCCCTTACCCAAACGCCTGCACCGACGGAGCCTTGCCACTGTCACTGCCGCCAGTAGCGGCTGCAGCAGTTGCATTGTCCCCAGCACTGCTGGAGTTTGGCAAGTCCAAAACCTGCTGCATTGCACTCTACAAGGACAATGAACAAACAAATACACAGTATACAGTAGATGAAGGCAACATGGTATCCAATGAAAGACAGGTCACACACACACACACACACACGAAAATCACCAAACTTATCCGACAAGAAAAGACCACATCAGCACTGCTATCATTGGCAGTCTATGCAAAGCTCCATGAGATAATGAAATAAATATACCGGTACAAGACACTAGCAAAGACTCCAACAGGGGCCATCCAGCGGGCATTGCAATCAAACCCACCGTTGGCTTAGTGCCTATCTGCAACGGCTGAAGACCTGGCTGTGTGTCGGCCAAGAGCATGAAGTGGGATGTCGGAGGGGGGCCCATGGCAGACGGACGCGCATCGATGTTGACAGAGTAGTTGATCAAGCCCCATTGCTCCAAGAAACCATGCACCCTGCAGAATAGAACACAGTTACACACACAAGTGATTCAATTGAGCGAAAGCACGCAGACCGCATAACCCTGGTTACGGTAGAAAGAGCTACATGAGGAAAAGCACATCACACAACAGGAGGAGGAGACATCAAGGAAACTATCTACTAAATCAGAATAGCATGCAACAACTATCCAAAGCCTCATGAACAATCATAGCTATCACACTAACGATAAGTCTAACCTAATTCCTTAGCAAAGAAGCCATCTTCATATCCAAAGCGAACACTACCTCACCTTATAATGGCGCATACGTCACCGGAGAGATTCCGCCTGCATGCCGTGGCAGTCAGGTACTCGCTAGGGTTGAGTCGATGAGTGTCGACCATGAAGTTACGATAGGCATAATACCTATGAAGGGACAAAAAAACGACGAAACAAACTATCGAAATACTTCGCGTACACACACACACACAGCCTCACATATGGTTTGGTGGTGTACAGACTGGCAACCACTAGCCACCCTCCAGCCATCCTGCACGTGGCAAGTTGACGGGGAAAAACACCACAAGTACGACCATCACACATAATGAGCCAAAATTAAGTACACAGAGTATATATTATACTGCCTTACCCATGGCTATTTGGTCACAGCAGTATGTCGCTAATTCCTGGAAACACTTTGCTTAAGCTTTAGGTTGCGAACAACGGAATATGGTACCCATAAAACAGAGAGGTTGCATAAGTGCTAAATTACGGCTCATTGCATTGAAAACAGTAAATGCTGACCATTCTTAGCCAAGAAAAGGAGTACGGTGTAAAGACCAGGGGATATTCAAAGACTGAGAGTACAATACTTAGCAACTCATACTCACATCTCTGGTGTCTTTGACTTGTTCTTGCTACTGAAGAACTCTGGCAGGGCACGGCGTTCAATGGCATGAATGCTGCAGGCACGTATCCACCACACATACACGCGCGCGTGCACACGCACAAGGCAAATTCACAGAGTTACGAGCAGTCACCATGTCACCAGTATTCAACAAAGTGAACAAACTACACATAGCTAGGACCGAGCAACCCAGCAGTTCTTTAAGAAAAGGTTCTTTCAAAGGACCCCCAAGCAGGTCACCTCTCTGCTCCCTTCCGGAGCTTGCCTGCATAAGCACAGAGCTCCAGTGAGCTTGAAACTTGAATAAGTCGATACAAACAATGTAAACAATGTAATAGAGGTATTCAATCATGTAAATGTCTTGCCATACACTTGGTATGGACTCTTCATGTAATCATAGCTAGCCCGGGGAATGGTAAATACTATCATAGCTAGCCCGGGGAATGGTAAATACTAGCATAGCTAGCCCGGGGAATGGTAAATACTATCATAGCTAGCCTGGGGAATGGTAAATACTATAGCAATCAAACTCACCTGTGGTAGTCGAACCAGGCTGCATAGCTCGGAACAACAAGATGGTGGGTCTGTTCCACCACGAGGTCTTCGGCAGACTGTTCGTCGGACGGCTTCTCGTCGTCGTCATCACCATCGCCATCCTCCTCTCCCCCTTCTCCTTCCTTTTCAGCGGCAGATGCATTGCTGGCCACATCCTCCGGGCCGTCGTCAGACTTTGCCGCTGCCTTTCCGGATTCATCGTCTGCCGCCGCGGGTGCATCAGTTTCCGCAGTATCCATGGGTGACTCGGCAGTGCGGTCACTCTCAGCTCTACTCTGTTGAGATGAAGCAGCAGTGTCCGATGCCGTCTTGGATGCTGCCGGGCTAGGACTGCTTGGCTTCTGCAAGCGTGGCACAACACAAATGTCAACTTCTTCAGAACAAATGGCACAGGTCATACAAAGCAATAGCAAAGCATGCGCTGGCCACCAACGTTCAGTGCGAGTCTGTCTATTCGCCATTCTTAAAAGCGAAACTTATTTCATTTCCTTTTTCTCCCTCGGCTGTAGCATTTCATTGTAGTGCAAGCAGAAACCCTGCAACATTCACGCGGCCACGGACCCGAAATGCATGCCTCACACTGGCGTGACTCATGCTCTCCAGAAACCCCGACGTCAACAAAAAGTCTGCCGTGGGCCAAACCAAGCAGAGTTGCACACCCTAGTGTGTGTGTACTCTTTATTCCATGTTTATACAGTAAAGCTCCCCTAACCCTGGCAGGTCGGGGGCCGAGCAAGGAATTTCCAGTAACTCAGAACATACAGTACTTGCTGCATGCACAGAAACATTTGTGATGCCAATCAATATTTTTCGGGGGTGCTTTTCGTTGAAAAGGCAATTGTTGTGCCTCTAGGTGGGTCAGAAACGTGCCCGGTAGACGGATGTGCCCGAATTAGGGGCGTCCGGTTCAGGGGAGCGTTACCGTACAACAGTGTGTTCCTGTTGATCCATCCCTCATCAAGATGAGGACGATCATGATAACGGTGATGAATGATGATAATTCCTAGTGATAGGGATGATGGATATCACACAAGAACAGCACCTGAATTCGCACACTGAACCTACTCCTCTGCAGGCACGATACGACTGCATGCATTCAACAAAGAGACCAGCAGTATGCGTTCTAGAACATACCTCCACGGGTGGTTCCGGGAGTGCTTTTGGCGTATAATCTGAGCAAATCACCAAATACAAACAGCGACAGTAGTAAACCAAAATGCATGGAGGCAATACAAGGGTGCTTCAAGTTAAAACTGCGTATAGGAACAAGCCAGTTTCAGCCACCACATTGCAAACGTCTCAGTTAACAAGCATCGTTCAAGAAAACAAGTCTCATATTATACTAAAGCTGAAAAATGTCGAGAATGTACACGCATCCATCAGCAATACACACCTGAGATATCTTCCAGCTGTGCCCCTCGGATGGGAGCCATCTCTGATGAAGGTCTACCAGCTGTAAGAGAATACAAATTATACAGATAGGACGAACCTAACTTGAACAGACAGCGTGGGAAACATTGAAATTATTCGAAGGAAGCCAAAGATCGTATAGTACGAAACACACATATGCACAAAACAATGGCCCTGGACAGCGGATCAATTTCAAAAGAAAAGACAACCACCCAAGTACCAGTCGGTACTCACAAACAAAACAAGAGCTATCGTAGCAGCGCAACACCTACTAGTAGTCTTGCTGCAGCACAATCAATACCAAGAGCCCAACCTCACTTACTTGTGACTGGTATGTGTACAGGCGTCAGCTGATGGGACAAACGTTAATGCGCATGCACACACACACACGCACACACACACACACACACACACACACACACACACACACACACAAAGAGAAAGGAGAAAAGTCAGCCATGAGGGACAGGAGTAAATCGACGGACATGAAAGTGTACAAGTTGCAGTATTCCGGGAACTAAAGCAAAGCAAAAAAGAAGTTACCGTATGTTGTTGTTGTTAATACTTTATTTTACTTCACCAGAATAATTCTGAATTACAGGTAGTAGAATGCCTTCTCACTAGACCAGGTCCAGTTCTCACAAATGATGAACACAGTTTTCTTTCTTTTCTTCTAGCTCTTATCTCACTCTTACCCCCATTCTTTTTTTCTCTAGAAAGGTTGGTTTAGTTCCACTAAGCATGAATCATGGCTGGCGGTCACACTCTCACTCAATATCAGCCGATTCTACCCGCCAAGAGCTTCGATAAAAATAAATTCAATGCATAAAATACACCCGACGTGTTGCCAGAGCAATAAGATCTAAGCGTAACAGCACGGGGACAGTAGCTCAACACATACCTTCTGCACAGGGTCTGGGTCAGGCATACCCTTTGTCAGGTCTTCTTCCCTGAAAGCACACAAACACAAGCGCGCGGAATTACACGAACTCTTCACAGCACAACAGATGCCCACAACAAGTACAAGATACGGTCGGCTTCCTACTAATTTGCAAACTTGAATTGGACAAAGATGTTCACCTACATCTTGATCAAAGTCTCACAGTGTACAGAAAGATTGTTTCAAGCTCTTTCGAGTCTCTACAGCCGGGTATCAGAGTACCCAATGGAACGATCACAACAATCAACCAAGGCATTGTCAAAAGTCACAAAAATCAACCAAGGCTTTGTCAAAATAGCTCTGGAAAATCACATGAGTACAACATACTCAGGAACTTCAATCTTGGACTTTCTTTTCGAAGAGGTTGGAGTGGCAGTGGAAGGTGATGGTGGCACTGTGGCAGTAGATGAAGCTGTCCTACAAGGGACAAATGACAGAGGCAGTGCGAGTACAGAAATGACAGAGGCATTGCGGGCACACAAAGGACAAATGACAGAGGCAGTGCGAGTACAGAAATGACAGAGGCAGTGCGAGTACAGAAATGACAGAGGCAGTGCGGGTACAGAAATGACAGAGGCAGTGCGGGTACAGAAATGACAGAGGCAGTGCGAGTACAGAAATGACAGAGACAGTGCGGGTATAAAGTGACGGTGGAAGCAAAACATGACAAGACTGGGTTGTTGTTGTTTTTTCAACGAGAGAGAACATTTGCATTATAGCCTGCAACCAAACGCCAATCTGTACTCAGGACATGAGCCAAGACGTAGACACAGAGCAGTCTCCATGGCCAGGCATACTGGATTAATTGTGATGGATACAGAACTCACAGCATGCATGTGTTCACCCACTCTGCACCCTATACAATACATGCACCCATGCAGTGCGAATATCAATGACATGGACGAATTCGCCACAACACATATGTAGGGATCAGCAATTCAAAAATACACACGGGAGCAAGTCAATCTGTACCAATCCGTACAGTCAGAACTCGCTTAACCGCACACATCCGTTTCCACAAAAATATCCGGATAGGCGAGGGAACCGGATAATCGAACACACATACTGTATGTATGCATGGCATATGCGAGGGATGCTGATAAAAAAGGACCAGATAAGCGAGGTCTGACTGTATGTTCGCAGCAACAGTAATCAAAATCACTGGCACCGACTTACCCTCAAACGCCACAAACAAGTATACACACAAAAAATAAACTAAAGAAAGCCTGAAAAAATGACGAAACTAACAATGCTGTGAGTATTGACAATATGACTAGTGTTGACAGCCACTAACCTGGTCTTCTTTCTCCTAGGAGTGGTAGGTTCCGGATCTGGTGATTCATTCCTGCGTTTCTTCCCAGATTTGGACTTGCGAGCTGTAGTGGAGAGAGAGAGAGAGAGAGAGAGAGAGAGAGAGAGAGAGAGAGAGAGAGAGAGAGAGAGAGAGAGAGAGAGAGAGAGAGAGAGAGAGAGAGAGAGAGAGAGAGAGAGAGAGAGAGAGAGAGACATTGGACTACATCTCATAGAGAAAGTGATACCCCGATGACACCTTGGTGGGGAAGTGGTGCATGAATACTAGTAGTCAGTGCAGTAGTGTGGTGGAAGGCAAGAATGTTGCAGTGATTAGTGTGATGGGTGGTAGTATTGCGTGTTGCGTAGGGGACGTTGGGAAGGTGTAGTTTTCAACCTGTGTAGAAGTAGCTGAGTGGGGTGAATGACTGGTGATAAGTTCACTGACTCATCTGCTATTATCATTTGCTATGTACTGATGTGGACATCGAAATCCGGTCGAATGACCGGGGCTCGCGCCCTAAGTGCGCACAGAACGTTGCATGCAGTGCACATGTTGATCCGATGCGACCAGCGCTTCAGCGCATAAATGAATGTGTGTACTGTATGCGTACTCACGGCTCCATGGCCAGCGCCCTAAGGCCGCTTGACCGTCCGGATTTCCATGTCCACGACAGCATGTATGCTAATAATGCGTATGTTATGTAAGGCCCAATGTTCTGTCGATGAAAACTAAAATGTACCGTGTCAAGTTGTGCGGAAAGGCAAGCAGTGGTATGCATACGCACTGCATGTGAGTCCTGCAGCCGGCTGCCTCAGCAGATTGCTGTTCTCAGCTATGTCCTGGGGGAACGCGCTATAGCATTTTATTCTCTACTAGAGGGAGCGGGGGAAAGTGGGTGACAGAAGGATATGGTCTGGGTTATAATTTATAAAGTCCAGGGGCATAAACTTACAAGAACTTTGAGTTTCCAGAGAGGCATCCTAAACCACATAAACAAAACAAAGACAGCCAGCAGATACAGCAGAGAGCATGTACATTTGCATAGGGGAAATTCAGCAGAACACATTGGCTCAGCTTGTGGATATTCCACTTAGTTCGTCTCACATCTACCAGTCACACAACACAAAGAAGTGTTGATGGATCAGCACGCAGCCACAGTAAGTGGCAACATAGCCAAGCCGAAGTTCTCTTTTAATAGTCGGATTGGCTGGGCCGGGGACCATCAGGTTGACAAATTGCCACTTTGATTCATGATGTCCGTGAGCTTCACGACAATCAGTGAGATAGGACAATACAGGAAGTCGATGCACACAGCATGCACTGAGATTAATCCTAGTATAATGTACACATGTGCCATTAGGGAGGTTTCGCTCTACGTAATTACGTATGAAAATCCGTATGTCGTATGCGCCGGGGATCGAGGGCAACTTTCATACGTAAATCTCTCTACGGATTTCCGTAGGAAAGCTCTTTCCTACGTTGGGTCCTCCGTAGGACTTTTTGAAATATTTTTCGCATTTTCCGCATTTGTCCATGGCAACGTTCAAGCCGCGCGAAACACAAGGTACACACACCGTACACCACGTGCAAAATAAGATGGAAACGCGGTTTCGGTTCATGGTGCATGCGGTGGGCGCATGCAGCCAACGCGTCTCCAAAGCAACAACGCATGTTTAGCAGTCGTGGAGAAATCACGTAGAGCGAAACCCAACAGCTCTGATTTTGAGGTATGAAAATTCCGTGCAGTTCCTACGTTATTTTCATACGTAATTCCGTAGAGCGAAACCTCCCTAATGCCTAGTAATAGTAATCGTTCTGAGAGAGACAATAAGTGCTTATTTCAGCAGCCTGCCAATATTACCAGACTACTCCATACTGTAAAGCCGCCAAGCTTACCAAAGACTCTCCACGAGAACTCTTGCGATTCTTGGCTGGATATAGCAAGAAAGACAAGCAGCAGGGCAATGGTTACAGAGAGCACAGGTTCACATACAATGAAGGAGAATACTTTTCTTTCTCTACATCTGCAAGTGCCAGCACAATGGCATAACATCTGACACTCCCTGCCTGTACTTGTAAGGCAACCAAAGCATGTATGCCCTAGACACAAGAGCACTTTTGACTTGGAAGATGGCATCGGAAGTAAGGTACAGAGTACAGAGTCTTGTGCATACAGTACCAATTTGGAAGACCATCCCTGAAGTACTGAAGCACAATATACATACCAATGAGTGCAGATGAGGATGACTGGGTTGTCTTGCCAGAGCTGTCCACCGCGTAGTCCTCTTCATTCATCCACTCGTTGAACTGCTCCATGTCTAGTAGCCAGTTGGATGTGACCTGTAAGGAAAGCACATATCGCATGCATACACACATACACACACACACACACACACACACACACACACACACACACACACACACACACACACACACACACACACACACACCCAATGACAGCATAGCAACCTATTAGTTGTGATCTGTCTTGACAGCAAGCAAGCACTGCACACAACCAATCACTTACAACTTAGCAACCAATGGGCTGTGACCAGTCAAGACAGCACACTGTCTGCATAGCACAGTAGCTAGATTAGTAAGAATCTTATTTATCCCCAGCTAATAAAATCTAGTCTATCCGACTAAAAAGCCTGCACATGCATACTGTACTTTGCTGCCTGTACTAGGCTGTAGTGGGCCATGTATCGCACCTTAGCCTTAGGAAACATACATTCCAAATAAGCGCTCAAAATAGTTTCCAAACAAATATTCTTTAATGACATACATGCATGTATTCGTACACAGTACATTTCATACAACATCAAGGACATCGCAACAGCACACTCAGCAATACCAGCGATAAATGTAGGCTACTCAAAAAGGATTAGCTGGTGAGGATCACTCACTTCCCTGGATACTGTTACGTGTGTAAGCTGCCATGTACCAGTCCTATGCACTGCAACAATGATTGCATTGTAGATGATACATGGCAGTGCATGTAGTACGTGTAGAGGCACTGCTGCACTGCACACAGCCATGAGGTATAACTGTATACTATATGTGCAGCTACTTCAAGAAGTACCTACTAGTACATGTTTTCCACATTCTGCTCCAGGCACAAAATGTTGTCCTCAAGCACTGGGTCTTTTTTTGAGTGCTTGAAAGTCCTTGGAAACACAAGTAGGCTGAGGAAATTACCTGAGTTCCTGTCTCCGTGCCAGTAATCCTGTTCATGCACTTAGTTTTTAGTATGTGAACATTACTTTCAGCTATAGATCCTTTTCAGTAATTTGGTGATAAAATCGTCAGGACCGCACAGAGAATGTCAACTCGTTGAGCAGCGTTCAATTGGCAGATGCTAGAGGCAATCTCACTAGTGGATACCCGTATACAAATCGATGGCTGCCTGAGGCGGCAGTGGATACGTAATACTTGCAGTGCAATACTCGGCCATCTCTGGAGAACTACTACTTCGAAGTAACACACCTGCGCAACAGCACAATGTGTGGATATAGCAGATTGGAAGGCACGTCATTGTATTCCCCACGCCGGCATGCATAATGCCATCGCTCTCAACCGTCAACTGGTGCGGAAAATGCTCTGGTTGTAGATGTAAAAGCCTGTTATAGCTAAAACGAGTTACAAAGGCCGACAGAGCAAGCAAAACTGATCCTACCGTCCAAACTCCGGAATGCTTAGGCTGCCGATCTGGCACTTCGTTACTTCCAGGCAACCAGGTGTTGTAGCTGCACACAAACAGAGGAGGATTCAGGAAATTAGACAGTCAGCTAGCCGCGACTCAGACAGCGTTCACCATGAGTGGCAAGGCAGTTCGATAGCTGAATAAGTATTTACTTTATGTCAGCGTTCTGGTATGTAGAGTTTCCCCGTACACACATAAGGCCACACGTTTTTATTTCTATGTTTCTCGTCACCCGCGCGCATACGATTCAGGAGTCTGGAAGAAAAAAGTAAAAAAACTGTGCTGCACTGACTGTGCATGTGGGGACCAGCACACGCATGCACATGTACATAATGTGGCCTGGCCTGCGCGACACATGATGCAAGGACGGCATTTTTTGTGAGCAATCTAGCTGCACATGCACAGATTGTGACAGAAGCTCCTACCACATACTAGTTGCTAACTATGGATGCTATTTTTCATGGTGTATTGGTGGATTTTAGTGTGAACAAAGGTCTAATAAATTTTTCGGTCATTTTTTTTTTTTTTCCACCTCTCGCATACGTTTTTAGATTTTCAGGTGACGAGAAACATAGAAATAAAAACGTGCGGCCTAATACTACAAAGAAAATTGCCAAAAAAAGCTGCCAAGCAGAGTTCAATGTAATGTTGACAGGGCCAGAGTTCTGGTGGTGGCAGTGATTTTTTTCAGACTTTTTCAAGTTTGCATTCCCTCAAACTGATGAACAAAAAAACAGGCTCAGATGCCTGGATTTCTTGCTTTGACCAAAGAAAGGACAGGAGGAAAACCTGAGAGATGAGCCCAGAATAGGCGAGAAAATAGGAAAGGCACATAAAAATTAAAATCAATGAAGGAAAGGAGAGTAAAACAAGGATGAAAGTCACACCAACCACGCAGCAGTAATGCAGACGATAAATGACCAACTCAACGAGGCAGGACACACAAATACAAAAGATACGAGAATGGTGCAGCACTGCTACAAGTGCAGCCACTAGTACCTGTCAGGGTAGTACCACCAATGCACCAGCACCTCGGAGCCGCGCTTCTCTATCGGGCGATACCAGTCTGCACAGGAACAACCGAAATATGCGAATGTCAACAAAAGAATTCGCGACATCTAGTGTTCAGGTAGTAGTAGTAGTAGTATTCTTTTATTTTCCATCGGAAGCCTCAACAGTGATGAACACAACTCTTAAGAGGGCCGATCACAGAGTAGAGGGGTGTACACGTTATAGTGTGAGGTATCTTGCCATTAGCTCTGAAAAGGCTAATAACTATGCGCCAGGTGCGCAATATGAAACCCATATGTCCCTTCCCTTCTACAACTATGTTCCAGTTTAAACTATTTACGTCGGTATTATGCAATGCTGAAAAAACTCCATTTATTGCGTGCATTTAATTCTATGTTGTCACATCTGCAAATCAGTCAGCAGGCGCACCGCTAACAAGGTACATGTACGCAAGCACATGACATGTAACGCCTATCACAGAGATAAATAAGGTAAGCCACTCGATGCCCACGCTTCCGAAAACAACAAGACAAACTCACCGCCAACAGTGTTGGGAACGTTAGCGGACACGATAACGTGCGACGCGTCCTCGCTGGCATCAACTTCAACACCCTGACAAGCAGCAAGAGTAAAGATCAACTTCAACACCCTGACAAGCAGCAAGAGTAAAGATCAACTTCAACACCCTGACAAGCAGCAAGAGTAAAGATGAAGCGTGAACAGGAAGTACATCAGTCCACTGAAAGGAAACTTGGCGCCATCACATGCAAGCTGCACCTACCACTGTAGTGAAGACAAAGTAAATAATAGGGGGGCAAAGACACGGAATGCAGAGGGAGAAGAAAGAAGCAAGTGTTGGCCCAGCACCGTTTTCAAAGTTCAGGCATTGACTACACCCAAGTTTGCACAAGATAAAGCACTGACCTCGCTACGTTCAAGGATTCCTCTCAGCGTAGCTAAGGTGTCCTTGTTGAAACCTTTCTCAAAGAACACCCTTGGTGGAGTCCAAAGTTGATTCTGGTCAAAGGAGACACACCAAACAGCAGACAAAGGAAGCTCAGGATTTCACTAACACATGTACTCACATATGCATGTACGTGCAAGCACACACTCATGCACACACACACACATGCACACATGAACGCAGGCACACACGCACACAAAAAATAATGCTTATTACCTGAGTGACATGCATATGCATCTACATGTACGTGCAAGCACACACTCATGCACACACACATGCGCACACACATACATCCACACACACACACACACACGCACGCACACGCACACACACACACACACACACACACACACACAGGAACGCAGGCACACACTCAGGCAAACACACACACACACACGCACAAAAAATAATGCTTAGTACCTGAGTGAGACCACGTTGAATATTGAGCAGAAGCTCAAGATTGGCGTCACCACGGGACGGTGATTGAAAATCAAATCTTCTCCTTTGAACAGAAACAAAAAGAGAGAAGAAAACTGCTAATATTACTGCACGCCCCAAAATGAACCACTCAAATTCATGGGCGAACGCAAGTGAGCACATGCACATGCACACACACACACCTTTTTGACGCCCATCGCCGAACGCGATGATAGCAATGCTACAGCAGAAGCCATAGCAACTTGTGCTGGGATTGCACCGTTCAACAGCTTGCAGAGCTGAAGAATCGACCGCCACACACACACACATAGGCTAATTTCCATAGAACACAGAGCAGTTTAGTGCAATCTGTGCTAATAAGCCCCAGGATCTGGTGATTTTAAATGGACTGAGTTGTCCTTTAGAGTTGGGGTGAGACTGCACAGCAATTCACATACATGTACCAATCTGACAGACGTACGCATGGAACACTTCTGCAGGTTCACACGTTCACATTTCGAAATGCATACTGGGTATCCATGGAGCGCTTATATCACTGTAACAACCTTGGTGCTTCCACTGCTTGCATGTTGCTGGCAATTGGGCAGACCACTTCACGTGTGACCATATCAACAATAAACCTCGACTGGTGTATACTTACCAGGACTGGCTGGCTTTAGTCTTGTACGCTGCAAGGAGGATATGGCACAGCGAGCCTCCTTCCGAGTAGTCCAAGAACAACTTCACCTGTCGAGAGAGAGAGAGAGAGAGAGAGAGAGAGAGAGAGAGAGAGAGAGAGAGAGAGAGAGAGAGAGAGAGAGAGAGAGAGAGAGAGAGAGAGAGCACAAAATGATACATCACTTCAATAAATAATCCCTGAGAACACGAGTTCAAAGTACATGTACAGTAATTCTGATTGAAAGAAGGCTAAAAAAGGTTTCCCATAAACCCCTCTGGAGCAAATTCAAACAAGCTTTAATGAACCCTGGCACAACGTGTGCAGCTCAGTGAAAAATGGCAGTGCTCATTATGTTTAATAGTACTTGTACCAAGAGTACATACCCCCCCCCCCAAGAGTGTGCAACGCCTGATCCAGCTCTACATAGGGTCTTGGTCGAGCATGATCGGATCTTTGCGTCATAATACCGTACACATCTGAGGGAAACCTGGGGAGTCGCGGGTACTCTCGGATCAAAAACAACGGTGCCCTGCCTCGAGACCGGCCTTGCACTGGTGTGGAGTGTACGCATGACATCAGAAGATCCGATTACGCTCGACCAAGACCTGAGCAGAGTTGGATCAGGAGTTGCACACTCTGGGGGGTTATGTACTCTTGGTAGCACTGTAGAGTGTACCATATTCTAATCGATAAATCCAGAGCGATGGCATTGAAATCCAACCCCTGATTCACACTGCAGTGCGAGCACACGTTTGCCTGGATTAAGTGTGCTTTCCACCACGTGTATGCAACACATGTGCATTTATTTGGATGCAATGAAGTAAACACACACCACACACACACACACACACACACACACACACACACACACACACACTCGCGTGCGCGCACAAAACATACACTAAAATCCAGAGCGATGGCATTGAAATCCAACCCCTGATTCACACTGCAGTGCGAGCACACGTTTGCCTGCTCCAAGTGTGCTTTCAACCACGTGTATGCAACACATGTGCATTTATTTGGATGCAATGAAGTAAACACACCACACACACACACACACACTCGCGTGCGCGCACAAAAACATACACGCACGTTGAACCGCAGCAGGGTGTCCACGCTTTTGTGTAGTCGCAGTCTAAACTTACCGGAATCTTGATAAGAGGTGTGTTGGAGGCAGCGCGACCCAAAGTTTCCTATTCGATAAACACACAATGCACATAAAGCAAAGCAAGAAGACAGCTATGAATGTTGTGACTGACTGTATCCTTTACTCCTAATAGGTTTTGTTCTGCTGATTGTTACCTTGAAGTTGAAGACTCCACTGCAGCTGTACTTATGGTTGATTCATATGCTGCAAAGCTTTGCACACCGCACACAACGTGGCTATCTACTGGTACTAGTAGATAACGCTTGGAGATTGAACAAGGGCTGACCCAGAACAATTTACACATATCAAAACTATGATGACGTTAGCTCCCGCAGGCCTTACACGACAGTACAAAGTCATGTAGTCCTGAAATACTTCATTCCGTACTGACTTATTTCATGGTGTTGGTTGATAGCATGTAACAGGGCGGAGACCACCGTGTTCGGAAACAGTGACCTTTCTACAACCATCCACGTTTGGATGTTTCAACAAAAACTAGGTTTATCTACAGTGCTGGAAACTGAAATCCGACCCCTGAGCAATGTGCTCACATTGCAAAGACCCAACACGGGATGGTAAAACTGCGAAACAGAGACCGCTAGAATGTGAATGCACCGCTAAGAGGTCAGATTTCAATTACCAGCACTGTACTACCTGGTTTATTTCATGTATCGAGACTCAACCAACCGTATTCGGGCATTCATATGCAATGCCAGCATAATTTTAAGGGTGCACAAACTCCACTGCAGCCACTTCGTTTCATTCACAAACCATCAAACATCCCCAGGCACCATCTGTACTGCACTCTTGAAGAAATAAAAATCAATCCACATTTCAGTCTAAGGGCCGGGCCATGTTCAGGACTGACGAGAAACAATGAGGTGGACACTAAATTAATATCGACACGATCTCAGGCGCGTAGCCATCATTGTTTCCAGGTTGCCCCCCCCCCCCCCCCTTCGGGGTGCAGTGCTGACACACCGTGCCTCACAGACGCTTGAAATTTGAAGATACCATAGAGCCCTTGGCGGGGCTCTTCTCACCGACACCCCCTGACCCCCATCTGGAACCCCCCTCACAGACCCTTCCGGCATACGCGTCTGGATCTACAATAAAATTGCGCAGACAAATATTAATTAGATGAAGGGTGGAGGCGCACTACCAGGATCACAGACAAAAAACGATAAAAACAAGTCACAAACATGTGTTATCCTTCCCCTGTGCAACAGCTATGAGAGAACTAAACTCGTGTTCAAATTACATGTACAACAACAATTCGGTACGACAAGGCCTCAACTTGCAATCCGGTCACAGCAAACACACAGAGCAAAGACACAGACAAGGACAATATGTGCCAATGTGTCTTTTCTCGTGAACCACTCAAATTGCAAAGTCAGGTAAACATTAGGATGTAATTCTGCTGAAGAAAAAAATCATGAGAAAAATTCAAATTCCTACAACACTCGAACGATGAGGCCATTCAAATTATTCATTCAATTTTTATCCCGCTGGGCATCCCCTTACGATCAGAGATAGTACGAATACTAGCAGTATCTGGACTTACCTCTTGGAAAAGCAAAATGGAATATACCAACGAGGCAAGTGTCTTCGAGTTGGGCGAGTCAGACTGAATATACTGAGACAAGAAATTTCGTCAAGCCGGTCGCAGATATCGATGATCAAGGGATGCATAAAAAATAAAGGAGAGAAACCGGGTTTTATTGCTCACCATCAAACAATAACATCGGACTGACTCCAGAAAACTAGAAAGCAAATGAAGAAAACAAAGTCTGTACCTTTTTCCAGTTTCTGCACAGCCATGTACTCACGACATCAAACTGGCTGATCGTCTCGACGCTTTCGTAGTATTTTTGATCAGGTGCGCCGTCTTTCTTTCTTGCCGCCATTTTGCCGTCGCGAGACCGACCACCACACTAGCGACTATCCCACACCGCTACCAGAGCTAGAGCTGCGATGACACAGTCAGTGAGATCAGTCAAGTCTCAAGACAAGTCTAAAAAAATCTGGCGATCACTGGTTTTGGTGCGCTTCACTCTGCAGATCTGACTGGCATGTACTGAGTCTGTGTCGACTGTACAGTCATGTACTCAGTCATACCAAGAGTACATAACCCATAATTTTCTCTGTGCTGCGCTGATGAGTTCAAAAAGAACGAAACAGCATGCTGTCCGCAGATTGAGTAACCTATATGTAGATCTAATCTTGGTCATACTCATACAGTCATAGACATAGTAGCAAGAGTACATAAACCATTTATGTACTCTTGATAGTAGTAGTAGTACTTCATCATGGCTTCACATTATGCATGTCTTTGGCAAAATTAATAATAATTATTATTATGCATGATCGATGAATGTGCTGTACATGTACTGTATACAATCATGTACTGATGATCAGATCTGGGCCGGATCATGATGACTGTACATATTATAGTCTGTACTGACTGACTCTTGCCTTGGCCAATTGGTAAGAACAAGATACATAATTATTATAATTATAAATGTACTCTGAGCTCATGAGTCTTGCCGTCTTGGTAGCCATTTCAAACTCCAAAAGGACCAACAGGTGCTCGCCCTTTTTTTGGCCCTTTTCCCAGTTTTTGGCCCTTTTCGAAAAGCCCGTTTTATTTCTTTCGCCCTTTATTGCGTTTTTTGGTGAATATCGCCCTTTTTGAGCTTTTTTAGCTGAAAAAGTGCTAAAATCCGAGAGTTCAGCTGTATTTCACTTCCGCAGTCCGTGTTTGATAGTATTATTTCTTTCATCACTCTGTATTCCAGCAAATTTCATTTCCCTGATCAGTCGTCGTCATCCTCTCCATTCTACAATACTTTTGATTATCCGCTTTATGGGCACTGTACACTTGCAGCCGATCAGTCGGCAGCCAATTTATTTTTTTAACCACTGCAGTCCAGCAACTGTCATTTTGAAAAAGCACTTTTTGCCTGCTTTCACTGAAAAACGAGCACTTTTTCCGAGTATATTTTGAGGGACGCGAAAAGCACCTAAGTGCGAATTAAAAGAGCATCTTTGGGAAAGGGCTAACTCTTGGTAAGACCAAGTACATGTAGATCTACAGTGGAACCTGTCTAAGACGACCGCTCATGGGACGGCTTCACGTGCCGTGGTCTCTGTTACCAGGTGGTCTCTTTATCCAGGGTCATTTGACTGGGATGGGGGGGGGGGGGGGATAGCATCCCTTGGTCTTGGTTTCAGTGGTCTTCTAGGACAGGTGGTCGCCTTATCCGAGTGGTCGCCTCGACAGGTCTTACTGTACATGTACATGTAATCAAGCAGTACATAACCCCATGGGGTTATGTACTGCTTGATGTAATCTATCAGGGTCCAGGGATAAGCATGCAGTGACTGACTTGTCAATTATTTAGTACTCCGTGGGCCCTGGCCTGGTACGAACTATGCATAATATGGACCATTAACATAGTTTTTCCACCACGTTGAATAAAATTTGCAGCGTCAACAACCTTTGGCTTTGTGTAGTGACTGATCACAATAATAATTATAATATGAATTGGCTGCAGTGGAGCCTCCGTGTTCTAAAAAACGTTAAAATGTTCTCGTGATAAAAAATACAGGTGGACTGTCATTAAAACAGAAACAGAACAAAAGTAAGGCACCCATTTTTGATAGTCCAGGGGATGGCCCGCGCCTGGTAAAGAGAATAAATAGAGAAAAGAAAAGACGAATATTTCACAGGAAGTACATGTACAATGGACCATAGTACCAGGCCAGGGCCCAGGGAGTACTAAATCAGTAATTGAAAAGTAATTTAAAATGTATGGTAGATGTACATCAGGTACTGACGTGGGGTGGATTTGTTTGACCACTAGTGACTTGGCAAGAATCACTGTCTGTGCACAATCATAATAATGGTGCATGTGACAATCATCACTGATGTCACATACTACAGTGGTATCTGTATACAGTAAACTAATAATATTATGAGCGTGTGTTCTAAGCCTAAGGTGAATGTAAACTTGACAGTGAAACAAAACCCGCCGCGTCTGCCGGGTGAATGAGCTTCAAGACTGGGGACAAGTCCAAACTTGCAAGTGATAATGATTAACCTCGGAGTCCTTGCACAGCTTTCTCCCCTGACTCTCTCTCTCTCTCTCTCTCTCTCTCTCTCTCTCTCTCTCTCTCTCTCTCTCTCTCTCTCTCTCTCTCAACGGTCCTTGCCGCGTGTGAGTTAAAGCGGGCCGCTGAGACTCACAACAAAAAAACGGGACAAAAGAATAGAAAGCAAAGAAAACTTAGTAGAAAGAAAAACAAACGTGCAGAAGATAAACGGCAACGGGAACCAAAACAGGAGATAGAAAACCCATACCATGCATTCATGCATGGACCAGAGGCCCCTCCCATTGACATCCAGTCTGGCCTGAGGGTCAGTGTTGGCGGCCCGCCATTAGAAGAGGCTTCACCAGCAAGGGGTCACGTTGAGGGACAGGCTCCTGTATTGAACACACTCTCCCAAGAAGCCGGCATTGATGGAGCCTCCCGGGCATGATGCCGGGTTGTGGCGGATGACGGGGAAGCCACATCACCGTGGCTGCAGATCATGGCATGGCTGGTGGTAAAAGGCACACCTCACAAGCATGTGTCAGGGATACCAAGAACCGGCCATCCGTAGCAGGCAGCATGAACTACAAATACTATATCTACAATATAATTACTCAAGTCTGTGGACAGCAACTGTTTCGCTCTGTTAGAGCTCCTCAGCACAGCTCAGAGGACCGAAGCGCAGCTCTTCGCAATGAAATACGTTTCCGTCACTGTGAAGCAAAGCATTTTTATAAAGAGCTGCAAACCCCGCCAAGAGTGCTACAATATAATTATATTATTGCCTTTGAGTAGTCTTCAAGTTTTCATCCTTCCCCGAGAAGGGAACGAACACGTTCGGCAACAACATTGTACTGGTCGGACCGGCCAGGGAGTGCTGTTTTCGGATCCTCCTGCTGCTTGGTTCTGCTGCCTCGGTGGATGTGTGAGTGTGACATTGACAAAAAAGACTTAGTGTACACTGACGCATGTAGAGTCAAACTCGTATATAAATACCTCAGCCCATGATAATAACAACTACTCCCGAATAACGACACAACCTTCAGACCTATAAATACCATTTAATAATAATAATAACTTTATTAGGATGACCCAAAGGCTGACCGCCTATCGTGGGGTCCGTCGCATTTAAGGATGATGGTACAAGAGAGTACAGATTGGGAAAGGGGTGGGGATGGGGCTATGATGAACAGTGTAGCGGCATGCCAGCGAGTAGACCTGAATACCTACAGGAATGTTTGCGCAGCTCTTTCTTGAATACACGGACAGAAGATTCCGAAGTCAATGTGGGTGGGAGAGTGACAATTCCATAAAAGGGAGGTTTTGAATAAGAAAAGTGATTTGGATGTCACGTTGTCTGGGCTAGGCATTTCCCAAATTGGCCAGCCGAAAAATTTGCCGACGACAGTGGTTTTGAAGAAATCACCGTTCTTTTCACCGAATACGCAACTTTCGCATTGCATTCGCCGAAAATCGATGTGTTACACACAACAACATGCAAATACAATTTCTGTAGCCATAATCTGCGAAAGGTGACTGCGACTTTAGGCAATTCCGAAAACGGTCAGCAGGAAAAGATACCAAAATCAATGGCTGTCAAGAAATCGCCAATAATTGCGCCGAATTTACAAATTTCGTGCTGAATTCGCCGAAAATGGATGGTTTAGTGCCTCTACAGCGTGCATGTACTCAGTAAATGTACATCTATACTGCGAGAGGTGACTTCATGATGTTCAAGTACCGCTTTGAGCCGAATTCTGACCGTTTGGGGCTAATAATATGGCCGAATTTGGACATTCTCTTAGCCGATTAGGCGAAAAAATCGGGCCGATTTGGGAAATGCCTAGTCTGGGCTTTCATGGGGAGGATAATTTTATTGGGGCGTCTCTCACTACGGAAACTATTAAACCTGAACTGAGCCAAGGTGTTCCGATATTTGAAAATAAACTTGTGGCTGTGCAATGTAACCAGGCTAATTGTCTACGGTACTGCAGTGATTCTAGCTTGGCGAATGCGTTAAATGGTCTTGGTCCGAGAAAGCTGAGACGCTCCCTTCCTACCTGAATCCCAATCGAACTCGCGCACTTCCACCGAAACTGGGTGACTGCGCCCTACTAGATGGGGATTTGTATGCAAAATGTCACTAAAAGCGCCATTTCGTTCTTATAAAAGCACGGATGACTGCGATTGGCCCATATTTTGTAGTCTTTTGGACGCTGAGTCGACTGGTTTTGGTCCGAAAAGGCTGCGATGCAGCGTTCCTCCTTTATTCCCAATCGAACATGGTTGAACAAGCGGTCACGTGCTCCTGGGTGCCCAAATCACCTGGTCACCACGCCAGCAGGCGACAACTTTCACACCAAGGTTCAACTCGAGTGACAGGACTGCACCCAAAAAAGGTCAAACAGGCTAGTAAGTTGTACCCTGCACTGGGCCTGCAGGCACGGTGACCAGGTGACTGGTGTACGCAGGAGCACGTGACCGCTTGTTCATCCATGTTCAAGTAGGAAGGGAGCGTCTCAGCTTTCTCGGACCAAGACCATTCGACTCAGCACCCCGAAGACTACAACTGGTGAAATTTTGATTTTTGCCTTAACTTCCCCTTTAAGATCTTGCTTTGGTGTGTCGAAGGCAAATCGAAACTTACGCCGTCGCAAGTATGACCTGATGAATCTTGCTTGGAGTTTGTCTAGCTCACACAAATCAGATGCAGGTAGCCGGTACACCCATACCACTACACCATTATTATTTTATTCCAAGCAATACATGGCTGGGGTAGCCAATGACCACTTTGCGTGGCGATTGCAGGGTTTTTATAGCCAACCATACTCTATGATGGGTCGAACATAGCTCTTGTAAAGGAGCATCATGGCTTTGGGAGTAAGGCGCTGGGCCATGGAACACAGCAACATGATTCTCTGTTTGAATTTTCCACTCATATCTAGGGGCATGTTCGATTGTACGAATCCATCAGCCCTGGACCCGGATTCGCCAAATTCGTACATGTTCGATTGTACGAATCCAGATCCCGAGAGCACGGATTCGGATCCAGTCAACCCACCTCCCAGAGACGGATTCGACGGATTCATTTCCATGGTACGACTCGTATCTACTCAAAACTCCCAATATGCGTACACTAGGTCAAGGGTTCACCATATTGCGTACAGATACTACGGGATGAGCTGTAGCAACACGGTTGCTAAGGCCTTGAAACGGATTATCGGCTGTACACATTCGATTGTATCCGTCCGATCGAAGTGATCTGGTCGGCGGGGATCGGGATCCAGTTTCTACAATCGAATGCAGCCAAGGTAATGCTGGTGGAAGTTCAGATTAGCGGTGAAGCGGATTCCCCGGTGTTTCAACACATCAGTACCGTTGAGAGGAGCCCCATCTATTTTGTATGCTGCAGCTGTTATTTGACCGTTCAATCTCATGAATAAAGATCGAGCTCGCGAATAGTGGAATACGCTCGTAGATCTGCCTTAGGCCTGTGGGGATTGCCCTATCAAAAATTTAATAATAATAATAATAGATCTACGGACACTTCTTTTCTCATGCACGATCGAGGATCTACTAATACAATGTACATGACTGTAGTACTATTTGTAGGGTCACTATTCGCAAGGTTGACTGTAGTGTAGTGTAGACCTCGCAGCTACACTATACCTGATAAGGTCGATCGAAGAAGGCTCTGGTCTAATGCTTGACTGGACAGCGAGTACTAGTACTGTAGTAGCCTTGCTTCAGCTTGTCGATCGAGTGCACCCAGTCAGCTGCTTTCACCATGCTGCCCAAGCGCACAGCATGCACGGCAATCCAGTTTTTCTCTGTACGTAGCTACGTAGACGTGTGGGAACATAGCCATTAAAAAATCATCTGGAGCTTGGGCTAGCCAGAGAACTGATCTATCTCCACTACAACGTAATGTCGTTACTTTGTTTGTAAGCACTAGGCAGTCGTTAGCATGTGACCAGACGACTCCCTGCTCTAACCTGCAGGCTGCACGATCACAATCTGGTTGAATCTGCTCAAACAAAAAGTAACCAACTTTTTACCGTTTATTGTATCATTGGACCGGTAGATGTACAAACCCCGGTCGACAGCCGGCCTGCAGGTTCGTTCAAAACGATGTGCATGATGACACCTGTCGACAGTCGTGCAGACGCGTCGACGGCATGGTCGACGGGCCGACGACGGCCCGACGCGGGCCGACGGGCTATCCGCTACGTAGATCTACAGTAGTAGACGAGCACTTGGCGGTACTGCGCGCCTGCGATCTGCAGTCTAGTCTGTGCAGAGTGCATTCAGTCATGTACCATGTGTACTGTACTTCCTGCTTGAACCAAAGCCAGGCCAAGGGAGTCGTAGGAACCCGGGTTGATCACAAGTCGAGTCCCGGCCCTGGTCTGACTCTGATCTGCCCGTGATCGGGTGATCGGCTTTTTCATGCAGACCAGCATAAATGGTGAGGTGTATCCTCGTGACACGAGTTTGAAAGTCAGTCTGGTTTGTGCATGTGCTCAGTACACACCCTATTTTCTTTCTCTGTGACCCACTTGCAAAATAGAGAGAGAATAGTTTTGTGCTTCCATGGTGGAACGTCGAATGATCTGTACTTTGGCAATACTACTACTAGTATAGGTGGACAGCAGAAAAATGGAATCGTCAGTTAGTGCTGACGAGCTGGAAGCAGTGGAGTCCAAAAAATCTCAGTCACCATCTAGGGATTCTGGAGTGGATGATGAGGCCAGTGGCAGTAGCTGTAACGATGGAGATAACACGGGTGGAATATTCTTCAACTTTCTTCTGGGTGGTGCTCTGGGATACAAGCAGATGAACAGGGGTGACAAATTAGCCCTATTCAAAAATGAATTGATCCTTGGATTCATTATTGCGTTCGCCCAGATCCCAGAGTCGGTTGCTTTCGCATTTCTAGCAGGGCTAGAACCGTCTATTGCCATTCATTCAGCTTGGATAATGGGATTGATCTGTGCAATATTTGGTGGACGGCCTGCAATGATTAACGGTGCAACTGGAGCGTTTGCTTCGATCATTGGAACGTTTATTACGCAGCCAGCCGTGTCGGGGCGCTCTGGTGAGGGAGTTGAGACACTCTTTATTTCTGTGGTACTGGCGGGAGTCCTGATGCTCGTTGCGTTTGCTCTTGACTTGGGCAGATTTGTAAGCGTCATTTCGTTCCCAATCATGCTGGGTTTCGCCAACGGCTTGGCTATTGTCATTGCTAGAGCTCAGCTGCATCCTTTCTCCTATGACTGCCCTGGAAACTACCGCTGCCCATTTGTGAATGAATCAGTGGACAACTTTACCATGCCGGATAAATCTCATCACTATGTGGGTGGTGCTGAGCTGGGCTGGATGATTGGAATTGTCCTTGTCTCAATGATCGTCATGGAATTTGTGCCCAAAATTCCACACAAGGCAGCCAAGTTCGTGCCATCTTCACTGCTGGCAATTCTGGCCGCTATCTTCCTTGAGTTTGTCGTTGTTCGCAATGCTGGAAGTAAGACCGACACCATTGGTGATGTTGCACCGTTCTCAAAAGACACGGCCTTCCCGATTCCGTTTTTCATCGACAAGTCTCGCTACCCGTCTAATGGCACGTTGAATGCTGACAACAGTACAGTGCTTGGCCCGCTCAAGTATGACTTTGACAACCTAGAGGGAAAGGCCGGGCAAATTGTTTTGCAGGCGTTCTTCCTCGCCATAGTTGGTCTGATTGAGTCCCTGCTGACCCAGGAGATTGTCGATAAGTTCACCAAGACCAAAGGCAACCGATCGAGGACCATCGCGGCCATGGGTGCTGGTAACATCATCTCTGGTCTCTTAGGAGGCATGGGTGGAAACGCTATGATCGGTCTGTCGACTATCAACTGCTTGAACGGTGGCCGTGGGCGCTTAGCACCAATCATTACTGCTTTAGTTGTGATGGTGATGGTCATGGGTGCCTATCCAGTCCTCAACTTTGTTCCAGTTGCAGCTCTAGTTGGTATCATGCTGGTTGTTGTCGGACATACATTCAAGTGGCAGTCACTGCCGGCAATCTTTGTTGCCTTCTTGCCGGAAAGGTGGCGGCTGGCGGGAAAACTACAATTCAAGATTGAGCGCACCGACGTGGTCATCGTAGTGCTGGTGACCGCTCTGACCAACGTACCAGGTCTCAACTTGTTCTACTCCATTGCTGCTGGCGTTGCCCTGTCAGCCGTGATATATACGTGGAGAAGTGCCCAAGAAATTTCTGTGAAATCTGACCACGTGTCTTCGGAACTCAAAGTTTACTTTGTTTCTGGACCATTGTTCTTTGGGAATGCATCCTCCTTCCCTGACCACTTTGATCCTGAGGGAGACCCAGCCACTGTGGAAGCCCATTTTTCAGACACAACTCTTTTTGATTCTGCAGCACTGAAAACCCTCAACACAATCACCAAGCAGTACAGCAAGGCGGAGAAGTCCTTCATTATACGACACCTAGACCCTGTGAGTGTACGCAGTGTGTCCAAAGCATCACGTCTTCTCCACTACATTGAACTGGCTGCCGGGGAGGACATACCGATGGGTGTCAGCGGCGAGGAAGATCCATCGCCACAGCCGCTTGTTACCAACGACGACGATCCTGTGGTGCGCAAGCGTTCAAAGGACGTTGTTAATAATGAATCATGTGTGTAGTTCTCACCTGCCCTACTCCCCCCCCCCCCCCCTCTCTCTCTCTCTCTCTCTCTCTCGGTCTCTCTTCTTTAGTGTTTTATCTGCAATCAACTCTGGCTGGGCCAGGTAGCACAATGTTCTTGAAACTTCCACAGTCTTCCATATTTGGGTGTGGATCAGTTGAACTCTGATAATTGTTTATTTTTTACGTTCAAGCATATTCTAGGTATTGACTTATTTTTCTACAGTTTGTACAATTTCCTTGAGCTGATAATTGCCATTTCATGATACAGCACCAGTTACTTCAACTAGGACTTTGCGGAATAGATCTTGTAACAAGTTAGAAAACATTTTTAACCCTATATACTTCTACAACCCTAGGAATTATATGGGCTTTTGGGGGTGTGTCAGTGTCCAATTTTTTCAACTATAATTATATTAATATATTCATTCAATGTTCATAAAACCTATTCATGATAATTCTGGCGTATTATGCATGTATTTTCCTTTCAGCATGAAACTCGACAATGTGGAATTATTATTTGCACAATTTGTGTGAAGATTTTTATTTCTATAACCTTGTTCTATCCCCAGAATCTAATGCCTCTATCTCTCTTTCTTCCTTTTTCTTTCCCACTCCATCTTCCACACGCACACACACACACACACACACACACACACACACACACACACACACACACACACACACACACACACACATACATACACACACACTCTCTCTCTCTCTCATTCCTGTCTTCAGGTGTGCTCTCTTGCTTACTAGCACGCACGCTTTCTCTGCCTCCCACTGTCTGAAGAGGAAATCCCGTAATGACCAATATTCTGTTCTTGAGTTGCGATGTGAAATGAGTGAGTTGCTTGATTGGGGCGGGGAACAACGAGCCTGTGTTTGCCTGTATTTTATTTCTGCTCGGCTCCCTTTCAATGACATGCTTTGAATCTCCGTGCGAGCCTGCAAAGTGCAAACAAACGGTCGCAGTGTGTTAGAGCTGCCCAGGCATTAGCTTTGGTATTGGCAGCGCCATGCGGTGAAGCTATAGTCTATACGAATGATTTCATGGTGGATTTTCTAGGGCTGAAACAATTACACCGATAACTCGCATATCGATCGTTTTAAAAGAGTGCAATCGATAATCGTTAGTGTTCAACTTCAAAACGAGTGCTAACGATTTTTTATGCATGCATATCAGCAAGAGTACATGTACTCTTGATATCAGTGACAGTATTCTAGCCCTTGCACTCCATCCGATAGTGGATACGAGTACAATCATGTACCGTAGTTTCAAGTGCAGTCAAATTGATTTGTGTCTTTGAAAGAGATCGGGAGAGAAGACTTTGCCTTTTCGGTTCATTCGTGGGAGAAGTCGGAGATGAGAACAGTTGCCAGAGGGTGATGACAAGATTCTTCGCTCTAATTGTAGAAACAACATGAAGCTCTCTACTTGAATACTAGTAGCTCATGTTGATAAAACCAGCCAGATATCTACTGATGTCAACAGTGCGGTGCCACAAATTTCTAACGTAGCAAAGGCATCATGGAATTTCTTCATAAACTGGTGTTCGATAGAGCTGACAAGAAAAGATAAATCCAATAATATCGATCATTAATGATATTGGTTGATCATTAGGAGTTATTGAATGATCGTTTCAGCCCTAGGATTTTCCAATGCCATGGGCGCTAAGACTTACTTCGAGTAGTATACCGTAACCGTGAGTCAGCGGATTTTCTAATGGGCATTTAAAGTACAGTATGCAGCGTGAGTCGCTAGTGCAAATGCACTGTTTTTTTAATTTTTTTTGCTTCTAAATAATTATATGTTGGAGTGATCAGCGCAACTACAATGTCCTGTAGTGTAGTTGTACATGTAGGTCTACTATACATGATTGTACAGCAATCATCATACATGTCATGTACATGTCCCTGTAGATGGCTCCAAAACTTGCAAAAGACTAGTTTTTTCATTTCCCTTCCAGTTCCATATCGACTGTATAGTTCCTTTCAATTGTAATATGAAAATGGGGTACACGTTGGCATAGAGCATGAAAAAAGCTTCAGTTTGATATGCGTGTCATACTATACAAAAATATGGGTTCACATACATTCAAATGGGACTTCGGGTATAAGGACACTTCGCGAATAAGGACATTTTTCCGATGCCCCGCCGAATGTTATATTAAAGCGAAGTTGACTGTAATCGCATAACCTCTATAGGATAGTAAAGGGACCGTTGTCCCTCCTCCTCACCAGGGACCTGAGGGGTCGTAGCCAGAGTTAACCAGGGCGATTGCGGTGTGCCTTGACCGGCTATCTGACCGAAACGCAACCGTCCAGACTAGCAATGCCATAATAATTATGCGAGCGTGCGAAAAATCAACTGTTACTTGAAAGCCCTGCACGAAGCCAAGGGCAACTGGAACGAACAGGCCAGGAACGAAAGTTGAAAACCCAATCTGAAGATACCAGCCTACTCCACTAGTGCCACACCATTGTAATGTGGAAGGCACTCATGGTGCTGTGGGCCCATCAGGCTTAGACGCGGACACATGGAGATGGATGGCAACCAGCTTTGCAGAGGCATCGGACTCTCTTTGTGATGCACTTTTTTTAAACTAGTCCTACTACAGTATGTGCTCGTCGTTTGGCTACCAAGGATGTGGATCCGATGGCCTTGGAGGCCTATCTTGCCTCCCGTTTGGTCCCTATGCCTATGGACAAAACACAGCGGTGAGACCATTAATTTTGGGATCGGTTAGGTAGTGTGCTGCATCATCGGTAGGAGCATCCTGTTCATCATCGCGAGGACATCCAGATAAGATTAGTAAGAAAGCAGCGGGAAGTTTGCAGTTCTGCGGTGGCCAAGACTTCGGCATAGAGCCAGTTAGTTATGCCATCCAGCAAGTCTATGGACGAGAGGAAACCGATGGTGGTCACTGTAAATGCATTCAAGCGCAATGCGGCAATCGGAAACATTCACCACCAGTGCTCTTCTCCTGCAGCAGTTGTCATCGTACCGGCACCCCATGCAGCAACTATTACTTGTATGTGGCAGGCGCGTGTATTCTCTCCCAGTCCCAGGAAGGCACCGCCCAGGGGATCCACTGACTAGTGACTGGTAATGCCGTGACGCCATCGGAGTTCTCCCGCTAGTGAGAGCAGTGGTAACTGGTAACCCCAGACACCTGCCAGTACTGCAGTAGCAAGAGTACATAACCCCCCAGAGTGTGCAACGCCGATCCAGCTCTGTGTAGGGTCTTGGTCGAGCGGAATCGGATCTTCTGATGTCATGCGTACACTTCACACCAGCGCAAGGCCGGTCTCGAGGCAGGGCACCATTGTTTTTGATCCAAGAGTACTCGTACCCGCGACTCCCCGGGTTCCCCTCAGATGTGTACGGTATTATGACGCAAAGATCCGATTCCGCTCGACCAAGACCCTATGCAGAGCTGGATCAGGCGTTGCACACTCTGGGGGGTTATGTACTCTTGGCAGTAGGCATCAGCGAGCACATGTGTGTGTGGAGCAGTACTGTCTTTGGATCACGCAGCGACGTGTCCTACACTGGCTACAGGGGGCTATCCCACCCTGAGGCACAACGCGCTGCGTGATCCTCTGGCTGATGCCATGGGCGCTGCTCTACCGGATGTCCGGATTGAGCCTCCTCTTCTGCCGCTGGAGGGTGAGTCGCTCTCTGGAGCCTCGGCCAATAGAAGAGGCGAAGCCAGGTTGGACATCTGTGCAAGAGGTTTCTGGTCTCGACAGCAGGATGCATTTTTTGATGTTAGGCCTACTTAGGGTGACTCACCCATCAGCATCCGTGTTGTCGAGGGGGCAACTTCTTGCACAGATCTCTAGGAATGAAAGCCAGAAGAAAAGAGCATATCTGCAGCGTGTAGTGAATGTTGAGAGAGGTGCATTCACACTTTTGGTCTTCAGTACCAATGGCCTGTGTGGACGCGAATGTCTGCGATTTGGTCGGCTTGATTGTTATCCATCATTCTGGCTTGCAATATTCTTTGGTCATGAATCACTTAAGATGCAAGATCTCTTTCGTTTTGGTCAGGTGGTTCGTCACCTGTTTCCGCGGTTGCCGGGCCTCATATTTGCGTAGGCGATCCGGGGCTTTGTCATTCCTGGATGAGTGCCGTCTACGGTCTTTGTAGACGCACCTTCCGGTTAATATCGACCTCCTTTACAAGTAGGGATGGTCTGTAATTTTGGCCGGCTTTCCTCTCCCCTTTTCACTGCGTACTCTGCGTGGCTGGCACTTCCCCAAGAAGCTAAGGACCTTTCTTCCCTCCGCCTTTTTAAGCCTTGTCGCACCTTGACTTTGATTTTGTGTTTCTCATTTTGTTGCAATCACTGCTTATCCATGCCGGTTCTTTTTTTCTTCTCCTCCCCTTCTCCCTTCCTTGCCGTGGTTGGCTAACACCCTCTCTCCTTGTATTGGCCGGTGTTCTCACTGTGCTATTAGCTGCTGTAATAAATAAATAAATAAATAAATATGAAGTTGATTGTTCCAACTAGGAACACACGCTTCTTGCCGAACTTGACACTTGACTGACTCAGGACTGCCATCCGGAGCACACGAGGAGCACGCCGCACCTTCCACTCGGCAAACCTGCAAGAAAGCACCACTCCCTGCTCAATACACAGTGTTTCGGGGAATTCACCCCTCATCAGTTGAGCTTGAGTAGGCTGAGGAAGATTGTGCCTGAAAAGCACCACTTATATACTGCTCTCCAGGCCAAACCATCACCAGGGATACAAACTTACAGAAGCTTACAGAAACTTACAGAAACACTGTGTATTGAGCAGGGAGGGGTGCTTTCTTGCAGGTTTGCCGAGTGGAAGGTGCGGCGTGGTCCTCGTGTGCTCCGGATGGCAGTCGTGAGTCAGTCAAGTGTCAAGTTCGGCAAGAAGCGTGTGTTCCTAGTTGGAACAATCAACTTCATGACTATTACCGCCGAAGTCGCAACTAACTTTACTTCTAAGTTCGTATTGTTGTCCCTCACGCGGACGTGCGACTAGTTGTTGGAGGTGACAGCGTTGCGAATAGCTATACTGGCTCTCAACGTCTGTTTAGCACAACTCCATGAGCGACTCTGACTCACGCTGCTACCTGGAGCTTCACGAGGTGTTTGTCGCGCTGGAAACAAAGCGTCTCTGTAATTAGTTTGTATCCCTGGTGATGGTTTGGCCTGGAGAGCAGTATATAAGTGGTGCTTTTCAGGCACAATCTTCCTCAGCCTACTCAAGCTCAACTGATGAGGGGTGAATTCCCCGAAACACTGTGTATTGAGCAGGGAGTGGTGCTTTCTTGCAGGTTTGCCGAGTGGAAGGTGCGGCGTGCTCCTCGTGTGCTCCGGATGGCAGTCGTGAGTCAGTCAAGTGTCAAGTTCGGCAAGAAGCGTGTGTTCCTAGTTGGAACAATCAACTTCATGATATTACCGCCGAAGTCGCAACTTCTAAGTTAATAAATAAATAAATAAGTTGCGCTATTGCAAATAATGATCTGCTTTGATAGCAGTGACTGCTAATAATTGCCTGTGTTTGACTTTGGATTTTTCTTCAATCATCTTTCCGATCACATTATCATGGATTTTCAATAAAGTTCTTTGAGTAGCGGGTACGACTCTGCCATGAGATGCTGAAAATCGCGAATTATGCCCCCCTCCCCAAAAAAATGCCTCATTATGCCGGGACAATGCCCCCCTCTGCGAACACCCCCAATATGCTAGTTTTTTTTGTACTTGAAGTAGTACTCCCTGATCAACCTGATCAACCGCCATTGCGTACAACGATGTTGCCTTTGTTCGAGTAGAAGTAGTCTACCACCGATCAATCAATTTTGCGCGCATATCTTTATACCTACTTTGGAAACAGACTTTTTCGCGTACTCTTCTGCGATTTGTTTGCTGTATTTGGTCATAATTATATTGCTACAAGTAGCATAAAACGCCCTAAACTAGCATAAAAAGCATTAAAACGAGCATAATATCCTGTTTTTGCTGGCATTCTGAAAAGCATAATCGGCTGAGTTTACTAGCATTACCCGCTGATGCCTACCTGCCAGCTCTGGGACCCGGACGATTCATCTGCCGGAGGTCGCCTTGCAACATACCATGGATCTTAGCGAATTGTCTCAATTTCCCATTGCGTGTGTCATTGTCCCTGATGAAGGGAAACTAAAGTTGTGGTCCGAACAGTATACGATTGTGGTGGGACAAGCTGCAGGCTGGCTGAAAGTCCGTCCTACGGCTACGGGTATCACATGATTGAACGCCCCCCCCCCCCCCCCCCCCCCCGAGTCTGTACTTGTCGTCAAGCCACATGCCTATGACGATGCTGTGCGCGTCTTTGCTGATACTGGCGTCCAGGTAACGCATCTGAAGATTGAGGCACTCTCATTTTCGCTCCAGGCAGTGTACACTGATTTCGTTCGTGCTACGGGCATCACATCTCATGCCGCTGGAAACTTCTGTGTCATGTTCTGCACTGCAGGATACATCCAGTGGTCTTGATGTGTTGGAATACGCCATTGTTGCCAAGCAGCTGCCAGCCCTGACTCCAGAGGACGTCAGTCTGGAGCTGCAGCGACTGTTTGCCTTCCCTGGTCTGGGCATCGTCAATCCAACATCTCTGACAAGTGAGTGACAACCCAACACACCTCATCCCGAGTGATCACAGTGGCGCTCACCAGGAACATCCTCAATCAAGGCTTCAGTGTGCCTGAAGACCTTCCCAGCGTCGCTTCAGCCAAAGCATGTGACACAGCGTGTAGATCACCGCCAGAAAGCCAAGGCCGACATCCGGGCCGTGGTCGGCCTTGCAGTCTTTTTTTTGTAGTTGCAGTCTTCGCCGGCGGGGTGCTGAGTCTGGTCTTGGTCCGAGGAAGCGGAGGCGCTCCTTTCCATCGTTGTTCCCAATCAAACTCGCGCACTTCCACCGAAACTGGGTGACTGTGCCCTACTTCTCCTTACGTCAGTCGTGTAGTCTTTGATCGCTCCTGGAGGTCGTCCTGATAGTCATGTAGCTACTTTAACCTGAATTGTTTTTCTTAATCTTTTTTTCTTCCAACTTCTGCCCATGGCGTCCCTCTCTCAGCTCGTCAGCTGACAACAGTCACTGTCACCACCATGACACTGTCGCGAGAAGGTGCTCTCTGTAGACGAGGTTGGTGATGTCCCGACGTGGCGACGTGGTGATCCATGACCACGTCGGGACATCACCAACCCCGTCTACAGAGAGCACCTTCTCGCGACAGTGTCATGGTGGTGACAGTGACTGTTGACAGCTGACGAGCTGAGGTGCTCAATAACAAGGAAGCCAATGAAGGTGCCAAGACGCACGAGGGGACTTAAAAGCAGAAAATATTAGATAATGGGGATTCGAAGGGGTAGGTGGAATCTGGTCCGAGATGGACAATGAGAGCTCTGATGCCGAGGGGCAAACATTTAGGAGAGAAATATTTCAGACACCGGGGGATCATCGAGTGCCATGGATGGAAAGCAGCTGCCACCAGTAAGAAAGCTCAGAGTCTTTTATAAAATAATGCTCACATGAGAGGCTGGCTTTCAGGTATGGGAGCAGAAGGCAGAGAGACAGACAGCCCAGCTAACAGACTGAGAGTAACGGGCAGACCAGTGAAAATACAGATACATGCATGAGAGGGAGGGCTTCAAGGCTAGAACACAAGCCAGGGGAAGGAGACAAACAGTACGATGCCGCGGAGAGACAGTCCGACAAGGAACAAGAGAGTTGGGTCAAGTCACTCAAGTGTCAACATTTTTACAACGTGTCGACAAAGTGTCAACAACGTGTCGACAAAGTGTCAACAACTTGTCGACCAAGTGTCTCTAGCAGTACACTACTGTAATTTTGGTGTCACAAAACCGAAACAGAAACTTCAAAGCCTTTCGGAAAATTATTATGTACTCTTGTGTACAGTAGACAGTGATCGCAGTTGCCTGGAAGTTGGAACCGTTTTCGCGGGTGGTCGACCGATCCTACACCTAATACCTTCCTTATCAAAATAATAAATTCTTCTACTACACTACTCGTAGACTACTACCAGAAATATTCCCTGATTATGCATAGTGGGCTGTGGATTCCAGGGGGTTACCGGTGTATGCCTGAAACCGTGTTCGCGGAGGAACCGTTTTCGGTTTTCGCGGTTACCATGCCGGCCACCACCTTGTACCTACCTGTTATCAAAGGTTTTGTCAGTGCAGTGGTCACCACCTGGTCTGATCAGCTGAGCTCATCCGCACGCACGTAGATTCTACGCAGTACGTGGTTGGCTTTTTCATCCAAACTACATGTAGCATGACACGCGTTTGAAAGTCAGTCTGGTTTGTGCTCAGCACACACCCTATTTTCTTTTTCTGTGACCCAATCCTCAGCCAATACAAGGGTAAACCAGCACTTGTAAAATAGAGTTTTAGTTTTGTGCTTCCATAGTCGAACGTCGAATGATCTGTACTGACTACTGTGGCAATACTAATACTGGTAGGTGGACAGCAGAAAAATGGAATCGTCAGTTAGTGCTGACGAGCTGGAAGCAGTGGAGTCCAAAAAGTCTCAGTCATCATCTAGGGATTCTGGAGTGGATGATGAGGCCAGTGGCAGTAGCTGCAACGATGGAGATAACACGGGTGGAATATTCTTCAACTTTCTTCTGGGTGATGCTCTGGGATACAAGCAGATGAACAGGGGTGACAAATTAGCCCTATTCAAAAATGAATTGATCCTTGGATTCATTATTGCGTTCGCCCAGATCCCACTGTCGGTTGCTTACGCATTTCTAGCAGGGCTAGAACCATCCATTGCCATTCATACGGCTTGGATAATAGGATTGATCTGTGCAATATTTGGTGGACGGCCTGCAATGATTAACGGTGCGACTGGAGGGTTTTCTTCAATCATTGGAACATTTATTACGCAGCCAACCGTGTCAGGGCGCTCTGGTGAGGGAGTTGAGACACTCTTTATTTCTGTGGTACTGGCGGGAGTCCTGATGCTCGTTGCATTTGCTCTTGACTTGGGAAGATTTCTAAGCATCATTTCGTTCCCAATCATGCTGGGTTTCGCCAACGGCTTGGCTATTGTCATTGCTAGAGCTCAGCTGCATCCTTTCTCCTATGACTGCCCTGGAAACTACCGCTGCCCATTTGTGAATGAATCAGTGGACAACTTTACCATGCCGGATAAATCCATTCACTATGTGGCTGGTGCCGAGCTGGGCTGGATGATTGGAATTGTCCTTGTCTCAATGATCGTCATGGAGTTTGTACCGAAAATTCCGCATAAGGCAGCCAAGATAGTGCCATCTTCACTGCTGGCGATTCTGGCCGCTGTCTTCCTTGAGTTTGTCGTTGTTCGCAATGCTGGAAGTAAGACCGACACCATTGGTGATGTTGCACCGTTCTCAAAGGACACCGCCTTCCCTATTCCGTTTTTCATCGACAAGTCTCGCTACCCGTCTAATGGCACGCTGAATGCTGACAACAGTACTGTGCTTGGCCCACTCAAATATGACTTGGACAAGCTGCAGGGAAAGGCCGGGCGAATTATTTTGCAGGCATTCTTCCTCGCCGTAGTTGGTCTGATTGAGTCCTTGCTGACCCAGGAGATTGTCGACAAGCTCACCAAGACCAAAGGCAACCGATCGAGGACCATCGCGGCCATGGGTGCTGGTAACATCGTCTCTGGTCTCTTAGGAGGCATGGGTGGAAACGCTGTGATCGGTCTGTCGACTATCAACTCCTTGAACGGGGGTCGTGGGCGCCTAGCACCGATCATTACTGCTTTAGTTGTGATGGTGATGGTCATGGGTGGCTATCCAGTCCTCAACTTTGTTCCAGTTTCAGCTCTAGTCGGTATCATGCTGGTTGTTGCCGCACATACATTCAAGTGGCAGTCACTGCCGGCGATCTTTGTTGCCTTCTTGCCGGAAAGGTGGCGACTGGCGGGTAAACTACAATTCAAGATTGAGCGCACCGACGTGGTCATCGTAGTGCTGGTGACCGCTCTGACCAACGTACCAGGTTTCAACTTGTTCTACTCCATTGCTGCTGGCGTTGCCCTGTCAGCCGTGATATATACGTGGAGAAGTGCCCAAGAAATTTCTGTGAAATCTGACCACGTGTCTTCGGAACTCAAAGTTTACTTTGTTTCTGGACCATTGTTCTTTGGGAATGCATCCTCCTTCCCTGACCACTTTGATCCTGAGGGAGACCCAGCCACTGTGGAAGCCCATTTTTCAGACACAACTCTTTTCGATTCTGCAGCACTTAAAACCCTCAACACAATCACCAAGCAGTACAGCAAGGCGGAGAAGTCCTTCATTATACGACACCTAGACCCTGTGAGTGTCCGCAGTGTGTCCAAAGCATCACGTCTTCTCCACTACATTGAACTGGCTGCCGGGGAGGACATACCGATGGGTGTCAGCGGCGAAGAAGATCCATCGCCGCAGCCGCTTGTTACCAACGACGACGATCCTGTGGTGCGCAAGCGTTCAAATGATGTTGTTAATAATGAATCAGGTGTGTAGTTCTCACCAGTTCTGCTCTCTCTCTCTCTCTCTCTCTCTCTCTCTCTCTCTCTCTCTCTCTCTCTCTCTCTCTCTCTCTCTCTTCTTTAGTGTTTTATCTGTAATCTACTCTGGCTGGGCCAAGTAGCAAAATGTTCTTGAAACTTCCACAGTCTTCCATATTTGGGTGTGGATCTGTTGAACTCTGATAATTGTTTATTTTTACCTTCGTGCTATTCTAGATATTAACTTATTTTTTTCTACATTTTGTACAATTTCCCTGAGCTGATAATTACCATGTCATGATACAGCACCAGTTGCTTTCATCGAGGACTTTGCGGAATAGATCTTGTAACAAGTTACAAAACATGTTTAACCCTAGGAATTCTATGGGCTTTTGGTGGTGTGTCAGTGTCCAATTTTTTCAACAATATAATATATCAATAAACTGTTAGTTAGTTTCTTGTAATACTTATAATATATCCATCCAATAAAACCTATTGATAACTCTGGCGTATTATATTTTCCTTTCAGCATGAAACTCCACAATGTGGAATTATTCGCGCAATTTGTCTATCTCTCTCTCTCTCTCTCTCTCTCTCCCTCTCTCTCGCTCGCTCCGGTCTTCAGGTGTGCTCCCTTGCTTACTAGCACACACGCTTTCTCTGCCTTCCACTGTCTGAAAAGAAACTCCGTAATGACCAATGTCCTGTTCTTCAGTGCAGTTACGATATGAAATGACAAATGAGTGAGTTGCTTGATTGGGGAACAACGGGCCTGTATTTTCTTTCTGCTCATCTCTCTTTCAATGCCATGCTTTGAATCTCCGTGTGAGCCTGCAAAGTGCAAACAAATGGCCGCAGAGTGTTAGAGTTACCCAGGCATTAGCTTTGGTACTGGTGGCGGTATGTAGTCAAGTTATAGAGATCATGCGAATGATTTCATGGTGGATTTTCTAATGGGCGCTAAGTACAGTATACCGTGAGCGTGAGTCAGCGGATTTCTAATGGGCGTTTGGTACAGTATGCAGCGTGAGTCGCTAGTAAGACACATCAAACATGATTATGGAATATGACATTCAAAAGATACGCAGAATCGTAATAAAAATTCTAAATCACCGATTTCCGTTACGTACATCTTAGGGCATGTTCGTTTGGTAGGATCGGGATCCCGATCCACCAGATCCACTGGATTCGCACCCTTTCGATTGGTCGAATCCGGATCCGGATCCTTCGGATTTGGATCCGGTGTAAACGCGAAAACGGTTCCTCCGCGAAAATGGTTCCAGGCATACACCGGTTACCCCCTGGAACCGTTTTCGCTAGCGAAAACGGTTCCACCCTAGCCGCGAAAACAGTTCCTCCGCGAAAACGGTTCTTCCACACATTTCCTGCATCTATGGCCCTCTTGGAACCGTTTTCGCGGATGGGGTCTCACCGCGAAAACGGTTCCTCCGCGAAAGCGGTTCCACACATTTCCTGCATCTATGGACCGTTTTCGCGGATCGATATGCATCCGCGAAATCAGTTCCCAATCATGAGTTGTGCTTTCGGGTTTTTTTCTTCAAAACGTCCTGAAGATGTCTTCTCTTGGTGGTAATCGGGCGTGTTACGACGAAGTCTTGCAAGCGTTGCTTGCAAACGCCTGCCTCGTTTCCTGCGGACGCGAAGAGGCGTAGAGCAATAAAACACTTTGCAGTCAACTTCGTCTTGGATCGTGGGGTCCTTTTTCGCCAAACAGATGAAGGCCTACCACAATGGATCACAGACGACGGCCAACAAAAGGAGATCTTGCATCCATGCCACTCGCATGATATGTCTGGCCACCTTGGCCGTGATAAGAGAGGAGGAAGGTCTGTGAGAGGTGAGTAAATATTACTTGGATTTATTTATTTTCAGTCTCAAATCAGTGAAAGTCGAGAGGATGGTAGTGTGTGGTGTAAGTAAGGGAGTTAGTGCACCGCATTTAATTATTATTACTTTCAACCGTCTTCATGAAGGCCCACACACAAAACTGACCACAACTGACAAGGCTTCTGTTGGCATATCAGTACAGTAATTGACCCGGATTAACTCACTTCATATACATGTACATGTAAGCACGCACCTAATTTTCCACCATACATGACTGTACAGACTTTCAACCCGGGTTGAAAATTCTCATGTTAACACACCCTAAGGCCCGGGTTCCACTGCGGCTCCGCTGCTCCGCGGTACATTATTATTATTATTATTTATTCATATTTTGATAGGGCAATCCCCACAGACTCAAGGTCTTCTTACGGGGTACCCTAAGAATGAAAGTAATGCATGGCGAAATAGGGATGGCGATGCAGCAGTGCGGTACATGCAGCGGAGCAGCGCGGTTCCACTGACACTCGCCATTCGCGGTACCGCGGTCGTGCTCCACACTTTTTGATGACGTTTCATTTGCCTGCAAGTGCAGTGCTTGAACAAAGGAAAATTCAAAATTTAACATTTCCTGGCATTTTCAGGAGGTCACTATGGATACATTGACGGTAGCAAAGCTTGTCCAGCGCTGTGTGAACTGGATCACGGTTTGCCAGTGTTATCTTGCTGCAGAGTGTTGGAGTGTTTTGAGTCTGTCTTGTTCGTTCTGCCGTTATGTCACGCAAGTACTGTTCTCTATCTGACCTTTTTTTTTGCAAATTATCTGTATGTGCCCAATTAGGCTTATACAGACGCTGATAGATAGCTTCCAACACTTTTAACTGTAGTCCATAACCATGACGACCACGGCACAATACAGTGAACGAAGAGTCGGAATACGAATTGCAACAATCAGGACTAGCTAGCAGATGATTGTACACTGAAGACTTGCTACCACGAAACCTACGCACAACACTAACACTCTCACCGGCACTCTCACCATCACTTCCATCACTGCTCTCCGACTCACTGACTCCGACTCACTGACAGACTCAGCGTCTGTATAAGCCTAATTTGTGTGTACAGAAAGATAGTATAATTGGGTTGAAATTGTTCAAGTAACGTGTCGTGTTTAGTGCGGCCAAGCTTGGCCGTTAATGTTCTAGGTGTAATGTACTGCTGTTATGTGTTATCACGTTGTCTTTCCTTCCTTTCTCCTTTGTTCATTTCTCGCTTTGATTGTTAAAATTCACACTTGTAAATTTCACTGCTGTTGCTCTTAATAATAATAATATTAATAATAACTCTAATGAGTTAACGAGGAGAAATCTGTCGTTAAAATAGAAATCGTTATACAGAAATCGATACATAATATACTGTCCTATTGAGCGTTGAGAATAAGTGAGAATCGTTACCTTTGGTACACGTAAACCAGTAATTTTTTGGGAAATCGTTATATATGCGCCTCGTTAGAATAATGGCTTTTACAGTAGTCTTTGTAGCAAGCCCAAAAGTAGTTTGTTGTTTGTGTTTCCATTTAGCCGACTTGTCCTTCCTCCGATGTGGATGGTGTGGTAGTTTCGGCAGACTCCGTTCAGCAAGGAGCGGAAAAAAGCTGATGTTAGTTGACCTTGCCCAGTGCGTATTTTATGCACTTTTCATGAGTGCGTCGTGAGCTTTCAACCGAATCTTTGTAGCATGCCCAAAAAGTAGTTTGTTTGTTTGTGTTTTCCTTTAGCCTACTTGTCCTTCCTCCGATGTGGATTGCATGGTAACTGGCGCCAAAAAAATGGGTACAATTGGTGGGTACCTCCTCGTGGTTGTACCTGGTAACCATTGTAGCACGCCATAGAAGTCTTGAATGCATCTATCGTGTGTTACATTGGGCTAAATCCCACCACTTTCTTAGGCTTTCACTTTCAGACAGTGATGTGTATTTAGGACCTAGCATTTGCTTTGTTCATATTGTAGTTATATGATTCTTAGGTATGTGTATGGGATTGAGACCTTTGGCCTCTGGTTGGTGGATCTAATCTATCCTCCCCACCGTTTAGGAGCCGCATCTGACGCCTGATCATGGAGTGGTGGCGTCCCACGGAAGCGGAAAGGTGGTTCTTGACCAGGGAGTTAAACGACTCCTTGTTCTTGACCTGCCCGGTACGCGAACCCGTCGAATTTTTTATTTTTTTTATTTAAGGTATGTGTATGATGTGCTTCTGTGTCTTCTGACTGTAACTTTATTTTAACTCTGAAAGAGCAGATTTGATCCTTTATGACTCCTTCATTTTCGACACATTCTCTGTACTGGACACATTGTTGCAATTATTCTATGTAAAATAGAAGAAAACCACTAGGGAGCGAGTTATGAAGCAATTATCCACGACTGTAACAAGATATTAAATAGGCAGAAAGTGCGATAACAGGGCACACAACTGACAGGCTACTGAGACATTCAGTTTTGTGCCCTGTTAGCGCACTTTCTGACTGCTTATTATCTTGTTACAGCCATGGATAGTTGCTTCATCACTCGTTCCGTAGTGTTTTCTTCTATTTTACATTTGTATCCGAGTAATTATTGTACACTTCCTTTATATTTAAACTCGGATACTGAGCCAGTTATAAATGTAAAAAAGAGAAGAAATACATGAGAACGAGTTATGCAGCAACTATCCACGACTATAATATTCTTATTCTTTGTAATAAAATGGTGTCTTTCTTTATTGTCAAAGTACGGTTTTCTACTTCTATACGTTTGAATGTCGTTGTGACATGCATAGTCATGTATATCTGGTGTGGATGCATGTACATTTTACAGAAGGGTGTATGCATGTACCATAATGTCGTGTATTGTGTATCAGGCTTATAATGGCCAGGAGCCATCATCAGGATTGAGGAGAAAAAACAAGTGAGGTGGACCTATAACAGGCAACCCAAAGTGGAACGAAACTACAGCATACGTGATAACATTGCACCATCCTTTCGGCACAGGCACACACACATACCCATGCACATGCCAAAACACTGAGACGCCCACTCATACTCACACTCGCAGCAACACTCACTCACACAAGCTCACACTCCAAATCACACCCAAACACGTGTAACTAAAGACACACACAAAAAATACCAATGTGCCTGAAAACAAGGTGTGAATAGTGGTGGGACTATGACAAAAGAAAAGAAAAGGAGATGAGATTCCGTCGCCAAACTGCACTTACACTACAACATTGTGCTGAACTACCGGTACAATGGCGTGAACAAGCACACATGACAACAGGACAGGATAGTGGCAACAGAAACAATGATCATCATCCAATTTTTCACATTGTCAATTGTCAAGCAACACCCAGCCACGATCACGGTTCACCTTAGGATGGTGTCTGGAGATGTGGATTGCCTCCCTTATCCGGCGGTTCACGTATGACACTTCCGTTGCGAGTATGGATGGTGATGTGGGCGCTGTGGATGGATGTTGTAGTGGTTGGTGCAATGCGCAGTGCTCTCCCCAGGGCTTCTGCGGTGCACAGGCTCTCGCTTCTCGGTAATGTTCCTGGACTCGCTCCCTGACACACTCGTGTCGGGATGTCATTCGGACAGCGAAAGTCACAGCCGCAGACACACACCCTCACACACACACAAAGCAGGTAGCGTGATTACAAAGCTATGCATGTGTTGCCGACAAAGTTACGAAGGTAGAACTTGTTCTCATGACGACACTTGGACACCAGCTCTGACCTCTTGTAGAGGGAGCGGGTCCCAGGCAATCTCTAGCTTTCTGGCCAGACACAGACACAGCCAAGATGTTAGAGTATGGTGCA